CGGACTTCATCGTCAACGAGCACAAAGCCAACGACTTCGTCCACTTACACATGGGGCACGACCACTTCATCGTCAACGAGCACAAAGCCAACGACTTCGTCTACTTACACATGGGGCACGACTTCATCGTCAACGAGCACAAAGCCAACGACTTCGTCCACTTACACATGGGGCACGACTTCATCGTCAACGAGTACAAAGCCAACGACTTCGTCCACTTACACATGGGGCACGACTACATCGTCATCGACTAGCACGAAGCCAACTACCTCATCTGCTACTTCGTAAGTATATCCAGACTATCCCCAACAATCAAGTGGCTGATATCTCCATAGGACGACCTCCAAGACTACATCTTCTACTACTTCTAGCTGGGGCACCAACACCATATCATCCAGGTGAGTATGCTTTCAGCGTTGACTTTAAGTGGTTGACTGACAGCAAATTACAGTAGCACCACCAAATCCTCTACTTCTTCCACCCCGACAGCTACAACCTCTTCCAAGTCTAGCACATCGTCTACTACATCGTAAGTACAAAGGCAGGATACAGCGTGGACGCCTGCTGACTCTGTATACCAGCACTACTTCTCAATCAAGCACTATCTCGTCAACCACTTCCTCCGCCGCATCTACCACTAGCGCTTGGGGCTATGGCAGTGGCTAAGATAATAGCAGCGCCGCTGGATACCAGACGCAGACGCGCATATGAAGCAACTTACGACTCTCGTAGCATTTCCGTGATAGATTTTCTACGCTTTGACGAATGGAACCGAGGAGGATATGCACTCCCGGTAAATATATGAAGTTCTACGGCTTCAGGAATGTAATGAGACCTTATGATGATATAATATCACAGCGGTATTCATGCAGCACTGTACGAATTTGCGCTGTCAAGCAAACTCTGGTTTGTAACCAAAAGTCTCGTCCAATCTTTCGAAGCCAGAGAGCTGGGTTACCTCCACGTCGATTTAAGCCGCATGGCACAGTAAGGCTTGGTTGCAAAGTGAAGCACTCTGTATCAAGATCTGAAGGCAGAACCATAAGCCGCAGTTCCCCGCTTATAAATCCCACCCGTACCGACGCACGTAGCCCCTTGACGGCATATGCGGCGTCGTTTTGTTCGAGAAGGTAACACTCTGACTAGCCTGTAATCTGGTGAAATATCAGGACCGGGCTGCTAGCTCCTGACAATCGATTGAGAGCTGATAGATAAGGCCTGGCCACATGAATGGCCAGCTTGGAGCATGATCAGGAAATGGACCTGCACGTATAGACCAACACCAAGCTGCCTCGTGGTCAAACTACTCTTCAGTCTACTGAGGCGGCACTCGAAGACATTAAGGTAGTCCGAATGATTCTTCCTTTCTAAGCATGGCCCCATCCATTCCAAAGTAGTATCTGCATCTCGTCAATCAGACAGAAAGCTCCATTCTCAACCACGCCCGGCTTCTGAGCTTTCCACTCCCTTGCCGTCTTTGCTACTGCTCTGCGCTCACGATACAGATCCGAAGCATGGAACCAGCGGATGAACCTATTCCTCCAAATTCCAATCACAATATCCAGGCTAGAAGGCCAGGTCCCCGAATTGGCGCTATCGTATGCAGTGCCATTATAGCCTACTCGCACTTGTGGGTTGACCCAGACACCTCTGTCCGCGGAAAGTGGATTGTCGGCATGTATGAGGCAAGACTCCGAGCCTTCGAGATGCGCTCTTGCGAGATCATCTGGCACACCTCTGAATAAGAGCGGGGAGTGGATATCATAAAATGGCGCAGCATCAAAAGCTAGCATGCCATTCCAGCAACTGGCCACGGGTACTGGGAGGCTGTGTTTTATTGCTTTCCGTGACATGGCACTCTGAAAGTACGGCCAAGTGTCCATCAATGGAGCGTAGCCGTCAGCATCTCGGAGAGCGAAGGTGTCGTAGAATGCTGGTGCTTGCTTGAAGTCCAGGGCGCAAGCTGCAGCATAATTACCGTTCCGGGTCGCCAGCAGAGCCCGGACGTCTTTCGTCTGGTATGTTGTGAGCTTACTGTACACCGTAGCAGCGACGTATTACTGACCGTGAAAACAACATCGTTCAGCCAGAGCACTCTATCATACGTGATACCTTGCTTCTGCTGCTCATACAGAGGATGCATGACCAAATTACGGAGCCTCGCGAGATAGGGAATCCTTCTGGGCACCCACTCGTCCTTCTGCAGCGTAAACCACTCGGTCCAGTTTTGACGATAGGACTTCGTTGCCGGCATCTGGATCCATCCTGAAGCCGCTGGTGGCCTGCTGACTTCGTCCAGATGTGTCGTTTCGTCTAACACGACCTTGTGCGGAATGTTGTGAAGAACAAGTTCGTCTTGAAGCTCGCGCAGAGCACCCTTCGCATCGTCAAGACTGCCACTTTCGTACACGCTCACGAAGACGTTAGATGGGCCGATTTCTCTGGCTAGCTCGACCACAGACGCAATCCAGTAGTCTCTGAGGACGAGCTCATCGGTCCAGTGGAGGCTGGCTATGAAGACTTTCTGGTCCCCAAATAGAGGCACATCGACGCCAGCTTGTTGACGAGCCGAGCGTCGGACAGTCCATAAGTCGAAGCAGGTCCAGAGAAGTAGGAGCGAGAGTACTGTCTGTAGGCCTCGGCGAAGCGCGACCTTACGGACTCGAGGTCTTATGATCATGGTGTACAGCAACACATTTCCTCCGCACCTCTCTCATTCGTGGTGTCGACTCCATGCATCCGCACGCGCAACGCGCGTTCTGTAGAGAAAGGGATAGGGATGATTCAGCATTCTGCAGCGAGACAGGATATGCTTAAGCTTTGCACTAGCTTTACTGTTGTCTATTCGTTACACCTGCGTCATAGAACTAAACATTTTGATGGACACTCGAGGTATGTACCATGTGTTGCTTAGACTTCTCAAGTCCTGTGCTTTTCATTACCATCGGATACATGCATCGACCTCAGCTATCGTAATGGCTCGTATGGCAAGTGTGTATCGCATTCGGATCGCTTGTGACGATCCGGAGATTATACGCAGCGCAGTCCTCAACGTCGCCACGCTGAACTTGTCCCTGGATCTCGTCAATTGTCCCTTGGATCCGCTATTCGACCCTATGCCTGCTCGATGGACGATCCACTCGATATCTCTCGCTTGACTGCCAAGGTATTCCATCACGGCCTCATTGTCGGCGTGCTGGCCCCCATACGAAAGCGCTACGGTATTGCGCAGCACCCGCAAGAAGAATGGTAATTGTGCTCCGTATGGCTTGCTGAGTCCACCGGCTTGGTAGAGGAAACGCTTGACGCCTTTTCGTCTCAATGCAGGTACTAGCTGATCTCGCACGAAAGCCACGTTGATTTTTGACACGCTCCGCGCGGCTGCATCGCCTAGCATGGCGACTACAAATTCAGTGCCGCGGACGAGCTCGTCCAGGTAGGTGATCTCATCCGTGACTGAGCCTTGCTTGACATGGAGATTTGAGTTCTTGCGAAGATCCGGATCGAGACGGCTTGGGTTCCGTACTACTGCACGCACGACATGGCCGTGTTCAAGGGCAAGCGAAACGAAGTGGCGCCCCGTGCCTCCAGTCGCGCCAAAGACGAGAAAGATGGAAGGTCCCGGCATGGTTGGGAGATGCTTTCGTTTTCGCTGAAGAGGCTGTAGTGCGCGAGAGTGGACGAGAGGGAAGCGAAGAGGTGCAGTGCTGCGTTTCATCATATGGGACAGACGGTCTCTTATAAGCCTCGTGTGGTGCTCACATAATGGCCATTATTCTTGTCTCGACAATCTGCGACCCACTTACCAGTAGTGAAAGAAATCCAAGGCTAACCCGCTTTCGTATCACAGTTCGGAGACTTGAGGCTCGGTTCAAGTAATGTTTGACCTCAATGCAGCAGGCACATTTTGCTGGCGATCCGGCACGCATTTGAGCGACGTGCTCAAGATACATAGATGGCGGAGATGATATCGGTCCGTATGGCGTAAACGTGCACAGCTCACCAAGCATCTCAACAGCGGAGCAGCAAGATTGACCGCCGAGCACTCGAGATTGCTTGTATCAGCTTCAGATCATGAAGATCAGATCAGTCTATGTACACTCCTATACAGTATAACAAGCTTCAGTCTATATGTCGCTACAATCTTGGGCATATCGTACCTCTAACAAGACCTCATTCTAGACGCGATAATCAATGGCGCAAGATCGTAATTCGGTTCAAGAAAGGAACCCGATGTCCTTCCAAAAGGCTATATAGCCCAAAGCACATTTCTCGTCAACAGGTCCCACTGCGGCCAGCGTAGGGGAATGCTCTCTTGCATGAAGAGTATCGAGCAATAATCCACCGCAAGACATTCGTAGGAAGTTGTTGTCCAGAAACTCGATCAGCTTACACGCAGGATTGTCCCTCTCCACCGAGCCAGGAAAAAGGCGTACTCTCGACGCCCACTCCGAGTATGGTACAATCTTATTCTGTGGTATGTCTAGCGCCGAAGCCCATGTCCTTACCATATCTCTCCACGGCTGCCGGACTGGATTGTCGATGTGGTATATTGGGTATGGCGTCGAGGCGTTTTGCGAGAGTAGGTCCGTCAATGTTCCAGCTACTTGATCGACCGGTGTCCACGAGAGTATGCCATCCAAATCTGGAAGATAGCGCAAGGTCTGTGACGACTTGACCAGGAAACTCAGATGTTCTTGTGTGTTCCAGTAGCCGCTTGTACTGCTTCCTGCTACCTGGCCCAATCGTACGCTCATGGTACGAAAATTAGACGGGTGTCTGCCCAAAGTAGCTCCAAGCAGTAGTTCGCAGACATATTTGGCGTCTCCGTAGCCCATCGGCAGTACTGACTCAACCTGTACTTGCTGTTCCGGGACCAGTGACTGACCAGTGAGGAATGGATGATGTCCAACCACAGCAATTGATGAGATGAACTGGAAAGTGATTACTCTTGAGGATACTGCTCCAGTATCGTGACAGAGGTCGATAAGGTTGCGCATAGTCCGGAACTGAGGCTCGAATCTGTGTAGTGGCCTCTCGTAACTCATTGGCCAAGCATTGTGAAGAACTATCGTCGATTGTCAGTCAGGACTCTTGGTGGTTGAACGAGGCCTCGCAGTGTCGCAACTTACCGTGGGTGACAGAGCTGACCAGGTCTTGATAGACTCCCTCTTTGAGACCAAGCATGGGTTTCGCTGTATCGCATTGCAGTACCTGGAGCTTCGATAGATCCTCAATACTAAGCTCAATCCTGTGGTCTGCAAACGCATCGATCTGCCGAGCATCGGGCTTGGCTCCACGTACCTCTCGATTCAGGCAGATGACGTTTGTTATGTGTGGTAGGGTAAGCAAGTGTGAAACTATATGGCTTCCCACACTGCCAGTCCCTCCCGTAACCAAAACTGTGATAAGATTGTCGACCTCGAGTCTATTGGAGCCGGTAGGTCCAATGAAGTCATGCGAATAGCTCTTCACGTACTCATCGACGGCAAGACGTCGAGCTGCTGTCTCGTCGGTAGCATCTGTTACCCTGTCGTTTGCGGGTAGATCACCACGACTGTACCTGGGAAATAGTCAGGACTGACAGACTCAATGGGCTATCGCACATACTGCGGGCCTGATGCCGTGGCGATAATGATTTTCTGAAGGCAATTCTCTGCACAGTCTCCATCAGTCCAGTCAACATGGCCATATCCAGCTGCATGCAGCTCTCTTTCCCAATGCTTCTCGCTAGATAACGCATGTGAACGGCCGTCATCGAAAAGCCACCATCCTTCCAAGAGGCCAAAGATCAGATCTAACCACTGCTGTTGATCGGTCAACTCCAGCAACAACAGAAAACCATCCGGCCTCAGCAACTTATGGATGTTGCTCAACGAGACCGATAGGCTGTGTGTGGCATGTACAGCATTACTGGCGACAACCAAATGCTGTGAGCTCATCAAGTCGTCCGACGGAGGTTTCTCGATATCGTGGGTGGCGAATCTCATGAAGGAATAGGCTTTGTACTTCTTCCGAGCTGCTGCAATAAAGGACGGTGCAATGTCCGTGAAAGTATATTCCACAGGCACCCCAAGCTCGGCGAGCAGCGGCACCAAGTAATTTGTGGTACCTCCTGTGCCAGCACCCAGTTCGAGAATCTTGAGCGGTGGAGAGTTATCAGGCAGACGCGAGACTAGTCTTCTGAGAAAGTCCTGCATCTGAGTGTAGTACAGCTTGAAGAGCGGCGAATCGCTGTAGAATCCTGAGACCAAGCTGCGACCCTCCTCTGAGCCAAAGATTACCTTCACGCCATTAGTCTCACCCTTGAGGATATCGACAATATGGCAACCACAGTGGTAGGTAAGACGATTTGCGAGCTCATGACTCGGAAAGGTGGCGATAAGCTCGTCGAAGATAATCTTACTCGACTTGACTGGCACGCTGACGTTGGTGCGTGTGATCATGCCGCCATCAAGATTGATTAGATGTGCGTCAGATTCCAGTACACCGTAGAGGAAGTTCACATATCGTTCATGCTGCGGAGCATAAGGGATGCGCCGCAGGGATTCGCCAGCGTTCGCAGTATTCAATGAACAGCCGAGTTGTTCTAATGCTTCGATGATGAGGGCCACACAGAGCTGTATCTGCTTCGGCTGAACGTCAACCAAGTATTTACTGCAGCCAAAATCTTCGATAAACTGATCGGTGCGTAGTCTCGACCCAGAAAATGCTTCCAAGATTGCTTGAGAGAAATTTAAGCCTACAGTCTGCTCCTGTCTGTAAGGACGGCTGAGCTCGAAGGTATCGCTTGTGGCCGAGTGTGGCGTGTTAAATGTGGGGCTATCGACGTCGTCCATGCCCTTGGTGCCGAACATCTTATCGGAGTCGACGGCGCCATTGGACCCACCGCTATTCTCGAGCCCATCTGTTCCCACCGCAGCTGCGATAGCATTAACAACGTCTTGAACCGTATCTGCTTCTGCCAACTGCTCAATCTCGTAAGAGATCTTGAATGAGGACTTCATTGATCGTGATATCTCCATTGACATGAGAGAGTCGATGCCTATGTCCGCAAGCCTGGCCGCTGGGGTAATGAGCACCGGCTCGACCCCAGTGAGCTCTGACAGGATCTCAGCGATGTCAGACAGGAATTTCACCCTGGCCTGACCCGGTCTTGCCTCTCCAATCGAAGCTGGTGGATCGATCGCACTTGCCGCTGCATTAAGGTTGTTTGGTGCTGCCAGCGCTTGTAATACACTTGGATGGGTCGAGTTTTGCTTCAGCTCAACATTCCCTGGTGACACTCCCTGTATTGATCGTGGAGGCGCTGCAACCTCACCACTTGAGCCAACCGCCGAAAACTGGGCGAGAGTCTTGGCCATGACCGCCTTGGGCACGCGTATAAATTTCATGCCGAGGATGACTTCACAAAGTGTACCACGCTCAGCATCGTATACGAAGATGTCGGTCGTGTAAGACTTGTCCGGGGCCTGGTTGTGAACGGCCATAACATCCCACACTGTTGTGGCAGCCTGCGGCTTTGCAGATGGCAAGCTGGGCGCCCTCATCCAAGACTCAAAGCCGGCAGCAATATACATCTCGGTCGGTATACGCTCCGTCATTGAATTGACCCAGAAGCCAGCAACCTGACAGAAACAATCGGTCAGATGAGCATCAAGCCAAGTCGCATCAGAGCGCTTCTTGTTGATGCGCCCAGCAGACATGTTATCTTTTCCGACTATCTTGCGGAGGTTCTGATATTGTGCTGCGTATTCGACGATCTCGGAGAAGATCTTGTATATGTTGCGGCCTTGGACAATATCATCTGGGTCCTCGCATTGAAGCAGGTTTGTACATCTCCTGTGGTTCATCAAGCGTCCATAGCGAGCGAAATCATTGCCATATTTTTGGTCATTAGTCGGCCTCATGGCGATCGAGCCTTTGACATGAGATGTCTTGTGCGAGCCACCTGATGCAGTACTACTCATGTCCCACTGCCACGTACGGCTGCCCACGCTCGCGATTTTCAGATCTATCCAGAGGGCACGGGCAGGGTTCATGCATACTGGCGCTTGGTTTGTCACATCGAATAACTCTGGCTGCATATCCTCGAACCCGAGATCGTGGCGGAGACTCATCAGCGCTTCGATTACGATGTCAAGTTGCACTGTGGCAGGACAGATGGCGGCTGTGTTCGCGATAACGTGGCCAGAAACCAGGTCTTCGTATTTCTTGATCATGGTATTAACTCTGAATCGGGCATGCGATTTGGCCTCGTCTTGGTAGCCCACGAAAGTGTAGAGTTCAGTAGGCAACTTTTCCGTATTAGAAGCCTTAGTCATGGCATCGCCTTGATGGTCAGGACTGCGCTTCTTGATTTCCAGCCAATGGCGGGATTTCTCGAATTGATATGGTGGAAGCAAAACAACATCGTAAAGCCTTGATTGGGATGCATGGTGACCCCAGTGATGGGAAGTAAGTCCGGCGGTCCACAGATCTGCAAAATGATCCATCATGTTCTGTGAGCCATTTGAGTGACAGATATTGAGTGCCTGGAAATATGACGACGGTGGACGACCCAATGCTTGGCCCGCTAAATTCGTGATGGTAGAATTAGAGCCTGCTTCGAGCCAGATTGCAGACGGAAACTTCTTGTGTAGTCTTTGAGCGGCATGGTGGAAGTAGACTGGCTGGCGCATATGTGTGGCGAAGAAATCGCGTTTCACATTGCGCTTCTCCTCAGCTTCCGTCGCGCGTTCCCAGAGAATCCGCGGTCGGGTGAAAAGTGTGTCGTCTCCAAGGGCTGCGAGTCGTTGCTTCAATGGATCTACCAGACTCGAATGATAGGCATTAGCGACGTTGATGATCTTGCATCTGAGTCCCGGCATTGTACGAGCCGTAGTCTCCACGGCTTTGATCGCTGCGCTGCTTCCCGCCAGAGTAAAGTTCTGTGGTCCGTTGAAGCAGGCGATGTTCGCCGAATCCTCGGAAGGATTCAGAGTATGGACGCGGCGGAGCAGGTCGTCCACGCTCGAGAGCTCAGCCTCGATAGCAATCATTGCTCCCGTATCCGCGCCCCAGGACTGCTTCACCAAACGAGCCCTCGCGGAAATGATATGGAGTGCCTCTCTCAGCGTGACTATGCCAGATATACACATAGCAGTAAGCTCCCCAAAGCTATGTCCTACCACAGCTGTGACCGGGATGCCAACGTCGATCCAGCACCTGGCGCAAGAATACTGAAACGAGAAAAGCGTGGTCTGCAGTTTGACGACGTCTGTCATCGGCAGTTTCTCGAAGATCGCTGGATAGATGCTATCGCACCCCATCGATAGAAGTAGCTTGTCGCACGTATCGAGGTGAGTTCGCAGGAGACCATATCGATCATAGACTTTTCTGTCGAGACCGATCATCTGGGACGTCTGACCACCGAAGCAGAGTATAACTGGGCGGTAGGCTTTCTTTGGCACGAGCGTGCTAGCCATCCCGTCACCGACAAACGTCGAGAGCTTGCTCTCCAGTTCAAGTATCGAGGACGACAGGAAGATCAGACCCAGCGGAAGTGTCCTGCTGGATTGTCGAGCCAGACTGTAGGAGATATCCGCGAGCAGCAGCTCTTTCTCAGTCGTCCTTTGCTTCTTGATGAGATCAAGTAGACGTAAGCAATAAGCACGGAGGCCACGCTCATCTGCACCTGTAATCCAAAACAGCTCACCAGCACTTGAAACGGAGGGTGCTTTGCTCCGCCAAGGATGTGCTTGAGAGATGATCATCGATGCATTAGATCCAGCCGCGCCGTAATTGTTGATCAACGCCGCTCGATACGCAGCGTCCCATGGTTTCAGATGTGTCCCAACAGTAATCATGTCGTCAGGCGTTGCTTTCAAACCTGGGCTCAGTGATCTGAAACTCGCTTGTGGTGGAATGTACCCATGGTGAAGCGCAAGTAAGACTTTGATCAGTGCCACGACACCAGAGGCACTCTCCGTATGGCCAAGAAGACCTTTAACAGAACCTAGATGCAGAGGCGCAGATCTGCGTGCCCAACCACCGAGGGCGCGACGGACGCTCTCGTACTCTGCTGGATCACCGATCGGCGTTCCCGTGCCATGTGCTTCGACTATTCAGCCTGTCAGTAGATTATACGGCGTGGCAGAGAAGCTATAAATACCCAGTGTGATGTCCTCCGGAGTCAAGTGGGCCTTTGTAATCACATCTCCGAATAACGTTGATAGGGAAGTAGCATTGGGAACAGTGATCGGCGTGCAGTTGTCGTTCTGGAATACTGCTGTACTGCGGATGCGCCCCAGAATCGTATCACCATCTTGCACCGCTTGGCTCATCTTCTTGAGGAAGACACACGCGACTGCCTCACCACGGCAATAGCCGTCGGCGGCTGCATCGAAGGGCTTGCAAGCACCGGTAGGGCTCAAGAACGAAGCACCAGCCAGGTTCTGGAACCATAGAGGACTGGTGATGATGTTGACTCCGCCTGCTAAGGCGGCTGTGCATTCGCCACTCAGTATTGATCGACAGGCCTGATGAATTGCTACTGCAGAACCCGAACATGCCGTATCGACTGTGAGTGAAGGGCCAGACCAACCGAAGTAGTGGCTGACCTTCCCCGTGATGAACGCTCGGAGATTTCCTGTCGCCGAGTATGCATTGGCCGGGTGGCATGCGATGTTCGTCTCATAGTCCACAGCACCAACGCCTGCGAAAACCCCAACTCTGCGGTCGGTATTAGGGTTGTTAAAGTAACCAGATTGCTCGACAGCTTGATACGCTGACTGTAGGAAAAGCCTCTGCTGTGGGTCTTGTGAGGCTGCTTCGATAGGTGACTTTCTGAAGAATCTGATTGCATCACATCGTGTCAGTACAACATGCAAAGCTGACGTAGACACTATCAATACTCACTTATGGTCGTATGCGTCCGGGTCCCGTAGAAAATTGCCATACCATCTCCGCCTATCATCGAGGCCTCGCCACTGGGTTTCAAACGATACGCGAGACTCAGGCACCTCGACGTGTTGAGATTCCCCTCGACAAATGATCTCCCATAATTCATCGAGGTCATCCGCGCCAGCGACTACGATCCATATCAGCCCCGAAAATCGAAGTCTGCCTTCGAAGTAATGCTTACCTTTACAAGCCATGCCTACCACAGCAATGTCATCATGAGACTCCTTCGGCTCCGAGTACGCAAGAGCAGAAAGTCGTCTGCTTGCCCCTGGCTGGTCGGTCATGCGTGTAACGTGCTCCTGAACATGCCGTAATATCGACGGCGGTACACACTTCTCTTCTCCGAACACCAGGGTTGAGCTGGCAGGACTTCGCGCCTGGTCCACTACACTGTGCTGATACGTGGAGAACCAATGGCATCGTTCCACCAAGATATCTCTGATCGCAACTCCATGCAATTTGCCATGCAACACCTGCTCTGTCGTAGTAGTCGAGGGCAGTGAAAATGGATTCTTTTCTGCATCTCGAAATTGCAACTCCGGATGGGCATCGCAGAAGTTGGCTAGTTGCTCAGCGGTCTTTCGGTGACCGTTCCAGTGATATCTACCACGAAGATCAATTTCGTATGCGACTATTCCATCGTCCTTCAGCACTCGAATGAGATCTGATAGCTTCTCGGAGGTGGTCGTTATAGTAGCTCGGTTCTCATCGTAGTCAACAGAAATGTAAGACTCTTCATCCTGCGCAAGCGTAATGTCGAGCTTTTGCTTTTGTTCCGGTGTGCTCCACACTGCCGCGAGAGAGCCTGATGGTGAGGATGAGTGATCGGCCGCATCAACCACAGCTCCGATCAAAGCTCCCAGACGTACAGCGACTGCGCCATAGCTTTGGAATTCTGCTTGACTGTTCGACGAAGCAATCGCCAGCGCACTCAAGAAGCCGGTGCAGAACCCAAGCACCTGAAGCGGGCGAAATAGACAGCTCCAGGGATCGACGGTCGAACACGAATCAGAGTTTGCCGCATCGACGAATTGTGAGTACTGGCAGAGATGATCGAGGATAACGAGTGGAGTCAAGACCGCGCTCGATAGGTTGTCCACATATGGCACTGTAGCATCCGTGTCTAGCCACTCCAATATGCTTCTGAGAAGCGCAGGTGCTGTGCTATGCGCTGTCCCCTGTGTATTACTTTGAAAGAGCTCTAGATAATGCGGTAACTCCTGGATTGCCTGGCGCATCCAGTGATTGTGTCGACGGTCGTTGATGAAGGATCGGAGTCGATTGAACCATTCCTCCGAGAAGGACAGCGTCTGAGGACCGAAGACAAGAGTGATGACAGCCGGATCCCGAGTCTGAGTGGCCTCCATGATGGCAGAGGCGCCTCCACGAGCGGCTGCCGTTGAGTTGGTGAACTTGGAGAAGCAAGGTTCGCGGTGAGCACTGGTAAGCGACCTTTAAGGATCTGCCGTTCGCGCTATAAGATAGACCAACGCTATGAAATGCAAGCACCTACAGGGAATGTGTACGGCCAATCATGGTCATGCACCTGCAATGTCACTATCGTCCACCGGGCCCATTGCCCCTTCTAGCCATATGTTCTTGGCCAGAGGACAGCAGGCTAGGTGCGGCAGGATGCGGTCAAGAGAGGCAGACCTGCTTGCTGCGCTAAGGCCCGACGTCCGCGTGGTTTTCTAGCGTGAAGTTCAGTGTGGTTTACAAACTCTCTGAGTGACGAAAGCCGGGCAGCGGGCCGCGGCACGTGACGTGATACGCCACTTCCGCGAACCCCACCTTCTATAAAGCCCTCCTCACACTTGCACCAACCCGCACGCACGAACACGAATCGAAACTCTCCGCTCAGATACATCAGCACTACCAATCACACCCGCCATTCCCAGCACATAATCCGAGGAACCACATATCAATCAGTAACAGACCTCGAAAACCCGCGGACAGCAGAACTTCAGGTGCGTAGCAGACCCTTTGCAGCCTTATCGCGCTGGCTGAATGATAGCCGCCACGCTTACACCGTGACTGACTGAACGTGTTGAGCAGCGTCTTTTATGACTTCCATCGAAAACCTCAAGTCTTTCGACCCCTTCGCCGAGGCCGATGCGGATACCGGAGACTCTACCAAGCAGTCGCAGAACTACATCCATATAAGGATTCAGCGTGAGTACAGCCTTGCCTCTAAAAAATCTCCACTATTACTCATCGTGGCCTCCTCTGACCTACATCCACCCTACTCCACTCACTCACGACGGCCTTCGCGCCCTCCACTACTCAGGCTTGGAACACACTTATTGACACATCCCTCACAGAGCGCAATGGTCGCAAAACCCTGACTACCGTCCAAGGCCTCCCAAAGAAGTTCGATCAGAAGAAGATCCTCAAGGTCATCAAGAAGAAGTTCGCTTGCAATGGCACTATCGTGCACGACTCGGAGATGGGCGAGGTGATTCAATTGCAGGGGGACCAGCGCAAGGATGTGCAAGAGTTCCTCGTGGACAAGAAGGAAGGATTGGAGCTAGATGCCAAGACCATCAAGGTCCATGGTTTCTAGCTGCCTTCAGCAGACGGCAAGCCTGCTTCGGACCGCGTCGCTGGAAGTTCAACTTCGGGCAAGATTCACATGCGTGCTGCTGGCGGCACAGTGCTCTGCTGTGCCACCACGTGACATGCACGTCACACGAGGCTAAACGACAGGCGGCGAGCATGACATACGACAGTCATGCAGCAGGCAGGCGGAGACCAGGCACTAGAAGGGTACCAGTATCTTACAACTTCAGTACTGTTTCCTGAATTTTGGAGCATTACTATATGCGTGCTTTTGGAGGAGGAGAATGGGACGGGGTCTGAAGCTTCCGGCCATGTTGAGAGTGTGGACGGTCGTCGAAAGAGGAAGGAGCGGTAGCAGTTATTTTAGCTTTCGATAGGGTACTATCTGAATGCTTCTCTACAGCCAAAGTCACATCATCTTATCAAACCCGCGATTCATATTTTACACCGGCTTACGCATGTTTGTAGTATACTCTACATCTCATCCGCATAGGCCAAGACTTCGTCGTTGCCAAGACCGATATGTCACAGCAGAAGCGGAAGGCTATATTACACCATTACACGATACTCCTCAGACCTCATTCTGATACAGCTGCATCAGACTCTTACGGCCCTGCTTCTTGACCTTATCCAGCGTAGTCTCCTCCACCGTCCCCCACACGATCCACGGACCCTCCTTGCCCTTCCTCAGATTCTTCTGTACAACGAGATACTCGATCGTCTCCTTCGCGCCCTCCGGCACACCAACCTCCGCCTGCTTCTTCACAAACTCGTCCAGCGGCGTCTCCCGCCCCTGCGCATCCACCACAACCTCCCTCACCGTCATCTTTCCACGCTCTCCCCTCTCCGAAATCTTCTTAACATGCTGCAGAGACTGCAACGAGTGAATCCTAACCACCGCCTGCACCAACCCACTCGCATCCGCCAGCGTCGCACCCTTCTGCCTCGGCATAGCAGCAGCCTTATAACTCATCCTCTTGGGACTGGAAAGGTACCTATGCACCGTCCACAACAACCTCGTATTCGGCGCCCGCTGCGCCATCCTCCTCTTCAAACTCCCTAACATCCCGTCGCAGATCCTCCCCTCCATCGGCGTCAGATCACCCGCTGCAAACCGCTCGTACATCTCTCGATGCAAGTCCTTCGCTATCCCCGGGATCTTGCCCAGTTCTAACCTCGGACGCGGCCGCACCATGAAGTATCGATACATGACCGCGCTGAAGAATTCCACTGAGCGGAGCTTGAGCTTCCGCTTCTCCATGACCCAACGGCCGTTGAAGTTGGTGAACCAGGATGGTAGGTTTTTGCCGCGAGGTTGGATGAAGGTGTCCGGTAGGAGACCGAGATCGTTGGGTATTTGGCCGGCGCGCATGGCTTGTTCGCGAGCCTTCTTTAGTTGGATGGACATGCTTGGAGCAGATTTCTGGCCGCCGGCTGTGGGTTTGACTGGCTTGCCCATGTTGCCTGCATGGCGTTGGGATGAGGAGGCGAAGGTGCGCCTGTGGTTGATGCGGCCATGCGGTCTCGAGGTGTGGATGTCATCGCGGAGATGGAGGAGGAAGGGTGTTGAGGACAAGCATCTTTGTGCCGTCACTCGCTCGCAGGTACTGTGCAGTGTATGCAGCGTCCGGGCGAGTGATCTTGACATTTGTGTATGTGTGATATATTCTTTTAGAGAGGCGACCCTGCGACTTTTGGGATGCATACCCGGAGTTCGCGACACGGAGTTAAGCTCTGACCACCACAGAGCCATAGGGTGGTGGTGAGGTACAATCGCCTCTTCAGGAACAGATCTCTAGCATGAAATGATGAGCCTCCATCTCACTCACATGAAGCCTGCCTTGCCGACGAGAGAGAGTCGGTAGTTGATAATGAAATAGCATATACATGGGTTCAACAGACCGAATGAGTATCCCGACCGCTCGCCAATACTCCTCGCTGAGACAAACAAAACCACCCCTACCCAATAATATCGTGCACCACCCAAAGACTAGCTTCTAACACGACGTCCTCACGTTCTAGAACTCACCGTCAGTCTCTCGGGAATGGCACTGAAAGCAAGAGTATACATAGAACCGCCTCATCGTCTCGTTGCTTTCTGCTTTGCCTGCCCACCGTTCTCATTTGATCACGGGAAATTCGATCCAGGAATCTTTTGCTTGATACTCTCGGCGATTTTCCTCTGATGAAAACCTCGAGTAGATTGCAGGTCGAACTCCTACCCCATCTTCATCCTCTTACTGCCATCCTGCTGCTGCCCCCCTTGCATGCCCCCATTATTCGGGCTACCTCCACCATAACCATTCCCATTCCCGTTGCCATTCCCATAACCTCCCTGCCCGCCGCCAGCATTCCAACCTCCCATTCCGCCACCACCACCACCATTATTCATCATCCCACCCATCCCCATATTCATCCCACCCATACCACCAAACCCACCTCGACCCATATTGCCCATATTCCCCATGTTCCCCATCATACCTCCTCTCGCCATATTCCCCATAGGAAACCCCATGCCCATACCCGCCGCCATCATAGGATTGAAACCGCCGTTACCGCCTCCAAACCCACCTCCACCCATCCCATTCATTCCCCACCCACCATTACCATTTCCCTGCTGGGACTGCTGATTCTGTTGCATACCGCCCCGCATACCATTATCATACCCTCCACCACCTCCACCGCCGCGATTATTGAACCCACCACCTCTACCTCCAAACCCGCCTCGATTCCCACCGAAACTGTTATACGCCCCACCCCTCCCACCCCCCTGCGCACCAAAATCCTTCTTCCCAGCCCCCGCACCCGAACTACTCACCCCACTCACCCCCTTAAACATATTCCCCACCCCGACAAACCCAACCTTAAACGGGCTCTTCCGCACACCACTCCCATCCCTCTCCTCCGCTCCCGCCTCAACCACCCGCTTCACCGCCGTCGCCGCCTGCGGAGACGAAAACTCCAGATAAGCTTCTCCTTTACTCTTCCCGTTGATTTTGTGCTCGGCGAAGGAGAGGTCCTGCAGTTCGGACTCGGAGCCAGCTTTGCTGCAGAGGCCACGCAGGTCTTCTTCTGTAGTCCACCAGTGGAGGTCGGCTAGTTTGAGGGCGGGGAGGGCGGCGGGGTCGAGAGGTCGGTCGTCCACCCAGTTTGGGTTGGCTTGCTCGTTTTGTTGATCCTCCTCAGTGGGGGCTTTCCGTTTGAGGGAGGGTTGTGGGGTTGAGGAGGGTGGTTGTGCGGAGGTAGTTTGCGTTGTGGTGCTGTTGTCGTTGGTCGATGGTGTCTCTTCTTGCTTTAATGATCGAGGTTGTGAAGGTGCTGCGGCGGCGGGTTCTAGTTTGGATGCTGGCTCTGCTTCTCGTTCGGGTTCGGCGGCCTCCGGTTGCGGCTCATCGTCGCCGTAGATGTCGATCTCAAAGGTATCGTCGTCGGCCGACATGGTAGAGGCTACTTCACAGCTTGATTACGGGGCGAGGTGTGAGGTTGTAAGGTCAGAAGGGTTCGAGTTGTCATGTGCTTTTGCCTGATAATCTACACTCTCGCCGTCTCTGATCGCAAAATACACATTAGAACAAGGTGATGCAGAGTGCCACGCCATGCCATGCCTTGTCGTTCCACTGTCGTTCCACTCCCACCATTGTTCATCATGCCATTGCCACTCAACATGTTCATACGTACAATTTTGACAGGAACAAGAGGCGCAATGCCTGAGGTATGATATGAAAACAGCTCGACCGTGTGCAAGAATGCAAGAACAATCTCTCCTCTCCCTTGTTCCACAACCAGTATACAAGTACCCTTCTCTTTCCCTTAGCTGGTATCCTCGTTCGCTCGTATTGTGGGTTCTGATGAACGGCGAATGACGAGCAAGGTCAAGATCGTGTGAGTGTCGTTGTCGAGGAGAATGGCTGGAGAGCTGTTATTTAATGAATAACATAAGTCAAAGAGAGGGTCGCAAGGCTGAGAGCTTCACAGTTCAACAAGAGTGGAGTGCCTAAGGCCATCATCACTTTCACAAGCCCATGCTCGCCGCGGAGGAGCCAAATATATGCGCAGCAAGAGCAAAACATTCACACCGCGACAAGAGCGCTTGATTGCGTTTGGCTGTATGGATGTCGTTCTGGGACAAATACCTAGCACCAGGTGACATCCGCAACCCCCCCTCCAAAGCCACAAGGGGTCCCGCTCCACCAACCAAAGATGCATCCACTCAAGTACTAACGAAACCCTTCCGCGTGGACGCCGCGACCCGCCAGCGTCGCCAAGACGCCACCTTCTACGGCGGCATCCTCTTCACACTCCTCTCCCTCCTGGTAACCCGGCGGGCTCTCCGCCGAAAACTCCTCACCGCACACCCCCCGACCCTTCCGCACGGCGTCCCGACCGCTGCAGGCGTCGCAGGGCCCCCTAATCCCGTCCCTAAAGCCCTTGATTCCGGCCCGCTAGACGCCATAGAAGCTCTCGGGTTAGCGACGCTCAACGTCTTCAGCGTGGCGATGTTTGGGCTCGGGTGCGTGATGAAGGGTTTTAATGTAGCGGATCTGGAGGATTTGCGGGATGGGGTGCGGAAGGGGGTGGGGTTTGATGTTTATGGGGGTCAAGTGGAGTCCGAGGCGGATAAGGAGATGGAGGGGTGGGCGAAGGAGTGGTTGGAGAGTCGGAAGGATGGGCCGGCTATTGGGGTTGGCGAGTTAAAGGATGGGATTTTGGGCAAGTTGGCGGAGATTGAGGGGAGGGAGAGGGAGGGGAAGGCGGAAGGGAAGAGGTCGTGACAGGAATGCTAGATGTGTTTGTATATATATATGTCATACGAGCTTCAGTCCATGTACAGTATACCCTCACCTCTCCTCCTCCTCCTCACCTCCCAACCCTCCGCATCAGCTTGTCATCAGCTTTCAACAACAGGCACCCCAACCGCCCCATCCCGATTACTCCTCCACACCCCTCCATCCTCAAACCACTCCTCCTTCCAAATCTCCACCCGCTCCTTCACGTGCTCCAAACACTCCTCTCCAGCCAGCCAGCCAGCCTTACGATGCGGAGCCGACACAGCAATGATCACGCTTTCCTCTCCGATATCCACCCGACCTAGACGATGACTGATAGAGATCCCCACCAGCTCGTGTTTGGCTTTTACATCTTTGGCAATAGAGAGGAGGGTGCGGAGTGCGAGGGGTGGGTATGTGCTATATGCGAGATGTGTGACGGTTTTGGAGTGGAAGGTGGAGCGGGTGCAGCCTATGAAATGGAAAGAAGATGGGTACTTAGCCTATGCTCGGAATACTGTCAGTGGCGACGACAGTGGGCGGATGCGAGGTGGTTGTGTGTATGTACCTGCGAAAAGAACTACTGCTCCAGCTTCGCCACTCTTGACTCGGTTCATTGCTTTTGTGGCGTCGAGGGAGTCGTATGTGAGGGAGACGTGGATATTGTGTTCGGAGAGGGACTGTTCGCCTTCGAAGGGCTTTTGCGGGGTGCTGTTGGCAGCCATGTTGACTTTTATTGGTCGATGTTGAATGTATAGAACCCAACATATCTCGAGTCTCTCTCATCCAATGCCCCTCGGCGGGACGATCGGCGAATCCTGGACCCTGGATCCTGGAGAGTTGCTGACTCAGATTTGGTCAATGAATGTCACGAGGATGATCAATTAATTGTCGTCGCATTCACCACAAGCACAGCATCATCTGCATCAGCCTACCACCATGGCGACCCTACGCCCCACAGCCCGCCGCCTCATCTCCTCCGGCCTCTTCGACACCCGCGCCTCCCTCATCCCTCACAAACGCTCCTTCGCCACCGCCGTCTCCGACGTCCCACCCACTACCTCAACGTCCACCACACCCCGCCCAGCAACAGCCTTCTCCGACCGTCTCAACGCCGGCCCCTCCTTCAATGACTTTGTCTCCCCCAAACCCGCTGAAGAAGTCGCCGAAGACGAAGCCTACGAACTCCGCACAGTCCAAGTAGGCCCAGAGGGTCGGAAACGCACCCATACCCGCCTGCCCGAATGGCTGAAGACACCCATCCCCAACAACGAAAACTACAAACGCATCAAAAACGACCTCCGCGGCCTCGGGCTCCACACCGTCTGCGAGGAAGCCCGGTGTCCAAACATCTCCGACTGCTGGGGCGGCGACGACAAATCCGCCGCTACGGCTACTATCATGCTGATGGGTGATACCTGTACGCGTGGCTGTCGGTTCTGTTCGGTGAAGACGAGCCGTGCACCACCGCCTCTTGATCCACACGAGCCGGAGAATACGGCCGAGGCGTTGAAGAGATGGGGGTTAGGGTATGTAGTGATGACGGCTGTGGATCGAGACGATTTAGCAGATGGAGGCGCCCATCATTGGGCGGAGACTGTGCGGAAGGTGAAGCAGAAAGCACCAAATATCCTCGTCGAGACACTAACGGGAGATTTCGACGGACATCTGGACATGGTGAAGTTGGTCGCCCAAAGCGGCATGGACGTCTACGCCCACAACGTGGAAACCACCGAAGAACTAACCCCCTACGTCCGCGACCGCCGCGCCAAATTCCGCCAATCCCTTGCCGTCCTCGCCGCGGCAAAAGAAGCCCGCCCGAACCTCATAACCAAAACCTCCATCATGCTCGGTCTCGGCGAGACCGAATCCCAACTCTGGGCCACACTCCGGGAACTCCGGGCCGTGGACGTGGACGTCGTGACGTTCGGACAGTACATGCGGCCTACTAAAAGACACATGAAGGTCGAGGAGTATGTGACCCCGGCCACTTTTGAGCTGTGGAGGCAGAGGGCGTTGGGACTGGGGTTCATGTATGTGGCTTCGGGGCCGTTGGTGAGGAGTTCGTATAAGGCTGGAGAGGCGTTTATTGAGAATGTGATTAAGAAGAGGGCGAGGCAAAGTAGTTTGTTGGCTGCGGCGGCTATGGGGGATTTCAAGAGTTTGAAGGATGCTTGACATTTTTGATTTCGTCGGCCATCTTGTTCTAGGTGCTTGTTTATGTATGTGTTGCATGGCGCTGCATTAGATGGGATGGTTCATGCATATGGATGGTGTTCTGATATGCCGCGAGCGATTATATACTCAAGCGGAGGCTCAACGCCACTCGCTGTGTGTGTGTGGCACATATAGCATTGTACAACGACCTTCTACTACTACACCAAATACCTTCCACATCTAATTCGGCACCGGAGGCGGCGGCTGCGCACTCGTGCCCGCCGCGCCCTTCCCAGCTGGTCCCGGGGGCATGAAGAGTGGCATATAAGCCTATTCGTGCTCGTCAGCTATTGCTCTGTGAACATAACGCCGGGCTGTAAAATCAGTCGAGCAGGGGACGGGTTGCCGTGACGTACCGTTCCAAGCGATAAGATCGACATTCCGACCGAGAAGTACGAAGGGGTCGAACTCGCCGCCTTCTGCGCTGGGGTTTCGGAAAGCCAGCCTTGGATGGCGAAGAGCACGGCGGTCCAGCCTATCATCCTGTATTGTTGAGTTCTGGTCAGCATAACGCCGTTCTCGGCAATCAATAGCGCGTAGAGCGCGGAAGTCCTGTCGACTCGGATGAATAGATGATAAGGCTTACTTGTTCCGCGTGAAGATCTGATCAAGCGGGTCAGCATCATGTCGTATCTATCACATCCACACGTATCATCTTCTAGTTGGGGGCGAAGAGTCGAGTAGGACTTACGGCCGCCATGGGCAATGTACTCGCCAACGTGCCCTGCACATCCTGGTTGTCCTTTTCCGGAGCGGGTTCGGCGTAGGGTACGACTGTAGTGTCGCACAAAGGGCCGTTGTTAGCCACTATTCAGTCTTTTGCTTCACGAACGATCACTTGTGCATAGCGTGGCGTTATGTTGCCTGCGCGAAGGGCGGTTAGGAAACGTACTCAGGTCCTCTCGGCGCATGTCCTTTCTGTTCGCCATGATTGGTGATGTGTTGGCTGCTGGGCCCGTACTTTGTGCTTATCGGGATATGTGGTCGTCGGGCTGACCTTGTTGGTGTAGCACAATTGGGCCGAGATGTGCAGGTACAGTCAAGCTTTCGGAGAGATCTGGAGGTCCTTCGGGGTTATTGTGCATGTATAGTCTGCAGCTCTAGAGTTTCGTTCTACAAACGAGATGGGCTGCTGCCAAGTCTTAAGCGGTTCCGTCGCTTCTGGCCCGAGATGCCGTTCTTTGCCTGTCGGTAACTTCGGGAATGCGTGGGAGATGGACGATAAGCTTACACGTGTGCGGGAGGTCTCTTTTCACCACGAATATAACGACAACTTTACAGGCTCTCTTTGCCCAATATGGACGAGCAAAGCCGATGCGAGTTCGAGACTGTTCATAGCATGATGATAGAGATAGATAGCTGTAGTGATTATATATCAGGGCCATGCTGACGGGGACATGATCGCCCTAATCCCACGGACCGCGAGCCCGTTCGTGTATCACATCCGGCGGCCGTTGACGATCCTAGCTGTGGCTGACGACCCTCCTGCTGCCAGTAGTAGTGTAGTGTCACGGCTCCGCACGTCTCCTGCGTGTGCATCTTGCTCTCGCTATCACAGGGCACTACAGCTCTCAACGCCCTTGTTTGCTTTACACGACACTTGACACAGTAACCAGACCATGGACGACCTGCATGTAACGCCGGAAAGCTAACAGAATCTCGCGGATAACTGTGCCTTTTGAGGATTCTGGGTCTCAGTCTACTACCGCATGGTGAAGATGCGCGCGTTAGAGGCCCAGTGTCCCATGGAGTGTTATCGTGTGCTATGGACCATCGCAGGCCACTGAGTGCAGCAGCAACAACAACCCGACCTCTCCCGCCGCAGCGCGCCGTCAGCGGCAGCGCACTCTACTTTCCCAAGCCGATTGGTCGTCCTTCCCGTTTGAGCAGTGTCAGGTCTGTGTCGCAGTCGGCCGCGGGTGTGGTGGACTTGACGGCAGAAAGCGCAGGACGGAATCATGGCGGGGTGTTCGGAGAGCGTAGAGAGACATTGCTGGTGGGTTCGCCTGAAGTGATTGAGCTTGAAGATGAGGAGGAGCAGAGACCGGCGAAGAGAGCGAAGTTGGCGCCGGAGGAGGATGAGGATGAGGAGGCGGGATCTGCAGGGGCGAGTAGAGATGACATGGCACATGCTATTGTGCCCGGCGAGAAGTTGCCCAGTCTACCCAAACAGAATACCAGCAACTCCCGGTCCGTTCTGGCACGACGGCGTCGGTACGGTGGAGAGTCGTCTGCTCGTAAGGCGAATGGAATCGAGCCTCCACCAATGGCTACTCGGATACCACCACCAAAGAACGTGGCCGACTTTTCGCCATGGACAGGCCAACATGCCGAGGACGTTTTGAATGAAAATATCGTCAAAGTCGGCTACTCAGACAAGCCTCCGACGTCCATACAAACCGAGTGCAATTCAGCCAAGGCTTCGATATGGAACAACTTGTCGACGAAGAATAGCGCGGGTCTGCAAATGCTAGGCTACCTGTTCACGCAAGTCATGGAGAAGCGGCAGACGCTGGGCAAGTGTAATGCACCGTCTACATTCAAGCCGCCGCCTCGTGTCACTGTCACGGATACGAAGCGGGAGGGCTGGCTACGAGATCTAGCGAACCCGGACATTCCGCTTCGGAAGCAAAGTAGGACTATACCGCATGGCGTCCGCGGCAAACTACTGATGGATCAGTGTCTGAGCAAGGACATCCCACTTCAGCGGGCGGTCTGGCTTGCGAAGTGTGTTGGTGCGAATGAGCTACGTGCATTCAGACGGAAAGGCGTGAGTGGAGCTGCTGCAGCTACGGGAGAAAGCAAATGGATCCGTGAATGGACTATCAGTGTCGAGCAGTTTCTAGAGGGTGTAATTGCGACTTGTGGTGAGGAGGACTGGCAGATGAGGATGGGTTATGCCATCAAGCTGGTTACTGCTTTCCACACAGAGCAGCTGCTCGACAAGGACCACTATCTTGACTGGATAGTGGCCTCGTTCGGTGAGGCGGAACTGGAGAGACTGCCTGTGTGGATTGTCGTGCTGCAGATATATTGGAAGGACATCGTTCGGTTCATCCGCCGAGGTCGAAAGCTGGCTTTGATCATGTTGGAAAGGCTTACACAGCTATCGGAAGACTCGAGCGGCGTCAACGCAGTGCTACGAACGAGACTTCAAAAATTGGTCGCCATCCTTGCTGTCACGAGCCGTGGAAGTCTCGTTACCCCGGAGGTATGGGACAAATACAAAGTTCTCCTGGCTCCGACTGAGATGGCCAAGACAAACGAAGCATTACGGGCAGTGGCTGTCTCGGTAGCTGGAAGTAACGAGCGGCTCAAAGCACCGCTCAACAAGACTCCTTCCAATACACGAAGTTCAGTCTTACGACTTTACGACATGCTGGATACTGTTGGCCTCGAGATCGACCACACTGCTTTATCGACATCCTGCATTGAGCTGGTACCCCACGTACCTGACCTCGTCAACGCACTCTTCGACTGGACGGCATCTCCTTACAGGCAGGGTCTCGCACGCGTGTACCTTTCTGCCCGGATCATCAAGATATTGCGGAGTAATCATCACGACACGGACTCGGCAATATCAGCTTACATAGCTCGGATTAGTCCGAGCCGCGCTATGCAACACGACAATATCCATCGTCTCATTGGCGAGCTAGTGCGTGAAACGGCATTCTCTGCAGGGTCATATCTACAGTGGCTGGCTTCGAGTGGCGCCTTGTATGACGCTTCGAGTGTACGAGTCGCTAAACGTGTACTTGGAGCTATACCAGCAGGCTCACTTCCTGGGCATCTGGCTGGGCTTCGGCGGTCGTTGCTGAGCAGGCTGGAGTATGCCGAAGAGGTCGAGATGATTGCTGCACCCAGCATTCAGATACTGAAGTCTGCACTGGCAGATGGCAGCTTGAAATCACTTGAGCTTGTGGCGTCGACGACAGTCTAGCTGTCAAAGTTGCTATCGCGGAATATGCTGAGGTGAGCATGGTGGGGATTATCACTGGTGGCACTTTGCAGCCTTCACAGTTCCAGCTTTTCAGATCCGTGTTTGAGGACACGGGACACATGAGGGCTCTTTCGGATCTTGCCATCCAGACGGTCGAGTCCGAGGACATGGCAACTCTGGCCGACGCGGCGAATACTGTAGCCTATCACGTCAAAAGCCTCGCGGCCATCGGCTCTCTTTCGGACTTGGTCGAGCTACTGATGACACGCTATCGCACGTTGCGTACCGAACAGCCCCTTCATCGGTCCTTTATCTTGGCAATGACCAGGTTGCTCGGTCTCTTCCATACACACCAACGAAATCTGGAAATCTTGCACAGCGACCTGCTCATCTGCGAACAGCAGAATACAGCTGCAGTGTGCTCGCCAGCATCGGACAATATGATTGGGATGCAAGCGAGCTCACTGGAAACAGATGAGGATATTGAGGCGGTTTTCGCAAGCGGCAATAGTATGGACGATCAGCTCCTACAGCGTGTCTTCATGCGAGTCCTGCTACGTGCTGGTAAGACTGAATATGACGATGGCGAACCGACGAGCAAGATGTGCAATTGGCTCAATCAACTCCGGATCGTTGGCAGTGGCAGTTTCGATGAGCTTGTGACGGCCTACGTGAAGTCTACCCGGACCTCAACTCATGGCACAACGAAGTCCATGGATGCAATCACAGCACTAGTAGCGGCAGAGTGTGTCAGTCTACCAGATGTCCTGCGGACCATCGGACCCAGCAGCGAAGTGCCTGCAATCAGACTTGTCGTACAGCTATTGCTCAAGCCGGCATCTGCGCTACATGGCCTGAGCCTTGCCGAACAGTATCGATACAGCACAATTCAACGACTCTGCTGCGTACAGCAAGCACAATCCGTGGCGCCTCTACTCATGGCTGCCTGCGGAGATCCGGAATTCGACATCAGCAATGAGGTGCTTCATGCCCTGATCATCGAATACACCACCACACTTGTTGAAGTCGTGCGGAAGTCCTTCCATGATGCTCACCACAGCAGACCTCCTACTCAAAAGGCTGTCGAGCTTTCGCAAGCGCTAGTGGCGCGTGGTATCGATGCTGCGAACGCCACGAACTTGGACGTCCACCAGATCTTGGCCATGACGACCCCACTCTCCGTCCGCTTCTGTGCCGGCGCCTTGACGTACTTGAGCAAAGGTTGCGCATCGGATGCTGGCTCTGGTGGTGACTTGGCTAAGGAAGTCATGATAGAGGCTATACAGAGCGGTAACAATGCTTGGCCGCAGTTACTCGGGACGGCAATCAGTGATGACACCAAGCGGGATCTGCATGCTTGGGCGCAGGACCGACTGCTCATGGCGAGCGGCGATGCAGAATTGAAGGATGATGTCGAGGCTCAACGCTATCTCGATGTGCTGGATCTGACTTATCACTCTGTACGAGGAGGGGACGACACGGCTGTGCTGGTCCTGCTGAACGATAAGTTGCGCGGTGTTGAACGACAACTTTCAGCCTCGAGCGATGAAGATAAAGCGAATCTTGATCGCAATCATAGTGTCTGGCAGGAGTTAAGCGTGCTATTGCACATCTGCTGCCTACACGTGAGCGCAGATGGCATCGACATGGATGCAAACCAGCAGGCTCGCGCAAACCTACTATCGACCTTGTGCACCTTATGTATGCACCCCCGCATCCTGATGGACGTCAACAAAGCCGAATACCTTTTCGATCTCGCATCCGCATTAAGCGATAGCCTACCAGAACAGACGTTACAAGGCATTGCTCGTACGATCAAGCCCATGGAAGCGCGGATCCAGGCTCTGGTAGGCATGTCATCTACAGTGATGTCATCAGATACCTGGCTCGCTCTAGCTTCACAACTCCCATCCGCGCAATCGAGAGGCACGACGACGGCACAGCAGCGTGCCTTGTCCAAACATGCCGCTGCTGCTTCTTCTTCTTCTTCTCAATCTACACCGAGTCCCAGCACAACTGCGCGGCCTGGTGTGGTGGGTGGGTCGACGAGCTTCGGACTTGCACAGCAGTCACAACCACAGCCTCAGCAACGGCCTTGGCCACAGATGGGATCGGCTCGCGGCTCTGTGGTAGAGATGAAGACGACGCCTTTCGCGCTGAGGAGGTGGGAGGTCATGCCTGATTCTACGCCGGTGATGGGGGAGAACGACACGAGTTTGAGCTTGGGGTTATTTGGGGCGAGGAAGGTGTAGTTGGCTGACTGACCGACTGAACGGTGGAAGATATGGGGTGTTCTGGGGGGTGTAAGGACGGTATTGCACCTGTTATCGTTGTTGTTGTTGTTTTCGTTGGATCAACACACGTATGCATGCTGGGGTATGATGATGTTTTGAGAGATTTTTTGGGGGGGTTGCAAGCGTTCCAAGCGATGGCTGTTTCTGGGGGTGTTTACGAATCGCAAACGAGGGTTTGGGATGGCTTTTATGAGGTGAGAGGGTTGTTCGGTGTTGTTGGCATGAGGACGGTCACAGTATTGCCTACATAGCATATGGTCTGTACGACGATCGTTTTACTCTACTTCTCATGTCTTGTTCGACAGTGGCCTGTGTTGCGAATCCCCCTCCACATATGAGAAGACGCGTGTTGTTCGTTGGTGGCGGATTGTCTGTATAAGAGGAATACTATACTATACCTTCTACTTCGCTGGGCAGAGTATCACCACTGGGCACGTACAGATCATCGGACCTCGTTCCCATGCTATATGAAGAGGCTCTTGCGTTGTGGTCGTCTGTCGGGTGTCGCACTACTCATGCGTCGCGTGTTTCATCTCGCTACAGTCCTGCCACGTGAAACGTGCATGGAATTGTATGGAGTTCATGCTTCGGCAAGCACTTAGTCTAACCTCCTTCGAACCTGTCGGACCCTCGAACCTTGTCCCCATGAGTCGTCATTAGCTTGAAGGCTGGAGGGACAACCAGCTGCTCCGTGCTATCGACGTGTTGCGTGGGACGTTGACAGTTAGATGTACATATCCTTTGCTTCACCTGTCCGTTTCAAGTCTTTGGATAGTTGTAGCAAGCGTCCGTCACTACAGTACTCAAACCTAGCGCAGGGCAAACGAGCGGGAAGGCTACTACGCGACAGGTCCGGTTGCTGACCGGGTGTTTGCAACAACCGCCCTTCAATTTGGGGGTCGTGCAGGGGTGCAACAAGAAGCTGCAGCACCTGTGCCGTGCGACAATGGCAGCTCTGACATCTGGCAACAGATCTCTGCCTGACGATATCGACTATTCGAAATCCCATCGCGCTGTGCCTTCCGTAGATTATAACACTACAAGAGCGCAGCGCGCACCTTCCTTCGGCGCGGAACCGGGGAAACCACGACGGGACCTCGTACAACAACAGGCAGGTGCGAGTGTGGAAGGTGGTCACACCCGGCGGAGAGGAAATAGCTTTTCGTCCTTGCTACATCGGACTACCTCTTCCTCCTCGAGTTCGCACGGCAAGAATAGTGGGAGTCTTACGGCACCTGCCGACGCTCCGCCATTGCCTGCGACTCGCATTGCGCAAGCTCAGGTTGAAGCTGCGAATAGTAGGAACATTCACACACAACAAACTCAGCCGGAAGCTGCATACAGGGTGGACGGACCGGGGTTCGATTACGGTTACGGCTACCACTCTTCCGTCACTGGTGGCTACGAGCAAGAGTACACGACACCTCACGATTTCCCGAACAACAGCATCAGCCACCACGTGATCGGGGAGAACGGCAACAAGATGCTAAGGAAGTCTTCCAAAGCCCGCCAGGCGGAGCAAGAACGGTTGGAAGCCATGGCAAGAGCAGCACCCCGACAACCACCACGCTTGCCTTCGATCAACGACTTCCAAGCCGACCAACGCCCCGACAGTTTCCAGATCTTCACCAACCAATACAACACCACCTTCGCCCCAGCCGTCCAACACGCCACCACAGCCAACTTCTCCCGTCCCGGCCAGATCTACAACATGCCCTCCTCCACCAACAACTCCAGCTCCTCCCCCGCCTACGCCCTCCGCACCGGCAACGCTTTCGCTCAACAGGCGTCCGGCTCGCCGCCTTCGGCCGGGAATGTGGCGGTGGGACAGAAGATGACGTCGAATGGCGAATATGTGAATACCAGTGGTGGTGGTGGATCCCTCGATCGCGGCGAGAGCATGGCTCATCGTGGCCGTTATTCTTATGCTAGTGATATGGCGCCTGTTAATGCTGTAAATAGTCCTAGGAGAGTGAGGAGGCGGAAAGATCCTACGCCTTTCAAGTGAGTGCAGTCCAATTATGCTATTGCGGCATGAGCTGATATTTTATGTGTAGCATCTTGGTGGTGGGAGCGCGAAACAGTGGCAAGACGTCTTTCATCTCCTTTTTACGACATTCGCTTGCTTTGCCAGCCAATCGACAACAGTATAGTGCTAGCACCACTGCTGCTGCGCAGGTCAATGCGAGCAAGTCTTCATTCACCTCTCACTACCTCGAGACGGAGCTCGATGGTGAACGTGTCGGGCTTACTCTCTGGGATTCGGCTGGATTGGAGAAGCATCTCATCGACCTGCAGCTCCGCGAGACTGCCGCTTTCGTCGAGTCCAAGTTCGAGGAGACTTTCCTAGAAGAGCAGAAAGTCAACAGAAGTCCTGGTGCCAAGGACACCCACATTCACTGCGTCTTCTTCTTGCTCGAGCCGAACAAGCTGGACAACAATATCGTGGCTGCAAGAAACGGCAAGCCTGGCACGAGTGCAGCTGAGGTACTGGAGGTTCTGGATGACGAGATGGATCTACAGGTCATTCGGGCGCTATGGGGCAAGACTACAGTCATCCCCGTCATCTCGAAAGCAGATACCCTAACAGCGTCCCACATGGCATTCCTCAAGAAGTCGATCTGGAAAGCGCTCAAAGCATCCAATCTCGACCCGATCGAAGCGCTCGAGCTCGAGGAGGATGACGAAGGAGAAGAAGAGGACGAATACGATGACGAGGCCAACGCACTACCTGCTCGTCGCAAGAACGGCAACCTGCACAGCTTAGACGAAGAAACAACCTCCGACTCCTCAGACTCCATCGACGACAACGACACCCCTCTCCCCTCAAAAGCCCACTCCCACCGCAACTCCCACAACCGCGCCTCTTCTCTGGCCACCGACCACACCGCCAACAACGACAGCGAAACCCCCTATATCCCCATGTCATTCCTCTCCCCAGACCTCTACGACTTACCCCCCTACACCCCGTTCCCCAAAACCACCGCAAAAGGACAAATCGGCCGCCGTTTCCCCTGGGGTTTCGCTGACCCCTACGATCCTGAGCACTGCGATTTTGTCCGATTAAAGGAGAGTGTGTTTGGGGAGTGGAGGCTGGAATTGAGGGATTTGTCCAGGACCAAGTGGTATGAGAATTGGAGGACTTCGCGGTTGAGGGATTTGCCGGGGAAGAGGGTTAGGGCGAGAGGGGGGGTTACGCCTACGGCTGCTGTGCCGCGGGAGGGGAGGATGAGTGGGAGGCTGGTTTCTTCTGGTGGCGGTGCGGGAGAGGCGGTGCCGAGGAGTGTTTCCGGGGGTGTGGGTGTGGGTGTTGGGTCGGGCGTCAGCGGTGGGGGTTATGGATTAGCGGATGGTGGGTTTGGGCCCGAGGCGGGTCAGCAGCAGCAGGGGGGGCAGAGAGGTGGTCTGAGTAAGGCGGAGAGGATGATGGGGATTGGAGCGGGTGAAGGCCAGACGTTGTCGAGTCGGGGGGTTGGGACGTATAGGGGTGTTGAGTCGTATCAGTAGACTTTGAGCGAGCGGAGGAAGGACTGGTTTGGCGCGGGGGTCATGGATCATCGACAGCATTCATTTGGTCGGGGACGAAGAATAGCTTTTGCCATGGCATGGATTGGTGAGGCAGCGGCTGATGTGCTGGTAATGAAGGGGTTGCGGATGGTGGCGGGTCGAGGAAAATCGGGGTTTTGCATGTATCAGGCGATTTTAGCGATTTTGTTTTTGTTGAGTCGAGTGGCTTTTCATTGTAGTATAAGCTGAGATGAGCTGAGGGAATGGCTTGCAAGCTGCGATGCAGAAAGCTGGTCAAGTAGGAGAAAGGGGAGCTTGTGTGGTTTTGTTGTGGTTTTGTAGAGATACCCCCTTTTTGTTGATAGCTTTGCATACCCTATGTATTTACAGCATGGAGTTTGAGCACATCGGCAGCTGTTGTGTCCAGTACTTCGGATCTTCCGGTCAACAGAGTAGGGTGATCGTATGATGGTGGATATTTCTGCCGTTGGTTATAATTTGGAAGAGCAGAGAAGTTTCCTCTTTTGATGAGGATCTATAGATATATACAGCTGCTTTATTCCCCCGGTCCGGTTTTGCAATAATTTTCTTTTCCAACTCGCTGATGCTATGCTATGCTATGCCTGACCTCCCCACCCCCTCAGACAGCCTCACTCAGCTCACCTCATCTCATCTCATCCCCATCTCATCTCATCTCACCCCACCCCACCCCACCCCACCCCCATCTCAAGCAACCTCCCCTCTCCTCTACAAGGGGACCCTTACTACTTAGTACTGACTAGCCGTACTCTGACACGCCTTCAACTGATCCAGATACCAGCCGCAAATCGTCAGATCCCCTCGGTTATCGTCCATGCACTTCCTGAAGGAGTTGACTTCGAAACCGCAGGCTTTGGGCGCGTCGTAGGTTTGGTTCATCGCGTACTGTCCTTGCTCGGTCTGAGCGAGTGGGGATGAGGCGTCGGCGACGGGTGCAGCTTCTTGGGAGTGCGAGCTGCCGCCGCCGAAGAAGCCGCCGATGGCGTGGCCGATGGAGGTACCTACTACCGCGCCACTGTTTATATCCAAGCCCTGTTAGTACGACTGCTTCGATCCTCCTACATATCCTTGTGTTTGTGATGGCGGTACTTACGCAGCAGTACTAGCCATAGTCCCGAACATCGACTGGCCTCCGGACGCGGCTTGAGCGGGCGATGCATTTGCGGCTGTACCTGGAGCGGGACGGGCAACGGTGGAGGCTTGGCGGGCTTGGGAGGGTTGTTGGGGGAGGGGGGCGGCGGCGCGGGTGGGTGGTGCTTGGGGTCGCTTTGGAGCGGAGGCCGAGGGACCACGGGATTGGCGGGGCATGGTTGCTGGTTGCTGTTTTGCTGTTGGGTGGGTCTGATGGGGTGTGGTGTCGGTAGGTCGTTTGGAGAGTTGATAATTTCAGTGGTGAGGTGGCTGCGATGAGGGTGAAGGCGAAGAGGCGAATATGTGCGGGAGACGGAGGTGAGAGGTGAAGCTTGGGGCATGCTTTGCCGAGAGCCTTGCAATTGGCTGGGTAGTGTCTGTGCGCTATGAGTTTCTTGCCTACTTTACTTCACCTTCCATCTCGTCTCCATCTCACGACTGCTGTAGCATATAACCGTGGCCTGGCACCATAGTAGTTCTGCGTGCAGTTGCGACATACGACATGGACTTGCGCTGGATCACATAGGCCTACTCGGTCTCGACGCGGCGAGGACGATCTTCCGGAATCACCGGTGTTGCTCCGTTTTAATCTCATCTGATCGACAATACTGGCTCGCAACTTCAATGCTAATCATGTAGGAGAGCCCGGACTGTTGGAGAGCTCGAGACCTCAACTTAATGCTGTGATGATCGGGACTGGTAGGCACTGGCAGTCTTCGCCACACATTCGTGGCTTGGCTTCCGCCCCCAATTAGCAAGCAGCGCGATGTATGCTAGTCTGGGTGAAGCTCGCTGCTCCACTCTGTGCACAACCTGGTCAAGCCACAGCTAAAGGTAGATCTAGATATCGCGGATGGCAGGAATGGTCAGTGCCATATTTTGATATATTTCTAGAAGAAGATGCCATCGGCTTTTATAAGTACCTTTCCTGCATTGCCCCAATCTCTAGTCCCGACTCACAGCAACGACACTAAAGTTCACAAAAGTCCGAAGAATGGTATATAGAGGTATGTAGGTCGGGCAACAGTCCGGGAAGATCGTCATTGAATGACTATATGCAGGTCTACCGTCGAAGGCGTGTCAGCCTTGCCGTGTGAGACGACTCAGAGTAAGCAACTGATCGAAATCCGAAGTGGCTCGATCACTGACCGTCCCACTGTGCGACTTATGTCCTGCAGGTTGTAGGTCGTGCGCCAAGCGCCATGAGAAATGTCCTGGATACCGAGACCCCAACGAATCCATCTTCTGCGACCAGACCGCACACACTATTCTGCGCTCCAAAAAGACAAATCTCATGATAAATCAAGCCACCTTCGGCCGGTCGATGTCGGACGATACCGCCTTGTTCTGCTTCTTCGAGCTGTGCGCACGACCTGCGCCGTCATCATCGCGAAGTATGATCGCCTACGAGTCGCTCAAGAACAAACCCTTAGTAGCGTCCATGCGAGCACTTGGCCTCGCCGCACGCAGCCAAATGGATTGTTCCGCAGGTCTGGCGGATCGAGCCGGCTCGCATTACCTATCTGCCATTCAAGCCACCAGTAAAGCCTTGACCTCGCCGATCCTAGCTCGAGCAGACGAGACATTACTATCCGTAATCATCCTGACATTCTACGAGGCACGCTGCGGCTGGGATCGCGACTCGGTAGAATGCTGGAATCAACATGCCACTGGATGCGCGGCATTGATAGAGGCGAGAGGTGGTGCGCAGCTCAAGCGCCAAGACGGCCGACTGCTATTTCTGGAGACCACGGCAGTCATTATTCCTAATGCTTGCAGGTTATCGTTACCCGTCCCGCAGATAATGCTGGAAATGATGTACAAGATCTGTGACCCATCAATGCAGCAGTCCGAACCCCAATGGATCATCATATACGGCTGGATGCGGACCACGAATCTACGAAGTGCCGTGGCCAAAGGCGAGGCGGGCGATGCGGCGGCTATTGTGAAGCAAGCCATAGCAATCGATAAGTCTATCTCGCATGCTTTCGACAAGGCTCGCTTCGAATGGACATACGATACCCTTCCCGCCACTGTGGAAGACTTCGACAATATGGACGCTGCTCCGATATTCACGCACTGGCATCGCAATGCTCTGGCCGCGGAGATGTGGGAGTCGTTGTTCAGTTGTCGATTGCTACTCCATGCCATCATGTGCAAAGCATCGACCACCGACAGCATATCACAAGCGTGGCTGGCCCCGGAACTACACGAGCAAGCAACGGCATCTCGGAACCTGATCTCCAGCCTCTGCGACGATATCCTAGCCTCAGTCCCCCAATTCTGCTGTTCCGTCTCCACGCCACCACCGACAAATCCACAACCATCACAGGATCTCAAATTCAGTTCGAAAAGGCCAGGCCGGCCGCCATTACCAGACGACGATATGTGTACTTTCGTGCCCTTACGTTCTGACCGTCTACCCGTACTCGTCACATCCCAAGGCTACAGCATGATTTGGGCGCTTAATCTCGTGGCGGTGCTGGCGCCAAATGGAAAAGCGTATCGTAAGCTCGCTTGTAGAATGCTGGACAAGCTTGGTAAGGCTACGGGCATTCGGCAGGCCGGAGTTGTTGCTGATAAGTACCGCACGGAAGGCACGTGAAATGGAGGGAGACTTGTTGGGCATGGTATATGAGGAGGTTCGGATTATGATATTCTAGGGACCCCTAGGAAAGTCCGCCCGTATACGAGGTCTTGGTCCAATGCATGCCGCAATCCACCATTGCTTAATCTTTGACGCTCCACATTCCGCCCTGTAAAGATTTCTCCTGGAAGCGCAACGCGCCATCCCAACATCCTGCCTGGAGGGCCTCGGTTCTTGTAGCAAAGTGCCTGCACCACTTAGTGGATCTCTGCCCTCCCTCACACCGAACCGCCACCAAGGGATCGGGACGAGATCACGTTCTTCTGTTCCGACGCAACGAAAGGAACTCCAAGCAATGCCGCACCTTACTCGTGCGAGATGCCTTACAAATTCATCCCATATTGGCCATTATTCACCCTGGGCTCATCCGGCGTAGCGTCCGTCGATATCCCAGGCTCGGCCAGCTTCACACCCCCCTTCTCAGCCTCAGGAACCTCAAAACTATGCCCGCGCTTAGTAGCCCAGGGCGTCATGGCATACGCCAATCCCTGGAAAATATCTGCCGTATTGAAAGACCGTACCAGAGCTCCGACCGGCGTAGCATGGACCTCTGCCCCCGCCCTGACCTGCTTCAAATAAGGCTCAAACGTCATGGAATGGAGGAACATGCCCGCCACGATCAACATCTCGACGCTGAACATGAAGTTGGGGATGCCGACTGAAAAGTCCATGTAGCTGATGTGGAACGGTGGGGAGGGCCGGAAGACGCTCTTCTCTGCCAGCACGCTGAAGATGACGTTTTGCGTTGCTTGGAGACCGACGACGGCTTTGAAGGACCAGAGTTTGTAGGTGCCTCGGTGGGGTTTCAGTTCTTCGTGCAGACGTCTTTCGAGCAGGATGTTGGAGAAGACGGCGATCATGGTCGAGATGCCTTGGATGACGGTGATGACGATGAAGCCGTATTGTCTGGCTTTGTTGAGGGGGCAGGTGAAGGACCAGAGGAAGATGGTGGCTAGACAAGTCGCGGTGCGGAAGAGTGTGACTTGGAAGTTCATGATGCAGAGGATGCGGAACCAGCGGAGGCTGCCGTCCTGGCCTTTGGCTCTGCCGTTGTGCCAGAGGCGTTGCAGGTTGTCGAAGAAGTGCTCACGGTGGAGTGTATCTTCTGGTGTGGCTAAGGCGAGGTAGAGTAGGAAGAGAGCCGTGATGCCGAAGCCCTGGTAGTATTCTGCCCAGGCTTGGCAGTAGGCACTGGCGTTGTAGAACCAGACGCTGAAGAGCTGGCATAGCTGGACGACAGGGATGAAGACGATGATGCGGACGATCTGTTTTTGCTGATGCGGTTTGGTCCAGTGGAAGAGGTGGCCCCAGAGGAGGTAGAGGGCTAGGAGGATGCTGATGATGCAGGCTGTTGCTGTGAGAATGGTGAGGAGTTGGTGGAAGTGGATTTGGAGGTGTGGGAGTGGTATGGTGTAGAAGGCTACCCAAGGGGTGCCGCAGGTCTTTTCCGCTTTGGCGAGGGCTTGATAGATTATCTTGGTGGTGTTTTGGGAGGCAGACATGCTGGGCTGGTATGCGGTGTGCAAACGAAAGGGATGATGGATGTCACGGAGTGCGGCAGCAGAAGACATCGTTTTATGTCACCTCGAGGCCCCATACCACAAGCCCTCGTTATCCAGATTGCACACTCCATACCTGATGCAGTAGCTATCGTAGCCCCAAACAATGCCATTATACTAGTGTCACCGCCAGAGCGCTACAGCTTCTCAATCCTGCTCAGTGCACCGCCGGCGTGATTTCCGCATTGGGTATGCATTGGATCAACCATGGGGCCAAAAAGCTTCACTTGGTTGTGAGCACTTCAATGGGGCGCAAGTGGAGTCGTTTTCGGAACCTATGGTGTTAGTCATGCATAAGATGGCAAGTGGCGAATGGAAAGTAGCAGGGAGGTAATGTTGCTCGTATACATATCAACCACTGCTGCTGCTGCCTTTTATCTTCTGGCCCGACACCACGTGTGGAGAGATGCGCGTGCGCGGTCTTGCATCAGGGATTAGGCGCTGTGTGGACAGGTCCGCGTTGGCAACGTGTCCATTCCCAGATCCATCGCGACATTGTTGCATGTGTGGGCTCATCGGTGTTAGAGAGTCCGCTGTCGTTCATGTGCAGGGCCCAGTAAAGGTAATGGCTGAGTGGTCGCACGGCAGCTTGTAATCAATACAGTCCAACACATCTTTGTTGGTGTACATATCCACAGCCCACTGGAACGCCTGGCTATGCATACATCCAGCCATGTCAAGATGATCAGTCGTCCTCCCGCAATAAATCGTCCAGGTCATCATCGTCCCAGCCGCCTTTCCGCCTTTGCACTGTGACCTTCTCCACTTCCTGTTGCTGTTCGTTCAATGCACCCAAGATATCCTTGAGCTGTGTCTCCGACACTCGTCCTCGTAGCTGACCTGATCGTGCCAGCATGATGAGTCTGCTTTCGACATCCTCGGCGCGAGGCGCGTTGACCATGCGTATACGTCCTAGACGATCTGCCGCTGCTGGCTCAAGGATTTGCGATAAGATGGATGCTCGGACTTCTGCTTCGCGATTCCTGGCGCAAGAGCGTTAGCTATGCTCTAGCGTTTCGATAGTCGACGAGCGGACTTCTGCTCATCCTGCTGTCCACCAGCTCGGCCACCGCCGCCTCCTTGCTGGGACTGCAGCTCTTGGCGTCGTGCCTGCCTAATGGCCTCTAGATCCGAATCACCCATACTTTCATAAGTGAGTATCACATCACGTGCAAGTGTTTTCAAGAAACATGATTGAACGTCGGCCCGGCTGCCTTGCGAGGTGTGCCCCGCAAGCTGTTCCTGGCTGCCATGTGACAGTGCGTCATATTAACGTCACTCTAAATGATCATTCACAAGTTATAACCCCTCGATCCCTTTTGATTGATTAGTAGAGCTGATCATCCGAAGGCGTGCTTGATGAGCATGCACGCCATAATTAATAAACCGGACGGCAACGTTGCTCGTGACGCAAGAGCACATCAGCACGACTACTAATGCGAATCGAGGTCCGTGTTACCGAAGAGCGAAAATCTGATCTTCTTGCTTTGCCGAAAGCATTTCCGCGTGGGGCATTATTGGCCTTCCCAATACCAACCGCGGAAATAGACACGAAATCTCATCGTCTCCTGATGTCGACCTCGACGGTGTGGGAGAATAGAAGTAATAAAAATAGCGATATCCGAGGTCAGGCACGCCAGCCTCTGTTCACATAAGCAGGAAGTACGACAATAATAATGACTCCCGTATTCCTGACGAATAATGTCTCAAAGTACTGCTCCTTCCATTGCAGTACAGAGGACATGTCACGACGGCGCGATCCATCTGCAAGGCACCATCGCATGCAAGCATGACGAGAATCGCCCATCACCGAGCGGGCGACATCTCGAACAACTTCCCAACTGCCTTCTCTGACATGCGTCGCTGCTCATTATTATTCCAGAACAATCCCGCGGCCCTGATTGGCTCACGGCTCCATTGTTTCAACAGCACTAAGGCCGCTTTGGGCGAGCACGCAATCACGAGAGAATTTGACGTAGCGGCCAATGCATTTCAAAGCAGCAGTAGCCGTGGCCGGCGGCGTGGATATAGGCAAAGCGTAGGTAGCAGAGTGGTGATGTGACACTTGCTGAGTATTACCTCCATCTATCTCCTTCTACCATCTCCTTCCTTACATATCGTCCGGATCTGTATCTCTCAATCCCTTCAGATCGAGTATATAACGCCACCGGATCGACTTTAAGCAAGCAAACACTCCGCCAGCGTCCTCTGAACGCTCTTCTCCTTGCACTCCCACGCAATGTCTTTCCACCGATCGAGTTCGTCCGACCGAGACGTGGAGTCTGGATATGCCAGTGGTTCATCTGTAGCCGACCTGCCAGACATCTACTTCACCCGACCACACCTGAAATTCATCAACAAGCAATTGGCACAGCTCGAGCCTCAGGATGTTCTACGATGGTGCCTGACCTCGCTACCACAACTATGGCAGACATCAGCCTTTGGCCTGACTGGCCTTGCAATCATGGACATGATCTCTAAACTTGATTACGCGATCACGCCCAACATTGAACTCATCTTCCTCGACACTCTATACCATTTCCAGCAGACCTTGGACCTGGTCGAGCGAGTCAAGCAACGATATCCAGACCTGAAGATCCACTCGTACAAGCCGGACCATTGCGAGACCACGAAGGATTTCGAGGAACTGTATGGTGAGAAATTATGGGAGACAGACGAGGAGAGGTACGATTATGCTGCCAAGGTCGAGCCGGCACAGCGAGCATACAGACAATTGGATGTCAAGGCCGTCCTGACAGGGCGGAGAAAGACGCAGGGCGGCAAGCGAGGCGATCTGGATATCGTTGAGATCGACGACCAAGGTCTTGTCAAAGTTAACCCTTTGGCCAATTGGTCGTTCAAGCAAGTCCAGGCTTATATCAAGGAGAATGATGTCCCCACCAACGACCTCTTAGATCAAGGGTATCGATCTGTTGGTGACTGGCACTCTACCCAGCCCGTGACTGATAGCGAGGACGAGCGAGCCGGCCGATGGAAGGGTCGCCAGAAGACTGAGTGTGGTATTCATAACAAAAAGTCCCGGTACGCCCAATTCCTGCAAGAACAGGAGGAGCTGAGGCAGAAGGAACTCAGTGAGGCGATACAGAACGGGCTCAAGATCGAGGCTGCATCATAACAATGGTTGTGGTTTCGAATTCTTGGCCTGGTGTATGTATTGTTGCTGCCTTGACTCTGGAGCATGTTGGGTCGGCGAACATCTTTCTTGCGATTTAGCACTGGCGTTTGGGTTATTGCATCTTGATGTTCATGAAGAAAAAGTACGCATTGGCATGATATTGAAAGCGTACGATACCATACGTAGCATTGATAGTAAGTCGCACTTTGCGGCCGAAATGAAAAGATCAAAATTATGTACATTGTTCTGTATCTCGTTGACGTCCGGGAGTGTAACTCGAGCACGATTCAAGAGATCCATTGCTCGAGTCCTTTACTGTCGTCGTCGTTGATATCTGACGACGACAACTTGGCCAAGACAATTCAACCTGAAACGCTGCAGATCGTATCCACATCAACCGTATGGATCACATACAGTACGTGAACGTGAACATGTTGAAACGCCATTTGCTACATATTGCGCTTCTTCTGCTACAGAAATGGCAGGGGAATCCGTAACGTCGCCGCGTAGCATGCCGCAAGGAGAGTAAGAAGACGTGGTACGCCAGTGGAGCGATTGCGGCTCTCTCTTGGCCCTCCCCGCTAAAATTTATTGCGTGATCGATCCATGGCAGAAATCTTTCTGGGCAGCGGATGGGTGAGGTCAGGGCAGATGCTTCGCATAGAGTAGTGAGGGATAGATTTGTGTTTGTCATGAGAGGTTGACGTGTTTGTGGTGATCTCTCTTCTCGTACATACCCTCAAATCCTTCTATATCCTCTCTTGGTCTCTGTGAACTCTACTATAGTGGGACAATTCGTGACGGGTAGTGCAAGATGGCAAATACTTATGTTCCTCCTCATGGTGAGCAGTAGGAGAGTGTCGAGGGGCAGGACACTGTACTGATACTATACAGGTGGTGTGCTCAAGGACCTGATTGCCCGCGATGCTCCACGAAGACAAGAGCTGGCTGCTGAGGCCGAGAAGCTGCCCGCCGTCGTCCTCAATGATCGTCAGCTATGTGATATGGAATTGATCCTCAACGGAGGCTTCTCACCCTTGGAGGGCTTTATGACAGAGAAGGACTACAATGGAGTGGTGGAGAACAACCGTCTGGCGGATGGCAACCTCTTCTCCATGCCAATCTGCTTGGATGTCAGCCAAGAGGAGATCAAGGCATCGGGAATCAAGCCTGGCGCACGAATCACCCTCAGAGACTCTCGTGATGACAGAAATTTGGGCATTATGACAGTGGGCGACGTATACCAGCCAGACAAGAAGAAGGAGGCTAAGGAGGTCTTCGGTGGTGATCCCATCCACCCAGCAGTGAAATACCTTTTCAACCAGACCGAGGACTACTACGTTGGAGGCAAGATCGAGGCCATTGATCGCTTGATGCACTACGACTATGTAGCTCTCCGCTTCACCCCTGCTGAGCTCCGCGGACATTTCGACAAGATGGGTTGGTCGCGTGTGGTGGCTTTCCAGACCAGGAACCCCATGCACCGAGCTCATCGCGAGCTTACAGTCCGCGCTGCTCGTAGCAGACAAGCTAATGTGCTTATCCACCCTGTGGTGGGTATGACCAAGCCGGGCGACATCGACCACTTCACTCGGGTCCGAGTCTACCAGGCTCTGCTCCCTCGCTACCCGAACGGCATGGCTGTGCTCGCTCTGCTCCCTCTGGCTATGCGTATGGCTGGACCTCGCGAAGCCATCTGGCATGCCATTATCCGCAAGAACCACGGTGCTACTCACTTCATCGTCGGCCGTGACCACGCAGGACCCGGCAAGAACAGCAAGGGCGAGGATATGTACGGTCCTTACGATGCACAATACGCTGTGGAGAAGTACAAGGATGAGCTTGGCATTGAGGTTGTACCTTTCCAGCAAATGACTTATCTCCCCGACTCCGACGAATACAAGCCCAAGGACGAGGTCGCGAAGGACATCCGCACAGCCGACATCTCCGGCACTGAGCTTCGTCGTCGTCTACGCACAGGCGGCGACATCCCAGAATGGTTCTCCTACCCCGAAGTCGTCCGCGTGCTGCGAGAGTCCCACCCACCACGCAACAAGCAAGGCTTCACCGTCTTCCTAACAGGCTACACAAACAGCGGCAAAGACGCCATCGCCCGCGCCCTGAACGTAACCCTCAACCAACAAGGCGGCCGCGCCGTCTCCCTCCTCCTGGGCGAAACCGTCCGCAACGAACTGAGCTCCGAGCTCGGCTTCTCCCACGAAGACCGCAACAAAAACATCGCCCGCATTGGCTTCGTCGCCTCTGAACTCACCAAGTCCGGCGCCGCCGTCATCGCCGCCCCGATCGCACCCTTCAAGGATTCTCGGAAATCCGCCCGAGAATTGGTGGAGAAATACGGCTCCTTCTACCTCATCCACGTCGCTACGCCATTAGAGTACTGCGAGAAGACGGATAAGCGTGGGATTTACGCCAAGGCGCGTAAGGGCGAGATTAAGGGCTTCACGGGCGTGGATGATCCTTATGAGGCGCCGGAGGGGAAGGAGGCGGATTTGGTGGTGGATATTAGTAGGATTAATGTTAGGACTGCTGTGCATCAGATTGTGCTGTTGTTGGAGAGTGAGGGGTTGCTTGATCAGCTTTAGATGGAAAGGATAGATGGGTGGGTCGGGGAGGTATATGATAGAGATAGTAGATGTTTTTGCGAGAATGGTTCGCAGGCTATGTGAGATAGGCAGTGTAGAACATACACCATCCAACGCTGTGGGCTTGCGCTTGATGGTTGCGATTCGTAGGAGATCTGTGGACGTGATAAGGCGTGCTCGGGCTACATGATCTGCTTCATGCCGAGTTTCATTGATCAACAGCAGAGATTTCACTTGCACGTCGCGTCTTGTATTCGACTATACAGTGTAGGTAAACCACAGACTTATGGATGGATCACTTACAAATAAGATCATCAGCTCAAACCACGAGCACGATCATCCAGCTCTTTGCAAACCCTAACTCCAACTCATCGCTGCAACGGCACAGCATCCCGCACCTCCCTCTGCGTGACCATCGCCTTCCCGACAACCGTCTGCATAATTCCATAATTCACCACACACTTCACGCCCACCTCCTCGCCCCTTCGAACAATATACCCATTAATAAACTCAATCTCCGTCTTCCTCCCCGCCCTCACATCCGCAAGCATGGAAGAAATATTATCTTTCGTTTTATTCGCCACGGACACAACCAGCATCTCCAACCTCTCTGCACTGAATCGCGTGGATATGTTAGGTATACTTTGGAGTTCTGGCAGGCTGCGGATTACCAAGCTGGTTTCGGCGAGAAGGAGACGCATGGTGCGTGTTAGAGCGAAGTTGTAGAGGATCTGGCCGTTTCGCGCGTCTATCAGGGAGGTGAGTGGGTTGAGCACGCTGTTGACGGCGAGCTTTTCTAATTGGAGTTGGAGGAGTTCAGTCGGGGTGAAGCCTACAGCGCACAGGACGGGGGTGCGTGTGAGGGTGCGCAGGATGTAGCGGGCGCTGGGGACCCATTTCTCGTTTTCGCTTGCTGGTTTGCCGTCTGTGTCCGAAGATGCTGGTGTATCTGCTGGTTCGGAGGAGGCGGATAGGGGTGTTCGAGGTAACACACCCAGTGCTATTGTGCCGTGGCCTGCGTGAACCGCGAAGAATGGATTTCGCTCCGTCACTTCCGGTGGTACGTTCACGCCATGTGTCACGATGCCCTGCACATAGCTGGGTCGTGTCGCAGGATCGGGAAAGAGCTCCTTGTTCACGTTGTCCACGACTCCCATGCCATTCTGCAAGAAACAGATTGTGCTTTCTGGTGTGAGGCGATGTCGGATTGTGGAAAGCGCAGGGACAGTGTAGGCGGCTTTTGTGGTGACGATGAGGTTGTGTATCGCGTCTGAAGAGTAGGCATAGCCGCCTTTGCCGCGAGAGGTATTGTAGACTCGTGATGGTCCACCAAAGGGTTGATATTCGGCGATTGGAGTATCTTCAGCAGTATGTGGGTCGCCTGCTGCTACTTCGCCTTTGGGTTGCTCAACATCTTCATGTCTTTCCAATGCTTCTTGATCTACCGAAGGCTTCTGGACCTCGAGTTCTGGCTCATGCTGCTCTGCTGGTGCCTCTTGAGCTACCTGTTCATTCGCTGAAGGGTCGTGCTCCACAGCAGCCTTGCCATCCTGGGATGTCTGACGTTCTCGAACACGCTCCGCAATCTTGTGTGGTCGCAGATCCTCGCCTGCAATATCATACACGTCCGGCAAGTTCTTCTGAACTTCCACTCCATGCTGCTTGCGCACCTCAGGAAGCAGCTCGTATTCGAATCCTCCCCTGCTGACACTCTGATCATCGTCCTGAATAGTGATCTGCTTGTTCCCTCTCTCAAATGCCTTGAGCAGTGGATATCGATGCAATAGCAATGTGACAGGCGGAGGATCCGCAATGCCTTTTAGTGAATGGGCAACCAGCTTGCCAATACTGCCTGTTCCGAGAATGTGTATACGCTTCGGTATATCGCCTTGTGAAGCATACTGTCGATCAATGGGACTCCTTGACCTCTGGCTCCGTGTCTCGTCTTCCTTGACTACCCTATCGCCTCCACCCTCCCCATCTTCATGCTGTGGTGTAGATGTCTTCGCATCCATATTCACAGATGATCCCGAGCCTGAGCCTGACTTGGCCTCCATATCACCCTTATACTCGCCACCACTCCACCAAGAATAACACTGTACGCGCTGCTGAAGATGAATGTTATTACCAAAACAGGCCACCCGGCCCGCAGCAATGCTATCGCCAAAGCATCTTCCGTACGCCCGCGGTATTCGGCGCGGAAGGTGGTATATGGCTGTAAAAGGCAGCGTGTCTTTGCGCGCTACGACCGGGTCATAGCATGGAGCGTCGCTATCTGCACCAAGAGAGCGAGACGAGTTCGTGTCGTGTGAGGTGACTACAGGGGCTGGAGGCGAATTGTTTCTGGGTCTCTTAACCTCTTTGCGTCATGACATGCAAGAGAGCTTTCTTAGGCACACTATCGTCCGAGCTTAGACCGGAAGTGAGCTGGTTCGGGATGACTGCCGACGACTTCATCTTCACTCCAATACACAGAAATCACCTACGCGGGTATGTGGCATCATTTATTTGATTAGACCAGGTACCATGACGACCCTCGCAAAGCCACCACAGCTCTTCTGCCGACTTCTGGCCCTACCGACACCTCTCCGCCAAAGGACTTTCTCGATCCTAAACAGACCACCACCCAATTATCCCGGCCATGTTCCGCTCACTCTTGTCGAACGGGCTGGTCTTGCTGTCGGCTCGGCATTCGGCTCGTTGGCGAATCCATATCGCCACGATCTTATTGCAGCTCTTGGTGAAGCAACCTCAAAGCCATACTTCATTACCCGTCTTCGCCACGCCATGCTCGCATCACCTACCGGCCGACGCATCTTGAAGGACAAACCTCGGATCACCAGTGCATCTATGAGTCTAGAGAAACTTCGAAAGCTGCCCGAGAACTCCGTTGGCTATGCTTATACTGCATGGCTTGATCGAGAAGGCGTCACGCCTGATACGAGGGACAGCGTGAGGTATATCGACGATCCGGAAGAAGCGTATGTCATGCAACGTTACCGCGAGACGCACGATTTCACGCACGCGATTACTGGATTGCCAGTCATCATCGAAGGCGAGCTAGCCATCAAAGCCTTTGAATTTGCCAATACTGTCCTCCCAATGACTGCGCTGTCTCTTTTCGCGGTCGTGCGACTGAAGCCTGTAGAACGAAAACGGTTCTTTGATACGTATCTCCCCTGGGCGTTGCGCAATGGTCTCAAGGCCGAGGAAGTCATCAATGTTTACTGGGAGGAGGAACTTAAAACGGATGTTGAGGTCTTGAGGGCAAGGCTGGGCATCGAGATGCCGCCGGATTTGAGGGAGATTAGGAAGATGTTGCGGGACCAGAAGAAGGCTAAGAAGTCTGCCGGGGAGGCGAGAGAGAGATTGGGATCTGTTACTGGTGTGTGAGTGAAGGTTGTGAAGTGACATTGAGAGTCCTCGGGGCTATCGTGCCAGCTACAGGTTACCACGATGGTCTTCCGCACTTCCATAATTCGCTGCTTCCTCAAGACTCGTCGCACCTTCCTAGGTCACCACCGCGTGCTCAAGGTCATGTGATGGAATGTTCTCCTCCGCACTAGCGCCTGTTAGACCATGGAGCGTCGAGTGAAGTGAGATTCCACCCCAAACCGGGCGAGCACCAGCACATATACGACCAATGGTACGACCAGGTACTGGGACTTCAATTCACTTTGCTGCGCTGCTGCCTAGACATCAGCTGCTAATGGAGTGTTGGACGTTGCGGGTATAAATACCTTACTCCGACCTCGTTGCAACCTTCTTTCTCACACTCCAGTTTCACATCGCGACCACATTGCCACACTTACAGCCGAGTCAATTACCACATCCCGTCATACCACCTAACGCTATACGATATCTATAGCGTGCATCAAGACCGCGATGTCGATCTTCTTTGCTGCAGTAGCTATTGTCTACTTCCTGCTTGCCGTGGTCGATGGTCTCCCTGCTACCGGCTACGAAGGTCTGCAATCTGGCCCTACCGCACTCCACTTCGACCTCGCCAGCCAACGCGAACTTCTCCTCGACGTTTTCAACCATTACGAAACCTACCTCAACGGCATCGGCGCTTCCCTCGCCTCCGTGCAAAATTCGAATTACGTGCTTACGGCTACGCTTGCGACCATCCTCGAGCTTGGTGCATCATCGTATCGTTGCAGAGGGGACCGTTCGCAGTGCTTCGCGAAGGCAAGGAAACGAAAGACTGCACTGCATAGCAAGGTAGTTACGCATAACGAAGTCACGAATTACTCTAGTCGACTACGTCTTGTTCTCTTCGTTCGGTATCGAGCTTGAAAGTCCTGGGTGCAGGCTTGTCGCATCTATCCCGGAAAATTCGTTCTTCAAAAGTCTTGCCTCGTTGGCGATGTTTTGCCGGTATCGTAACACTTACTCTTTTTTCTGTTCTAAGGCACTTCTCCCTGCATGCTGCACCCATACCCGCACGAATCTCTCGGGTGCTATCGTCCATCATGAACGTTCACATGTGTGCACATGTAACTCTGCGAGGTCTAAGCGACTGCCTCTTATCAACTTGTCATCACAGCTGTCGGGGATGTATGAGGCCTTGCCGAGTGGGAGGTTCACACGTATGTTGGAGATAGTAGCTGCGACTCCTTTGCAGCCTGAGAGACTCGTCCTACGCATGAGGACAGTAGATCTGGACAAGGTCACACCATCAAGCAGAGATGCCAAAGCACTTGATTCGGAACAGACAGATGAGGATGATGATGATGATAATGACGGAGAGGGGTTCGATGCACTTTCTTATACTTGGGGAGCACCATGGTCGACACCAGAGTATGAGTCGCAGTATGGGCCCGAAAACGATGTTGACATTATCGTGCTTGTCCACGGTGATATGCGGCACAAGCAGCGTATAGGCAGAAACTTGTACGAGGCTCTTTGCCGTATCAAGGCTTCGGAAAGCTCACCAAAGTGGCTCTGGGTAGACGCCGTCTGTATCAACCAGCAAGATCCGTCCGAGAAGGGAAAGCATGTTTTACTAATGAGCGACATTTACACGAAAGCGATGAGAGTGATCGTCTGGTTCGGCCAAGGTAATGTCGACGACTACAAGCATCTAGCGTGGCTTCACAGCCACGCTCTTGACGTTATCGAAGACTACGTTGAGGACAATATGCCACTGCAGCGATCGGACTTCTCTCAGGTCGCTGGAGGAGAGGGTATCGTCGTTCACTGCCTCAATGAGTATCTTTTACCACGGGAGGCCTTGACCGCATTGTACAAATTCTACGCTTAGCTCAGGTACTCGCATCGCGCATGGATGATACAAGAGATTGCACTAGCCCGCAAAAGCATTGTTCCGCTTGGAGACGACGAGATAAAATTTTGGAGATTCTCGACCCTAGCAGGACGACTTAGCGCTCTTGCTGTTTACGAGGGGGAGTATTATCGAGACACCCGCCAAACCTCCCCGACTGAAGGGGCAGAGTTTCCCGGGCTCGGCCTCAACGCAACAATGATTCGAGACTGGAAAGTGTCGACCATGGCTAGTGATCTCAAAGTCCTCTATGGTGCTCATGACGACACCACGTTATCACTAGCCTTAATGGAGTGGCAATTAGGTCAAGCTCACAGAATGGCCACTGATCCGAGAGACTTGATCTATTGTCTCTTCGGCATGGCCAAGGCTATCCTCCCAGAAGCCGAGATCCCTCTTGTGCCAGCGTACAATATGGCTGTCGAAGATGTGTTTACGGGGTTTACTGCAATATTGCTAGACTGGCTGCCCTACCGTACTGTACTGTCACTCGTGGCCGACAAGCCGCATCACGACAGCTACGTCCAGAGACTTCCTAGCTGGGTGCCAGACTTTTCGACGGTCAGCGAGGTAAGTACAACAATACAAAGGACTTTGATGAAGAATACTCAAGATTTACCTGACCTACTTCCTGGTTACGATGAGCCGGAATCCTCGTGGCTGAGTATCAATCGTGGAAAGCTCATGCTTCTGGCGCGGCCAGTAGGTGACCTTGATCACATGTTCCAACTCGGCTGGTATAATTCTGCAGGTCCGCGGAGTACATCTAGTCGGTATTTGCAAGACATAGCAGGAATGACGGCAGTATTGCAAGGGTGCCAGGGATTGATTGCCCAAAGAAAATGGGAGTGTTTGGTGCCATTCTTACGCATATTGTGCTTCAACGTACCAACGATCGTAAGCGATCCAGTCTTCATCACACTCTGGCGGAAACTGCTGTCGATCGTAAGACTCGAGCCACGAAGAATGTCGACAAAATGGTCTCTCCCTAGAGAAGTGACCGACGCCGCCGACGACTTGGCGGGTATGTTCGAGGAACTGAAAGGAGTATCTTTCGTGCCAACTCCTACTCAAGTAGAAGCAGAAGAGAAGACTCTCGACATATTGATCTCAATGGTTGATGTCGTTGACACAGAGGTCGCTCTCCAATGTCAAAAGCAGCTCAAGGCACTGTGGCCAGAGCACTTTACCACCGAGGACATTATTGCTCACAGTAGTGAAGATGCTGGGGAGCATGAGGAAACCAGGTATGTGGAAGAATTGTTCGAGCGGGAATTTGAAGCATTCCGAGCGCTCTACACTCAAGGTGTAGATCCACGTGATCGCGCGAACGATACGTTCTTTACCACAGCGAGGGGCATTGTCGGTCGTGCCATCGGCAGGCTCCTCCCTGGAGACCAGTTGTGGCTGATTTTTCGAGCTAAGGTGCCGTATGTGCTTCGGCCAACCAGCGATGGGCAGTATATACTGGTTGGAGAAGCACTTGTACATGATACACGGAATGGAGGGCCACTCTAATACGACTTGACAGAAGAGCCGCGCAAGATCAAAATCGTGTGAGGCCGAAAGGCTGTCATTGACTCCGTTCTGCCGACGCCACTGTCGATGGGCTGCCTGTACCGGACAGACCTTGGTCACGTCCATAGGCTCGTGGTGACTAATTTGACGGTTATGCGAGCCCAGGGAGATGACGCTAGACCTAGGGTACGCAACCCTCACCATCCTGCGATATTAGACGGTCCCCTGATGTAGGATGTGTTTCTTGTGATCTTGAGTGAAGGAAGAGGCGGAAAAATGTGTCTTGGGAAACAGAAGGCGTGGATGAAATCTTCAGTGGTTTCAAGACGCGGTATACTCGGTGTGGCCTTGCGATGCCGTACCTCTCTGAAGCATAAATCGTGTTCCAAAGCACGAACGGAAAAAGTTTCGTGATAAAGATGGAACTGTAGACGTCGATTTGGCTACTTCTGGAATCACAGAAAGTCCGACGCCAGCATCATTCCAACTTGGACCACTGAAAGGCCCAGTACTTCCGTTCACGCTCTCAATGATCAACCTCGATTTGCATGCTGAAGCCCACATCATTGGCGGAAGAATTGATCAGATCTGCGCGACTCGTGCTAACCATGGATGAACTCCATGCAGCTACGGGCCGTGTGTCGTCCATGTTCGCACCATGTATCTTAAGAGCTCGGCCCTTGAATAAACAGCCTGCCCAAGAGCTCCCCGCTTCGCACCCCACAATCAAGATGGAACGGGGGAAATTTAACTTCCAATCCCATGATCTCGGCATGATCGCTGTGCACCTGCATGATTCAACAAACAATAACAGCGGTTCGATTTAGCCGCCAGTAACATTATCATAGCCTACCTCTGGACATTAGCCAGTAGCTCAACACACGATCAGGCACCCGAGGCGGGAGAGACTATGGGAGCGGCAAAACAGTCGAGCGATATGTGTACCCTGGAAGTCGGCAGGCTGCACCCAGGCAATAATGCAGAGTGTCAATGGGTGAACCGTAATTTGTGGCGAAGGCTCTGGCTAGGTGGTCAATATGGCTGATCTGCTGGATGATGGAAGTCAGGTATATATGGAGTACACTCGACCATCTTCTTCCCGGATTCCGCTTCCACGAATATACAGCGAACTGCATCATCAACCATCGACAAGATGTTGTTGAGGTCCTCGCTCAACCTGCTCGTCACTGCTGCTGCAGTTGGCATCACAGCACAGTACTGCGATCTCCCAGCTACGCCACAATGGGCTTCGACACCGGATGGACCGCTGGCACAGCCTATGCACAACTGGACCTCACTGAAAGACTTCACCCACGTGCCATACAACGGCTCTCATCTCGTGTACGGCTCCCTCGTCAACAACAGCAGCTACAGCTCGATGAACTTCGGCCTGTTCAAGGACTGGTCGGATATGGCTACTGCCAGCCAGAATGGGATGAACAACCCTACGGTCGCGCCAACGCTCTTCTACTTCGCACCCGCTAGCATCTGGGTGATTTGTTACCAATGGGGCGGCCACTCCTTCAGCTACAGGACTTCTAGCGACCCAACTAATGCCAATGGGTAAGTGATGCAACGAGGACCATCATGAGGGACGCACTCGTAGCTGACTCGCATCTTTTAGATGGGGCCCTGAGCAAGCTCTCTTCGACGGATCGGCTGCGGGTGCACCTTACGGTCCCATCGATCAGACCTTCATCGCCGACGACGAGAACGCATATCTGTTTTTCGCTGGTGACGACGGGCAGATTTACCGTTCCAGTATGGCACTCGGCAGCTTCCCTGGCAACTTCGGCACGTCTTCCCAGACCATCCTCAACGATACGGTCGAAAACCTTTTTGAAGCTGTCCAGGTCTACAAGCTCAAAGGTCAGAAGAAGTGGCTTATGGTAGGTCAAGATGGAGCACTACTATGTCGGAATCCATGCTTTCTTACTGACACACTTTTGACAGATGGTCGAATGTGAAGGCTCCGTAGGTCGTTACTTCCGTTCTTTTACGGCTACCGACCTCGCTGGCAACTTCACCGAGTTGTCAGGTCTCGAGAGCAACCCCTTCGCAGGTAAAGCAAACACCGCTATCACGTGGTCGAATGACATCAGCCATGGTGATCTCATCCGTAGCACCAACGACCAGACGTTCGAGATCGATCCCTGCAATCTTCAATTCTTGATCCAGGGGCGTGGTCCGTCGACCGCAGACTACAATGACCTGCCATGGAGGCCTGCTCTTCTGACTCTCCAGAACCCAGTTCCCCTGCAGGGTGGCAGCAATAGCAGCACTACCAAGACTGCCAGCAGCACGACCTTTACAACCAGCACGACAAAGATCTCCACTTCGACTGTACCTACCACGACCAGCACAACGAAGATTTCTACCTCGACTGCACCTACATCCAGCAGCATATCTCACAGCAGTAGCACGTCACACAGCACATCACACAGCACTTCCCACTCGACTTCGCATACCAGTACTTCTACCAAGAAGACCACTTCGACAGTCAAGGCAACGTCGTCTTCAAAGAGTGTTACCAAACCAGCAGGACCTCCTACTCCTCCTGCCGGCCCGCCTCCACCGCCACCTGGACCTCCCGGTCCACCTCCTCCACCAGGTTATGGACCTCCTCCTCACTACATTTAGTACGGCTGAGCGAAAGTGGTATAACTGAGGCCAAGGGCACGTTCTTTAGCCTCCATACAAGTCTGTTGCTGGACCACCATGTGCTTGTATCGTTACATAAATCATTGCGACCCGTGTATCCACCCGCACTGCAATCAGACCCACCTTTCATCACTTATTCTCAATAAATCAGTCATCCGCATTTGCAGATAGTCGTTTGTGGCGCCTCCGGACGAACTGAAAATCCCGGCGCCCGGAGCTGTACCAATCACAGCCATTAGTGGCTCGGCTCCATCTTTGTAGCTTTGTCCCGAGAACGAGAGCGAATAGGGAAGTTGGCTTCTGGTTTTACGAGCTGCGCTAGCAGTCCGGAGGTAGGGTGTTATATGAATCGCCGTACCCTTGAGACCATGCCAGGTATGGCTGAAGCCAAGGCTCCCTTGGCCGAGATCTCGAATATGTATAAATACAGAGTGAAGGCCGCTTATAGTGCAACTGCTCAGACTAAAAACTTCTGCCATCAGAGAATTGGTGATATATGATCAGATTCCCCAGCAGCGCCCGGGTGATCACAGGACGTCTACACATTAACAAAATGCCAGAATTCACCCTCTACGGCTCTGCTGGCTCGAGCAACACGGATCGCGTTCGCTTGACTCTGGCCGAAGGAGGTTTATCTGATTACGAACTTGTCCATATCAACTTACGCACCGGAGAACAGAAGGTGAGCGAGAGCGTTCCAGCCTCGAGGATGAAGTCTGTCGAAGCTAATACTTTTCGATATAGTCGCGAGAACATGTCGAGCGTCATCCATGGGGCAAGGTACCGGCCATCACCTTCCAGGACGGCTTTACACTTTTTGAGAGCCGCGCGATCTGCAAGTACTTGACCAAAAGATACTGCTTCCCGCTTTTGCCCCCTGCGTCCGACATCGAGGCTACTGCGCTGGTCGATCAAGCGGAATCCGTGGAGATGCTCTACTTTACAGACCCGGCGGGCAAGATCGGCTTCGAGAAGTTTGCCAAGAAAATGATGGGTCTTCCGCCGAACGAGGCCGTCGTTGCGGAGGCTGTCAAATCCCTGGAATCGTACTTTGATGTTGCGGAACGGCTCTTACAGCAAAGCGACTACATGGCTGGGAAGGACTTCACGCTCATCGACATATATTACATACCACTCATTCAGCGACTTTTCGCGTGTGGATATGGAGATCTTGTGTCCAGTCGCAGTCATCTCAACGCATGGCGGGAACGTTGCATGAGTCGTCCCGCTATCCAGAGACTGCTGAGTGCTGACAGGGAGGCGATGATGGCCGGAAATGGTCCATAAAATATAGACGATAGAGCCGAAAAGATCTGAAAGCAGCTTACTGATCACGATATCAAAGTTATCGTACCATTGAAATGATTCACTTGGCGACTCATCCACCATCCTTGTGTCTTGGTTCCGTAGAAAGTGCCAATGAGACTGCTGCTTGCCCCCTGAAATTCCAAGTCACTCATAGGATTCGGACGAATTCTTGTGTGTAGAATCTTATCGAGCATGCATCCTTGACTTCGCCTCTGCAGGTCCTGGTGGGTTGATCCAGGTCAGTGAGTCCTGGGCGTGTGAAGTAAAGCTGTCATGCAGACCACCCAGTCAACCGTGCCGATAGCCTTCAATGCCACGGTGGTCTCTACGCCAGCCAGAAACGGCGATGCACAGATACGGTGATGGTGTGCGTTGATCTGAATATGGATGCCTCCCCTATGTCCCTGCTGGACGGCTGTAGACTCACGTCTTACTCTGTTCTATCCACTTCTTTTTCTCTTCATCAGACCACTTCACACTCACCTCACTGACGTCTTCCTTCTTGAAGCTGCTCTGCCCCTTCGCTTGGCCTTTCAATATTACCTTTGTCAACCCAGCTTCATTCCTCTCCAACAGTCCCAGTCCTCTGCCGGTATTCTTGTCCATCAACAACTTGTTCACACCGATCGAGACGCTATAGTCCTCTATCACTGGCTCTCCAAGCACGTTGCACCTGAACGTGGGAACGTAGAGAACATTGCGGAGGACAATCGTGGAGTTGACCATTGCCTTGTTCTTCGCAGCTTTGGCTGCTGCACCTAACAGGAGGCGAACATCGAGACTGACTTCACCTATGCCTTCGATAACGTGTGACTCACTGCCCCTCGAGATGGTCGAGGCAAGAGGAGTGAACGTGGAGAACCAGTCTCGATGATTGGCGACGTGGATGTTGCTGGTGCTGGACCAGATCCAGTCGGTATCGTAGTCCTTCCCTTTGGGTGCCATACCAGACAATGGCAGGTGAATTAGTGTTCCAAAGTGCGTGTGCGAGACGTACAGACAGGGAGAACGCCTGGGTCACATCATCTCAAAGCGCGCTAATGAGGCGCTAGGACGTATTAGGGTTTGTGGTCGCTCGACTTTGCACGTACGAAGGCAAAACACAATTGTGAGGGAGGGCACTTCGAGCCGATGATAGAGCCGAGATAGGGTACGATCACGTCTATTATGATCACAGAAGTACGAATGCGGGATGCAAAGCGTGTACCGGGACACAGAACGCTCGTTAGGGTGTGAATGATCTTGAGTGTAGAAGCCTTGTTACATCGGTCGTAGTATGATTCAAAAGTCCGCGCCCAAAGTATGACATTCGATCGGGTATCTAACTAAAAAATCGCAACGCATCTCATAATGTGCAACCCGCCATGACTATCATCACGTCCTACTCCATCAAATGAATCCAAAGCCTGTGCGATCCATCTACACATCGCCGATCCCAGCAGCAACATCGTTATTGAACGATCGCAGTCGAGATCTGGGCCAAGTGGTTGATAATTGACAGTGTGTGACAGGAAGTACCGAAGGTAGGCCTCAAAGTATGGCCACAGACTTTCCCACACGTACAACCTCGGTCAATAGGTGGTGGACGGCCTCACCAATCCCTCAAATCATGGCAGCGGCGACAGCGGCAGCCGCAGCAGGTACGACCGACACCTTGTACACGTCCAACGCAGCAGTGGGTGCTGCGGCCTGTGATGAGACTGTGCAAGAAGCTGATCCACTGGCTAGTAAGTTGGCACCTGCCGTCATGGGGTACTGTGCGTAGCTGATTTGGGTGCCCGTGAGCGTCGAAGTCGTTTTGGTCTGTGTATGTATCCCGCCCGCACTGAGCGAGACGGTGGCAGCGCACACAGCTCTGGTGGTGCCGTCCAGCGAGCATGACTCGGCGACACTGCCTGTCGCGCCAGCAGTAGAAGTGTCGTACGTGATCTTGTAATCTGTCGGACCTGCCGTGGCGGCGAACTACACACAAGTCAGCAACTGCTCCGCATGTTTGTCGTTTCTACAAATCATACTGTGAGGCGGTAGCCATCGCAAACAAGCGTGTCTGTGCAGGTGAGTGCATAAGTCGTCTCGCCACAAGCCGTGGCGGCGACAACGGAACCGGCCAGACCACTAGTCACCGAGCCGAGTGCGAGAAGTGCGACTGTCGTTTCTGCTTCTATCGATGCTGTCGCACTTCGTCACGTTGTAAGCTGCGCAGACGCGCTCAAGGCGGAAACACTAAACAGAAGAGCTTGCGAGAACATGATGGAGCCGTTCCAAGATTGAGATGCTGTTTGAGCGAGCGAAGATGTGTATGAAGTGGTTTAGTGTTGCTGTGAAAGTGATTATGGAGCAGCGAGATACGGTGGTCTTCTTACATTTATGTTGCCCCGACGCCCTGCTAAGGGCAGAGGCGGAGTCACACAGCCATTTGCTACGCTTCTGATCCTCCGCCAAGGTGTCCGTTGCTTAACACTATTCATCTACGAAGCAGGTCGAAGGATTGATGTAGATTTGGGGGCAGCACGGCGCAGCAGGGCCAATGCGCAGATCCCTAGAGCCGATCGCAGCTTGGCAAAAGGGGCTGAAACATGCAGTCTGTACGGTGTAGCATTGTTTTGTGATGTGAGCATACGCGCTGGTGGTGCAACGGAGCTTCGTGAGAACGATATTATGTTGTCCCTTGAGAGACTAAGACGAGGTGTGGTTACAGGAAGCAGCCGTGCAGCATCCGCTCTTAACAGGGACGGATATTGTCGACCAGCTGTGTGGCGCTGAACACAATTCTAATACGTCGATGATAGGACCGAACATGGCTGAGCACACGAACTCGGCTACAGAAGTGGCGGCGGTGTAGGGCGGTATAGAGCGTCCCTGTCGCTGGCTAGCCCCACTGTGCATCCATACATAACCATGGATCTGCATCCAGTGCACTGTGAGCTTCTTGGGCTGAGCAGCCAAAATATCAGCCAGATGACTTAGTGTCACGCCGGTTGGGACTTTGCCTGTAGATGGAACGAGTTGATTGCATTTGCCGTTGGGCTTGGTGTACCTAAGCATTTGCATCAGCAATCGATCCATGTTGAATATCTGCGTGGCAAGGACTCTCACCAGACGCTCATGCTAATGCTTTGGACTGGAGGTGACGTGAGTTGCATACGGCGCCACGATACTGTTTTGTTTGTGATCAGAGTCTTGATTGATGGCGAAAGAGTCATGTTCGTGGGGTCCTGTGACCAGAGAGACGTGAGGAAGGGGTTCAGGACGATATGCTCGCCTGTACTCTCGATCTCGGCCGCGGTCGTTTCATTCGACGAGCCTGAAGCAGCGGTGACGAGATAAGTCGAAGTTTCGATTGTTCCGCGCTTCTCCATCTGATTGGCCTCGACTTACCTCTCATTACGAGGTTGTATGGCTAATAGTACTTCCTTACCTGTGGATTGATATCAGCATCTAGTCGGGAGCTCTACTTTGCAGCTGGCTGTGCGGCATCGTACCTTTCATTGCTGGAAAGACAAGCTCGCCGGGCCCAGGAAGCAAGAAACAGCCTCTGCTGCATCTTCTGGTCGAGGGCAATGGTATGATACCATGATCGGCAGACTCGTTGGGCCCTCAGCAGTGTCGAGGTTGGCAAGTAGCCGAGGATTGTCAGGCGGAGCTCAAATATGTTGAGTGCCTTCCCAACAGAAGCTTTGATTGGTCTGCCTGCGTCTGGCTCGGTCGTTAGATCGGACATGCCACGGAGGACCGAGAGAGCATCGGCGTCGTTTGAGGCGGTCGGTTCAGTATCGCTGGAGAAGCGACAAGTCGACTTTTGGGTCGTCCAGCCAGCCTTGCCTTCGAGCAATACGACACTGTCTTGCAGCGACCGCACTTCTTGAGAGTGCTGGTCTTACTGCAATGAGCACAAGTGACTTCGTCTGCCATTCTAGTCGATCAGCTCTCTTGCTTCAGGTGGTCAGTATAATTGATGAAGAATGGTACGTTGGAATCTTACGACCCAGGACGCTTAGTAACGGAAAGTGTTTCGTGCTCTTGAAATGATAGATCACTTTTACTGTTTAGATGGCAAGCAAATGGTCAGAGCTCCACGCGTACCTGCAGCTGCCCTTGTGAACGCGGCTGGGCTATCGCGCAAATCCTCGAGATAGTGAACCGGCTTTACGGCTCATATTCATGCGACCGGACTTAATCTACCGGCCTGGTTGTGCTGTGATGATGATTTAGGTGCTAGTCCACATATATACGAAGACTTACAGATATTCGTTGCCATCCCGAAGTGCGCGTACGTCCTTGCTACCGAATCCAACTCTCCCAAGACTCTTCCCATCAATTTGTATCTCTTCCACCATACCAAAGCTCACCATCTTCAGCTCCGCCCCAGCATCCTCAGGCCGTGCATGACATGCAGCAGCCAAGGCTACACTGCAGCTACCCACAGTAGGAGCGCCCCTTTTCAGCCGACCGAATATCGCTAGCGCACCTAACGCGGCTATCATGGCTCCTCCGATCACCACAGAAGCAATGATGCCTTTTATGGACCACCCACAGCCTGAATTGTAGCTGCGAGGTTCGCCATCCAGGTTATAGCTTCCCACACGAACTGCGAAGATCGCTTGTGACACAAATTCGTGTAATAACACCATGGCGGCGGTGAATGGGATAGCATAAGCCCATGGCAGTGATAGCTGCCAGTTCCCGACCTGCTCTGAGCCCTTGATAGGCTCCGAGACACGCAACGGCTGTCTGTCGTTCGCTGCTGTCCTCGCAGACTCCTTGGCGACATCATTGTCTCCCAACGCGGCGTACTGAGAGAACTCTTTGCACATCAGCATCGTTGTCAGCAAATGGTTGTAGCTGAAGTATGCACAAGAGATGGCCAATTGTGGTATGTTAGCCAGTAAGACAGTCCCTAGCAGAGGCCAGCCAATCGTTCCCGGGATGAGAAGGGCAGGATTCGGCTCTCCCAGGCCCTCGCTTCAGAAGCCTGCATCCCATTTACCCCAGTGAAAGCCAACATACAGCATGGCAAGTCCGCCGACAAAGACCACGACGATGATGCTGAGGTTGAGCAGCCACTTTCCAGGGCTCACAGTTCTGCATAGCATGAGCGGTGGCTGCAACCACTTCCGAGGCTTTGTTGGCCCGGGGTTTGCGCTATGCTTCCGCCATTCTCTTGATGTCACCTGCCTATGGTTCAGTAGACCTTGATGCTCTGTATGTAGATCTGCCGCACCGAGAAAGGATGCGATAGCATCGCCTATGGTGGCAAGTGGATCGAAGCGTGGTAGCAGGAGCGTACCGAGCAAGCACAGAAGCTTGACGATGTTGAAGGCAATAACTACGGCCGGGAAAGTGATACTGATGTTTACTTCGCTGGCGAGGTTTGGGCTTGCCAGGGCCAAGCAATATTGTACGTCCACTTGTGCCCGACCCGCTGGCCATGTAGAGCTTGCAGCAGGGGGTGTCCAGAAGCCTCCACTAAATTTCGTTGTGCTCGGCGACTCTGTACTAGACGAAGTTGGTGTGGTTGCGGTAGTGTTCAAAGTATCGTCTGGGAACTGGCGGCGCTGAAGGCTGTTGCTTGGGTCGTAAGTTGTATCGCTCGTGCAGGTTTCCGGCATTCCGCCACCTCCGAGTGCATTCCAGTCATATGTGAATGTGCCATTACACAACGGCTCTTCGAACGCCCAATCGTCTGAGTCACCCACAATCCAGCCTGGGGATGCAGGCTGACCTTGGGCGGTCGACTGCCAGAAGGTGTATATGACAGTGTCGTTTGGACTGTGGTAGTCAGAAACCAAAAGGACATGAGACCAACCGCTCTGGACTGGGACATCATATGCCTTTCGGCACTCAGCTGTGTTCATGTGTCCGAGAGAGTTGTGATTGCTCTGCAAGGTCTCAATCAGACTCGTATTGTGGTCCCAACCGTTATCGCCATTGGGCTTCGCGCAGTAGGCTCCGCCGTCTAGGAATTCCGGGCTCACCAATACTGCCAAGTAATCGGCAGCCGCCGGGGATGTGAAGACCACGGAGTTGTAGAACAGTGACAGTGGGACAGAGCTCAGGGCCAGGCACACCGATAGTATGCCACGCCATATATCGATGCGAAACAAATTCCGAGCACCGGTCACACCTATGTTGAGCCAATCGTTTTTCGCATGCACCGCGTCAACTTCTTTTCGAGTCGACGATGACAGACACTGCATGCAGGCGCTGCAGGTTGACAACAGCAGGAAACTGAATATGTTTATAACAAGGTGCGTGCAGAAGACTACTTGTATGTCAGCGTCATGAAGATCAGGTAGGCCGGTACCTCGTCGCTCCACAGATCTATCAACTTACAGACTGTGCCGGCGTCTTTGTTTGAGCCTTCATAGATCACCGTGATGCCATCTTCGTGATCTTTCTGGACTACCCAGCCAAGGATCGCAATGTTGATGATCAGGACTATGCACACGGCGGCCATACCCTTGCGTAGAGTGCTTCGCCCTGCGCCCAACGGTCAGCATGCGTACGGCTCTGATTTCGTCCAATGAGTGCTGATGAGCTCACAGTATGCTCCATGTCTCGACTTCTCATCCCGTCCTTGGATTAGTACAGGCCATTTGGCAGACAGTGAGCCTCTCATTGTTGATCAATGCTTCGTATTGGAAGAGGATGCTAACATGGCAGTCACACGGTACCCAGCAAGGTAGGAAGTCGGTCATTTTATACATAGCGTGACTGGGGCGTCGATGTGTCTGCAGCACAACCAGGAATATTGGGGCCAGAAAAAAGATCAAATCCTTCCGCCATGCTCGTAGGGCTCGCGTACAAAGCGATCGTGCGATCGAAAACAGACTATGCATGTATGAGGCTGTTGCAATAGGACAATACAGCGCAGTAACGCAACGCAACCATATTGCGCTGGCCTCGACGTCGGGAGTTCGTGATATGCTCTGAGGGCGATCCTGCTCTCGTCTTGCGCGAAGGCAAGACCATGACTTCGTGCTTGATGGCCGATGCGACAAACGAGAAGATCCCTGTCGATGCATCATGCGCGCATCTAAGCGACCCATGATCTTGATGTCGTGGACATGCGATGTACTTGTCCTCGTATACCGAATCGGAAGATCAGCGTCCACTATGATACCGTGTCCCAAAGACAGTGGCGGGAATCGACGTTGAGTGCAGGATGATGAAAGACACAGAGAGCGTGCAGTCAAGTGAATGTTTGCTGACGAGCGGCTCAGGAAGGGAGGCACGGAACGATGTGGGGCGATGGGGCCCTTGTGCCTTGGCTCTCCTTCATCCTCGACTTTCATTGCGACATCGCAGATCTTGTTACACGATGACATGGCCAGTATGCGATCGGTCTCAGCTCAAGTTCAGCTGGATGGGAGCCTTCGTGACTTTCGCGGCATACCAGAACTCGAGCGGCAACATTGAAGTGCTGGAGCTATACATGCTGTGGATTGAGAAACTGAAACCAAGCTCAATCGCTGAGCGTCTCGGACGGCTACTCGGATACCTAGTTTTTTCCTCTCGGCCGTCATGCTCATCGGAGACTACATCGTGGGCACAGCAGAAGCCGCCATGCATAGCTCAGGAGTCAGCCGCGCCGCCTTCTTCAGCGCTCCGCCTTCTTCAGCGCTCCGCCTTCATCCTCCATCGCGCTTCTCCTTTCTATGCTTTTCTTACTCGCGATTATGTGCTGGGACAAAGTATTTTTCCTCCAACCTACATGGCCGGCCAGGCTTTGTACGGTCCTTATACAACGCTTGTGTCCGAACTCCTTGCTACCTGTTGCGAAGCACCACCACTCCTCAGCAAGGCACCCAACAAGCTGACTAGTCGGTCGACGCTCAATTGGCGTACAGACAAGCTTCTTGGGTGTAGATGTCGGAATAATTCGACGGAGCCTAGTCTGATATATATCAGACGTGCAGAGTCTACTGCCGCCCGCGGTAGGGCACCCATCTCAGACATTGTGGTAAATGCTCAGCCCACAATCTGCTCAGTGACAGGAAGAGGCGGCACTTCCTTCCATCCTGCCAGGCTCAGAATCATCGTCCACTCAAGCGAGATTTAAGGTTAGTAAGTTTGTGAGATCGAATGACCACTCATTTGACGCGGCCTCATCCTCGTCCCTTTCCCGCCCAAGGCATCTCAGGCCAATGCGGCGATAGACACTGCTATTTGACGCAGTGGTAACCCTATCCAGACAAGAAAAGTCTCCACGCTTACTTCATGCCTCACTGGTGTCGTCCTCTCGATCAGCAAGCATAGCCACGTCGCGGCAGGACGAAATCCTTCCTCGTCCCATTGATTCCTGCATGCCAACGGACGCCGGCGACACCGTAGAGGCAGAACCCCTTCGTTATATTGAAATAAGGTGTATACCGATCCCCAGCTTCGACAGCTTGCGCAATATGTAGCATTTTGACCGGGCCACGCACGATAAGCAGGCTGGATCCTGGACTCGACACGAATGGTCTACCTATCCAGGAGGTATGGCACAGCATAATGGTCAGACACGACTCGACATGCCCATACATTGCGTTTGTACTGTCACGACCGCATCTACGTGAATGCCAGGGCCTGAATTCTACGCTCTGCCGGCATGAGAAAGGCGACCAGGATGGAAGCGGTGACGAAGGCGGAGGATCGAGCTCACGATCGCGTTTTGAGTCGGGTCTCATCCAGGATAAATCCTCATACAATGTACCTTTCCAGAGACCCAAAAAAAAGGCTCGTCTTTTGTGACCCGCTGATACAGCTCGTCCAGTCCTGCTAGCGCTGGTATACGGTCACGGGAGTATGTAAAGCGTCGCCGGGTATATTCTTCGATGTGCTCCCACCAGACATGGTTCCACTTGATGTCAGCTTGAGCGTCGATATGTGCCAATCCACCGAGCACCGGAGCCAGCTGTTCCGTCGTTCGCAGGATCATTTCAGGCCCCAGCTTCAATCCGGTCTCATGAAACACCTCGCTATGGCAATTCCAGACCAGCTCCAGATGCTTAATTTCCACCGTGCGTCGGGAGAGGACAGCCTCCTGCAGTGTCCAACCTCGACTTCTCAGTGGGCCTCGTTGCTTGATCGTTTGTGTTGAGACATGTGCGTAGACGGCTTCCATGCCTTTGGTGCCAGTAGAAGCCAGGAATGCGTGAAAGTGAGGCGACGAGTCTGCTGGTAAGCTGAATTAACCTCCATCGGCATTGGCTACTTCCCGCGCGAGGAAAGTCAGGTGGCTTCCAGCATAGATACGAAGCATCTGTTCAGCTTCGAAAGCTCAGTCCTTGACATCATCCTGAATGATACAGAGCGAATCTATCCAGATATAGCCGATGTTTAGAGCTTTAGTGTAACACATAGCATCTCTTACAGTCAAAGGCAGCTCGGCCCATGGGATATCGATCGTCAGCGCCTCATGGTTGCCCTGGAGAAGTCGAAAAGGTCGTGTGTCACCCCAACAATAGCTCAGGGCCGTGTACGTGGGCTCGGAGCCACCGAGCTCTGCCGCCTGTACAAGCTTTGCTACCATCGTGCTAGCATTGAGATCGAGCTTGATCAGCCTCGTGGGCATAGAGATGCGGTCGATGGGACGACACGCGGGATGATCTCTTTCGCAAACCTCCAGCCATGTTCGGATCTGCATCAATTTGTCATCGATACTCGTGGGAAACGTACGCCATGCTGGCAAGGCGGCGCTCTTGGCTATGTGTAACAAGCTCAGCATTCAGCTTACACGAAGATGTCGGCCCTCACCTACATTCTTGAGGGCACGATAACACGCTAATTGAGGTCTTGGCGGCGAGGCGACTAGGCAGATGAAGCTGCGCGCTCACATCACTGATTCGGAGGTCGGGAGGAATGGCGTCGTCGAATATGATCCCAAGGCCAATGGAACGAGAATGCAATTGCGTCTTGGTCTGGCCAGAAAATCGGACCAATACCTTCTGCGCAAGACGCTTACATTGAGCGAGGAAGTATCGGCAGCACGCACATGTGAAGGCTGGATCTGCAAGATCCTGCATCGTTGGCCAAGTCCTTAGGACTGGAGGCGCAGGAGCATCGACGACAAGTTGTGAGCAATTGCTGCAGAAGACCGTCGGTTGGGGTTCCATTTCTGTGATTCTCTCGAGCAAACGCTGCTAGCCAATGTTCGTCCCTTGATATTGAGAACTTCCGATGGTGGGAAGGACGGTGTAGCAATGTAAGGGTCTAGAGCACTTCGATCTGTCTGGGCAGGCCTGTAGGAACAGCGTCGTTGTGTCAGGCGCACTAGGCTCCTTATGGACTGTATAGCTGTGTGATGAAGAATCGTGAACACAGTGGCAAACCAGGCACTCAGCCCGAGATGGTCTGGAAGCACCGGTGAAACATGAATCAACCAGATATTGAAGAACATCTTATCGCTCGTCTATGGGACGCCTGGTATCAAAGTCATCATAAGCAGAAGAAGGCATCCGGCGGCATCGCAAGCTCAACGCTCAATCCGCCTAGTAAATATGGTGCCTCGAAGCTCCGCAACTCCTGCTCGCCACAAGACGCCTTGCACGTGTTCAACCGTTCTGAAGGGCAACTCCTGCTCACGCCGTTGGCAACGCCGCGGCGAATGATTCCGTGTGCTTTCGCCTTGCCGACTTGGCTTCGCTCTCTCATATGTCTCTTCTACAACTAATACTGCGCTTCGCTTTGCTCGGGTATGCAGGAGTGATGGGTGAGTGGGTGCATGATCGGCAGATGGTATAGTTTGGATACTTTTGCTTTCGTGATTGGAGTGATGCTGTGTGGGTCGACTATAAGAGCACGCACTTTGACTTCTTCGGCTTGCTTGGTGGTTTTGGTGAGATGACGGCCCTGTGGTTGCAATTGTTAGCGCAGACTCATGGTACTCCTTCTACCTCGCCCATCTTGTCCATCTCAGGTTCGCATTCTCCCAGCAGTCCTCAAGACCGTCCTCGCGTCCTCAATGTGACGCCCTCATGTCATGCTACCTCTATCATGCCTCCCCCGCATCCTCTTGCACCACATCCAATCTCACACCGCCTGCCTGCCCGCCGAGCCCTTCACTGTCCACGCCGAAATGCCAGAACGGTGCGTAAGCAAGAAAGAGGAAAAAGAAACTTACTTGATAGCCTCGTCAAACACACTCTTCAGATTCCTCTGCGTCAAAGCAGAACACTCAATGTACTTGACAGCCTTAATCTCCTTCGCAGTCTGCACAGCCACTTCGTACGATATCGGTCCCATCTTGCGCTGACGCAGCTGTTCGCGGACCTCGGGATCGTCTCGGAGGTCGAGCTTCGTGCCGACGAGTATGATAGGGACGCCCGGAGCGTGGTGTTCGATTTCAGGATACCACTGTGATCGCAAATGCTATTAGCTTCGTGACATACAAACATGTCAATGAGTGATGGAATGAAGGTGCACCCCTACCTTCGCCTTGACGTTGTCGAAGGATGATGGGCTGACGATGGAGAAACATATGAGGAAGACGTCGGTCTGTGGGTAAGAAAGTGGTCGTAGTCGATCGTAGTCTTCTTGACCTGCCGTATCCCAAAGTCCGAGGCTGATGGGCTTGTTGTCTACCATCACACTCGCCGAGTAGTTGTCGAAGCTGTGGGATCAAGTCAGCTCATACATCCCCTTCCCTCTTTGCTCAACGGATATCTTACACTGTCGGGATATATTCTCCGGGAAATGCATTGGTGGTGTACGATATGAGTAGACAAGTCTGTGGCTGTATCAGCTCTCCGCCTTGACATCGCCGTCGCCTCAGCGTTACCGCTACGTACCTTGCCGACGGCACCGTCACCCGTCACTACACATTTGAGCGACTGAGTCGCTTGTGTCGCCATGTTGACTCAGCTCCGAGCTCTTGCCGTATCAATGCCTGGTAGAAGCTCGGTTCCGCTGCCGCTGCCGCTGCCTCTGCTCACTCCCTATCCCGTGACTCTGACGCTCGCCGCCGTTGTTGTCGCACCGGCTCTTTCACAACACACCGCGCCACACCTCCCGCTCCTCGGCGCTTGTGATCCGGCTAAGCGAGGGCTTCAAGTCTTTGTGTTGCAGCCAGAAGATCTCGATGATGGTGTCCGTGTAAGGTCGAGAGTGTCCAATGGTCGAAAATCTCCTTCCAATACTACTGTAATCCACTTCACTTGGACCTCCGCCTTGCTCGAGCGAGATACCGCGCGAGTGGAGTGCTGTTGGGGTCAAGGCACGGGCACGGAGCGGCGCGCGCTGTGGCGTTTTTGAAGCCACGTGAAGCAAGGATCTGAACAATCACAATGAAGACGAAAGCCTCACTCTATTGACATAGTGGAAGTTATGTAAAGCGAGCAGAACGGCGCAGCAAAGGTCTTCATACAACAGCGTCGGGTCAAGCTTCGGAGCAAGGAAGTGCGAGCTGCAGCAAGTTGCATTGGCGTGCAGCACATGCCGGAGTGGAGGCTTCTACAGCTTCTGCTTCGCTTGCGAGAGGCGTGGGCGGCAAAAATGATACGGCATTACCGACCAATAGCACGAAATCGAGCTTGTGATTTGCTGCGGAAGCTCTGCTGCAAGTACTTGCACGTGGGACGTGAGGCTCTACTGCTATTGTTGTCACATGGATTGTTTTGTCAGGCTTTTGGCGCCAGAAGTGAATCCCGTACAGAAGAACATGATACATGGGATTCTTTGCGCCTCTTTTGCCAGCTTGACGAAATGGGGTATCTAGTGTGAAAGACATTGAGCAACACAGGACTCAGCTGCAAATCAAGCTCGCAACAGAAGTGTGGTTAGCCTCACTTCATCTCATCCGCCCGTCTATCCTCCAGATCTTTAGCCATATCATGGCGCGACTTCCGTTTCTTCTTCTTAGGCTTCTTGTCATCCACTCCAGGCAAAGATCCCTGTTGCAAAGCCTGAAAGATCTCACTCGTCGACTTCGGTCCAGCACGCGGTCTCGATGCGATCGTAGCCGTAGCTGTGCCGGGTGAGCCAGTCTCAGCATCACTCTCCTCGGCAGCCTTACGTTCCTGCCTCCGCTGCCTCTTCGCTTCTTTTCTGGCACGCTTTTCAGCTTCAGCAGAATTCAATGCCATGCCACCCTGAGCATCGTCCTCCTTGACCTCCTCCGACCGCACAATAGGCACAGTCTCCTCATTTCCTTTAATCCTCTTCGCAGCCCCATCAAATCTCGTATGCGTGCCCACAGCCAGATCCTCCAACTTCCTCTTCGCTCCATTGCGTTCCCTCGCCTGTCTCTCCGCCCTGTCCCGATCATACATCTCATTCCCAGCTAACCCATGTTTCACAAACCTTGCTGCCGCATCTTTGTCGACGGTTGTAGTCCGCCTCTGTCCTACACTCTCAGCAGCCTTAATCTTCGCGAAGTATTCCTTCACTCTATTCAGTTCTTGGAAGACTGGGTGCGTTTTAGCATCTACACCGTTGAGTCGCAGAGCGGAGAAGAGGACTGAGTTGATCGCGTAGGTGGCTAGGACGTAGAGTTTTGCTTTGTCGAGGAGTGGGAGTTTGGATGTGCTGGTGGAAAGTGCGGTTTTCAGCAGTGGAGCGAGAGACTCTTCGAGGTCGTCGACGTTGCCTGTTAGATCGTCGACTAGCGACTCGATGTTTTCTGTGTCCATGGTGTCCTTGCTTGTTGTAGTTATTTTGAAGAAACTATGTGTACAACCTCGGTCATAAGTCAAGAATTATCTCGAAGCCCCGTGACGGGACAGATCGCGCTTGCGCAGTGACCCACGACTCCAGACTCCAGACTTCAGAGGTGCTTTCTAGGGTATGCAACCAACTACTCTACAGATGCATCGTGGCGCATGCTCCGCTATGTTGTCAAATATCTAGCTACCTATACACTGAAGTGCGCTCATTAGAAGATGCCAGCTCGCGCAACGAAGCGGAAGAAGCTTTCGGCCGTCACCAGCATGCCCTCCATTGGGGACCACCACACAGCATTCACCACCTGGTCTCGGAATCGTGGCGTCGAGATATGCAATGTTGCTCCTGCAAAGCTACCCGGCAAAGGCTTAGGTCTCGTAACAACAAAGAAGATCTCCAAGGACGAAAGACTGCTCTTCGTGCCCGAGAAAGCCATGTTCAAACCCGACCTTGCTCTGCTGAAGAAAGCGAAATTATCTCATGCTTCGCCGCAAGCTCAATTGGCATACTCTGCCATGATGGCTTGTCAGAACGGGAACGAAGGACTACGAGTCTGGCGAGCTACATGGCCTACGGATGAGGACTTCGAGCACTCTTTACCAATGCGGTGGCCAAAGAAATTGAGAGAGCACCTGCCTCCTTCTATTGATCAGCCCCTACGAAGACAGGAAGAGGACTACGCTAAGGATCTGGCGGCTGTACGAGCGAGTCACGACTCTAGTAGATACTTCGACGAGGATGAGTTCCGGTACTGTTGGTCGATTGTGAATAGTCGGTCATTTCACTGGAAGCCAGCGAGGAAGGGCAGCGCTGGGTGTATGGTCATGTGTCCGTTCATTGACTACTTGAATCATGGATCGAGTGGGACTTCTTGTAATATTGTCCAAAGGCCGCATGGGTATGAGGTCTTAGCTGAACGGGATTATGGTAAGTTAGTACTTCCCTCTTCGTCAAACCCTTCTCTTTTCTCTTTATCTTTTGTTCACAGAAGACCCGTATTGATCGCCAAATGGTATTAACAAATCGCAAGGTGAGCACTTAGCAGCACTTTTACAACGTAATTATTCTTACTGACCACGACATCTCAGAAAATGGTGAAGAAGTCCTAGCGACCTACGGCGCTCACACCAACGACAAACTTCTCGTACACTATGGCTTCGTACTACCCAGCAATCCCAACACTCCCAACATTGACGATGACATTCGCCTCGACCACATCCTTTTACCGGCTTTGACAGAAACCGTCAGCTCTCAATTGCAAGACACGGGCTTTCTGGGTGGTTATGCACTCCTCCCCGCCTCGAACGAACTCTGTTTCAAGACCCAAGTTGCTGTGCGAGCTATGCTGCTGACGTGTAATGAGTGGGAGTATTTTGTTAGTAGTGGTGAGGATCTTGCTCGGGATGAGACGGCTGCTGTGTTGAGGTTTATGCGGCCGTTGTTGGTGAAGTATAGGGATGATGCGCGGCAGAAGCTTGAGATTCTTGGTGGGAACGATGTCGCTAGTGGTGGGCTGGAAAATGAAGTCGGAATTTTGAGGACGAGGTGGAAGCAGATTGTGGACGGGCTCGATGTGTTCTTGGCTGAGTGAGGCAGCGTGCATGAACTATACTCGACACGTGGCTCTCTTCACGATCGGTATCTCACCCCAGCTGTGAGTGAATCTCCCTGAGGTTTCGTGTGGAGACTGGATACGAGGCACTTTCATGATGGGCGTGCATGGTTGTCAGCTTGAGGCTGCTTGAAGATATGCAGCTCTCCTTTCCATCGTAAGTGGCAACACCCCCTTGCACCTGCCGTTCTGACGAGAAGCAACGTCCTTCGCACCTTCCTGTTTCACAAGAAGCTTGTGGCTGAAGCTGGTCAGAGCTTCTTTTCGCCTAGTCCACGTTGGGCTTTTCTTCAACGCAATAGAAGGCTTCAATCAGAAATTGAGCTTGCGATAGACTTCCCCAGACGTGCACACCTGCTGGGCACAGTAGTGATGTCTCAGAGCAGGCCAATCATGGCGACCCTACAGGAGATGATTGAGGCGCTGGCCTTGAACCTCCCCAATGTCGCTTTGCCAGACGAACAACACATCATGCCAGAGACGAACCAGGCTATTTCTGGGGCGCAGGACACCTCACCGGGCCACGAGAAGCGTCCACTCACTCTCACCGACCTCCCAGCCGAACTTCGCGACCGCATCTACGAGCTCGCACTCTACCACCACGAGAACGCTGGCGTGGTCTCACTCCCCGCCACCACCCCGCACGCAGCGACCAGAAAATTGTCGATCGCTGGATTGTGGCAGGATGTGGTCTGCCCTGCTCCCAGTGCACTCCAAGGCGCCGACCCAACAACGTTCCTGCAACAAGCCATCGCCGCCAAACTCCTCACTCAAGCCGAGGTCGACCGCTACTCGAATGTGAACGATGTTAGACTCAGGGACGCCCGATTGGCAAATCTCATCCTGATGGCGAAGAAGAGATCTCGTGGGCGTGGCTGGCATCCCATGTTCCTCTTCTACGACAGCAACGGGATAATGCATCTCCCTACCGGTCACATCTGTATATATCAGTGTCTCCTCCAGCCTAGCTTGACGAGAGTCAATCGCGCTGTGAGGGAGGAAGCGCTAAGTGTATTCTACTCGTGCAACGCCTTCGAGATCCGGAGTTTGCAGGCCAACATCGAGCAAGCTGTGAGGTGGTGGCGCGGCGTGGGCGATTCGAATCTCCGGAGCATGAACTCCCTGCTTCTCTGCTTGAAGCCGAGTGTCGAGCTGCATTTTCAGACCACCGAATATGACGGTCTTCGCGTTAGGCTGGAGGTGAGGAAGCAGGACGGAAGTGCTTTTAAGGTCTTGTTGGTGGAGGGGAAGGTGCAGTTGTGGATTGGCTCCCCGGGCATGACCGCGGCGGGAGACCGAGCACGCCGTCGTGGGGCTGGCACTGTCGACGACCATAGCGATCAGGATACTGACGAGGACAGTGGCGCCGAAAACAGCACTGTGATTGTCGGCACGAATCGAGAAGACATCGGCACCATTGCGGGGAACGAGAATGGAGAGCAGAACACTTACCCTACAGCCCGTGAGCTCTCTCGTGCTAAGGACTTCAACCCACATATCGTGGCAGCCTATGTACGCATCGTCGAGCCCTTCGTCGAAGGCGGTCTCTGCGTGCAGACGATCGAGCAAGCGATGGCGGATCTGATTGATGGGTGGAGTATACACGGTCGTCAGGCCAGGGTGGTGCGGAGTTTTCATGGGTGAAAGTGGGAGCGTGGATGAATGTGGTGCAGGAGAAGACGCAGGACCTCTGGTGGCGAGGGGCTGATTGAGATGAGATCAGGATGGGAAAGGAGGGCGACGGGTCGTCCGGGCTGGTAGTGCTGATTTGGTCGGCAAGATCTGTCAAGGTAGCGATCAGGCGCAGGGAGTCTGCACATGCTGTCGAACGTATACAAGAGACAGAGCACCAGTGAAAAAGTCCTGGACTCACGAAGAATGTGGACGACTGGCCCTTGATGCAAACTAGAAATCCCCCTCCATACAATACACTTCCCAACCCGGGCATAAATCACTATGGGTATCAATCATACTCCCATAATACCTCCATGCGTCTCCTCACACCAAAATCCCCACTCACTCCATCCACCCCAAGCCCTCAATCCCAAGCATCCACCCCAAAATCATACGACCTACACCTCAAGCATCCCCCTCAACCCGGCCTCCACACCCCTGAGCCACCGTCCCCTCTCCTCCATCTCATCCCCTTCAATCGCACTCGCACCCTCCTGCCGCCGTCTCCTCGCCTCCCGTGCCTCCGCCACCACTTGAAATTTCCTCGCCTGCAAAGCCGGTAGTTCGTCCCGTAGACCCTCTACCTCTTGCTTTCTAGCCGGGCCATCTCGTCGGAGAGCGGCGATCTGTGCATCGATCGCCTCGAGCTCGACCTCTCGTTGTCGGAGGAGGTCTTGTGTTGGTTGGAGCGGGAGTGCGAGTTCTGGATTGCTGTGCTGTGGTTCTTGTTTTGCTATCAGGTCTTGTATTTGCTCCTCTAACAGCTCTATCTCCGTCGGTAATGCTTCCAACTCCACCCTCCTCTCCCGTACACCTTCCCATCTTCCCACCAGACTCCTCCCTTGCTCCTCCAACTCCTGGATCAACCCCCTCGCTTCCTCCTTCCTCTCCTTCAATGCCGCCTTATCTCCCCTCAACTTCTCCTCCAACGCTGCATTCTCCTCCGCACTGGAGGACTCGGGTGGATTCGAGACCAAGCTCCGAAGAAACCTCTCCTTGGTCACTTGTTCGACGTAGGAGAAGCGGAGTTTGGTGAAGAGGTCACGATAATGCGCTAGATCTGCTGCGAGCAGGGCCGGGGTTGGGGTTGCTTGGTTCGACGTGTCGGAGGCGGCGGAGGTGCGGGTGTGGGGTTTTGTGGAGGGGTTGGGGTGGAGGAGGGGATGGGTGAGATGGAGGATTGTCAGAGTAGTCGTGTGGGTGTCAAGAGTCTGGACGGCGGTTTGGGGGTCCATTGTGGTCATGTCTTTACTCTACTGTGATGGTCATCGTTGTGTTTACTTTTGTCAACAAACCCCTCCGACACGACTTGCCCGTGTGTGTGTGCGCGATCGTGGGGCCGGAAGGGCTCCGCTGTGCATTCACATGCAATTCATGCAATTCGTATATCCTCAGTATTCCTCCCTCGTCACTGCGTCCATATATCATATCAATTACTTCTTGGATAACAATGCCTCTTGGAGAAGCGCTAGACGACAACGACGACTACATCATCTCCCTCCTCAAACGCGACGCTGAAGCTAATAAGAACCAATACCCTCTGCTTAGTGGGGGAGGTAATGTGAGAAGACGAGCAAAGGATGCTCCGAAGCCGAATACAAGGTTCCTTGGAAATCTGGTGAGGGAGGTGGACAGTCATAATGCTGCGTTGAAGGCTAAGGAGGAGGCAGAGAGTCGCGCGAGGTTGAGGGATCTGAAGAGGGAGGAGCAAGGTAGGAAGGATGGTGGTGGAGAGAGGCCGAAGAAGAAAGCCAGGACGGGTGAAAGGGAGGGACGGTGGGCGAGCGCTTTCGGTGGGCTGGGGGTGGATGGGTCGAGGAGGGAAGGCAAGCGTTCAGAAAGGAGAAGTGGTCGAGACGAGAGAGATGGCTCGAGGGCACGCCAGCGGGCGAAGTCGCCTCAACGAAAGACGGACTCGAGTCGAGTAAGGAATTATGACAAGCGAAGCCGACGCGATGATCGAAGTAGTTCACCAGATGACCGCAAGAAGCGACGGCGGCGGTCCAGTTCAGAAGACGGCAGGCAACGATCATCATCACCTCGACCGTCCAAGTCAAGACATCAGAAACATTCCCCTGAGCCCGCGCCACATCGTTCTCGCCACCAACAAGAAGAATCAATCTCCGATCTTGATCCACCAGAACCCTTCCTCGGCCCAGCTCCCCCAACCAAGAATCTCCCACGAGGCCGCGGAGCCTTCAAACCCTCAACAATCGACTCCCGCTTCTCATCGACATACGACCCCAAAACTGACCTCAGTGATCCTGACGACCTCGAGGCCGAAGGCGATGACTGGGACATGGCTCTCGAGGCTCTGCGAGACAGGATGAAGTGGCGGACTCAAGGCGCCGCAAGGTTAAGGGCTGCGGGTTTCACGGAGGAGGAAGTTGAGAGGGCGCAGGCGAGTCGGAGCGCGGGAGATGGTGGGAAGGGGAGGGAGAAGGGGGTTGAGGATGTGCGGTGGGCGAAGTTGGGCGAGGGCAGGGAGTGGGATCGGGGAAAGGTTGAGGAGGGGGATGGGGTGGAGATTAGAGCTGCGTGGGCAACATGAGAGCTTCAAGACTTAGAAAGATTTATGAAATGTGTCTTTGGTGCAATGTCATTGAAACCAGCCAATGGAAAAGGGTCATTTAAATGCATTCACAGATCTACCTGCCGCCTCTTTGTGAGAGCACGGCGCCAGAAACTCCTACACGTATCGACGCTCTACTCTCCGTAAATGCCATCAGGTACGCAAGTCCACCCATGCGCCGGAGAGGACTCCTCCTACTGAGCAAACACTCTCTTCCACTCGGCATTCAGCCCTTCCTCTTCCTCCAAACTTTCCACCGCCTGTTCGATCGTCATGGCGCACAAGCGGCCTTGGAACAAACCTCTGGCGACTTCGAAGACATCATCGCGGCTCTCTCGCTCTGCCGCCGTCTCTTTTGCTGCTTCTGCTATCGAGGCCGCCGGTGCTGGAGGTGTGGTCGCCATTCCATCAATCGACCACCCGGCGCAATCGAGTCTATATTCCGTCTTCCCCATAACCACCTCCACGATCGTCCAATTCGTCCCTTCCCCCTCCTCCTCCTCCTCCTCCTCCTCCTCCTCCTCCTCCTCGCCTCGCAGCAGGGATTGTCGCACCCGCATCGACCTCCGACTCTGTCCGTCTCTGAAAGACGTGGCGAGGCTGAAAGACCTGATGAGCCGGAGATTCGTGTCGCCTATACCGCGCCACCAATTCGTGAATCTCACTACCGGCATCCCTCCCACCTGTTTGTGCCAGACGTCCGAGTCAAAGTTCGAGGCCGAGTCCGAGGTCGAGGGGCTCTTGCGATCGTTGGGCGGCAGAGTGTGCTGGAACATGGCATGATGGAAGTCATTCACTCCGTAGAAAACCGGCAAACTCTCAGCGCGCAACTGTCGATTCACTTGCGTCAAAGCAGGTTGAAGAAGACAGCGATAAGTACAAATGTGTCCCACCACCATCTGCACCCCCGCCATTTCCTCTCCTGTCACGGGATCAAGGGCGGAGAAACAGTGGAGGAAGTGGTCGGTGGGGGAGGTATTATTTATCTTGCCGATCTTCAATCCTAGACGGACTCCAGGGTTGCGCCTGCTCGGCCCATTCTGGGAGATGTAGTCGGGAATTTGCCAGGGTAGAAGGGGGTCTTCGAGGCTGGAGTGCGCGCGGATCAGATAGCCGGGTTGCCAGAATTTGGAGCTGGAGAGGAGGGCGATGTGGTGGGGTGCGTCTTCTGAAGTTGGGTTTGGGGCTACGATGCCGGTTTCTGAGTGACGGAGAGCGAGGGCGTAGATTTTGAGGCGTAGCTCGTGTGGTAGGGACAACATGGGGGAGGCATGAGGAGCAGGGATCGTGGCGTCCTCTACTGTAGTGCTGAGGGTCGTGCTTGTCATGGCTTTCATCAGCTTCATGGTGTCCGCTCCGAAGAGAGTGGGTGTGGGCGTGGTGGTTGCCATTGCTGCTTTGTCCTTGTTCCTGACTTCTGACTTGAAGTTCCTGGGACAGTACAGCGCTCCATGGTTTATGAAGAGGTACTGCGAAGAAACCATGGAAGCATGATGCGCAGTGGTAACATGAAGATATGTGATCCAAGGCTGTGACATGTGTCCGGAGGGTCGCACAAATCTGGTGAATACTGTAGGGAATGGTGGCACGTGCAAGGGACATATGCGACGTGAATAGGAAATGTTTTGTGCGCCTTGTAGCAGCAGACTTCTGGCCCACAGTCCACACTACAGTAATTACAACATTCTGTTACAGAACTTCACCAACCGCATTCCGCAACTCGCACGGCCAGGGCAGCAGCCTGAAATTGGCTACAAGCCTCCTGATTAAGCTGTATCTGAAAACCTTCTCACCCATGGCCTAGTACCCGACTACCCTTGCCCAACACGGACTTTTTTTTCACACCTAGACTCTCCTACCAAAACGGATGAGTCCTTACAGAAACAATCTCCTCCTCCTGCCTCGAATCCTCCTGAGCCCACTCCGTCACAAGAGCCAATTCTCTCTCAGGCTTGCCCATGGCATGCTCCAACTTGCGGATACCATTCACAGCCTCCTCGATCGTTTGCACGCACGCATGGCCCGATGTAAAAGCCTTAGCGATGCGCTTGTAACCCTCGCGGATGATAGGGCTGAAGTACGGGGATGTAGTTGGCTCGGTGGCAGAGACGGTTTGCCACGGTTCGAAGGCGTTCGACCGGCCATTAAGATCCATATCTCTGGTCGGGTTGGTTTGTTGCGGGTCGCTACTAGCATCCTCGTTGTCCTCGTTGCAATTGTGCGGTGCTCCGCGAATAGCGATTTCCACTCTAGCCGCAGCCATCATGATCTGCAGAGCCCCCTCTTTTGTCTGTACGCAGACAGCGACCGCCACACCATCACACTCGGTGTTACGTAGCTCAATCTAATCTGCTTCGGACGTGCTCAGGTACAAGTGCTTGATGCTGCGAAGATTGTTATCGGCCAGGCTGCGCCACCAGCGCCTCGCATAGTCACCGGCATCAGAAGCCCAGTACACATCATGTCCCTCGATACGTGTGCCACCAAGACCTCTGATCTCGAAGCGGTTGCAGGAGTAAAAGATCGGTAGAGTCTCCTGGCGAACGGCTTTGCTGACCTTGGTCAAATTCGGTTGAATAAGGCACTTCAAGGTGCAGACATGTCCATCAAAAAGCCGCATAGCGCCGTTACCGTTGCGGTATAAGCACATATCGGTACTCTTCTCCAACGTGGCCCATGCCTTGCGTAGTTCTTTGGCAGATATACCCAAAACCAGCTTCGGAAAGTCGACTTTGTTCGAGATCCGCGCGTCCAAACAAGTCGCATTCACCAATGCTCGCTCGGCAGCAACCCGCAGTAGTTGTGCTTCCTTAGCGGGACTGAGTTTGCAGTCCTTTGAGGAGCTTTACCTCGCACCATTCGCCATTCACGGACTGATGTGTTGGTGGTTTGCCCAGAACACTATATGGTGGCGCGATAACGCCGGCATTCTCCTCGTGGCGAAGTGCGTGGGTATATATGCGAGTGCGAAGTTCCGCGGGCAGATCGAGCAACGGGAAAGGTGCGCTGGCGGTGCCTGATGGAGTGGACAGAGGTGTGGAAGAAGTCGGGGTGGGAGAGCTGGGGCTGTTGATTGTGTCCGGTGATAGAATGTCGACCACTTCGGCCGCTAGGCTCGACCAGAAGTCCATGCTCAAAGCCATGATCCTTGTGTTATATATGTTGGTTATTGTAGGATCGAGACGCCAGCAATTGTGGAATGGTGTGCTGGGTCAAGTCGGAATGCTTCGTTTGCTGGGAGCGGAAATTTAATAAAGGGAGGACAAGCTCGGACCCAGAAATATCTGCTGTCCGCGTGCTTGCTTATCAAATCACCATTCACCTGTAGCGTTAACTTCATGTGCGAAGTTGTGATGACAACGGATTTCTCACGAGAATGTGCAAAGAGGACTGAAACTCATCAGCTTCGTATCATTACTACTGTCTCGCATCACGCATTTAGCAAACACAATCGGGTATCTTCACCAGTATCCAAGACTCCACGCTAGCCAAAAATCGGTCATTATCTCAACTCAGAACTTCTCCATGAGCTTCCTGCGCCACGTCCACATGCGAGCTCGTTTGCCGTAGATGTACATTGCTGCGATACGTCAGTACAAGATTTAGCCTGGAGGCGATGTGGTCCACGTACGTATTGTAGTCAAGAGACAGGCCACCTGTATGCATCCTATAGCAATGAAGACGTCTTTGCTGCCTTCCGCATCCAACCACTTGTTGAAGAACAGACTGAAGACCAAGCCGTGAAGAACGTTCTTACTGAAATTGAGCGTGACCAGTGCCTCGCCAGCATACTGTCGGTAAGAGTCGACAGCGAAGGTGATGGCCGTCGTACTACCCAACGAGCATCCAAAAGAAATGAAGCCAAAGAATATCGTCGGGACAATCCAAGCATCGCGTTCCTGCGCTGACCAGCCATACCCCATTAGACCGATGGAAGTGAAGATCAGGATAGGTATGGCCATGACAAGTCTGTACTCAGGCTCGTAGATGCCGCCATTACGTCTCGACATGGCTCGAACAATGATGTCAGATACTTTGCCAGCCACAGCTGTTCCCAGCACACCGCCGACAAAAGGCGAAATGTATACCAGTCCAGTCTGTAATGCGGAGAAATTATACGAAGCCTGGTTCTCATAGATCGTAGCCACGCTCTCCGAAAGTACAATCAACCAGCCAATGGAGAGAGAGTAGACAAGTGTACTCCAGAGGATGGCGGGGTAGGCGAAGAGGATGAAGGGGCGTAGAGCAACCTTGAACCAATTATCAGGTGACAGGCGGCCCGACCAAGGCTTGAGTTGCTGCAGATAGGTCTTGGCTGGGGCAGGGCCATAGCGTTCTACGTATGCGTTTTGTGGAGGGCCGTGCAGGCTGCTTTCGATAGATTGGCGGCGAGCGAGTTCATGTGGTGATGACGGAGATTGAGCTTCGAGATCTGTTAGTGGAGCTTGAGCGTGACTGAAATAGTCGGTCGTTGCAGTCTGGGACAGATTCGCAGGTTGTGCAGCAGCTGCAGTATCGTCATCGGCGAGCACAGCCTTCTCGTTGTCGCCAACATGGTCGTTCTCGTTCATGATGGCCTTCTCATCTTTCTCGGAAGTTGCATCATCATCCGTCTGGAAATGAGCATGTTTCTGTGGAGTGACTGGCGTGATCTCATCTTGCTCGGCTTGGACCGTTCCACTCTTCCTGCGAACACCAGGGCTGAGGTTCCATGAGTGGACGTGAAACAGGTCTGGCAGGCTGTGCTTCCGCTTTGACTGCTTGTGAGGTAGCGGAGCTCTGTCCCAGAATGTCTCTGGGACGAAGAAAAAGAGCAAGCACGATGCGAATCCCACTACCATAGCCACGATCCAAAAGGTCCAGCGCCAGCCAAGACTTTGTATGATCGCTGCGCTAACCAGCGGTACCAAATTCTTGCCTCCTAGTAACAATAATGTGTAGATGCCTAATCTGTAGGCCTTTTCGTGTAGGAAATAGATCTCTGCCACCGTGGCGGAAGGCAAGCACTCTACAGACGAGACTGCTATGCCCATGAAAATACGTGCCACAATCAGGCTTGGAAAGTCTGGCGATAGCGCACACCAGATCGAGGTAAGGATGAAGCAGATTGCCGCTGCAAGATAGACTGGTCGCTTGCCGAACAGGATGGCAGTAGGCGATAGTATGACAGATCCAATGCCTAGACCCATCATGTACAATCCGGTGGTCAGAGCGACCTGAGGCACGGTGATGTCGTAGTCACGAGCCACACTCTTGAAACCAGCAGCAAGGATGGGCGTCATACCACCTCCGACCATACAATAGAACCCGAGGGAGAGCAAAGCCAGATCACGCCGCCAAACAGCCCAATTCAGCGGATCATTGGCACTGTCGTCTGGTTGTGGTTCTAGCACGATGTTCCCATCTGCTGTTCGCTTCTTCTCGGGAATGATACGCCGACGTCTTCTGATCGAACTCGTGATACTTGGTGGGTATGGAGAAGGCAGCGAAGAAGCAGACGTCCGCGCTGGTGCATTTCGCAGACCCAAAGGCTCATTGTACTCTGACACTTTGGAGAGCAGCAAAATCGAGCCAGGCACCTCTTCGGTTTCCGAGTCATTCAGCATGCCCATTGTCCATCTTGCTGGCTTCTTCTGTACTTCTCCCGAGAAGTCCGACATGGATGTCCTATTGCTAGGATGACCACTCTTGCCATTCCTGTTGCCGAGCACCCCCATCCAGTTGACCTTCTTCTTCGTCTTGCTAGTATCAGCGTCAACATGGTGACCAGTCTCAGGCTTGTCTCGTAAGACTTCACCGTCCGTGGCAGGACCGGACGCCATCTTCGAGGTGTAATTTATGCTCTATAATGATATGATCGTTGACCAAGACCAGACGCTACAATCAATCCAGCTTAGACAGTATACATCTCTTGCTCATCAAAGAACCTCCAGTAAAGGGCTATGGGCTGAGCATGAGCCAGATCATATGCAAAAGTCCAGATCACATGCGCCTTGCGGGTCCGCAGCTGGATGACTAGGCGCGTGGACAGATAGCGGTAAGCACAAGTCGAATATTTGCCTACCAATAAGCCGCGGTGATCATGTTATGGCGGTATGGGCGATCAGATGATACCAGGCGACAGACCGACACCAAGCATCCTGCAGGCAACGGCCCTTGTTCTGGGCATGGCTGACCTATTTGCAGATTCGTGAGTGTTGCTTTGTCCCAACTCAGTCCCACTTTTCCCCAGAAGTCGGAAAGTGACGCATCTGGTTGAGCGTGGGATGAGACGGAATGCATTTGATCGTGTTCACAAAATCACCGCGCTCGCCTGCCAGGTTATACGGATTCTTATCGAATTAGGCCACTGCCACAGCTAGCAAGTGGCACGAGGCAGATCACTACAGCACTACCGATGAGCTGCACGTCATGCAGCTAGTGATGCGACAAAGCATGCACACATGAGCTTTATCAGAGCTTCGACAAGCTAACGGACAGATGAAGAGCGCGTCTGCCGCCCACCACCACTTCGAGACCAGCTGTTCAATAGGCATGTATGCTATACGGGCCGCCTGCAGTGTATACACGCGTATAGCATCGATGGCAGAATCCGAACAATTCATATGCCAATCCACACTCACCAGCACTAAACCCTCTGGCCGATTCGTTCTACAGGGTGTAGATGAAGAACGGGCTCTTGTCGCCCATTTCGAGGAGCTGCTGATCACCATATCTGGCCCTGATAGCATCCTCGCCTTCCTCTTCGATCATCTTACGACGTCGCTCGTTCTCGCGCTGGCAATTGACACGCAAAACGTAGGCTAGGCGAAATCTGTATCAGCATAGTTCGAACCATGTCAGAGAGTAATTCTCACCCATGATGATCGCACAGACACATATGCCAAGTCCTGTACCGAAACCAGCAGGATACCTCGGTTTCTGTCTAGCGATGAAGATGTCTGTAGGGTGCGAAGGGCATGATCAGCATGCTTGCAACTCTATGTTAGTCGGAGGCAGAGAACCTACTTGAGCCACAGATACCGCCAAAGTTGCCTACGGATATCAGCAAGGCCATGCCCACAGCACGCTTCGAGGACGGTGCGAGATTGTTGCCTTTGCAGCGATGTCAGCGAGGATCAAAATAAGTCTGCGATTCTGCTTCGTGCTCACCCGTCCAGGCCACGATCATGATGAACGGACAGTACATGCCCATTGCCACTGGAAACAGGAAACCATATGTTAGGCCGGGCAATTTGTTGTGCGGGATGGCCAGCTGGGCAATGAATCCGAACACCGCGATGGAAAATCCGGCCATGATGAATGGTGACCTCTGCTGGACCTTCTCAGACCAGAAAGCGAAGATGAGTACCATAATCATGGCCGCAACATATATCGGGATGGTCAGCAGCTGAGCAATAGCAGCCGTGTATCCCAACTCTTCAATGACTGACGGTACCGTGGCTGTAAAACCATAGGTACCGATGGTATTTGCCCAGAACATCACCCATCCGCCATAGATCCTTGGCTCCTTGAAGGCGGCGAAAATCTGCTTTAGACTGATCTTGTCCTCGTTCGTGACTCTGCCATGTCCCGAGCCCGTCTCAAGTGCAAGACGATTGATCACAAACTCTTTCTCATGCTTGGTCAAGAAGGATGCTGTCTCAGGGCTGTCTGGGAGAAGTTTCCAGATCACAAGGGAGAGCGCGACAGGGACGAGCCCTTCGAGTAGGAAGATCCAGTTCCACCCATCCAGGCCCGCAATACCTTTCATGAAGCCAATGCCGTAGGCGAGTAATCCCGAGAATGCACCTGAAAGCGAGGCAGCTGTGTAGAAAACTGCCAATCGTTTCTGGACTTCATAGCGGCGGTACCAGAGCGTGAGACTGTGCAGGAATGCGTCAGCTTTGTCAAGCACTTGCAACTCTACTTTCAGCGGCTCCGCTTACAGAAAAGTAGCTGCTGGGAAGAAGCCGGACTGCACTTCTGTCAGTGACCAAATTTCGGACTCCGGTTTGGGCAACTGGAACTCACCTCAGCAATACCCAAGAAGAACCTGGCAGCATACAATCCTTCCTTGTTTTTTACCAGACACATGAGGGTCATGACAAGGCCCCAGCAGAACCTGCGAAAACTTCAATCAGCCGGCTTCGACTACTAGATGGCTCCGCAACAAGCTCACATCAGGATCGCGATCCATCGACTCGGTCGCATAAGCTTGAGCACGATATTGGACGGAACTTCGAAGAATCCGTAGCTGACGAAAAACAGCGTTACAGCAGTGTTGTATTGGAGACCAGTCAATTTCAGATCTGCCGCCAGACCAGCGATTTTGGCATTGCCTGGTTCATCGTCAGCAATTATCGACTACTCTACTTCATGCCCTGCTTCAGCTCATCACCCACCGATATTCGATCGATCCACAAACGCAACGAGGTATAGTATCGATAGCACAGGGACGAGTCGGTAGTCAATCTTGCGCAGGATCCTCTGCTCCTCCTCTGTAGGGAGAGAAATGATCACATTACTGGCATCGAAGCCATGATCAACGGTGTGGAGTTGCTCGTCCGATGAGTCGTCCGTGTCGACCCCTTTGGCAGCAAACTCGAGCCTCCCGGAGTCCATCCCTTTCTCATCGACAGGCGGTAGCTCTTTCGGGACTACTGGATCAGTGGTCGCCATTGCAAACGCAGTGTTCAGAGAGGTGATGCGGAAGGGTGGTGAGATGAGAAACAAGCAGCGCAACAGGAACACAAGAGGAGTCAAGACTGCTTATACCGTGCTCCAAGCATGCATGCCGACCGATCAGCCGAGGATCGCAAGTGTTTATTAGAGGGTAGGCCACTATCTCAGCACACAATCTCTCATATGCTTCCGATCGAAGAGCCACGAAGCTACAAGCCTCCTGCAGGCTCCCGCGCACGGTAAAACACCTTCGCTCAAAAGCCGAAAGCTTCTCGACTCACGCGAACATGCAATCGTGGGCCTACTTGCAGCTGCGCACAGGCGATCCTAGGATCTCTTCCCAGGTCGCTGTAAAAGTAGCAGTGCGACAGCCTACCACAATGCGGGGAAGCATGCATAGAGATGACGGCTCCTTCAAGCATACGTGGAGGACATGCGGGGTGCCGTCTTGAGGCGTTGACCATGTGGCCGTTGATGCCTGTAAGATTGATCACCTTGCAGCTTGATGAGGGCCGGTGTCCGATAAGCAGATTATGCTGAGAAATCGGATCTCTCATTCGCGAGCCAGACGGAACTCTACTGGTGGAAACCAGGTCTGTCGTGTGCGTCCTTGTGCATGCGAAACCTTTGGGGGGTTTAACATGGGGATAGCGGGAATGAAGAGAGCATGAGTAGTTCCTGTCTTTCGATCAATAATCAACTCGAAGTCACATACTCTGGTAGTGGAGTTGAAAGTCGACGAACGCTACAGCAAAAGCGTCAATACTTACACACCTCACTCCGCACGCATGTTTCATGAGCCGTGAGCTTGCAGCCATTAAGGCTTCTGAACGGGGTTTTGGGCATTGAGCTCGTGAAGCCATCGAGTCCGAATGTCCAGGGATGTCAGAAAATCATGGTGAAGGTAGATACCGTGATCGGTTATAGACGGCCTTCGCACTCTTCCGATCTCATCTTCATACTTCGAGGTTGGAGATGGGAGAAGATCTCTTCCTGCCGGTTATAGCTGATATACATCCACGTGACACTGCGGCTCGATCGCCTTCGAATAACTCTGCGTGATCGCGGATCCTGGAATAAAGAGGATAGGTAAATCTTCAGGGCGTGTGACTTGTCAATCGACGTTGCTGTATGATCCGAGCAGCTGTATACAGTGGCGCAGACCATCTACATGCGCCAGACTTGCCCAGTACAACACAGCTTCCTCATCGCTTCTACCTAAGGAGTCAATCGTCCCGGATCCCTAGGAAACAAACTAGCCAACCTCACATTCGGCAAGCCCAACCACAACATAACAATCCTCTCCAACCCAATCCCACCTCCAGCATGCTTCGGCGCCCCAGCCTCGAAAGCAGCCACATAATCCTTCAACCCGGCGCTCTCGGGGTCAACCTTAGCATCATGCTCCCGCATCCTCTTAGCCAAGAACTCCGCTTCGTGGATTCTCTGAGCGCCGGACATGATTTCCTGTCCGCGCATGAAGAAATCGTAGGAATTACTGTAGCCTGCGTTAGGGTTGGCGGGGTCGTAGGAGGCGCGGGTTTGGGTTGTGGGCATGGTGTAAAAGGGTCGGATAGCCAGGGGGTACTGGTCCAGGACGTAGAAGTCTGAGCCGTATTTCTCCAGAACCAAGGCGCCGAGGCGTTTCTCCTGTGGTGTGGAGAGATCGTCGAAGTCCCCAATCTCCTCCCCGGCATCACGGAGCATCTTGATGCCTTCTGGGAACTTCAGTCGGGGGACTTTGCCGGCTTCGGGGAGCTTGAAGTCCTCGACGTGGTAAATTGAGCGGACGAGATCGGTTTCGCGTTTGCAATTTTGGCGGAGGCCGTTGAAGATGTGAAGCATGAGTTCTTCTAGTAGGGAGACAACCTCATGGTAGTCGTGGCTGAACGCCATCTCGAGATCAAGACCAGTGAACTCTGTCAGATGGCGAGCGGTATTGCTGTTCTCTGCGCGGAAGACGGGTCCACTTTCAAAGACTCGTTCGAGGCCGGCGGCTACGAGCATTTGTTTGTAGAGTTGTGGTGATTGGGCGAGGAAGGCTTGGCGGTCGAAGTACTTAACCTCGAACACGTTCGCGCCACCTTCTGATGCTGAGCCAAGGAGGCGTGGAGTGTCGATACCGATGAAGTCGCGGGCGTCGAGGAATTCCATGAAGAGCTTTTTGATATTGTACTTGATCTTGAATATTGCCTGGTTGTGTTTTGCCCGAAGGTCGATGACGCGATTGTTAAGACGAGTGTTGAGTGTCACGATTGGCCTACCCTCCTCTGACGTCTCCTCCTCGCCTTCCACGGGGATAGCTCGCTCAGCATCGGCTACCTGCATGGGTAGTTGTGCCTTTGCCTTGCCCTCGATGTAGAGCTTCTTGACATGTACTTCCAGATTCTGAATGGTTGTGCTCTTCACAGCCTCCTTTGGTTGCTTGACAAGCGCATGTACCAGAACATAACTTTCGGCGGGTATGCTCGAGGCGAACTTAACCATTTGCCTGCTGAGCTCCTCGCTGGCTGCAACGACTGCCTGTATCGTTGCTGTGCCCTTCTTGAATACGAGGAACGCTAGCTTAGCGGACTGACTTCGAGCGTTCTCTACACGTGCTCGAAACGTGATATGTGGTCCTCCAGGTGCATCCATCTTGCTCGTGTCCTTGAAGTACTCTTCCAGGTCGCCCAGCTCGACATATGGCACTTTGTCTTCGCCGGGAAAGTCTTCAGGCCATGCTCCATCGACGTCGAGATCGCCATAGTCATTCTTCGAAACATCGTTGGCTTCTTGCTCCTTCTTCTGAGCATCTTCTGCTGCTTTTCGTTTCGCTGCTTTCTCTGCCTTTTCCTTGTCCTTTGCTGCTTTCTTCAATGCACTCTTAGAGGGTCCCTTCTCTCCCTCACCTTCTGCTGCACCCTCTGCAGGAGGTTTCGTGAGTGGAATGACCCTCTCGTTAGGCTGTGCGTTCTCAGACATGCTGTACTGCTATCTCAATGGCAGACCCGAACTTTTTGTGGCTGTTTATGTCAAGTGGGATGTTTGGAGGGGTCATGAGTCAGCCGAGCGGTGATGAAATGGGATCCCCGACGACACCTCGTCAACTCACATCCTGCGACTCAATAACATCAACAGCGCAAAGACTCACTTCTACCTTGCAACAGCGCCGAAAATACTGGCGGTGGAGCCATGCGCACACCGCTGTAAGCGGGCGACTCCGGTGAGAACGCTACTGGTACAGATATACATTGATTTCATGCTCTTGTCAAGCTCGCCTATCTCATATGTTACTCGCAAATCCTGACCCTCGAATATCCTTCTGACCTTCAAAGAGCTGATTGCTGGGTCTCAGTCTCAACGAAGAAACTGTTACCAAAGACCAAGTCGCTAATGAACAGTCGCTTCTGGAAGATCACTAATGGTAAACACCACACACGGCTCCGAAGTCCGTCCCGGTTGCCAGATCTTAATTGACGCCAGGTGTCTAGTCTGCCCAAGTCCTTTCTTATGCTCTAACAGAAAACATGCCACATCCACTCCACTGGACGATCCGAGCACGACATTGAAGACCATCGAGCCTGGCTTGAGTTCTGCTGCTACAGAGAAGTCCACTGGCCAACTCTCGTCCCGACTTCTGACCTTGAGGTTACGGAGTAACGCACCGGTGGATCTCGGCTCCAGATCTTGCATCTCGGTGAATAAGATATGTCTCACATGCTGCGAGTCCAGGCCTTGCTCTTTGCATAGGGTACTGTAGGTGAGCCATGCAACTTCGGACCAGTGTGGCGAGGGAGCTACTTTGTCTTTTGAGATGCCGATCTTCCTGGCCATGAAGGTTGGAGAGTAAATGCCCTCGGCACGAATCAGACCGTACGCCGGACCATACATCATCTGGTACTCCGCTCCAGTCTTCTGACATGTATGCTCTCCAACTCTAAATTCGCTCAGGTCTTTATTGCGATGACTATTTGAGCCCTGAAACCACGGGACCTGCACGATCGGTTTTGGTTGCGCGGATTCTGTGCCCTTGTTGGCAACAAGTGCTTCCATAGCCCCACCCACGGAGTCAAGGTCCGCTAGTGCCCAGTCGTGCTGCCTTTGACCTGTGACTGGATTGCGGATAGCCCAGCCATACTCATCCATCATAGCATAGGTGTTCCACGTGCTTGGCTTGATATCATCAGCCACCTCCAACGGCTCCAGCATCTTCGTGGACAGTTCGCGGCCTCGTGCCTGAGCCTGAAGGACCACAGCTGATCCGTCATCATTGCCTCGAGCATGGAGGGTCGAGTTCTGCCCCAGTCCATGCAGATCACAGTCTAAATCCAGGAACGCTCCGCGGCATCATGTTATGAGCACAATCATGCGCACAGTCACGCAAAAGCATGCCAAGTATACGGCAAGTGCCAGGCCCAGGGACCAGAGATGTAAGTCTCGTGAAACCCCACGGCCAGATCGAGTAAGCAGTGGTGCATACTCATCATTGTTGTCTGTGTACGCCTCGACATCTCGTTCTAAGCTGGCTGTTGTGGTAGGTATGATGAGGCCCCTTCCTTCGGAACGGTATGGTGGCCCTGGGTGTTGTTGATAGTAGTCTTTGGTCAGTCTTGCTGTAGTGGACGTGTCTGCAGTCTCCCGAGAATGGATTGAAAGACATTCTGAACATGGCATATATACCACGATTAGTCCTGTAGCTTGTGCTGGCCTGCGATGAATCTCATGCCAAGCACATATGGCTACAGCTGACAAGTGTCAGGACCTCCTGGAACGCATATGGTATAGATACCATACAAGACCTCGTGCTAACGAGTGTGCCCTCCGCGCGCCCTCGCGGGACCTGATGGGAACAATGGACTCGAAGATGGTCCATCTGTTCCTCCCACAAAGATCGCTCGCTTGCCCACATAGCATTCACAAAGGTCGTGAATCTGTTTACCTTCGCATACATCTGTTATCCTCAACTCTGGCTCCACCGACAAAGTCAACCCCACCGCAACACCCGGACCTTTGCTCTGCACCTCGCAGATCATGGTCAGACCGGACCCTGTATCGTTACCATATCGTGCCACTTCACAATAACACGAACAGGAACGCCACAGTCAATGTCGTCGCTACCAGGATACTGCCACATGGATGCTGTAAGAACTCGAGACAGCAATCTCGTGCCGCGGGCCGGCACTTCGATCTTCTGAGAAGGGATGTCTGTTCAGTCCTACCCGCGTTCGCCTCGATGTCGTAATCGTTGAAGGTTGCATGGTACTGCAGGTCTCTGTAAGAGGAGAAACTCCGTAAGATATGTTGCATCGCCCCAATTGCCATTTTCGAAATAGCTCTAGGTCCGTAACGGTGTGTTCTTAAGTCTTGGAAATCGGTCGAATGTCTTTTCTCACTCAGTAGTAGTAGTATTACGCGCTATTGTCGTTTCTAGGACTCCACAGAGAGAAGCTGATAGCATATACAACAGAACATGCATGAAGCTAGCATAGCAGTAACTCACACAAGCGTATAGTGTTAGCCATATGCTACGAGTGTATGACAAGAGCATGTCACTAGACTAGCAGATGGTCTAGCATGAAAAGCGTAGTCGGGCTGACTATATCCTCTCGTGCTTCAGAACATGGCAATCACTGACTAGCCGCCCACCCAACGACCCAAGCCAGCGCACTACCCCAATTTATAGCCACTTCGTTTGTACTATAGCTGTTCACATCATCCACATAACACGTCTGTGGCGCGCAGCCTTGCAACACATCATCTGCCGGCGGATCACTTGCAGCTTGGTTTGCGCCGCCAGCCATAGCGCCAGGAGGAGCTTGTGGCACTCGTGGGTCGAGCTCGTGGGCATAGAGGCGGGAGTGTACATTCTGAGTGTCCTTGGTGCCGTAACCGCGAATGTATGATTGTGCTAAGGCGTTGCGACCAAGGACGTAGTCGATTGCGGAGAGCGCGGCAGAACGGTAGGTTGCATTGCCAGTGAGGTCAGCAGCTGTGGCAACGATCTGGAAGCATGCCATCAGTAGTGCTTGAGGTTGGTAGTCTTATGAGAGAGCTTACCTGAACATTGTTGAGAGCATTGCTGTTCGAGCCCCACTGGTAGCTTGTTAGAAGGACATCATAGCCATTACTACTGTTCTGCTGTACAGCTAGCAGCATATCTGCGGCATCCATTACGGACTGCACGATAGCGGAATGGTTTGAGATGTTACTTGGAACGGTCGCGAGGTCCAGGCGGCCTAGAGCAGCGACAGAAGGCCAGCCGAAACCTGATGGGATGGAGAAGGCTGTCGATACATTTGCTGTATGATAGGGATTCGCAGTCAAGTCGCCCAGGTATTGCAGGCCGCCTGTCGTCAAGTAGAGCTCTGCTGCTGCCCAGTAGAACTCGTCCGAGACATCGTTATCGCTGTACGCACCACCACCGAGATCCCAGTCTGTGCCCGGTGCAAGAATGGCAGGATGTTTCAGAGCTGCAGCATAGGCGGTTTGTGCTGCATTGAGCGCTTTTCTCGCGAATGCAGCATCAAATGGCTTGAACAAGCGTGCAGCCATCGCAGCAGCAGCAGCAAGATTGAGCGCCGCGGCGGTGGAAGGTCGGTGCAGCTCACGCCGTTTCGGATCCTGTGACGGATCTGTTGGAAGAGGAGTCCACTGGTTGTCGTGCATCTTGTGATGAGCCAGACCAGACATATCAATGTAGCTGCCGTTGAATAGCTGGGGAGTCGAATTGTACGGGACTTGCATCTTCATCAAGAACTCGACTTCCCATCTCGCCTCATCTAAGATATCTGGGACCCCATTATTGCGTTCTGGAATGCGCAAAGAGCCGTCTCCCAGCTGTGCACTGCCATTCTTGACTCCGTAGTGTAGGGATCGCTCGTACTGCATCAAAAGCTGCGCAGCTGAGATACCACCGTTGACGACATATTTGCCTTGATCACCAGCATCGTACCATCCTCGTGTGACATCAAGTGTATAGTTACAAGTCCATGGCTCGAGATATGCGATCAATGAGTCGTGGACAGCCTGGCACGGAACTACGACATCGCCTAGATTTGGCAGAATCTGAACGTGACCAGCAGCACGGGCATACTGGGATCCGACTAGGTCACTATCGATGGCGATCCCGCTGCGCTGCTGGTAGAAGAAGCGAAGAGAGTCCTGTCTGAGGTTATTGTAGAGTGTCGAAGAGATTGCGAAGGGAAGACTCGTCGCGCTGCCAACCGACAGGGTATAGCTATCCCCCTCGGTGGCGAAGGAGCTGAAGTCGACGATGCTGACTGTCTGATTTGACGCATCGTCCTTGCCTCGGTAGGTTGTCTGGCCAGTCGCACACGCATCTCCTGCAGCATTGTACAGTGACCACTGCTCGGACGCTGTCGTGTTAGTCACGACAGTGGCAAGCTTTGGGCCACTCGGCAAGTAGCCAAGCTGATTGACTTTAATCGCAGGCCCGTAGTCCTGTCTGATTCCACTACGGTCGATCCGCTTCATAGACACAGAGCCAATGCAAACAGTTGCTGCTGAAGGAGCTCCTCCAAGTATGAACTCGAGAGTGGCATTAGGCGCCTGGTTGGCAGGAGAGAATGTCATGCTGAATGGATACGATGAAGTCGTCAATGCAGCTGCCATGTTGAGATTCGGGTCGAGTGACGGATCGGGTGTTTGTATCAGGATGTCGTAGCCGATGGAGGACATTGCGGTGAAATTGAGAGTGTAGACGTCGTTCTTGGTCTCTAAGAAGTTGTAGGTCGTCTTCAAGAAGCTGCTGTTCCCTTTGGCTCCAGCAGGTACATTGACACAGTACATTCCATTGATGATAGTGCCTGGTGGACTCGAATCCCAACCAGTCGTTCCATTGACGAAGTCACCATTCTCGACAATCTGTGGTGAGCCTGGGATCGGTGGCTTCGTTACTTGAGCGGTCGTCGAGAACGCGAAGGCTACAGTCGCTAAGAGAAGACTACGGCTTGTCATGGCGGCCATTGGAGATGCGAGATCGTGGAAAATGCGAGAGAAATGTCAACTCATGGACTTCCTGAATCTTTGACAGTTGTGGACACAAGCTCATGTTGATCTCTGCAACACGGCACGAGAATGGTGCAGCGATGAACGCATGATGAGCATACTTGCAGCGGAAGATGCGCATTCAAAGCATATACACATCATTGTCCATCTTTGACACGGTTGTGTGCGGAGGTGAAGAGAATAGGCAGGAAGACCGGCCCGTCACGGCCATTGACCTGCCTTGTGAGGCCAATGAGTGGGCCCTTCTCTTTTGACAGCATTATGTCAACATTCCTTGTGCTGGGCGTGTTGACTCTCGTAGATGGATCGCATGCCCGTGATGCGCTCATGATGGATCTGGCTTTTGCAGAAGACGAAGGAGAGGCACTGGTGCTCAGCACGAGATTCGGCTAGCGATACGAAGAATTTTTCGTTACATTCTTTACGCAGTAGGGGGTGGCATCACTAGCTGCGATAGCTTAGGAGACTTTTCACGAAGCACTCAGCAGCTGGGCCGGATCCATATGGTACCTGTATCGTTCAGCTGCGGCTACTCTACATCGACAGCTGTTTTCGCCTGATTGCCAAGATGACTTCTGCTAGCGATAGTTCTAGGGCAATGGACAAAATCTCCGTGCATAGTGATGCAGCGCCGAAACAGATGCCATGATAAGAAGACCTTCAAAACTGGTCGCGGGTGATACGCTGAGTGAGACCGCAAAGTAAATCTAACCGAGTACGCACAAGACGAGCTCGATGTTGGTCATATGTCCATACTGATAATCTCAGCGTGGACGTCAAGCACACCGACATGGACGCAAGATCCCGTTTCGTATCATGCGCCTCCAAGCCCAGGCGATGGCATTACCCATCCAACCCAAGCTATGCAAAGAGGCCAGGCATAGCTGTCGTCTTGTCGCGCAACTTGACAATGTGGGTCCTCATGTGACGTGGTCCGAACTCTGGCCGAGATATGCGACGCATTGTGCTGCCGCGGCGAACGAAGCGGTAGCCGCCCTGACAAAGGCTCTCGAGTACAATAGAGGACAGCGGACTGCTGCGGATTTGGCTGTCGCCGCCTTGGCCTCTCACGGGACTGCCATCAGGCCGCTCCAAACAGACCTCAAGAGGTCTGAATGCCAAGAAACCCTCGACAGTGCTGTTGTATGTACAGCTGCTTTGGCCATCTTCCAGATCGTCATGAACGATAATAGCAAAGGCAGACGAGCGAACACTTTTGCTCACTGGGCTGGGATGCATGCCATTACACAGGCGAAGCAAAGCAACCGCGAAGAAAGCGAAATTGTGCGTGCAATACTGTATAGCTTCTCGGACGGCCTTTCTGGTCTCGCTGTGCTGCGCGGGACGTCTTTGTGCATGGAGAAGCAAGATTGGGCGAATATGCAGCCCGCGTCACTACATCCTGTGCAGAGCGATGTGCTCAAGTTTCGGACGACCGAATACCATCTTCAGCTGCAGCTGCCTCGTCTCCTGTGCGAGACCAGAACGATCCGAGAAAAGGATGCGATCACGTCCCAAAGTTTGAATGCAATCCTCGAGCTTGCTCTCAAATTGTATCAGGCGTCTGAAGACGAGGCCGAAACTGCAGTACTACGTCGTGCTGCCGTTGTAGGAGCGGCGGAAGACTCCATTGTGCCATTCATCCTCAGATTTGCGACCAAGGACGATCTGCTAGTTGCGCTGATATACTGGCATACTCGATTGGTAATAATCAACTGTTGTCTCCGAATCGTGCAGGAAGGGCACTTGATTCAAGCTGTAGATGAGGCACGATTGCAGTCTGATCGAGATCGAACATACATGAACGTACTGATGTCCAGGGAGCACGCAGCCTCGACGAATTCATTCGCAGCTGCGATCGTAGCGAAGGGCTTCACACAAGGTTGGCAGCATCTGAGATCATGCGAAACCTGGCGTGGCTTACGATGCGGCATTGTGATCGACTGGATACTGCCACGCATGGCTTCACCATCGCTTGCATATCTTGAGGCGCCTGTGCTCACGGTAGCTCAACTTGATCTAGCAGCCGATATGCTCCAGGGTGGTCCACTTTACGACTTTCTGGCCTCAGATAGGCTACCGATATGAGCAGCTCGAGTGCTAGGACATGGCTCCTGATCCTGCCACGAACCTACGTCAGACACCCAACATGCGGCTGTTGATTCTCACGAATACATTGGCAGCTGCTTGTAAAGCCAGTGGTAAATGGGGTTTGGACTAACGCCTCTCAGAGCTGGTAAAGGTCATACGTGCACTATCAACACTCGTCGACCGACCATACTTCTGTGGGAAAAGACCTTATATGTGTAGACTCGCTCCGATCGACAGTTTAGAAGTAGAGCTACTATGAGCATTGTCTGTGAATATCGTACATGAAGACAACGGCAGCTTGGCATGTCCACTAGCACTTGCCTATTCGGGAGCAACTGGGGCTGAACATGAATCTTGTCGAGCTCATATCGACCCTAACACGATTAACATTCTTGACTTGTGCCGAGAGGCGAACGTGCGAATCGTAATGGTCGTGTTCTTCTTCTTGCTTCTGTTCCCGGCTCTTCTGTCGCCAGGCCAAGTCCTGCAGACTGCTTTGATGGGTACTCCAGCGATCTCGATAACATTCACACCGGTACTGGATGGAACCCAGACACCTCGTCTGAATGTTGCTCTCCTGCTACATACGCCAGTCACGTCGCCGAACAATTTCCTGATCGAACTACCCATTGCGATCGGCAATGTGCCTACACAAGCATACAACACCACCAACCCGATCCTGGCTGAGGATGACCTTGGCAATCTCGAGCTCATGTTCAAAGACGATCCAGAACGTCAACTTCGTCGATGGCATGCAACACGCCCAATTACCGGCAACGTCAGACTGGCATTCGTAGCGATCCCTCGAGTCGTGGACAACGACACGCCCATAGGACCTCGACTTGATCTACGTGCTTTTGGTAACGGCCTTCTCGGTGCCGGATTGTCTGTACTACCTCTTCCACCGGACGTAGACAGCACCTACCGCATCGGACTATGCTGGGACCTTAGCCACACCGCACGCAAGACGATCTTCGCCTCATCCTTCGGCGAGAACGACTGCGAAGAGCTCAACGACAAACTTCAAGCACTGCAAATGCTAGTCTTTGCTGTTGGTAACAGTCTCCAGCGCCATCCAGCCAAGAGCACAAGTCCAGACTTCGCCCTCTTTTACTTCCGCCAATCGGGTCATATCGTTCCCTTCGATGTCCCGACCTTATCACACTACATCCGCAGCCTTCATACCCATTTCTCAGCCTTCTTCACGCCTTCAATAAGGGAACCATACCATGTGTTCCTTCGCCCTTCGCCTCGAGCTTTTGGAGGTGCCGGCTTTAAACGAGGCTTCATGCTCGAGTACCACGAGAAAGTCGACGTGACCACCTTAGAGCTTCAAGATCTGCTAGCCCATGAGATCGTACACAATTGGCCAATAATGGATTTCAGCCAGAACGAATCGCTCTCTGCTATAGATGCCAAAGCAGAGAATACGTGGTTCAATGAAGGCATCGCTACGTACTATGCGACCTTCCTACCTTTCCGCCTTGGGCTGGAGAGCAGGGAAGACTTCGTGGCGAAAGTGAATCGTGCTCTTCAGGCGTACTACACCAGTCCAGCTCGTCACCTCAGCAATGTAGAGGCGGCGAAAGTGATGTGGGCGAACGCTGATGCCCAGAGGTTGCCTTATTTTCGAAGTACAGTATACTTCATCCGACTAGCGTATCTCCTACACGAGGAGCGTGCAGTCTCCGGAAGGGGAGCAACTCTAGATGGCCTCGTTCGAAAGCTGCTGGATCGTCGTCGACATGGCCTTCAACATGACTTGACCATATGGCAGAGTCTCGTAAGCCATGAGCTAGGAGCTGGCATTGCACAGCAAGAATACGCCGCAATGACGTCCGGTGGACCAGACATGCTAGTCCCACAAGCACGCAGCCTAGAGTATGTTGATCTACAGCTCGGGGCCAAACAGCAAGAAGAGCTCCAGCTAGGCTTCGCCACATCGTCCTTCAACAGCCACATCATCACAGATCTCCTCCCTGACTCTCGAGCACAAGAAGCCCGCATCCGGGAGGGCGACCAGATCGTGGAGGCAAAGACGATGTACTGGCAAGTAGCGGATGACCTCGGTCGAAACATGACTCTGCTACTTCGCCATACGGGTCATGCCGACGTCTTCAATATCAGCTACTGGCCACGTGCAAAGCAGAAGCTCCAGAGCTGGCAGGTCCTTGATCGGAAACCAACGTGAGACAGCAGATCGTATGTGGTATGGGAATTGCTTGCAAGAGAGTTAGGGCACATCAGTATGAACATTTATACAGCATCGTAGCGTTCGCAAACAGATGCACAGCGTGTGGGTATCGGGCTCAAGCACTATACCGCTTTGAGGCAAGAATGCACCTTCAAACAGTGGAAGCCGCTCAGATAACGTACTGCGAGTTGGGTCAGCACAATCGCAAGGCACAGGCACGAGAAGTAGACTCACGGGAATAAACAAATACGGCGTCCTCCGCTCATACTCCAACCACGCCTCACCGTACTTCTCTCTACACCTCTGAATATCCCTGAAAGCCCGGTGAATAATCATGAGCACAAAGAAAACCGGGTAGAACCACGGGAATGGAGACTTGAATCCCGTGATCAGGCCCCAGGTAGTGGCGAAGTAGACATCGCAGGTATAGTGGATCTTGCGAGCATATCCATACCATCCATCCACCAAGATCGAGTCGCCAGATTCCGTCTTGATGTGTTTTGGGTTCTTGACTTCTTTCCAGGGTAGAGTAGGGAAGGACTTGCGTTCGGTCTGGTAGCCGCGTTCGCGAGCGCGGAACATGGCCTTTTGGCTCTGACTGGTGTCCCACACGAAGTAGACGAAGAGGTAGGAAATATACAGCAGAACCAAAAAGGGCTTGGACCAGGCGTATTCGCTCGGGTCGTGGTTGGCGAGGTAGATGGTGCAGTGGCAGTAGCTCAACGGTACACCAGCCAGATTCCAGAAGATGAGCATGAAGCCCCATTTCTCGTAGTACATGTCCCAGGTCATGACGATCATTTCTTCGCCCTTGCAGCAGGCGTTGGCGTAGAGGAAGTGGGCCATGAGAAGGAATCCAACTTCGCCGGTTACGTAGCCGTACAGTTCGTATTGTCGGGCCGCGGCGCTAAGTGTGATCAGGAAGAGAATAAACCAGGGGAGGCGGACCTCGAAGAACATCTTGAAGTCGAGCCAGCCGAACATGCGCGGATTGAGCTCGGCGCCCATGAAGAAGTCGTAGACGGGATAGCCGGTCATGCGATGTTGGGCGCCGCGGGAGAGAGCGGAGAAGTAGGCTACTACGGACATTCCGAAGCCGGTGATGATGGCTACGCTCATCAGGGGCCCAAACTCATCCATGAGAGTGTAGAGCTTGAAGAGTCCCGTGAAATGTAGAACGCCAGCTAGAATGATGGTGAGGTAGAAGCTGAAAACGCCGTTGCAGTAGTAGCGGAGCTGTTTACCACCTTCGTGCGGGAGAGGCTTGCCGGTAGCGTAGACGCCGGGAAGAGTTAGGTATAGGACTCCCTGGCCGACGAGGAAAACCCAGTAGATTGCCCAGGCTTTCGTGTGAGGAAAGGCGCCCGTGTAGACGAGATGTGCCATGTGACTGGCGAATTTCGACCAGGACATGCTGGGCTCGGAAGGGAATTTACCGTCGTAGTAGGTCGCTCCAATCCACATATACCACATGAGCGTCGGGAAGCCGAGCATCATAGCCGTCACACCGAAGCTGCCGCCGAAGTCGAAGGTAGGGTTCAGGTCGATCTTGGGATCTGAACCCTCAGCCCAGCCGTCCACTACTCGCGGTGCCGCGCTGCCGATGACATGGCCATTGAGTCCATTGACGTGGCCATTGGTGCCCTTGTCCAGATCATTCTTCGCTGCTTGCTGCTCCGATCGATCAATCTTGACTTCCGGGTCGACGCCAGTAGTATATGCTCCGTCGAGTGGTGACGAGGAGCGATCTCCATTGACTTCAGACTTTCGTGAGCGTCCCTTGGTGCCCGGTGTTTCAACGAAGCCTTCGGGCATCGATTTGCTATGCGACGTTGTCAGTTCGCCGTCTCTGACGCGTCTGAAGAAGCAGTAGTGTAGCCATACCGAGGCGTACGCCCAGTCTGGGAGCGTGTGACCGTCATGCTGGTAGCTACGACCTGAGGATTGTCGCAGTGGAGTCTGGCGAAAACACAAATCAATGGCTCGCGCGTAGAACCGACAGCAGAAGAGACTATGCCAACAAGGAAGCAAAACAGCGATAATTGACGCGATCGGGGGGAAGTCGATCAACAGTAAAATAATCCTAGGGCCGTTATTGCCAAGCTCTCTTCCGGACCTGCCGGCGCCGACCGCAGCTTAAGGACGCCACTATCGTTTACCAAGAACATTTGAATCCTGCATCTGCTCGACAACGATGACTGTGATGACTGTGCGTCGAGCCGGAGACCACAATGATTGTTACCGCAGTAGACCGGTGAATAGAATGCCTGACAACGTGCATGAGAGCCGCGCCAAGCTCGTAACAATGAGCGTTAAGCAAAAAATAGACGACAAGCTTCGACGTCACTCAATGCAGGTACAGTACAGAGCTAGATGAACATCTTCCGTCATGACAATGTGCACTGAACACCCCCATATCAGGAGTGGTATAGTCAAAAGACCAACGACCATGAGCATAGACAGCGCCATCCTCAATCTCCTCAAGCTAGATCCTAGCAATGTCACCGCCTCAGGCGGAGTGGGTGGCGGCACGTCTTCTGCCTCAACCTCCAGCATGACTGTAAAAGGCTCAGATGGTACGACAACGAAGTACTTCATCAAGACTGGCAAAGGCAAAGCAGCCGAAGTCATGTTCGCAGGGGAGCATCAGTCCCTCACAGCGATTCGCGACATCGTGCCAACCCTCTGTCCGAGATCCTACGGCCATGGCAAGCTCGCAGATACACCAAACAAAGCATTTCTGGTCACAGACTTCCTAGATCTCTCGGGTCGGGGCAGCTTAGTCTCGAGCAACACGAATGTCACGACACTCGCCCAGAAACTGGCTAAACTGCACACCACACCAGCACCTATACCGGAGGGCAACGAGAAACCACAATTTGGCTTTCCGGTACCTACTTGTTGTGGCGATACACAGCAGGATAATACCTTCTGCTCGTCATGGGAGGATTTCTACGCCAATCACCGAATACGCTTCATTGTCGCGCGGTCCAGGAACTCGAACGGTACGGACAAGCAACTTGAGGACATGGTTGAGGATACTTGCACGAAAGTGGTACCACAACTCATCGGCGACAAGCATCTCAACAATGGCAGAGGTGTCACCCCAGTTGTAGTTCATGGCGATCTCTGGTCGGGAAATGCTTCGATGGGAAGACTACCTGGTATGACAGGCCCGGAGGACATCATCTACGATTCTTCCGCAGTCTATGCACATTCTGAGTTCGAGCTGGGCATCATGAAGATGTTTGGTGGCTTCGGCGGTGGCTTCTTGAAGGAATATCATCGGCTTGTCCCAAAGACAGAACCAGTCGATGAGTACGATGATAGAGTGGCATTGTACGAGCTGTACCATCATCTCAACCACTATGCCATGTTTGGTGGCGGGTACAGAAGCGGTGCGATGAGGATTATGAAAGATCTTGATGCCAAATATGGGGTTGGTGACAAGAGCGTATTATGACGCTTGAATCATCCGTGCGCACCGCGATGAGCCCTCTACGGACCAAGAATAGTACGCACAATACACGTATCGCCGTTATCAGGACAAACATTCGTCCGATTCAACTGCTTGTCCTCTGGCCCCGTTGGTCCACCTTGGTACTTCTGCGTCCCGCTAATGCCGAAAATCGTCGTCTGTCTCGGATCAGAATTGGGATACTGCTGGTCGCCCCAGTGGCCATTGAAGTACAACCAGTTCACTGGTGTGCTACTGTCATAAGCCGCGAAGGTGTTGCTACCGGCATTGTAGCTGTAGTAGTAGGCCGAGAGAGTGGGATCCCACATTGATCCTTTGTCGGTGTGGTCCTCGACCGGCCCTTCCGGCAGATTGACGTTGGGGATCGTGTGGTCGTGGGTTCCGGTGATCGCATAGTTTGCGTGGCTACCATTGGCGGAGAAGACGATTGGCTACGATATTACCAGTCAGTATCCCGGCAGTGTCATGCACAGCACCCGGGGAATAGTGAGCTTACCCTCACACCACTCTTCTGCACAGTCGCATACGTGAACGCCTCGCCATTCGCATGCTGACTGTACCAGATAGCTTGCGGCATCCCGTTCTGGAATCGGATCATATTGTGCTCCCAATCACCCACATGGTCGCCGATGATGAAGCTGAAGTAGTCGCCGCCATAGTTAAAAGCGTAGAAGTACATGTAGAAAGCATCTACTAATCCAGAGCCGTGATCATTGACAATGATCGCACAGGATACGGCTCCATTGGTCTTCCCGCTCGCATCGGGCTTAACACCATTGAGCCAGGATGGATTTTTGCTGATGTCGTCTTTGGACGTAAGGTAGACATTTGTACCGCCTAGGTTATTGAGGGTGTTCAAGTTGTTCAACGTCAGAGGGTTGGGAGCTCCAGAGACAGTGGCGAAGTTCACTTCTGGCTGGGTGTGGCTGAGCTGGGCGCCGATATCAGATGGGAAGTATGGGTCGCTGGAGTCAAGGTAGACAATCGGAGCGTATGTGAGGACATAGGCTGGAACTCCAGAAGGCGCTTGGCGAGAAGCAAGTGGTGCCGAGAAGACTGCTGGTGCGAGTGCCGCCAGCGCGAGGAGAGTTCTGGTGGTTGACATCATTCTGTATGCTGTCTTGTCCCTACAAACACAACGAGACGCGTTCGTAGATACTACCGAATCGCGAAGAGCGTGGAAGCTGCTGAGGGAGCGTATACCTACTTATACCAACACCAGAGTTGTCCTCAAACCATGTACAAGTACAGGAGACAGTCTAGAGTGACCTGGGACGGTGATATAGCTCATTGTCGCAAGGATCGACGACACTGTCGACTATCCCACCTTCCCTCTGAAGCGCTGGCTGACCATTCGGACGTCGTACATGCCACGACGATCAGGCACGAAGTACAAGCGTGAGAAACTTGCAAATGGCGTAAAGTGTTGTAGAGGCACGTTCGTAAGGAGAAGTTCTGATTGGCGCGCATGAGATCTGGGAGCTCAAGCCTTCGGTCTGTGATGGGACGGATCGGAGATGTGCCTTTTCGGTGGAGCGCAACGACGACAACGAAGGCAAGTGAGGCTCCAAGCCACCATCAGTGTCTTGACCGACCACTTTCTGTTCGGGCTTCTATTCGTGCTGCATTGTCACTTGGCAGCTGAGACATCGTCTCCCAAACAAGAACAGTTTCTTAGTAAAAGAGACTTGAGATCTACAACTGTGATGGAACTTGGATGTGATTGAAAGCACGATCATTTGAATCGCTGATTATTCAGTTCGTAGGTCTATGGACACGGGTTCGTCAAGATCATACACACACCAAGCATGCAGAATCGCGGCGGTACTGCCAAGTATGTCGATGTGCTGTCGTGCTAAAGACAGTCCTACTGTTTACTCGCAAGAGCAGAAGCAACGAGCTTGCCGAAGTTCTGCAAACCACAAGTCAGCATTGAGTATCGTAACACATACTTCAGACCGCAGAATACTCACAGGTGTACCAAAGCCGGTGACGGCATCCCAGCCGACCTCGGCAGGGAAACCACTGCTGTTGCAGCCGATGGACGAACCCGACGTGATGTCGGTGAGTGCCTTGTACCCACTGCTGTAGAGCCAGGGATTGAGGAACCCGAGCGGCGACTTCCCCTTGGCGATCAAGGCGTCATTCACAAGAGAGATCACGGCGGCGAAGGTTGGGGAAGAAGCGCTGGTGCCACCAACTGTCCTCAGCGCGCCATTGTAGGCGATCACGTCGTGGTTGCTGTGGCTGTGGGTTAGCAAACCTCCACTCTGAGAGTTCAGCTTTTCAGACTTACCCTTGCGCAGCGACATCAGGATAAGCACGACCAGTGCGATTGTAGAGCCCAGCGTAAAGGTCGCCGATCTTGCTAAGGTATCCCTCGACGGCACCAGTCTGGTATGATGGCTGACCGAAGTAGTTCGAGAAACCGGCACCACTCCCGAAACGAGACACTGCGACCTCGGGCTGGAAGCCTGCCGTGCCACCGACCGAAGTAATCCATGGACAGCTGGTTGGGAAGTTTGGAATGAACATCGCAGTTGTGTTATCCTTGTTCGAGACGCAGGTGCCATTACCGCCAACGCCGGCGTCGCCGCTGGAGAAAAAGACGCTGATACCTTGGGCGCCAAGCTGCTTGAAGCCGTCACAAGCACGAACGGCGTAGGAGTATGGCACAGTCTGCTCATCGTCACCGTAGGAAGTGCTGATGACTTGTGGGTTATCGTTGCGAGGCAACACATAGCTGAGCCAGTCGAGGTAGGGCTCGTTCGTGTCCGTTGGTGTATTCAAATCTGCATTGAAAGGCGGCATACCACCGGTGACCCACGACTGAAACTTAGTCGGCCAGACGAATCCGAGCACGACGTCGCCGTCTAGAGCCCCCTCGACTTCGACTGCACCGAGCCGAGATGCATTCAATGGTGCCTGGTTATCCGGACCGTTGTTCACTGAGATAATTGGGAATTCGTACGCAACACCTGCGGCCTCGGGACGGAAATTGTCCAGGAACAACTTGATATCGGATCGGTTCTGTGTCTCGCCGAGGTAGTTGGTCACACCAATCGCGTTTTTCTCTGGGACTTGTGGGACGTAGTTTATTGTGCCGTAGAGTGTACGGAGGCAGTCGAGTGTCGTGAAAGTGATGTTGCAGATGGCGCTGATGTTAGGTGCCGGCACATTGCCAGGGTTGCCAGGGCCGCCAGGATAGCCACCTGGGGGGCCACCGGGAGGACCACCTGGTGGCCACTGTCTCACAAGTCAGCCGATGGCAACGAGCTCATCTTCGGAGACGCATACATGAGCGGGCTGCGGGTGGTGCTTCTGCCACCACGCTGGCTGGAAGCTTTGGCTTCCAGGTCCAAAGTGGTCTGCAGGCGCGATATCTGAGCTCTGCTTGGAGGCACGGAAGAAAGAGGTGGTCGGCTGAACGACGTCGATATGCTCGTGGAGGTGCTCAGGCAAGGACCACTCTGGAGCACGGATCAATGCGGAACCATCGGTGTGACGAAAGATGGAGTACTTGGTGTCCAAAAGCTTCTCAGCGCGATCTACTGGCAGACTGACGCGAATCCAATCTTTTGCTGGGCTCAGCGTGGCGCTCAGATCGTGCTCCGACAGCCAGTCCTGGACAAGTCGAATCGTCTGCGAAAACCTCAAAGATTAGCTCATCCTAAAAATTGTTCGATTCACTCGAATGGTTTGAAATTCAACACTTGGAGGTCTTTTGCTGTGTCTGGCATACCTCGTCTGATGGGGCAATCAAGTCCTGAACCTCTTGAGCAGTGAGATGCTGCCCATAGCGGGCATGCGTTGGATCCGAGACCTCAATGGCATGCTTGTCGAGAACATCTTGGTTGCTCTGTTTCAGTCCAACCTGAAGGTGGATCATATGGTCCTTGGCTGCTGGTGCTGCAAGGCTCCATCCTCGAGGTACTGGGTGGGTCTCCTTGACAGCATACCGAGCCTGAATGCTGCGAGAGGTAGGCACTGCGGCAGCACCTCCCGCCAGTAATACTGCAGCGACTGCGAAATACATATTGTCGCTAATGGATGAGTTGTCAAAGGCAGTGAAGACGCGACGCGAAGTAAGGGACTTTGAACTACTTGAACCTTGGAATCTCGGATCATCGCTACTGCATCTGCAAGGACGTCATGTCGTATAGCCAAGCGTAAAATATCACACCTTCCGCATTGGATGCTAGTCATGTTCTGATTGTTCGGAGCAATCACGAGATGTGGTTAATCAGGAAGGACAATCGCTACGACCAGGATTCGAAGTGGATTGGTAGCGCGCGGGGTCTCAGATAAGGGTGGATGGTCGAAAGTATCGCGTGCGGCCCTTGGGACTTGTGTCAAGGATGATTATTGCTAGAGATCCAGGAACGCGCTTCGATCAGCAGATGTTCGCAGTAGCAGGGTCAGGCTGACTTACTGCAGTCGTTCCTGCATGCTGAGAGCAAGTAAGATGAGGCTTGAGGAGAGCCGTCCCATTCGCTACTCCGTGAAATGACGCCAACGAGGGTCCAAGCTCCTTCGAGCCGAGGCAAGGCAACAATAACAGTAACTACTGCGAATACTCTCTAATTCATCCGTGTTCGCTTCCTTATCATCGCCTGTGTATATGGGCACGTTGGCAAATTGGTAGTCTGCTGGGTCTTCTCATCGTCGATGAGTATATTCGAGCCAGCTACAGATTTGCAAGCACTATCGAACCTAGGCAAGCTTCTTGAAGCGTAAAAGAGCAATGGCTGTGTCAATACGGGAGACAGCTCAAGAGATGTCCACCTCATGGCCACTCCATCCATAGTGGTGTCGAGAACTAAGCTGTAGTGTGTGCGAGTAGTATCGAAGCGGTGAGCTCGCAGTTCGGCGGACCAGCCCTCCACAGCGAAGCATGCCACTGGACAACGATAATAGCCTTACTGGATTGACCACAGATTGATGGGTCTGCTGAGAGAGACTCCTCGCTGTCTCAAGATTACTTCATTCATGCCTCAAGGAGGCTCACCTTATCTGGTCCCTCAAAGCAGGAGTCGAGAGTCCATTGAAGGATCTACAGGCATATGAGCCTGAAGCTCGCGAGAACGGCCCATTTACGACTTACAGATCGGTGAATAGTCGTCACCTCAGCCGGCCCTGGTCCAGAGTCAAATACAGCGGACCTCTCACTGTTACAAAGACAGCTCTACGGCAAAAGCTTCATGCCAAGGGTGCCTCCTGCCAGAAGTACTCCCACACTGTCACTGGGCTACACTCTCAACAGCGAATACGTTCATAACTGCATTCAACAATTTCTCTGCCTCCAAACACTCTTCACAGTAAACAACCTTCACAGTCATCATAGGTTGTATGAAGTTGGTTGCTTTCCGTTTGCAGCCAAGCTTTGCCATCGGCGCCCTGCAGCCACCTCGTGCACCCACGTGCTAACGTCACTGCATTCGTTGAAGACGTAACGAGCAAGCAAACCACATTCTCGACATCCCTTACTTCGGAGCCTTCTTACAGCACAGCACAAAGTGGTCATCGCTGGCACCACACACTGATCACTGACAATGCTGCTCACAGCGATCGCAGCAGCACTCTATGTCGGCCTCGCGTTCGGCAACATCATCTTCCCCCTCGTGCAGCCAAGATGTGACTACACCGCTGCGGAATTTACTGGCTGCCTCCCAGGCCAAGTATGCCTCGAGAACAACACATGTGCCCCCATCACTTCGGACAGACTCACTAGAGCCACCCATCCTCGCGCTGACGGCAGATGCGGTACTGACTTTGGCGGCGCGACTTGCGATCCCAATGGCGAGTATGGTGGATGCTGCAGTAAGATGGGTTGGTGCGGCAAGACCACGGATCACTGTCCAGTGAGTAATGGCTGCCAGAGCGGCTGCTCCGATGCTACCACCACGACTTCGCCGCCAAGCACTACCACGCTATCGGCAGCTGGTTCTGGCAATTCCGAACCCGTCATTGTGCCTGCGACCAATCCTGCCGGTGCCATACCCACTGGGCCCGCAACTGCGGATGGTTCTTGTGGTAAGTTGAGAGGCGACACCGTATGTGGAGACTGGCCCTTGGGCGTGAGTACTTGTCCCGCAGAATATCTAATTGAGTATCATTTCGCTGACTACCTATAGGCTTGCTGCTCCATGTACGGCTTCTGTGGCAATACTTCAGCTCACTGCGGTCATGGTTGCCAGAGTGGTCCATGTCTCCAAGCACCAGTCATTCCTGCTCCGGAAGCTTCGCCTGCTCCCGCCAATCCCAACCCAGGGAGCTTCAAGCAAGTCGGCGATAGTGGTGTCCCAGCTATGCACGCTGCACTGCTCCCTAACGGCCATGTGGTGTTCCTGGACAAGGTGGAGAACTTTACGAATGCACATCTACCAAATGGTCAATTCGCATACTCTACCGGGTACGATCCAGTCACCAACACATTCTTCCCCTTGGCCTACAAGACCAACGCTTTCTGCTCTGGCGGCAGCTTCTTGCCTGATGGCACTCTGATCAATGTCGGGGGCAACGCTCCCCTGACTTGGCTCGATCCGACGGTCGGTGACGGCTTCAGGGGTATACGCTATCTCCGCCGCTCAGCTACTGATGCGACACTCGATGGTCAGCCTTGGTCTGAGCCCGGCAATCTCCTCGACACTGCAAGATGGTATGCCTCATGCCAGACGATGCCGGATGGACGGATCTTCGTGGCTTCGGGATCACTGAATGGTTTGGATCCTACCGTGACTGCGAATAACAATCCAACATACGAGATCTTGGACACCAAAGGAATTACGAATGGAGTTTCGACGACTGTGAATTTGCTGGCCAGAGTGCATCCGTACTTTATGTACCCTTTCATCCACCTGCTCAACGACGGCACATTATTCATTTTTGCGAGCATGAGTTCCGAGATCCTAGATGTGGCGAACAACAAAGTCGTCAAGTCACTCCCAGACCTAGTAAGCATTTCCTCCACAAACACTGCAGACATAGACAACTAACACCCTCCCAGCCAGGTCAATACCGCACCTACCCAAACACAGGCGGCTCAGTCCTACTCCCCCTCTCCTCAACTAACGCCTGGGCCTCCTCCATCATCATCTGCGGCGGCGGCGCGTACCAAGCCATAACCTCCCCCACGGACCCTAGCTGCGGCCGCATCAGCCCACTCGCTCCAAACGCTGACTGGGAAATGGACAGCATGCCCACCGGCCGCGGCATGGTCGAAGGCACACTCCTACCCGACGGTACCGTAATCTGGCTCAACGGCGCCCAGTCCGGATCCGAAGGCTTCAATCTCGCCACGAAGCCTGCTACAGAGGCACTGATCTATGAACCCTCCGCGCCACTGGGAAAGCGTTGGACGACGGGTGCTTCAAGCCCGATACCGAGACTCTACCACTCGATCGCTCTGCTTTTGCTGGATGGTACAGTGATGATCGCAGGCAGTAATCCGGACGAAATGCCCGTCGTCTATCCTGCTCAAGATCCGCAAGGTTTTAGCACCGAGTTTGCTGTAGAGATCTATACGCCGCCTTATCTCAGTGGAGAGAATGCCAATGGTCGTCCTGAAGCCATCGTACTCTCGACACTGAACCTTAAAGCGGACGGGACCTCGACCTTCAGCATCACTTTCACGGCACCGCAGGGTGCGAAGGCAGTGCAAGTGGCGTTGTATCACGGAGGTTTCGTGACCCATGCGCTGCATATGTCGCATCGAATGCTGTTCCTCGATACCACTGGATGGCAGGCGGGAAGCACGGAGCAGAAGATCTCGGTGACCAGCCCGCCGGACAGCAGTGTTGCGCCGCCGGGGCCGTACGTCGTGTATGTGGTCGTTGATGGGGTGCCCGGGGTAGGGCAGTTCGTGATGGTTGCTTGAAGTAATGCAACATCGTCGAGCGAGGGACGCACAAAGGACTTACCCTATGAAGCGAACACAATGGTTGTGCCTGGTTGAGCGGCACCAGTTCGTTGCAGACATGGGCTCCGGGACACCGTTCGCATTATAGCGGTATAGGCCTCTTTGTAGAAGAAGCTCAACGCGGTCGATGATGTTTGTACGCTTTTCGAACTCGTAAATTACTGCCATGCTCTTATTAGATACAAAAAGACATTAGATCCTAAAGGTGTTTGGCAGAACACCCCTTACGCCACCACCATCACCGTAGTGAGTTAAAGCCAAAAAAAAGTCGTATAGACATGAAGCGTTACGAGATCCAGCCCCCCTGTATACATCCCGCTCACTCGTCCCTTTCAATAAACCAGCACCAGCGCTCGCGTCGCGACACTACTCAACTCGAATGCTTAGTCGTACTCGTCCTTGACTCGCCTCTGGCTCTCGCTATCGATGAAAGAGCCACGGCTGCGCGTACTTTGCTTGCGGCCAAAGTACGAGGACTTCTTCGCCTTGCCCTCCTTCTTGCCTAGGCTTCCACCCAGGCAGAACAGGATGGTGGCGATGAGGAAGGCGCCCATGGTGGCCCAGGTGAAAGCGAAGGCCTTGATGCCGAGGGATGCGGTTTGGCCGTTCTTGCGGAAGGCGTTTCGGCCCATTACTGTCCAGGCGCTGTAGTGGGTTGTGTTAGCATCGGATGGTACGGAGTCAAGTCGGGTTGAGGGGGCAGGGACTTACGTCATGAGCGCTGCAGTCAGAGTCTGGAAGAAGAGTGCGAGCATGGTCATCGCGCCAGTCAAGTACGCGCCAAGTCGTGTGCACAGCGCGATGAAGCCGAGGAAGAAAGCGATGACGGCGAAGAAAAGTGACACCACATAGAAAGCCCAGGCGAACCTGCTCAAGTAATAGAACTTGATACCACCGCTAAGCGCAGCAGGCAGGCCATTTGTAGTCCCGAAATTCCGTGCAGGCGAAAAGGATTGCGCAGCGTGTACAGGGCCGCAGTTGGCGTTCAGGCCGTTCTGGACACCGCAGATGGAGTTGAAGGTCCAGCGGGCTGGGTTTTGGAAGTTGGGTGAGGCGCTGTTGATGCCGGTTGTGTCGGCTTGGAGGAAGAAGATTTGGTTGATGGGTGTGCTGTGGACGCCGCCGGAGAGGGCGACGAGCAGATCCATTACTATTCCGCCGGCGAGGAGGAGGAGGGCGAGGAGCCCGAGCACGGGTCTTGCGATGGCCATTTTGTGGGTGGTGGTGGTGGTGGTGGTGGTGGTAGGTTGGCGAGGGTGAGCTGTGGCATTGTGTGGTCAGTATGCAGTTGGGTGGTGTTGTGATGATGTTGTTGTCGACTCACTGTATGTATATCGTGCCTTCCTTCCTCGCAGACGCTGTAACAGCTAGGCAGCCCTGTGGCACGCTCGGTCGACTCTACACAGGGATCGTCGCAAGGTGGTAAAGACGAAACAGTGCGTGGGCAGACAGTTAGGAAGCAGCGGGTAGACAGGATATCAACAGCTCGGAGATTAGCTTCAATCTGTGTGACGTCTTGCTGTTCGTGACGACGGACGGCTCTCGATGTGGTAGCCCGTCCAGCGACCACACTCAAAGTTTGCACGGAGCCTGGTTTTGGTCCTGTTGCTTGGGCTTGGGCTGGCCGTAGCTTGCGCGAGCTGGGAATTGGGTCAGGAGCCGAGACCGATGACCTCACTCTGCGCTGTTCTCTTCCGCGGCCTCTCGTCGTTTGGTGATGTTGTTTCGCTGTCATCAATGGAGAGCTGCAGAACAGATAGATCTGCCGTATGGTGCCGATAGCACTTACTGTAGTAGTCTTCGCATACCGTCCACGTGGCTATGGCAGTCACGTTCTCGTGAAAGATCATTCAAATATACAGTATACCACAAACGTCATGGCATCAACAAACCTCCGATCTGCAGCTGCTCGGCTCCACCCAGGAGTATCCCGGTCGACGATCTGGCTCGTGATCGTGCTTTCCAGCTTGGGAGGCCGGCATTATTATTGCGCCTCGGCGTTTTCAGCCCAATACGCCGTTGCAATAATCGTGAGACTCGTGCACCCTGAACTATGTCGACCTTGGTATGGCCTCCCATCAGTCCTGAAGAGCTGCACAAAGAAGAAGCAGCCACGCAGCGCCGCGAAATAGAATGGCTGTTGGCTTCGCTGCAGGATACGCTGCAATCGCTCAAGTCGGGCTTGAATGAGTGTGCTGAGTTGCTCGCGCCCAAGGAGCCTGGCTCGACGCTTGTACTATCTTCACTGCGATCGGAGAATCTGAAAGGGTTCATTACACGAGTAGGGACGAGAATAGTAAAGGGCGATGTGCAGCTCCGTCTTCCCTCTCTACCACCACCAAAGGGTCACACGAGCTACAAACTCTCCATTTCCAGCTCACCCACCGCTCCTACACTGGTGCTGGAACAGCTAACCACAACACGCACATTAATCAATGCCTGCCTAGACGTCGTGGACGCCACACGCTGGACAGGAGACGCCACGAATGCAGACTTCATCTCTGGCCAGCTGCGCCTCCTGCACGATAACATCGAAGAAGCCAAAACAGCCTTGAAAGGCTGGACAGACAACCAACATCCCTGGTATAACGATCCAGTCGACCCGGCAGCCTTCAGCCCGCCTCTCCCAAGCAACGTCTCCTTCCATCTCTCCATCTCCGAAGCAGCCGTCCTGCTCAACGTACGCACGCTAGAATCCACATACCACAACACGGGCACCAACACGCCTCTATCCTTCAGCGGCACATCAGCAGCACAGTCCTACACCGGCATGTCACTTCGGGAACGACTGGTTGGTGCACTCGGAGGACAGCGTCAAGCATTTCATGACGAGGCGCATGAAGTTTTCACGTTCAAGGGGCAGGAAGTCAGAGTCAGGGATAAGGTGAGGGTGGAAAGTCAAGATCCGAGTCTCTTGGCTGCGATGGCGAAGCTGGGTGCGTCGGAGAGGAATGTTGCGCTTTCGAGGCGGGCGCTGAATATTGTTATGGGGAAGGAGGATGAGGATGGATGAGTAGCATGGCACACGCTTTCTACCTACTGTCGACATGGACGACAGATCTGGCTGAAGCCAAAGCAAACATACCAACTCGACGCTGTTCGTATGAGACACAGATACGTGATTGCACGTGACCTTGAGAATTCTCCACGGACGTGCTTCTTCGGGTTTAGCCTACCGCAGAAAGTGATCGGCCGGAGGCAAATCGTCGATCATGCAGCGCTAATGCGATAACGGAGAAGCAATGGAATAATTGTTGACTTGTCATGTGGATTTGTCTATCGTGATACTGATAGCAAGTCTGGGCGGCACATCAATACAAAGCCTGCCTTTTGTCTCGTCTGCCCTCATCTGGTACAGACAACAATCATGGCTCCAGCACTGCTTACAGCAGTCGACTCGACTACGCACATCCACCTTGTCGTCGGCTCGAATCCTCTCGCTGGCGCACGATGCAGCAAGTCTATCGAGGTCGGCGCCACACCTATCCTCATATCTCCTGCTGGTACAGTTTTACACTATGGGCTGGCGAAGAGAATAGAAGAGCATGGCATAAAATGGGAGCAACGAGAGTTCGTCGACAGTGACTTGACCACATTGGGGCGAGACGAGGTTGACCATGTGGTGGATGCTGTGTTTGTTACCTCGGGTGGGAGGAGTGCGATTGCCCAGCATATCTCAACGCTATGTCGCCGACTACGGATACCAGTCAACGTGGCGGATGCATCCAATTTGTGCACTTTCACGATGCTCTCTACACACAACTCCGGTCCACTTCAGGTCGGTGTCACCACTTCCGGGAAAGGTTGCAAGCTAGCGTCGCGCATCAAAAGAGAGATTGCCGCGGCTCTGCCAGCTGAGCTTGGTGTTGCTGTTGAAAGACTTGGTACAGTGCGAAGGCGAATATGGGAGCAGGATCATGCCATAGAGGCCGCGACTGAGATGGAAGGCGAGGACGATGAAGCTGGACAAACTGCAACATTTAACAAACTTGTTACACCGTCAGATGCGGAAGCGGCAAAAGCAAGGCGGATGCGATGGCTTGCGCAGATCTGCGAGTACTGGCCATTGCGTCGTCTTGCTGCAATTACAGACGAAGATGTAGAAGGCATACTAGAAGCATACAAGCACGACTCAGCCGTCGCACCCGCAACAGACGACAGATCCATCCTCAGTCCAGCCGTCCTCGACGCCCGCCGAAATCGCGGCCGTATAATCCTAGCTGGCTCAGGACCAGGCCACCCCGACCTCCTCACAACCGCCACACTAAAAGCCATTCGCTCCGCCGACCTCATCCTCGCAGACAAACTCGTCCCAGCACCCGTTCTCGAACTGGTACCCCGCCGAACACCAATCCAAATCGCACGCAAGTTTCCTGGAAACGCAGACGCAGCACAAGAGGAACTACATCGCAACGGCCTGGAAGCAATGAAAGAAGGCAAGACGGTTCTGCGATTGAAACAAGGTGATCCTTACCTCTACGGCCGCGGAGCAGAAGAAGTCGAGTTCTTCCGCTCGCATGGCTACGAAGCTACTGTTCTCCCTGGCATCACGTCCTCGCTTTCAGCACCGCTATTCGCACAGATACCCGCTACGCATCGTAGTGTCAGTGATCAGATTCTAATCTGTACTGGGACAGGGCGGAAAGGCGCAAGTCCCGATCCACCGGGTTTCCTCCCGAATCAGACCGTCGTGTTTCTGATGGCGTTGCATCGACTCAAAGAGCTGGTGGAGAGTTTGACAGGGCATAAGACCCTCCCTTATCCTCCCTCCACACCCTGCGCAGTGATCGAACGGGCGTCGTGTCCGGATCAGCGTGTCATTCGAACGACGCTGGAATATGTCAATGATGCTGTGGATGAGGAGGGGAGTCGGCCGCCGGGGTTGCTGGTTGTGGGGGCTGTTTGCGAGGTCTTGAGGAAGGTGCCGCAGAAGTGGGTTGTGGAGGATGGGTTTCAGGGTTTGGATGTTTTGGATAGTTTTGGGGAGGGTGGGGAGGGGTTAGAGGGTTTGAGGACGAGGCTTGTTACGCCGGATTTTGAGGAGAGAGGGGATCCTTTTGGTGGGGTTACACCAGGCGGGAAGGTTATCAATGCGTAGATGGTATACAGAGCTATAGACGTAATTCGAACGGACGACCATTGACATACGGCTTCAGGTTCTGAAGAAGTGCAGACTTCATTCTCTACTTTTTCCAGACAGCGTATATCCTGCCACTGTGATATCTACCTCCACTCGTGTCCTTCGAAATGAAAGCTTCCCGTCTCTTTAGAAAGATGGCTTACCTCTCAAGCCTTGTACCTGCAATTCCCGTTCCATCTGGTCGTGACAGCTATACTAGAAGCCAAAAAGATACTTCCATCTCGACACAACCAAAAACGTAATGCGCAGAATGATCACAGACTGCTCATTTCCATAGGGTCCGTCCGCGACTCGAACCTAGTTTTGGCATTAGTTGGTATTCGTTCAAAGTGTCGACGAGACGATGCTTACGCGGGACCTCTCGCATGCGTGCTTCGGGTGAACCCTAAGCGAGAATCATACCACTAGACCTGGGCGATTGTTAGGATGAATTGGTGAGGTAGAGATGGTGGATCTTGAACGTACCAACGGACCTGGTTGGATCAAGCGAAGATTTCAACACAAGTATATAGTAGACAACCACGGGCCGAAGCTCAAGCGGCTTGGATTCCACCTTCCTGCTGGCTTAATCATGCTGATATTTGACATCGGAGCAGATTTTGCTTGGCTACATTGATACACTATATTACTGTATTCTAGAAGGTGGAACGAGGTCATTGAGCGCGCAGTCAAAGACGCCCATTCATGTCTTGACTCCGGAGCATGCACACCGAATCGCCCCGTGCTGATATTGCTCGTGTATACTATATGCTAGGTCGAGAGAGCAACAATCTATCGCTTGATTCATCTACTGTAGAACAGACGCATATACCGAAAACCTCGTAGCCGACATCGACGGTAAGCAGGGGGAAATACCATCACCAAAGTGCTCGTACTCATGAATGTAATCCATGCTAGCGGTTTGCGGCGTCGACTACACTACACAGACCTATCAATCGCCATTGTTGCAATCTAGATGCTTCTGAGCGGAGGAGTGGGTGCTGGTAGATTGGCGTGCGTTACCACGGTCCTTGAGCATCTGCAAGGCGGAAGGCTGCCAATAGACATGCTCGAGATGCTAAGCAAGTGAAGGTCTAGCCACTGTCAATGCCTGCAGTGTGCGACAGTAAGGCTGGGGAGCAGGATCTGGGAGAAGGTCTTGTGCGAACGACAGATACGTATGGGCAAAAGTGCACATAGTCCAGAACCGGGCGCCGGCCACCATGGCTGCCCCGTGGTTTCTGCCTTCAGCCTTGGACGACAACGAATCCGAAAGTCCGGTAGCATTTGTCGTCCGCTCCCACAGAACGTGGCATGTCGATCGGGCGTCCATGTGAAAGTCGAGGCGACCGTTGTGCAAGGCCATGCATGCGGATCCGTGGTGCCGGGCGCAGCAGTAGCTCTTTTGTACACCAGCAAGAGCCGAAAGAGTGCAGCTGCGGATTGTTACCTCACGGCCCTATGCTGCTTATATCGCAGCCTGGTCGGAATTCTCAAGGCCGGCTGACGCCAAGGAGCATATCTTTATATCGCTCCTCGCGAGTTGATGACATGAGCGGGTGCACGAGAAGACATCGACGAAGCGTTCCGAGAAGTGGTGAGCATGATTACTGGACGGCACATGGCGATGGAAATGCTTCTTGTAGGCATCACATCTAGTCAAGCCTTTTGTCCCACATGGCAGGTCGTTGACAAGGCTGACCATACACGGATACAGCCAGCAGGCGAAGGCTTTACATGATGGCAGGCGCCACGAAATGATCCGCCCCTCCTCTCCTTACTGCCCCTATGCCCTGAGATCCCAATGTAGATCGGAATCTGTGGAGTACTGTAATTGTATCGCATCACTTTCTTCCTTCGTAATGAAAACGGCATAGTATACGAGAATCTTTCAAAGGAAGCGAGAACGGTCGCGTCAGCACGATTACACCTCATGTTATAGAGTACCAAGCTATCCTTCTTCCACCAAGGCTTGTATGGTGGCTTTGAGAGACACGCAGAGGGCACCGATCGGCAGCTCGTATCCATGTCTTGATCGCAACTCTCTCGCATAAGCGGCGAATCACGCGCGAGATGACCGCATGGATGCGCGCCACAAATAGAAGCCGTACTACCGAAAGCGTGCAGGTTTGTGGTCCATGCTGCATGACGCCAAGCCAGCATTTGCCAGCGTCGGAAAGTTGAGACGGTTTTGGAGGTAGTGCCACTCCTATCTTTGCGGCGCGCCCACAGATCGCGTGCGCAGTAGTAGGACTAGCCTGCCGCAGTCAGAGTTGGCACAGGTTTGGATCATCTCATCGCCTCCATTTTAGCCCCCCGTTCTCTGATCTGTGGACGGGTCTGCGGCAGGCATCGGCGCCGAGTGACCTTTCACATATACACGATTACACCCTCCCTTGCCCTTCGCGTGCGCATCATTACACCCTAAGCCTTGCTGCTGCTGCGTGCGGTTTTCTTGCTTGCTGCTGTCCAACCACACTCCTTGCTGGTGCGCCTTACGTGCTTCCTGCCTACCTATTAATCATGGCCTACACGCCGAGAAGCACGATCGGGACCGTCAAGTCATGGAACACATCTTTTTCTGGTTTGACCGACGACAGTTATGCAATGTCTAATCGACCAATTGAGGAAGTCGAGGCTGCTCGATTACGATCCGAGTCTGTTGCCGAGTTTCCTTGGATAGAGGATGGATACCAACCTATACGAACACAACAGACGAAAGCGCCTCCGCAATGGTTCAACGAAGGGCAGGCGTTCAACAGGGGCAACTCAGTACGATCGGTGCGGAGTATACCCCGAGAATCGATCGTGGATCTGCATTTAATTGTGTCTGATTTGGATTACTACGCTGGTGCTGTCCACGATTATCAAGAGGAAGAAGAGCAATGGGCAGCGGAAGAAGAGGAGTGGTTGGAGGAGAATGGAGGCGAGTGGCCTCTACCAGAAAACAGTGATGGCCAAACGTTTGGTCAAATACAGATCGTACGGAACGCTACGCTCAAGCGCGGCGTATCGACGAAATCGAAGAAAGGCGAAAAGGACGTCAACCTCGTGACTTGGGACGGTCCTGACGATCCGGACAACCCGAAGAACTGGATCAAGAAGAAGAAGTGGCTGGCAACGATCACGGTCTCCCTCTTCACCTTCATCTCGCCAGTATCGAGTTCCATGGTTGCGCCCTGTCTACCACAACTCGCGAGAGAATTCAACCTACCAGAAGGCAGCACACAGGGCGAACTGGCCATGTCTGTCTTTATCCTCGCCTTCGCAGTCGGACCTCTCATCCTGGGACCTATGGCAGAACTGTTCGGCAGAAGAATTGTTCTCCAAATCAGTAATTTGTTCTACTTCGTCTTCAACCTTGCGTGCGGCTTCTCCAACAACATCCCCATGATCATCGCTTTCCGCTTCCTCTCCGGTCTCGGTGGCAGCGCACCCATGGGTATTGGAGGTGGTGTATTAGGCGATATCTGGCTTCCCCAAGAGCGTGGTAAGGCCATGGCCATGTACTCTCTCATGCCTCTGCTTGGCCCAGCCGTGGGTCCCATAGCTGGTGGCTGGATTGCTCAGTACAGCACATGGCGCTGGGTCTTCTACAGCACGAGTATCTGCGCCGTCTTTGTCCAGATACTCGGTATCTTCTTCTTAAGAGAAACCTACGCAGCTGAGATCCTCAAGCGCAAGAAGAAGCAGCTCATCAAGATCACCGGCAACAAGGACCTACACACTGAATTCGACAACCCGAACCGCAAGTTCCGCCAGCACTTGGCTACCGCCCTCGGCCGTCCGTTCAAACTCCTCTTCACGCAACCTATCGTCCAAATCCTCGCACTCTACATCGGCTACGTCTACGGCGTGCTCTACCTAGTCCTAGCCTCCTTCCCCATCCTCTGGACCAGCGCTCGCGATGCAACACCACTACCCGGCTACGGCGAAAGCCCAGGCATCGGTGGTCTCAACTACATCTCCCTCGGTCTTGGCTTCTACATCGGGACACAAATCGCCGCCAAGACCGCCGACAAAATCTACAAATCGCTCAAGGCTAAAAATGGCGGCGTGGGACGCAGTGAGTTCCGTGTTCCGCTCATGTTTCCGGGTGCAGTCATGGTGCCCATCGGCCTCATCATCTATGGCTGGACGGCACAATATCAGACTTTCTGGCTTGCACCGAATATTGGGACGGCCATTTTCGCCGCAGGCAACCAGCTGGTGTTCCAGAATTGCCAAACATATATCGTGGACTCTTACACCCGATTTGCGGCTTCTGCAATCGCGGCGACTACGGTACTACGATCACTGGGCGGTTTCGCCTTCCCACTGTTCGCGCCAGCTATGTACAAGGCGCTGGGATATGGATGGTAAGTTTCACAACATCACTTCACAATTACACTTCCGAGCACATTCGCTGACTTCTCTCGTTTTACAGGGGCAACACCACCCTCGCGTTCTGCGGTATCGCCATTGGCCTGCCAGCACCATGCATACTATGGTGGTTCGGCGAAGGCCTCCGAAAGAAGAGTCAGTTTGCCGTGGGATGATCGAACCACGCACACTATCGTTTGCATAAGGCGCATTTCTTTTCCATATTATTGGATGTATCATCGGGGAAGCTGCTCGGGAGGCGTGCGCGCTATTGGAAACTGCGCGGCCTCGTTTCTGGCTATCAAGCGTGGAGTTAATGGCTAATGTCTGAATGGCTGTAAAACCACAACCGCACACAATATCCTATCTCGTATCTATTGGTGGAGTTTTGTATGTTGGTGTCAGTTGGAGGAGGGGCTGGTGGAGTCTTGGCTTGGTTGGGTTCTGCATGGCGAAGCGCCTTTTTCTATTGTACTTGTACATTACAATATACAATCAATAACGAACACTTCTATACAACGATTGACTTTCCAAATCATTCTCATCAACACCGCGTGCTAATCATATCAGGCGACTTTCGCCTTTGTTCAGCATGACCCCGCAGCCTCCAGCTCAGATTGGGCTGTGTAAGACAAGTGGTGCCGAAGGAAGCTGGCGTTCCAATAGTCTTTCAATAGCTTGGCATATGCATGTAGTATGCAACCATGCATGGTACGGCTGTGACGTGGTGTGATGGCGCCTTTGTTGCTGACTCAGGCGTGCAGATGCGGAGAAAATACTATGCAACGTGACGTCTCATGTTTGCTAGGCATGAAGCCTTTTCGACTGGGATACTATCATGCTAGAGTAGTCGATTCATATTGCTCCCAAAGTCGTGTCCACTGTGTCACTTATTGCGATCTCCTGAAGGCGATTGCGATATCTTCATCCAAATTCGCGCCAAGCAGCATTATGCACTTCCTTATAGCCTGGTGAACGAAGATGCCTCAAACCATGTGTAGCTAGCTCAACTTCACTGCCAAAAATCCCATTGGCCGTCAAGCAGAACATGCAAGCGAAGTTCACAGCAGACGCCTATTCTGCCGCGTCGCCTTCGAGATGCTTCTCAAGGTTGCCGAGCAAGTCTTCATCGCCATCATCGAAGCGCTCAACTTCCGTTTCGTCACCTGCTTCTTTACTCTCTTCTGTGACTTCTATGGGCTCGCCGTCGGCTAGTGGAGGTGGTACAGCCATTTCTTCATCTTGGAGGGTCACTGATGTTACCACGGTGGAACTTTGTCTGCTGTGCGAGGTCTTTGCAAGTGGGAGCTCAGGTGAGCTCGACGGATCTCTGTCGACGGCCGTGGCTGGCGGCTCGAGGAGTGGAGCAGCTGCCGGTGTTGGGGATGACTTTGCGGGTTCCTTTGTCTCGACAGCATCAGATGTGATTTCCGCTTGCTCGCTGTGCTTAGCCATCGCCGGTGCCGGAGTCGAGGTCCCAGCCTCTGGCGCATCATCGTCAGAAAGCTCGCCTTCCTCCCGATCGTCATCATCGTCTCCTTCATCACCATCGTCTTCACCCTCTTCTCCCTCCTCGTCACCTTCTCCTTCTCCTTCGCCCTCTGCACCGCCTTCTTGCTCATCTGAAGCCGGTACCTTTGCAGCCTGCTCGGCCGTGACATCTGCAGCCGCCTCCTCGCCTTTCGAGACATGCTTGACTGTCTGACCAGGCTCAGGCACAATCTTCGTAGCGTTAGGCACAATCTTCGTGTAAGTCGTGCCATCAGGATTGGTGAAGGTGACGCGCTTCTTGCCACGACCTGGTCCTCCTTTCTTCTTCGGCGGTGGCCTATTCCGCCGGGTCGAGATGGCAGGCTTCAAGTGCTCGGCAACAACCACGCCTTCCTCGTTCGCGATACCGACGCCTTCGATGACAGTACCTGGTACTGCGGCCACAGTCTTGACGTCTGCCAGCTCGGTGGACTCTGCTACCTCGCCCTCCACGTGCTGACCTTCGGGTACAAGCACTTCATAGACATTCACTTCACCATCTGGACCAGCTTTCTGCACCTTCGTCTTTCTCATAGGTACGATAGCGCCATTGTTGATCTCCGGCCCATACAGACTGGGTAGGCCTTTTCGTCGCTTTGCTAGAAATTCAAAGTGCTTGTGCTCAGGCTCCAGGAGAGCTTCGGGCACAATCTTCCACTTCTTCGCCACGTAGCCACGGTCCTCGAGGTTTGCCTTGGCCACTTCAGTCGTCTTCTCCTCATCAGCACCATCTTCGTCCATAGAATCCGGATCCGGTTTTCGCTTCGTCCCGACTTTGCCACTGCGTGCCAGTCGCAGTAGCTGCTGAGTCCATGGTTGCAGAAGCTGATAGTCGCGTGGCATAGGAGGGTCTCCCCATTTGTCGTTCGCTTTCTGCTCCTCTTCAGAGGCGGGAGGTGCCAAAGAGACTCGTGCGATCTGCTGTCCCCATTGCTTCACGGGAAGACCTTCGAAAACATCATTGTCGGCTTGCGAGCGGCCAGAGCGATTGCTTCGTCCGGGCGGTCTGTACTGTTCAAACAATGCCATGTCAGTACTAGATACGATGGTGGATGTGTCAGGCAGCTATGTGGTTCTTCGCAAGCGTGGCGGAGAAGTGGGCTTGTCGCCGCTGCGGCCTGGGAAGGGTTGTGGGCGCTAGCCCTGAAGATGTTGTTTCGCAGGTCATACTCATGACGGCCCACCAGATCGGTACTTATTGACTGTGATACCGGATCTGCGGATACCCGCGTGCTTGTGGATCACATATGCGGTATTTCCATTCGCCACATATGTGATCGCATTGTGTTGGGCAGCAGAGTCCACAGAGAACTCGTGTTGCACGAGGAGATCACACAGTCTTTACTTACAGGAGCCATAGTTAGTCAATCCTACGCGCTTTCGGCAGGCGCGTCTCACAGCATTCATCAGACACCTCACGTGCTAATCGAGGAGCTTGACTCCGATGATTTGTTCAATTGATTTCGGACGTGATAAGACCTGTTAGAAGATGCTCGGTGCGTGCAGCTGTGTAAATCGTATTCCTGTAGTCGAGTATATCATGCGGCCAAAGACGCGGCATCTCGTTCGATGGCGGAGTTGGTGAACCACGAAGACGCACTGACCCATATGCGCTTCTCCCGACGTCCTTGACCACGACGAATCTCTCTTTCTCAATCAGATCAATACCTGCGCTTCCCCAAACATGGCACAATTTAGAGCCAAGAAGCTAGATTTAGGATGCTTCATCAACATCAAAGTCATCCGAGACCACACCAAGCGCAAGGTCTTCGAGCAGCATGAGCCGGAAAGGTAACATCATGAGCCACCATACTCTGGCTAGACCATCACATGTCTGACTGTTCTGCTCAGGCAAGCGCTTCGCTACATCATACGAAATACCTCTCTACCGCAGCGAACACGAGCGCAGGCGCAGCTGCAATTGACACAGATGCATTGCTATACACGACCGACTCAAATACGGAATCGATGCATAATGGGAGGGAGAGGAAGAGGTGTTTTGCGGGACTTTCGCATGGCTCGAGTATGTCAATGAATTTGAGCGCAGGATGGGGATGTGAAGACCGCATGGCAGGGCTGACAGTGATACAGTTTCAATTCCGAATGAATGCGCTCGCTGGCAAGCTTCCGGGTGTACAGAAGGCGAGCTGGTAAGATTCTGGTGAGGTCAGGGACTTGAGTTGTGAAGCTGTGTAAAGAAGTGTACGATACTGCATGGACGGCGTTCTGGTAGGGGGCGAACGGCAAGTTCGATCTGAGCATGAAGTGAGGTGAAGGACGAGTAGCGCAGTCGAACGACACCGATTTCGCCCTCGCCACTTGGATCAGATGGCTTCAACGTGGCAGCATGTACAGCAATGAGAGTGGACTTTGTGTATACATCGGTAGGTGGAGACGCCCTTCGCCATAGACTTATTCCTCTTCGAGCCAGCAATCGGTTCTTCTCAACACTCACTGTTCGAAGAGCATCATTCGCGCCACACAGACCACCGCTCATTGTCCATCGCTCTTTCCTCACATGTTGCTATTGTCGCACCTTCCTCATACAAGCTGCCGCTCGATGTGAAGAGTTTTCTCTTGCAGCAACCTTGATAAAAGGTCTCAAACCTTCGACCTTCGACCTTCTCAACACAACACCACTGGACCACACAACAACATCTAACACCGGCCTTTGATTACAGCTCAACTCAACACCACAACAACGGAACGCTGGACTGGACTGGATCAGGATGTTCCGCCGACTCAACACCGACCTGCCACAGGACCCGCGCCCTGCTGCCGCCAACTCTGCCACCGCTGCTACTAACGTCACTCTCGCGTCTCTCGATTTCGTGATGAATGAGAACCGCCATTTCGTAAAGGCTAATACCGCCACAGGCAACGGACCAGAAGAATACTTCAACTTCTTCCACACCGACAACGAGCGTAGCAACGAGGTCCGTGGCGAGGCCATGCACGCTCAAATCAAGAAGTCGATGCTCTCGGAGCTGAAGAAGCTGGGCATTACAGAAGTATTCATTCACGAGGGCGCTTGTCAAGCCACCAAGCCCTCAGGCCCGCACGCCACCATTTTGGCTAGCGAGCCACGGGTGTTGAAGACGCTGAAGGACGTGATTGTGATCGTCAACGAGCACAAGCAGGATCTTGGGGTCCTTGCTTACCGCGCTCTCGCGAGGGAAGGCGGGCTCGACGTCGGCAGCGTATTTGGGTTGGCCAGCAAGCTGAGTGCGGTTACGACCAATCTCGGCACTGGCCCCACTGCGGGTGATGTACATGCTCTCGCGAGCGACGTGCAGAAGTTGAGCTTGCGCGACACCAGCAAGATTGACGATGGGTTCGGTTTGCTAATTATGAACCCCGGCGAGCTGCTCTACAGTCACGCGCTCAACAAGACCATGTCGCAGGCTGCATGGCTCGCACGTAAGAGGCCCTCTGCTCTCTCTCCTCCATTCGAGATCAGCGACGTCAACCGCGTGCCAGGTCACGAAACGCCACAAGCACATATCCACGCCATTTTCGAGCAGGTCATTCCAACGCTCTTAGCTGAGAACGCCAGAATCTACGTCATTGGGCTGTCCGATGGCGGCGAGAGCGTGCTGAAGTACATGAACGACACACTCCGCAACGACGAACACGCCCATGTCGCCAGCATGATCGAGGCTGTCGCCTTGACTGAGCCGACCCACGACCTCGCGACGCTATCTTACAAACCTCTTGCGGCCTTCCTCGCTGCGTGCGGCGCAAAGAGCTACGTCCTCTCTACCAAACCTAAAGGCGAGCTCCTGAAGATGCCGCCGGTGTCTGTCGCAAGCGCAGAGAGTTCGTCACCACTGGGGTCTGCAAAGTTGTGCTCCGCAAGCATTCTATCGTCTGCTGAGCTCGATCTTGCCCGTCGCAAGTCACTCCCCACTGAGCAAGAGGATGACACCACCACCAGCCAAGACAGTCCCAGCTCCATAACGACCACGTCGCCGCCAGTCGATATCCCGAGCATCCACGAACGCGAGAGCCAGCAGTTCGGTGCTTCTACCAGTGCCGCCAGCCGCCGTAGCCTGATGGACAAGATTGCCACTAACACTAGCAACTACTTCTTCCCAGCCAGGAAGGGCGTGTCACCTGAGCAGAGCGTTACGGGCGATGTGGACACGGGCTATGTGTACAGCGCTCGCGAGGAGTATCTTGAGGAGCAAGAGCTGATGATGCAGACTTCCTACCCAGACCTGAAGGCATTGATACGCAAGCAGGCGATGGAGACCGGCAAGGAGGGTGGATCCGGGAGGGCGAGCTCGAACGAGAGCGTAGCAGGGTCGACGGCCAGTCAGATGGATTCGAACGAGAGTCAGGCGGGTTCGAGTGCTGCAGGTTCGACGGCTAGCAGGCTGGGTTCGACTGCTAGTCCGACAGGTCCGCTGGTACGCCAGGCAGATCCGACGGCGGTCAAGGCAGATTCGGCGTTGATTAAGGAGGATTCGGAGGAGTTTGGAGATTACGAATACAGCAAGGATCCAGTCAGCTGTCCTACCTTCAGCTCTGGCGTCTCGGACTTGGCTGAGATGATCTTCCCGAACGTGATGGAGGATATTCTGGGATGGTTCAAGGACGTGAAGCGTTTGGCTGAGGAGAGTGATGGTGCTGGTGCTCACTAGTGTCCAGAGGATACAGTACCGGATATCACGAGGGCGAAGGATCTGGGATGACATGAAGTGGATTGGATGAGTGAGAGAAACTTGTACTTAATGGCACGATTGGCCATGCCATGTAGCTGCTGGTCAGCTATGAGTCCCGTCAGTAGCCACATTTTGCATAATGACCCTTGCAAACTGTATGATAATTTCTATCACAGCGTCTCACATTCCCTCCTGCCGCAAATGCCTTCCTCTCACCGCAGCCTGCCACAAGGCGTTGCGGTCAGTACACAACGCTGGGGACTGGACGTCGCATCCAGGCTGGCAAACACAACAAAATCCTCCTTATAAAATCGTCGCACTCGTGGCACGCGCCGTCTACGAGGTTCATTCATGAGAGTGACAAGAGCGCTTTGAAGTGAATATGTATAATATATGCAAGGTATCTGCCGCCATCAAGGACTCGCTTGAACGCCCAGACGAGGAACAGAAGAATATATGAACAGGAAGAATAAGAAGTCCGGGCCCCAATGACTATAGCATTAGACCAACCAACCAACCATGATCATTACTGGCCTCCCACAGTCGTGCCATTGCCGAAGACGATTTTCTGACCCTGCAAATCGCAAGTCACCCCATTTCCTAAAGCCACGCTGGTGCTGTTACCAATGCTAGTGGTGGAAGAGCTTCCGTCGAAGTAGTTGGCGAGGTTGTTCTGTGCAGTCACGGCTTGGGATAGCTGGCCAGAGGTCTGGAAGACGTAGAGGATTGCTATACGGGCGAAGTCTTGTTCGCTGTTTGTCGAGGGAGATGATGAGGAGCTTGATGTTGCTGAGGCGGCGGAAGACGAGGTAGGCGAAGAGTTGTCTGAGCCCGTCGTGGTGGGCGTGGGTGTGGCGCCACCTTCGAACACGATGCCGTTGCTTGTCGCCGTGCCTGCGGCAGCAGAGGATGTAGTGGTGGCAGATCCGTCCTGGCGCTTCTCGGCAACTGTGCCACTCGCTCGCTTGACCTTACTGCTCCCACCATCACCGTCGGCAAAGCTAATGAGTGCGTTCTCGCCTGCACAACTCAAGCCTGCTTGATTAAAGAGACCGACCAGCGCCTGCGCATTGAGTGGGATGCTGTAATTTCGATCCGCTGCGGTCATCAGCCGTGGGATAGCATCACCAAGCGTGGTGTTTTGCATAGAGCCGACGAATGCAGTCGTGCAGCCTGCTCCGCTAGCTGTACCGCATGTCGTGCCCGTGTAGCCGTTCACACAGATACATGAGCACGTCGCAGCATCGGAGCCGGTAAGGACGTTGACGCCGCCGTTCTGGCAAGTGAGCTTCTTCTGGCATTGTGCCAGTGCCTTCGAGCCTGCGGTGGACGAAGATGCCGCATTAGCTTGCCGCGGTATGACGATCAGAACAACCGGCACGATGACAGCTGCAGCGGCAAGCAGAATGAGCAGTAGCATAAGCAAGAGGAACACCCACAGCGGCATCCCGCAACACCGTCTGCCTCGCTTCCTGCCCTCGACACCATGCCCACCAGCATCACTATCCGAACCCAGTTGCTCATGCCTCAGATTCGAGCTCGACCAGTTCGTCAAGCGTCTTCCACCCAATCCATCTCCTCCGCGTGAACCAGGCGGTGTGCCATTGGGTCCTGCAGCCGGGAAAGCAGCAAGCATATCACTGATACTGCCACTCCGCCTCTTGTTTTCTTCTGCTAGACGACGGTCGCGCTCGCCCGATTTCTCACCGCCGAGCCAGTCCATACCCAGTCGACTAGCTGTTCGGCCACGGTCGAGATTCGAGGCGAGCTTTGTCGCACGGACGATGAGGTCTGGCAACGAGGTCAGAGAGCCTCTTGCTTCGGCATCGCGGACAGCATCGACGTCAAGGCGTGGTGGACGACGTTTGCCTGCCTTCGATGAGAGCCCTTTGCCAGGAGCTTTGAGCATCTCGCTTTCCTTCTCGTCCAGAGGGCTGATAGCACCGCCCTTCTCCAGCCCGGCCACAATCTGTGAACGCCTCACGTCGACCTCATTAACCAAGGGCGAGGGCCCACGAGACGTGTTCCTGGCCTGTGTAGGGCGGCTAAGGAAACCTCCTTTGCTCTTTGGCTGTTTCGCCCGCTGGCTCTTTTCGGACTCCGATGAGTCTGATGGGTCGATCAAGCCGGTGCCAGAAGCCAAGATCTCGCTACTGCGAGACCGCTGAGAAAGGTTCTCTTTCGATAAAGTGTTCGAGTTGTTTTTGTACAGAGCTGCAGCAGCGGCTGCTACACCGCCTGCTTCGAGCTCTTTGTCGACATTGTCTGATCGTGTTTGACGTGGTGGTCCGTAAGTGTCAGTATTGGCATCGTACGTCAGTCGTCCTCCAGTCTCCTTGGCGAAGCCTAGCTCCTTGTCCAAAGCATCAACATCTGGTCTAGAGTTCTTTTGCTGACTCGGTAAGCTGCCGAGACCTTCACCGCTAGGCCTTCGGATCTTTTCACCACTTTTGACTGTGGTCAGGGTCGGCTTGCTCTTGCGGCCCATACTTGCCTGTCGAACGAGAGCTGGTTCGGGTGTGATGCCTCGATCACTGTCATAGCTGCTCCGGTCGTCAGCAATGGTATGATCAGCTTCTCGTTCGATAGGTGACTCTTGGTGCTCGTCCTGTATGTCGTATCGTCCATTGCCAGGTAGACTCGGCACACTACCATGTTGCTGGAGGTAGTAGTCTGGGATGCCAATCGGTATGGCATTACTACTGGCATAAGATCTCATACTGTCATGACCGCCCATAGTGCTTCCGTTCCTCGTGCTCCCACGCATACTATCAGTCTCCTCGGCAATGGGCATGACTGGCGCAGGCTGTGCATAGTATGAGGCAGGACCACGACGAGCAGATGGTGGGGGGCCAAGCGGTGGCCGCTTGTTGGCCTGGCCATAAGCACCTTGCTGATATTGTGACTGCTGAGGAGCGGAGGAGGGTGAAGAGTAACCCTCACCAGTCCACTGGCCTGTACCATGGTGAGATGGCTGCGGCGGTGGAGGTTCGGAGCGATATTGCTGTTGTGCTGGCGCTACTCGTGCTTGTCGAAGAGGCTCAATGGCCGGCGGATGAGCGTCTGGTCGTTGGGGTCGTTGTGGTGGTCGTCTCTGTCCATTGTTTGGACTTGGAATGCGTGAATCGCTATATACTTGGTCCATCGGTGCTCGCTGTGGTGCTTTGGGGAGCGGCCATGCATCATTCTGATCTGCGTACTCGGGTTCGCCATATGCACTACCATCATACAGATTTCCGGCCGGCGGTGCTGGTGGTGGCATAGGTTGGCTATACTGCTGCTGCTGCTGTTGGCCAGGTCTCATGGGTCGTTGGGGTGGCGGCCCTCGTTGCCTCTCACTGCTGCCACTTCCAGTTGGTTGCGGTTGTGGTGCTCTACGATTCTGCGAAGGCAACATGTTCCGTGAGTGTGGCTGCTCGCCTGAGGAATATTGAGGTATGCCATAAGACTGGCCCTCGTCATAATACTGATAACTCATGGGGAGATAGGTACCGTCTCATGGAGTCTATTCCGGCGAGAGTCAGAGCTCTGCTCCGTGCAAACGAGATGACGTGCTGTAGGACGCTGTCTTGCAAACCACGTACTGCGAATCGTGCGCGTGAAGTGCGTGATCGTTCGCGAGTCTGTATCCAGATCGTCGTTTGGCGGAGTCTTCGGGTGCGACACTGCAAGCTGCCGAACGGTATTCCCAGAGAAGCTCCAATCAATTCCGTTACACTCTACACAATGTACACCGCAGCAGCCCTGCCGTGCGTTCGTGCCTGCTCGTCTCCGTGTACTTCTTGCTCAAATGCTACCGTCCCTGCGGTCGTGCCGAAGATCTATAGTCGCTTGTCTGTAGGCCGCCGTGTCGGCCTTGCTCATGAGGTGGTACGCAACAATCACTGCTATGCGATGCAGTATTGTCTCAGCGTACAATAGAGACTCGTGGAATTGTATGCGTGTGGCTGGGATTGTATTGTCGTACGGCAGGCGTGTGAAACGAATGTATGAGAAGAATAGTGAATGGCTATTGTCCCTTGTACACCTCACAATCAGCGACTCAGCAGGAATTAGGAGCTCTTCGTCCTGACCAGCCACTCACCAACCACAGATGGACGACAATCAAATATGATACCAGATCACTCGGTAGATAGGTACAAACAACAACACAGTCGAAGATCAACCACAAGTGGAGTGCAGCACGGCAAAGACGGCCAGGCGTCGATTTGCGTTGGTGAGATTGCTCTCGTTAGAGATGATCGGACGTGCTCTGTCCCAAACGCCCAGCCATGTGCTGTGCTAGTATATTTAGCCTTTCAGGATTGCCGTTGGAGGGTCCGGCCTGAACTCTGCATGTTGAGACACAAACCGGTCGTGACGATGTAGTGAATGCTGACGTTTGGTACGAATCGTCGAATTGTTGCAATCGACCAGATCTATCGCCCACAGCATTTCAAACACTCCATTGTCGTCCCACACAGCATCTCGCATCTCTTCATGCACCTAGGAAGCGAGCGAACGCCTTCCCGGCAAACCCCTGCTCTTCCGCCGCCACCAACACTTCCATCTGCCTGTACCTGAAACATGGGAATCTCCTCACGCCATTTGGCTGCTTTTGAACGAATCTTGTTGTTCGTCGCACGCCCGAGCCATCCTTCGCTCAAGTCATGTCAGCTTCGTCGGTATCAGGTGAGCGGTCCAGAGATGAAGATGGATCCGATGATATTCCTTGCCGTTGAGCCCACGAGGTCTAATACCGAGACTTCGCGGGCCGTGAGATCGATATATGTACTGAACGCGAACGAGACTCGATGAATCAATGGATCAGCTGTTGTTCGACTTGAGGTGGATATAAGGTTGCATTCCTGCGCACCATTGAAGTTCTGGCCACCAACGATGTGAGCTGGAATAGTCAGCCAGCATGACTTCTTGGAAGCTGCCAACATGCTGAGCCTCATCACGCGGCAGAATAGCCATGCTGTCGATGAGGTCAGTGGCGAGCATGCTGGAAATCATCCAGGACTTGTCCTTCCTCTTGTGTAATTTTACTGCTATGCTGCTACCCTGCCTGTTGCCATTTCCCAACTATCAAGCACATTCAGAATTGGAAGGACATGCTCGGACAGCTGTATCATTGAAGAGATGTATACCCATGGCGGACCGTCACTCTCAGTCCAGTAGGCGATAGCATCTGAAGAAAGCAAACCTCATAGTGCACATCGAACGACAAAGCATAAACCATGGCTCTAATCAATTTCACATGTCCTAACGAGCTTTCGCCACCTACAGACGCATGCCATATCTTGCTCAAAGAGAACGCAGCACCTCCACAGCAAGCTCCTGTCCAGGCGACTAATGTGACCTCTGCCACCAATGCCGGCCCACGCAAGGGGAGCGCCATATCCTACCCAGCCATACCATCAAAGACCACTGACGAGCACCTCTCGTCTCAAGTCCGGGACTCTGCTCTCCAAGCATCTCCACAACCCACGACCTCCGCACCAGCAAACATTGGCCGACGTCGAGCAGCTGGCCTCTCGACACGCCTCGCCAGCACACCGCCCCGCCCATCACGGTGGCAACAAATTGGCGACATCTTCCTCCAGAATCCGACTTCACCGTCTTCAACTTCCCAGAACAATGATGAGAGATCAAGAATCGATGATTCGCCCCTTGAGTAAACGTGCTTTCCTCACAGCGTCAGGAAATCGAACCGTGCTGACATTCCAGGAGTACGTCTGAGAGAGCTGCTACGAGGAGACTGCAGTCGGAGTCCAAGCACCGGGCCCTCTGGGACGACAATGTCTTAGCCGAGACCTCATTCACACCGGCTCGTCTACTCGGGCTCATAATAGACCCAGCGCCATCACACGGCCAGCTTCCAAGATCCGCTCAACGGTTGACGCCTCAGCCCATGCCTACTAAGGAGGCGATCGATGCCTGGCTCACCTCGACCGAGAATGCGTCTGACACTTCATCAGATGAATGGACAGGCGATGAAGACTTCCTACCTCGATCAGCCCGGGCGCGACATCGTTAGCAACGATTACAGCGGAAGCGTGCACGTAGGGCCCAGGTACTGCGCGATGCTCTTACTACAGCTGCTTGCATGGAAGAACGGAAAGCAGAGGAGACCAAGCTTCAGGCCGAGGTAGAAATGAACGTGCGTGTCGACGATGCTACGAGCGTACACGATGGGGTGGGCGCATTGTTGGCCCCAGATGAAGGTGCATTGGTGGCGATGGCTGAAGGGCCAATGTCTGTGGCTTTTCGGGAACGGCTTGACGCTTTGCGCTCACCTGTTGTTAGCGCAGGACGCTTTCGAGAGCCGCGGAGAGTGGATACTACCAAGCAGGGGTAGAAAAGCGAGCAAATCGATCGCCGACTACTTCCGTTCGAGATGGCAGCTGATACACTGGGCGAAGTGCATGGCATATCCCGTAGAGTCATGATCAGCAAGCCTCAAGGGCGTTGAGTAGCATATACAGAAGTCGGTATCTACTTCTCAGCACTCTTCGCGCTTCTCAGATCAAAACTTCGCCCTCTTTGCCCGCTAGTGGTGACAGGCGTCATCATCTCCAGTGGCTCTATCACTGTCTGCACCACTGTTGTACTCTTCACACCTTGCATGCCCACCAATTCTTCCTGACTTCCATCCCGACTATGCACGCCACTCCTTCCACCTTCGAGCCCCAAGCCACGCCCTCTTGATGACTTCCGCATGTGGTCCGTTCCTCTGGCTTCGATCGTCGTTGTGACGCCGTACTGCTGATCTGGTCGTAGTCTAAAAGTGTCTAGGACCCGACTCCGCTCGTCCAGTGTTTCGTCGTCAAAGAGGAGGGCGCGGCGAGTGAGTGTGTAAAGGAGCACGTCCAGCCAGCCGTTGGACGTGATCATTGCTCCAGCGACACAAAGCTCCAAGAAAGTTATGTGCCCTCCCGCCATACTGGTCAGACGTGCAGTAACCAAGGGGAGCGTGCAGACGACGTACACAATAGGGTAGGCAATGATCAGTTTCGCCGCACTTCTCGCCCTCATCTGTGTCGAGGATGTTGTGTAGAACGACTCCTTGACCCGTCGTCGCAGGATCAAGAAGATGAGTGTGTAGATGATCACCGTCCCGAACTCGGCAATGATGACCCAGAAATAATGCAACCACAGACGTTCGTTGGTGTATTTGAGATTCACCCAGCACCACGCACCAGCTCTAACATAATAATCATCCGGGTGCATCGCCACGCCTATAATGGCACAGGCGTACACAAAGATCCACGCTGATACCACTGAGCACAGGAAAGCCTTGTGACCAAGTCGTATATCGTGCACAATGTCCAGGTAACTGTGTAGTGCTATGGCGAGAGTGAAGACGCCGGAAGCCAAGTCGCCTGTCGACACGAACCATCCTTGTGCCCAGCAGGTGCTGGAGTGCACATCGATGCTATCGGCGCGTAGCCAGGCTGTGTTGAGGAGGAAGGCTAATGATTGTTGAATGTCTGCAAATACCAGGTTGAAGATCAAGACCACGAATTGGTTTACTCGTGCGTGTGTCTTTGCTTTCCAGGTTATCAGTCGATATGCCAATCTTGCGAACAATGCCACAGACGTCAGGAAGGACAGAAATCCAAAGAATGATACGGCCATCAGTCCTCGCTGCAATATCGGTGGTAAAGGCGTCAACGTCGTCGGCTGACTGACTATGTTCGTACTCGCTGCCATGGCTGACAATGTGAAGTCCCTCCCAGCGTGTCGAAGGAAGAGCAGTATTACCGAGACCTGAGATCGGATGCCTTTGTGGTTGCACTAAGATTCCGAAGCTGTTGTGGAACAGCCACGCGAACGTGCGGTGTTTGTCGATTTGTGTTCCGGAGAGCTGCAGCTCAGAGGTCGGTCTGCTGCTGCCCACACCGCGAGGTCGACGTGGTGGTCGTGTATAGGTTAGCACTCCACCGCCATGCTGCTATCTCGTGGCTTTGTGATGGCGTAGCACCTGTCTGTCCCTGCTATTGTCCGAACCCAAGTGAGTGGTTTCCTGGTTGATGCAGTAGCAGTCGACACGAGTGAGTGGAATGGCACCAAAGTCCGCCACCTGAGGTTACAGGAAGGATGAAGTGAAGACATCGTACCGCGTACCTGAGGTATACCCTCCCGCCCTCGTGGCCATGAAAGCCACACACATGCCAGATTGCTGGGGCTAAGGTCGCTCTAACAAAGTACAGCGCCGCCGTGAAGAACAATGCGGCTAATGGTCACGGCCCATGAGTGGCTAAACCCATGCGAGAGCACCAAATGAGGTGAAAGGACGAACCCGCAAAGGACTTTGCGACGATAGGGCTAGATCGGACGCCTCGATCCATATGATTCGCATAGGCGATGGGAGCTCAGGCACCATGCACGCGCGGGTATGTTTCATCTTGTTGCCGCTTGTGAGCGCTAGAAGGTCGTGCTGCACTTCAGCTGTATGGAAAATATGTACTTTTGGCGCAAACTCCAGGGTAAGCAGGTCAGAGCCACGGCTAAACCCTTGGCCGCTTGGTGGCGTGGTTGGCCGAAGGTTTGATAAGTGGCAGTCGTGTGTCGTGGCGCTTTTTGGCTTTCTTCTGCCAATCGCCTGTGCGTGCCTGCCTGCTAAACTCTTGTCAAATTTGCGGGGAGAAAGTTTGATTGTCTGATTGTCTGGTTGTTCTGCTGCTTCTCGGGCCCTCGGCGGCGAAGGAAGCCCCTGAGTGTAGTACGGAACAATCGGCCAAAATGCACACTACGTAGACACTGCATGCATGTCATGCAGAGCACGGTCTTGCTGATGCTCGCTTGGGCGGTCGCGAGATGGACGGATAAATATGCACGCAAGCCACGAGAAAAATATAGTAGCGATAGAGTCAACATTGCGTATTCCCAAACCTGCCTTCGGCGCCGAAGATTCGCCTTTGCCGCTCAGGGCTCGGCAAGCCGAAGCAGAACGGAACGGGACGTCGACCAGTCGGCTCATCTGCCTTGGCTCTCAAAAGTAAGTCGAGTCGTGGACAGCTGGTTCCGTATGAGGAGCTGCATATCCCAACCAGACGTCCAAAACTTCTACGACACGAATTTCTGGGCAGATGACTCGCAGGCCGCGACCTCACCATCGGATACTGTCGGCATTGGTGGTGTCGGCCACTCCGGTGTCAAACCAGGTGCTGCAAGTTGGCATCCCCTACAACGTCTATAAACTCCCCTCCTCCCAGACTGTTGCGGCAAGGTACGGAGAGTTGCGGACACTAATAGTCGCTGGACAAGGCGAGGAGACGTGCGACTTCAGCTGACGAGCGAGCGGTCTTCACACCGAGATTCGGTGGCGGGTACCGAATGTCAGGTCTGCTGGCGTTGTGCTATCATGCCTATGTCTTCGCCTCTGCTAACCCGCCCTTCCACTTTCCATCCTTCCTCTCCCATTCCAGTGCACCAAAGCTGGTTGTCCGTAACACGGACACCTTGAAGGTCTTCAGGTTCGGACATTTCTTACTCAAGGCCTCCATGTCAGACGCAGAAGGGAAACTGGTCGCCAGCACACCCGAGCGCGGGTTCTGGAGCTATTCAAGATTCGTCAGATTTATAAAACCTCGAATTTTTGACAGTAACTATACTTACGGCCATAAAGAATTGCAATGATGGGTTGGCCACAATCTCAACCTGTTCTAGATTTTTGCTCCCCTCCAGCGCCTTCAGCAGCGCCTTCTTGCAATCCTCACCCGGCTCTGCCTCAATGGTTGCATTGAGCACCAAGACATGCTTCTGCACTGCTAGTACAGTCTGTAGTTGGCTTGGTGTCATAGTATACAGCGTAATATTCAGTGCCCGAAGTCCTTTTGGTGAGACTTCCTCATCTGTCAAGGCGAACATGATATCAGTAGCTAGGGTCTTGTTGAACGCCATGACTCCTTCCTTGCTCGAAGCCTGCTGTATCGTGCTTGGGTCCTGCTCGTCGTCCTCTGCAGACTCTGGCGGCGAGACATTGAACGAGCAGCTGATCAGACCGGGTCCAACCAGCGAAGGTAGTTCCGTAGCTTGTATCTTGGCCATGAAATCCTCATCCTCATGTCGGAAAGTGTAGTTGACCTCCAAGAACATCAACCCTCGCCTCGCCTCACCAGGTGTATCCGAAGTGTTATACTTCAACCACTTCCCAGCATTGATGAAGAACCCTGGCTTGGCAAAGACATCAAGAAGATGTAGTGCTCGTAGCATAGGCAGCTTCTTGAAGAACTCCACAGCATCGTTGTGGCTTTCTTCTGTAATACCCGCGAAGAGCTGACTGTATATCACCACGCTCTTGAGGTTCGGTAGTCGTTCTGCGAGTTTGGATAGAAAGCCTACAGGATATCCCAAGCTGAACAATTCGAGTGTGAGGCTCTCGATGCCACGAGGTAGACTTTCAGGGACTGTGTAGGATTGAGAGAGCGCAGACTGGTATTCGTCGACTTTGATGTCCGAGGTCAAGGTCAATGCCTTGAGGCCTCGTGCTGAAGGTGGGAAGTCCGGGATGGTGAAGCTCTGCAGCGGTATTTGGGCACCTTGCGCTTGGTCAGGGTCGACTGGCGCGCCAGGGAGGTTTGCTGGATTAGTAGTTGCCATTATCGTACTTGTCGAGAGAATGAGAGCAATGGAAGGTGGCAATACTCTACCGTGATACCTATTTTCTCGCTCGCGGACACTCGTTCCTGCTGACGATGAAGCATGCGATCTGCTGTGGAGAAGAAGAGGGGATGCAGGGTTCAGAACGACTTCCTTTACAATCGAGCTTTGGCATGCGGTTCCATCCTTCAACCACAAGGATTACGTTGATTACTTTATCAGCAGCGAGCACAGCAGTTGCGGACGCTTGATAAATAGCTCGGGCATTCCAAGGAAGTTGTCCTTCTAATGCCATGAGCAGGACGTTTCTCAGCTCGTCGTTTCCCGAGGATCAATCCTTCAATCCACCCATTGTCACGGATGACACACGCAAAGAATCATGAATATCATCCAAGGATAAGGTAGGGAGCACCCTGTTCTCATGCCCCTTGCTTGAAGCATATGCTTAGCCGCCTCCACGGATGTTGATCGCGAGAGCGAAATCTGACCGCTTGCACCTACGTAGCGGGGTGCTAATGTTGAGTGTTGGGGCTGAGAGGTTTAGCATCTGGCAGGCTGACAGCCCACCCTATCATCGGGAAATTTAAAGGATACGATTATCTACGAGGATCATGGCTTTGCCAGTTTACCTTTGCATTACTTATACCGCAGGGTAGAGTGCCATTGTGCCATACTGCCCGCTCACCAGGATCATGGAGTCCACCTCAGGCCTGAAGCTCGATATCAAAATAGTAGGCGCCGGCATCTCTGGACTAGCCTGCGCCATCGCCTTGAGGCGTAAAGGCCACGATATCACGGTCTATGAGAGGAACCCTGAGCTCTATGCCTACGGCGCTGGCATACAACTCTTTCCCAATGCTACCCAAGTCTTGCGCGAGTGGAAGCTGGAGTCGGAACTTCTGAAGGTCGTCCATCAACCGGAAGTGATGTCGATCATGAGGTACGATACAGGTGACACACTGGGTGAGATCGCACTTAACCCTGCGGCTTCCATGGAGTACGGGCATCCCCACTGGCAGATCTACTGGCCAGACTTCCAGCGGGTACTTGCGAAGGCTGCTACAGCGATCGGTGTCGTGATACATCTAGGTCAGCCTGTAAGTGCTGTGGACCAAGAACATGGCACTCTTGATCTTGGAGATGGAATGATTGAACACGCCGACATTATCATCTCGGGTGACGGTATACGCTCTCGACTGCGTTCGACCATCTCAAACGCCGAGTCGAAAGCTTTCCAGGACTCAGTCTTCCGCGCCATCATCCCACGAGAAGTCATGATGAGAGATCCAGTCACAGCGGCACTAATGGAAGGCACGAACTCTATGGTCTGGACAGGCCCCGGAATAGCAGTACTAGCTTACCCCGTATCCGCAGGAGTACGCTACAATACACTCCTATCCTACACAAGGCCAAGCGAAAATGAAGTAGGCAGATGGAACCAGCCAGCTGATGCCAGTGAGGCTCGAGAAATGCTCAAGGACTTCTGTCCTACAGTTAGGAAGCTTTGGAGCTTAGTTGACGATACTGCTAAGTGGAAGCTGGGAGATGTGCCAAAGCTTGATTCTTATGTTAGCGAAAGTGGGAAATTCGTCCTTGTTGGCGATGCTGCCCATGCAATTGTGCCGCATGCTGGACAAGGTGTGTCATCCGGTGCTTCTGTTTCCGATAATCTGTTCATCTTGGCTGACCAGCATAGGCGCTGCCATGGCTGTCGAAGATGCCGCAGCTCTCGGCGAATTCCTCGACCCAGCCACGTTGACCGACCGTGACCAGCTCAGAGCTCGCATGCCCGCGTATAGCAAGTTCCGACAGCCACGGATCGAAAACATCCGCAGCATGGCATACGGTAATGCTCGCTTCTTGACGATGGCGGACGGTGCCGAACAGCAACAGCGTGACCAAATGCTGAGCATTATGACATCAAAGTGGAAAGCTGCGGTGCGGGAAAATGGTCTTGACGCTTTCAAAGCTAGGGTCGAGGCTAATGCTGAGTCTGCTAGTATCAATTTGCCGGATGGGAGGATGTATGCGTATGGGTATGATGTTATTGGTGAGGCAAGCAAGGCGGTGCAGGAGCTGGTGGCTGCTTGATTCTGGCATACTCTAGCTTGTGATGGCCGTTGCACTTCTTCATAGGGCCGTTGCTTCTTGGACATGAGGACTTCCCTCCCGGATGTACGAGGAGGAGTATCTGCAGCTGTAGATGCCTCGCATTCTCCTTCCTCCCACCGAAAATGACCGCTGAACTCCTCAAGTTTGAGGCTGAGTCAAATTCCTTTGACATCCTTCACAGTTAGGGTAGGCTGAGTTCCTCATCAGCTCGTCCGTCCGTTGCATTGTTTTGAGTTGGGGGCCATGCATTAGTCCACAGACTATGCACGTCACGATGCAACTATATGCTTGGCTGGCCCATCTCGAATCTGCGTTATCACAACATCCACTTATCCTGGGACCCATAACTCTTCCAAGGCTTGATCAAAGGTAGATAGCATGGCCGACGTCGAGAAAATACATGTCCTCGTTGTGGGAACAGGTGAGCTCAACCACACCTACGATTTAGGCAAGTTCGCCATCATCGATAGCTAACAAACACAGGTATCGTCGGTCTCTTGATAGCGCAAGGGTTGAAGAAGGTATGAATACACGGTGTGATCTTCTGTCCAGGCTAAAATCGACATCAGAATGGCATATCCTTCACATTATTCGAGTCCGATGCCTCGTCAACCCGGCGACAAACGAGAGAGTGGCATGTCGATTCCATTGACCTTTGCGCGGCTTTACAAAGCTGACATTGCTCGTCCAGGGGCATGTCGATCCAATGGGCACTTCCCATGCTACCTCAGCTACTGCCCGAAGAGCTCATGAATCGCATTCAGGAGGCCAGCGTAGATCCATATTACATTTTCCCGAAGACAGCAAACTCGATGCCTGTGTACAACGGTCAATCAGGTGAACTGATCAAGGTAGGTCGCTGACCACGGGGAATAAATACTGTACACTGGCTGACGCTAAGCATAGCACGTACCTCTCACCGAGATGATCAGAGTCTCAAGATCAAAGATGCGAGCTCTGTGCTCAGAGGGTCTTGATATACAAGTAAACTCACTCAATCCCTTACCATCTTTTTCAAACTCTGAGTCGTGCTTAACATAGTACAACAAAGCTCTGCGGAACGTCGACTTCCAAGGCGAGGGCGTCATGGCAGACTTCGAAGACTGCAGTAACGCTACTGGATCTTTGATCGTCGGAGCCGATGGAGCTCAATCCGCAGTCCGGACATGTCTGTATGGTCCAGGCAATGGTGAAGCTCAGCAAGTTCCTTACGGTGGCGTCAACACACACATCTGCTACCACGATGCCGAGATCGCCCGGTATCTGCGCAAGTCTTACGAGGCTACACAGGCGATGGTAATCACGATGGACGGAAGCTCGTTAGACGTTGATAGACCCGACTAATACTTGATCCAGGGCGCTCATCCTCGTGGCTATTGGCTCTGGATCAGCACGCAGGAGATTGAGGATCCGGACAAGCCCGAAGATTGGGTCTTCCAACTGCAGTGGACTTGGCGTCTGGCTGATGACAGAGGAGGTCGTCTAGGTGTAGATCTTGCAAAGCTGAAGGCTGAGGCGGAGGAGTGTTTCGGCGAGCCCTATAAGACTGCCTGGTCGAAGATACCGGAAAACACACCAATATACACAAATCGTGTATCAGTGTGGCAGCCGGAGGCTTTGCCAAATGAGGCGAACGGGGGTCGTGTTGCTCTCGCTGGCGATGCAGCACATGCCATGTCGTTTCACCGAGGGCAGGGCATGAATCATGGTATCAACGATGCAGTGACTTTGGTCTCTGAACTGAGCAAGGTAGCGAAAGGTGAGAAGACGCAGCAGGAGGCCGTGCTAGCATATGACGCCGAGATGATGAAGCGGGCGGGAGAGGAAGTCAGTATCAGTAAGGTCAATACGGAGATGATCCATGATTGGGAGCGTTTATCACAGAGTGCATTCATGCAGCGTGGTGGCGACAAGAATAAGTGAAGTAGGTCCATGCTAGTGGACGAGTTGATGTGGATTGAGCGCTCTCAAAACGCACCTCGTCTTACGAGCAACAATCATTATCGTACTTCTGTCAAGCAGATGAATGAACACTCAATCAAAATGCCCAGGTCCTAGCACGACTCAGGCCACTCCATGCGAGTCAAGTATGGCATTACGGATCGTGCTTGCGGTTCCCAGCTCTGCCTTCGACTCGCCTCTCAAGTCTCCTTCTTCCCACTCCGCTTTTTGAAGAAGCGACTAGTGTCACCCACGGGGAAGCTAAACTTGAGCGCTTCCTGGCACATTAGATTCCCAACAGCATAATAACCCAGCATGCCCGAGATGAAAGCAAACGCTCCAGCGGTCGTCTTCACGGCCACAGCCTGGCTTGTCTTACCGTCGGCAGTAGGAAAGTACGACGCTGATACCAAGGTGAAGGCAAATTGGACAGTCAAGAAAATGACGATGTCTGTCATGAGGAGCATCGTGATCAGCAGAAGCTCTACACTTGCATGTTTGTGACGTTCCAGCATGAGACTTACAGACAAGGTTTAGGGGCAAAGAGCGGATCAGGAAAAGCAAGTTGAAGACAAACCATACTAGACGCAAGGTCAGCGAGGAGTTCCGCCACTGCAACGCAAATGGACAATATACGCCATGCACTCAAGACGAAGAACCCCAGAGCGTTGTTATACTCTACACTCTCCACGCCTCCATACGCTTCAGCCACCCCAAATAACGGCGTAACGATAATACCGAACCCTGCATAGAAAACCCCAAAAGCGGAGAGCACGGTATAGGCATAAGTCTTGCCCAAAACAATCTCCCATTGCGCAGTAATCAGTATCCCGATCCCAGCCACACCAAAAAAGTCGCCAACAAAAGCATTGGTCACACTCACACCTCGCCAACCCATGAGGGCAAAGCTGAGGGTTGTTAGGGTCGTTGCGAACGCTCCCAAGGCCAGGGCCGTCGGGTTACCGAGCTGGGCCTTTAGGTTGATCGGAACTGGTATGTAGATTGGCTGTTGGAAGGATGCGCCATCTTGGCCTTCGCTGCTGTTGCTGTTACTGATGGGCGTCGAAGCGAGTTTGCCTGCGACGAGCTTCTCATAGTAGTCTTGGTTTGTCTGGATGTTGCGAAGATCCTCAAGCTGTTCGATACGATTTGCGTGGGCCATTGTTGCTGTCAGTGTGTTTTCTGGAATCGTGCCTGAGATGCGGCGTGTGAAAGAATGGGGGGAGTGGAGAGGTGAAAATGGGAAAGAGAGACACGCTGCGCATATTATGGTGTATTGCCATTGCGCCAAAATATCTACCCTTCCTTTTTTTCCTTTTGGTGATTGCGAAAATGTTCGCCATTACGATGGTTTTAACGATCGCTGCAATATAGTGGATGCAGAACACGCTGTTGGGACCAACGCAAGCTGAAGCACGCAATCCGGGGCACGCTGACGAGATCAGCAGCTGCAAAACGCATCAACCTGGACGAACTTCAGACTTCGACGGACCACAAACGGGACCAGCTTTCCGCGTGCACACACTGCTTCACCATGTGCAAAAGCGTGCATTGTTGTTCAGTTGAGCCTATCACCTAGATCCAAGCTGCATGATCGCCGTAGTCCATTGCCTATCCCGTGCTACATCACCACTCAAGATCAGCTTTCCCAGCGACCTCTTGTTCAAATGCCTCAGCAACCTTGGCCACACCGCCTATCGCAACACCCTTGGCAGTCTCAGCCTTGACCCGTGAGTACATGACAGGACAATCCCGACTCTCACACTTCACCTCATCGCCCGGCGCAAGACCAGCGCAAGACCGACAGATATCATGCAAGTCCTTCACCTTCTTCTCCACCTTCTGGACCTTCTGACGCAGAGCGAGTAGAGTGCGTTGAGGTTGCAAAGTGCGACATGTACTGCAGAGTGGCAGCGGTAGTGGCGTGGCAGCATTGAGCGCCTGTTTCGGCAGAGGCGGGAGTCGTGTCCGACACACTAGACACAGCGATGAACCCATATAAGACTCCATTGTCTTCTTGCCTACCGCTTTTCCAACACCCACGTCGGTTCCAGTACCGAGAAGTCGTATCCTCTGCACTTTAGTCATCTCATCGAACCAACTCCTCACATTCGCTCCCACCAGATTGAAGATTCTCTCAAGCGGAGGGATCAAGTTCTTGTTGATGTAGTACTCGGCGTCCAACTCAACCCTCTCATCTCTAACCAAAACCTCAGGCTCAACGCAGCGTTCCCAAAGTCGAGCGCCGGGCGCACCAGCAGTCACGACATAGGGTACTCGTTCGCCATACTGAGGTTCCGCCCTCGGATCTCTCAACATCCGCTTCGTCGCGATCAGCGCACCAGGAGGCGGCGGTCCCCGATCGGCATAAGTACCCAACTTGACCTCCTTAGCGAAACAGAAATCCTGCACTGACACCCGACCTTGCATAATCCGCGTGCACTGCTGCTGAAAGTAGCGTTTCACCTGCGAAAGATCCGCCGTCCGAAACAAGACCTTCAGAGCCTTCTCCTCGATCTTCTGCTCCGCGGGCGTGCCATCCCGCCGAACCGTCTCAATACCCTTCGCGTCGAACTCCGGCTCCTTTTGGGAGGGTGACTCGTACTTGAATCCGACGTATCTCTTCTTCGCCAGCAAAACACAAGGCAAGTAGACCTTCTCGAACTTCAGCTTCACCGGTCTCGGATTCCGCTCGGTGACAGCCTTGGCGATTTCGTTGCCGATAACGAACGCTTCATCCTTGTTGCGACCCTTGAGGTGGATGAACAGGGAGTCAGTATCGCCATACACGACTTCTGCACCCCACCTCTCAACAGAATGGATAAGCGCAATAGCCTTCTCCAACGTCTCACGGCCAGTCTGAACAATACTATCCGCGATCTCACTACAGGGCATCCTGCCAGAGAAAGAAGCAGACGTATACCCATAAGTGACATTCGCGATCAACTTGAGCGCCAACTGTCGATTGTTCAGAAGCTGCTGAAGCGTCTTATCATCCTTGTCCACCTTCATCCCACTCTTAACCATCACCCTCGTCTCCAGAATCTCGCCCAACATCTTCGCGAGCAAGGACTTGCGCATCTGAGGCCGAACATACATGATGCCGTTGGGAGCAATATTGACCGAGTCCTTCACTAATCCCAGCAAACCCTCTTCCCGGCGGAAGTCAGCAAAACCCAACTTGTTCGTCCCCCTCCACTCCGTCACTCGGCCAAGACAAGTGGAGTAACAGTAGTTATAAGCAATCATGACGCTCGGATACAGACTCTGAAAATCCAAGACCAGGACCGGTGAAGTGTAGAAAGCACTCTGCGGCTCCATAACCAGCGGCAGACATTCCAGTGCGTTTTGTGCTCCTACCTGTTTTCTCGAAGGCGAGACCAGGACGAAATCCTCCGGCTTCGCGATTCGGAACATCAGGCTCTCGACCTTGAACTGCGAGCCGCGGGAGAAGACGGAGAAGAAATCAACGCCTAGGAGTCGTGCTTGCTCGGAGGTCCGAGGGATAAGTTCGTTTGCATCCAGGATTTCCAGATCCAGTCTCGTGCGGCTGATGAAGTACTCCAGCACCTTCACCAGATCCCTTCCCGGCCGATCTCTCGCATACCACCTCGTCAAGTCCTTGAAAGCATAATGCGGGATCCTGCGATGTAATAAATGAAAGACCACATTCTCACACGTATACTGCAAGAGATTCAACTCGCTCCTCATCGCCCTCCAAATATTTATCGTATGCCGTCCAGTAATCTTAAGGGTACTAGTTTGCTGAAACCCCCACCGGTCTGCCTCCTTCCCGAATCGGCCATGGGAGGAGGACTTCATCCGGGAGAATTCATCGGGGAGGTTGTATTCGAAGACTATACGTGCGCGATCGATGAGGTAGCCCCAGGAGCTGTTGTGGACTTCGTAGCCCGTCAGGATGTCCGGGTCGTAGGAGCGTACGATGTCGACCATGCGGTTGATGAGATCTAGCTCTGTTTCCTCGGTGTCGACTAACACGGAGGCCCCGAGCGCTTTCTTCATCTTGTCCGCAATGGGATCAATGTCGTCCTTGACGAGGACGATGATGCCTGTCTTCACTTCTTCGTCTTCGCGCTGTTCGTCTGCTAGACACCACACTACGAAGCCGATTTCGTCGCGCTCTGGGTCTGGCGCGAGGTCACCTCGGCTGTTGACGTGGAGCTCGAGGGCCATGGTGGACATATATCCCGTCTCGTGCTGAACAGAAGTACTCGCTTTCTTCTGCGAGAATTTGGATCCATGCCGATGCTTTTGCGTCGGACCTTCGATCTGTGACAGCTCAGGCGCAGGACGATTCTTGCGCTTCAGCTGCGATGCTGTCGGTGGACCATCGACCTCGCGGTCTTCGTCATCGCTGCCGCGCTCGTTAACTTCATCTTTGAGCCAGCTTTGCACTTCTGCATATGTAGGTGGTGGGCGTAAGATCTCCCACGTCCTAAGTCTGCCCTCGCGAGCTCTCCTCGCCTCACTTAGCCCAATCTTCACCTTGTCAAGCCCAGCAGCCTTTCCATTCGACTGTGCCCCGGATTTGTCGAAGGCTGGCAAGTAAGGCAGCGTACGACTTTCCAACCGAAACTCCTGCCCAGCATACTCCCTCGGACGCTCAGGAACATCCTTCTCATTGCTGTAATAAGCATCCTGATAGACGATATGGGGATCGACCGTTCGCTCCACGTCTGCGAACGAAGGCGCTGCGAGGCCGAAGACGAAGACATCTGCAACTTGCGAGAAGGCGAAAGCTTGTCCGTAGTTGATAGCAAGAACAGGGTTGGCATGAGGAGCCGAAGATTTAGCAGGCGAGATCGTGCCGTTCGTCTTAGTGGACTGGGACGAGACATGGCCATCGGAAGAGACTTCGACCGAGGTGAAGGACAACTGCTTATCACTGCCCGACTTCTCCTGGCTCGGATTCGGTCCATTTTCGAGCTTCTCGCGCTGGCTCAGTCGTAGCTGCGATTCAGGATCGTGCGCGTTCTTCACAACAGGATAATGCAGCTTCGCCGAGCCCTGTGATGAATGCTGGGACTGCTGTGACAGCTGGGACGAAGGCGGCGGTTGTGCAGATGGTGGTGGAGGATGCAACTTCATGCCGTTAGCGGCTGAGAATGGTTTGGCGAAGCGCTGAGAGCTGGGTGGAACGTCGCTGAGACCATTATTGTCTGGTACCCGGCCGGGCGCAAGCGTCGGTGCTTCGCGCTTGACGTCGTGGATGCGGAAGCAGACGTTGCGCTTTGGCTGCGCTTGCTGCTCGACATCGTTAAGCTTGGTGCGTTTAAAAGGTCCTTGGCTCGATGGAGGCGCTGCTCGCTTCGCCGCGATATGGGGCTGGTCAAGCTCGGCTATGGTCTGCTTGGGAACGTGCTGATGCTGCAGATGTTCAGCCCTCTGCTCCAGCTCGTCGACATCTCCATCGACCTTCGCCTCTCCCATGGCATTGCCAATACGCGCATCCTCGAGCTTCTGCTTCTGCGTGAGCGCTCTTGTGCGTGCCGCTTCTTCATCGCTATCGTAGCCTTCGTCTGAGTGTACAGGGAGTTGTGCGATATTGCTCATATCGACCAGCGCATCATGCTCATGCTTGAATGCCGGAGCTGAATCGTTATCTCCCTTGATCTCACCTTCAATGCCATTATCACCTCCATGACTTTGGGCACCCCACCTCGCAGCCATCCTCTCCTTGAATAGCTCCTCCACACTCTCCAAACAAGTCTGTACCCCGTCCTCCATCTGCTCCGGCCGGATAAAGTCCTCAAACTTCACCGCAGCACCACCCATCGCCTTCCTCTCCCCCTTAGCCAACTCATCCACCATCCCCCTGAGCTCTTCCTCGTGAATCCACCCACCATCGCTATCATTTCTCGGGTCCGCACTCATGCTGACCAACACCTCGGGCGGAAAAGGCGAAGACCCAGGAGCAACTATTCCCATCCTCTTCTTCCGTCTCCGCGTTTCATCCTTCCAAAGTCCAGCCATCGAATGCACCAACTTCTCCTCCGGAGGCAGATTCTCCAGACTCTCCAACCTTTCAATAAAAGAATGATGTAAACTCCTCGCCATAACCTGATCTCTATTCATAATATCCTCAACTCTGATATCCACTTCCAACTGACAATGGCTCAATCGTGGAAACCTCTGCTCATCCAATATCCCCTCCCTTCCTATACTCCCGTCATGCCAAAGATGTCCCACATCCTCCTCCTGCGCCTCCTCCCTACTTGGCACCGGACCCCGCCAACCCACCTTGCCCGCTTCCACTTCCACATACGCACATCCGTAAAGATTGAAATCGCACATCCATTGCAGGAGGTACTGACTATGCGCCTCATAGGGCTGAAACATCCGCTTCATCACCGCACCCTGCTGCAACAAATCCGCCAGACGCGTCATATGCATGGGGTTGAGGAGGTAGATTTTGACGTAGTATTTGTAGCCTACGTGATAGCCGAAGAAGGGAATCCCTTTCACCAGGCTCAGATGCGCGACGAAGGTGGTGTGCTTGGGGTTGGAGTCGTAGGGATTGCGGCGGTAGGAGAGAGCGAGGGCGTGGTCGAGGGAGTGACGGAGAGTGCCGAGATATCCCTCTACTTCTGCCGCCTCTCGCGATTGGGTGTAGGGGATGTAGAGGTACGGAAATGCTCCATGGACATGGGCGCATACTTTCTGGCCGGTTTCTGTTGCGCCGAAGACGCGGATGACTGGTACGTTGGGCAGGTTGCCTCGTTGCGTGGAGGCATGGGTAGAGGCGCCCCATAGTGGCGGGTCCAGAGAGGAGGGAGCAGACTGGTAGTTGTCGAGGCAGTTCAGGCGGACACGGAAGATGTCGCCACTTGCTGTGGTGCTTCTAACCATGGTCGGCAATGGCTGGAGCAAGGGTCATCGTGCAGGCATTACCATTACCGTAAAAGGTGCCGAGGGATTTGATGGGAAAGGCAATCGTGTTGTAAGACATTCAGATGGTACGCGTGCAGCAGTGAGCTCTATGTTTACACCAACCTCAAGATCTAATCAGCGCGTAGATCCGCTCAAAGACCGCCTCGGCCAAATCGCAGCTTCTGACTCCTACCTAGCTACAATCACTCCACAAACTCCAACAACCCCATCGATCTCTCCAGCGCAGTCAAACCATCGCTCCCAACCAAATACATTTCCACAACATCCCTATCCACCAACCTCAATGTCTTCTCAACCCTAACATCCTCCCTCGTCTCCACACCCACAAACGCCTCCGCCACCAACGCATCTTGAACCAACCCACTAAACGTCTTCTCATTCGCCTTCGCAGCCAAAGCCGGTCGAATCACCGCATCAGCTTCCTCCGCCAAGCGTAGAGTATACTTCTGGCCCCTAGCGGCAGAATTATTTTCCCTTCGCTTCCTCTTACTTGAAGAAAGTGTTCCTGGACCCCTGCGTCCACTGCCGAGGAGAGCCTTATCCCACCTGCCCTGAATATCGGAGTTGGAGACGAGCTGCTCGTCCATTGCGGGATCCCACGTCGGTTTGGCGGTGGCAGAGGTAGATTTGTTCTGCGGCGGCGCTCTAGGCCTCGGAGGCCTCGGGTTTAACTTCTTCAATGCCTCACCCACTCTCCGGGCTTCGAGTTCCGCCTGGTAAGCCTCCTCTTCTTCCTCCCAGCTCATGTGGACCTTCGCGCTCGAATCTCTAGTATCCTGTTTGAGGACCGTCTCTTCCCGCTCAACTTGTCCACTCATCGGCACAGCTTTCTTCTTCTCATGCTGATTTCTGCCCTTACCCTCTGCTTTCCTCCGCTCCAGACAGAACCCTATCCTCATGCGCTTCCTTCTTGCCCTGCGCCACCCTGGCCTTCTCATCCCTCTTCTCCTTCAACCTCTCAGTCTTCGCCTCAAGCTTGGTGAAATAAACCTTCTGCGCATGATCCGCCGCGAACTTATTCGCCAACGCCCAGCTTCGCTCCTTCTTCAACGCCTCCTGAAAGTCCAGATTCCGCGCATGCAGCGATTCCTCCGTCTCGGGCAGTCGTCTTGACTTTGCGGCTCGGTGGCCCTCGTCGTTATCATGTGCTGCTCCGGATTCTTGGAGAAGTGTATCGCAGGCCTCGCGGACCTTCTGGAACAGCGAGGTGTGTAGCTCGCGGACACTGTCACCTGGCGCTTTGTCCGGATGGATTCGCAAGGCCAGCGCACGATAGGCATCCCTGATCTCGGCTTCTGTCGCGTCGGCGGCAGTACCCAGGATACCGGACGGTGTAGTCGCGTGCTCGATTTGCAGGTAGATGGTCGAAAGTGAAAGCTGCTCGGCTGGTAGAGATTGTTCGCGAGCCATGTCGGCGGCGTCGGATGTCGTAGTACTGATATTGAGACCCATGGCGTCGGTGGCCGTACCGGATTGCACTGTAGCACCCGCTGTGGTAAAGATGGCGAAAATCTTGTCGAGATCCCTTCCGATATAAACAAAGCTGGAAGACTGGTCTTTGTCCTCGAACGCTGCAGGTTTGTGTCTCGCACCCAACCTGTTTTTCGAAGTTCACGATTAGAAACAACAAACAAAACCTCCTTGCAGATATATCCATAGCTCCAGCAAGCACAGCGGTGAGTGAATTATGTACATATCTCCATGTCCCCCGTCCTCCTCATACACGCGATGTCCTCATGCTGGCTGACTGCTCGCAACACACATTCATATACGCGTGACTCACAAAGACAACAGCAACTTATGATCCAATGGCATGCAGATGATATGGGATGAGTCATGTACTATCCTTTGGGCCCTCTCGACACCTACAAGACACCTCTGCAGTCACCAAAGAGAGGAGATGAGAAGTCCATTCAAGCGTACCTACAATAGACACGCCCTCCCTTCATAACCTGAGACTGAGTGTGCGGTCGTTGCGAGCGTATGACTCCTCCTCTACAATACACACTTCCACGCCTCCGGCTTCTTGTAATTCGCCGGATCAACACATTGATTCCTAAGCGGGAATTTGCAATGATTCCTCACGAAATCGACACCCAGACTGACGGTATCCTACAAGCGCACCAAAAGGTCAGCATTAACAAACATATCACAGTGTCCCAGGAACTCCCCACCAGCCTCGTCGGCGGACAATAGCAGGGCCAGGCAAGGGGGGGCGACAAAACTCACATTGACAAACTTCGTCCCCGTAACCGTCTCCGGCGCATTCCCCTTCTCCACCCAATCCACCATCCTCAACAACACATTATTCTGCGGCACCGCCTCCACCCCCGCGGCCCCCGCACTCGTCTGGCCGATCTCCCACGCCCCGACCCCACCAGCACAATGATCCATCCCCCCGATCCTAAAAAACCTATAAAACGCATCCAGATCCTTCGTCGGCAGACCCATCGTCTCGGAAACATGCCCATAGTACCGCGGGCTATTGGTGGAGGTGATGATACTATCCGCCTGGCCATGATAGTGCAGGATCTTGCCTCCGCGGTTCTTGTAGGCGCTCAGATCACCGTTCCAGGTTTCGATGTTGTATGGGTTTATGCGGTGGGCGAGGGCGGCGTAGTCAGCGTTGAGGTCGGAAGCTTGCCAGGTCGTGGAGTTGAGGATGGCGTAGCGGTACCAGTCTGTGGTGTAGGGGAATGGCTGGCCGGTGTAGTAGATGAAGGCATCGCTTAGTTCGCTTCCCGGCTGCATGCGTGGGAAGACTAGGGTTCCGTTGGCGCCGTAGTAGGGTTCGAAGATCGAGCGGACGGTGCCGACTTGGGCTGCACTGAGGCAGGTGGTGCTGTTCACCCCTGGAGAGCATTGGAGGGTCTCGGGATAGTAGTTGCAGAGATCGGGGTCCTCGATTATTCCGTCTGCTACGCCATCTAGGGCGTCGCACTGGGAGAGGATATCGGTGTGCACGAGGGCCCATTCGGCGGGGTTGAGCCAGGTCGGAGAGTTGGTGGGCCCGGTCTTGAGCACTATAAAGCGAGATAAGTCAGTCTTGCAATCGCCGCCACGTCTTCGATCCGGTAAAGAATAAGCAGTGAACAAACTCACGAAACGATCCACTCCAAGAACTCAGATTATTGAACGCCACCGCCGGCGCCCCAACAACCACCCCATCGAAATCCCCCGGATAATCCTGCACCTCCTTGAACCCTTCCCTCCCCCCCGTCGAACAACCAAGATAATACGACTTGGCATAATGCCTCCCATAAAACACCTCAGTAATAGCCTTCCCGACCACAACACCCGTATGCAAACTCCTATAGGCGAAATCCGCCACAATCTCCGTGTTCATATAGAAAGCTTGGCCGGAAGTGCCATTGTGGCCATTATTCGCTCCGACGGTTGCGAAGCCCAGGCTGGTGCCGTAGGCGATGTCGGTGTATTGGATGCAGCCTCCTAACCCGCCATTGCCCGTGCTGAGGAAGCGGCCGGTCCAGTTTGTGGGGAGCCAGGCTTCGAGGGTGATGTTGGAGATTGGGGAGGTTTTGACCAGCATTGCAATCCGGCATAAGTCTACGGGGGCGACTTGATAGGGGGTGGCGCATTGGGCTACGGTACCCGCTGAGGGGAGGGTTACGTTGGTTCCGGCCGGGATGTGGGTGGCGAAGTTTACGGTGGTGTTGGCGTAGTGGAAGTTGTGAGCTATGTTTGCGCAGGCCGCTGCGGCGTCGTGGCTTCCGCCGTAGCCTTGGTTGCCGTTGGCCCAGCCATAACCGGATGGGCTTTGAGCGGTTGCTAGTGCGGCGAAAATGGAGACCGTGGAGGCGAGGACGGTGAGGTACATTGTTGCTCAAACGTGACCCCGTTTGTAGGAAGGAAACGAGACGGAGCTGGAGAGGAGGAATGAGAAATTACCTACAGTCTCGAGACGGTGCTCCGCAGAGACAGGGTGAGAGGTGAGCTTCATATACTCCTCTGCCTCAAATATACAGCACTAGGCTATCGGTCCTGTTCAATGCCATGCGGGATAGATGCAGGTACGCGTCATTTAGCCGTCGGCCAAGCATCGCGTGAATGCGGGGGTGAGCCTCTTGGCAGTTGACGACGGCAATTGCTGTAGACGCAAGACGGTGAAGAGGTACAGTATAGTATCTTTAGCCTGAGCAAAGCAGGTAGAGCTGTGAGGATACGAGGAAAAAGGTTGCGGAGAGATGTGGAGTGAGAAATGCCGATGAGCTGCCGGCTCGGTAGCGCGGCTAGCATGCCCTCGGCTTTCAAGTTGTCTGGCCCAGCAGAGCAGAGCTACTACGACGAGCTGGACGGCAGATGCTATATACTTTTCTCATACGCCCATCCACCATTCTCCTGGCATGAGAATCGCCATCCACCGTGCATCTCCACTCATGTGCTCGTTCTACATCAATAGCTCATGGTGATTCCCGCTCCCGCTGCCTGTTCGCGTAGCATAATCTTGTCGCAAGCTATGGGCGTGGGAGTATGAGCCGACGCGGGCTGTGACATCGTCTTCGCACCTCCCTCCTATGTTTTCAGAAGCGCGGGTCACAGCCTGGCAAGTCGTGCTCGTTGATGGAAGCTGGCCAACCCATGTCCCAATGTAAGTCGACAATACATGATCGAGGGCTACCATCGTCGTGGACCGCCGAGCCCATCTCTTCTGCTAATCGCGAACTCATGTACTCGTTCGAAACATAATTCATTCCCTCGATCCTCTCAAACCCCATTAACCATCCTCTCCCCACTTCCCGCCTCCCTCAAACAAAAATCCTTCACCCCACCCTTCCAATCACTAATCCTCCCATCCCTAATCCCAACAACCACAACCCGAACATCACTATCCTCAATATAACTCCCTCTGCCACCATCTCCCAGCCCACCACCACCACCACCACCACCAAGCTGCCCAGGCGAAGTCCCCAATAAACCCTCCACACCGCCACTGGTCCCATTTCCAGCTTCGAAAGTATTGTTAGCCAAATGCCGCTCCTTACACCACACCTCCTCCTCACTCCCCTGGTCCAGCACCCTCGCCTCCCCATTAATGGTAGCAGAAATGGAGCTCACAGCCGCGGAATTCATCTGCATGAGCATAGTAGCTAGACTCGAACTCCTGCCTCCCGCGGGAGATCGCTCCCTCTCTCCACTCGTGGAACTGATATTTGGTGGCCGGGAGGAAACCCAGTCGTGGACTAGGAGCGATACGGCGGGGTTTTGCTGGAGGTTGAGGGTCTTTTTGGAGGAGGGGTTGGTTGTCATTATTATCAGGGGACCTTGGGGGAGGTTTGGGTGGTGGTGAGCGGGGCTTGCTTGTTGATGCTGTGTTTGTGGTGGTTGTTGTTGTTGTTGGGAGAGGTAGGTATAGTTCATTAGTGAGACGTGGGGACGGTTCTGGTTGCAGGTTGCCAGGTGGAGCTATGAGATGTGGTTAGTAGAGGTAAGGAAGGCTATTGGAACGATAGGGTGATAGTATGAGGACATACGAATCGTGCATTTTGTAGACATGTGACGACTTCTTCGGGAAGTTGGTCAGACATGATAGGGTGGGAGTCGGCGCTGCCTTGCCAGGTCAAGGGTGGTTGGGCGTCGGCCATGATCGCAGCGGGAATGATATGACTGATTGATGGTATGGTATGTCGACGACGATGATGCAGTGCAGCAGATCTGACATGACCTTCTAGAACAATAGCCTTTCTTGGAGGGAGGCCTTGCTTTCCCCGCAAATTCATGTGAGCTTCACTTTGACTGCTGACTCGTGGAGTCTGCCATTTGGTGTTGTTACACTTCCTCTGCGACAACGCGTCCTGGACCAGCGACACACTCTCCACGGACCAGCGACACACTCTTCACGGACCAGCGACACACTCTCCACGGACTGAGGGTTGAGTGCAATGTGGAAAAGATGACCGAATCTACACACAAACACTCTCACAGCCCGCCAGCATATCCACATCGACGACATATATCCCCGCACTCGCCCACTAAACGCAAGGTCTTCGAAACCACGGACAAGGAAGATGGCCACAATGGCCACAGTACCGCGACCACAACTACAGACTTCCACAACGGGAACGGCCATGGACATGCCAACTCTGTAGACAAAAAGTCGTCCAAACGTCGCAAAGTCAACCACGCGTGTGTGTATTGCCGCCGCAGCCACATGACATGCGACCTCGAACGCCCCTGCGCGAGATGCGTGAAGAGGGATATCGGGCATTTATGTCATGATGAGCCGCGGGAGCCGGTGTTGAGGCGGAGTAAGAGCGAGGTCGGTGCGGTGGAAATTGCGCCTGCGGGTGAGGATGGTGGTGGTGGTGGTGATGGTGGGGAGGGGAGGGGAGGGGAGAGGAGGAGTACGATGGGTGCTCCCATCATTAGTGTGGGAGGGGAGGATTCAGGGGTGGAGGATCTGAGGGGTGGGGGATCTCTGGGAGGTTTGGGCCGAGGCGTCGGGCAGGTATTTGGGAGTGTTGATTTGGGTGGTGGTGGAGGACAGGGAGGTATGATGAATGGCAATGGTGATGGCAACGCGCATACCATAGCTCAACCAACGACATTGTCTCCAACACGACTTCAGCACAATTCTATCCCAAACAATCAACAGCAGCAGCAGCAGCAGACTGTGATGAATAGTAACAGCAACACAGCACCAACCATCTTCGACTGGAACAACGCAGGCCTGCAGAATCAGTTCCAGGATATGCACCACTTACACCCAAACTACATGTTCAATAACTCCGAGGTGACGAACGAGTATAATCTACTCAACGACTTTCTCTCGAACTCGCTTCTCGATGACGGGGCAATGTATAATCCAGAGGAAGCGGCACAGACCTTGTTCTCCGACCCCTTACTCGCCACGAGCTCGATGAATGTACTGCAGAACAATCTGGACCGCTTCCAGCTTCCACCCCAGCAGCAGCAGCAACCACAAATCCAACCAAACCTGTCTCAACCACAACAGCAATCCCAACAAAACCAGCACCACCCCTCTCTCCCCCCAAAACCAACCCTCCAATCCAAGTCTCCTCTAGTCTCAGATACAACCCTCAGCAATACAGCCACCCCAGACGCCGCCGCCACCAACCGCGCCCGAGACAAATACTTCCTCACGGCCGCCGACCCCGCGGGCCTCGACTCCGCCCAGTCCCGTCTGCACAAACTCCTCAAAGCCAAATACGACGCCGGAATGCTCAAACCCTTCAACTATATCAAAGGCTACGCGCGCCTGCAAACCTATCTCAAAACCCACCTCCCCCCGGCCTCTCAACGCCGTATCCTCGAACAACTCGGACGATTCCGGCCGGGTTTTCGGGCGGCGATGCAAGGGCTCAGCGACGTCCAACTCGTGCTTGTAGAAATGTGGTTTGAAAGGTCTTTGATGGAATACGACCGCGTCTTCGCCTCCATGGCCATTCCCGCCTGCTGCTGGCGACGCACGGGGGAGATTTTCAGAGGTAATAGGGAAATGGCTGCTCTACTTGGTGTGGGCCTGGAGAAGTTGAGGGACGGGAAGTTGGCGCTGCATGAGATTATGGAAGGGGAGAGCCTGGTGAGTTATTGGGAGAAGTTTGGCGCGGTGGCGTTTGATGGGATGCAGAAGGCTGTTTTGACTAGTTGTAGTCTTGTTAAGAGGGTAGGGGTGGGGGTGGGGAGGGAGAGGGAGAAGCAGGGGCTGGAGATGGGGAAGGAGGGGGCGGTGGGCGAGGAAGAGAAGGTCAGGTGTTGTTTTTCTTTCACCATCAGGCGGGATACGCATAATATGTGAGTTTTTCCTGTCGCGGCAAGCTTCGCTACCGTGTGCGGGTGGAGTGGGAGATGTTTGACGCTGACATTGGCCCCTGCAGACCCAGTCTCATCGTGGGCAATTTCTTGCCTATACGGCCCCGCAACACGACAGCGGCCACCTGATCCACGCAATCGATATGCATGCGAATGAGCGATGACCTTCTTTTGCCCGGCGGGCTTCCACTGCTTGCCCTCATGATACCCATACCTGCTCCGGAATAGTAGAGCCGGGCCGAGTATTGCACGGATGATATATATATATATATGTATATACAAACCACCAGAATCTACCGGGCCAGTTCGAAATGGCCCCATCGTTGGCTCTCAGACCACTTCAAGCACCGAGGAAATCTCTCACATGCCGCCTATACCATCCTTCCTTCTTCCCATCCACGACTTCCCTACCGTCGGCGACCATGCGACTAGTATTCCGGAACCCTTGCTTTGCCAATCGCTCGTGCCTACATGTATCCATTCATCAGTCCGTCATGTCAGACACACGGCTGTACAGCTGCGAGGAGAGGAATGGTGTACGTACCACTCATCCGCGGTATCAGTGATGATCCACTCGTATCCCTGCTCTACGATCCAGTCGAAATCGGAGCGGTAGTCGTGGCCGTCCGAGGAGCTGTTGCCTACCAGGCTGTCCAGGAGGACGGGCACGTGGTTTTCTTGGAAGCCGTAGTCGGAGTTGTTTACTCGGAGGTCGTGGGGGAGCGAGACGTTGCCTGTGTTGAACCTGGGAGGACGAGGTTCCTTGGTATGCGAGTGGACGTGTGGGAGTGTGCGTAGTCGGATCGGACGATGGTGTGATAGGACACAAGGAGCGGATGGCCATGCATCAAGGTACTTACAAGGTGATATTGTCCGTGGTGGGGTATGTGAGGTCGCCGGGTGCATAGCTATGTGGACGTCAGCACCACCAATATATTGTAGGAGCACGGTAGGGAAAGCATCGCTCACAAAGTCCCGGCGCTCCTGCCTCTGCTCTTGGCGAAATCCAGCAGTTCCTGGGTAGGCCCGCCGGTGTTCCTCAGCTCGACCTCGAAACCGATAGTATAATTCGTCTCAGCAAACAATTTCATTGAGGCCAATTGGCTGAATTGTGCCTCATACGCTGGGTCGTAGACGGGAATGAACGCCAACTGAATCCCGCTGGCAAGAGCATCTTGGACCCATGGCAGGGCCTTCGAAGATGTCGGGAGTCTGGTAGCAGACGCTTTGAAGCTTGTAGATGCACCACTCATTCGCAGGCACTCCAGCACGATTCGTGAGGTGCTTGAGAGCCCAGTAGGCGGGCTCCACGGCGGATTGGTCTTTGAAGTCCAATTCCAGGACCACATTAGATCCCGAGTCAAAGATCGACTCAATCATCTGGGGCAGAAAGGGGACGTATTCGTTCCTCACTCTCCCCTGCTCGTCGCGGAGACGGAGACTCTCGATCCCGCCGAGGCCGGTGAAGTTCATGGCGTTGGCTTTGGGTTGTAGCCCTTTCCTGTGTAGGGGTTATAGGCTGCTTGGCCCGTCTGCTCTCCTATGTCCGTAGTGCGGCCTAGACCGTTGTCGTGAATCATGGGCAATTGGCTGTCGAGGGAGAGGTGGATGTCCGTTTCGATGCATTCGATTCCAGCTTCAGAGGCGCGGAAGTAAGAGTCGCGGGAGTTCTCTGCCGTGCCGTTCCAGCTGGAGCTTATCGTTAGTAGTTGGTGAAGGGCAACATGTTCGTTCTGAGATGATACCGGAGGCCGCGATGAGCGCACAAGACTTTGAGATCGTCGTGTGGGTTGCGGAAGGCCTCGATTATTTTGTGGACGTCGTATGGTTGTCGGGCAGCCTGCACATGCACGACTGCAAAGAGCACAGCTGATACGAGAGAAAATAGCATGTTGACTATGATTGTACAGATGATCACGACCAACGACCAAGACCAGATTGTACAGAGAGTGTTGCAGGACCAGTTGTGAGCTAGAAATCAGGCATCTTATGACCTACCGAGCAGCATCGCTATCGTCGCCGTGGGTCTACGGCTTGACTCACGAAAGTTCTTCCGAAGTTCTCGAGTTGTGAACCTAGTAAGGGTAGAGCGAGGTGGTTGAGTTGTAGAAGATACGAGGTGAGCGTAACTGACATGGATACGTTCCGGCCTATCACACTCGGCTATTCTTACCACGCGCCTTTCGCCAAGAGCTCGAAGCTTGGCATGGGCATAGAAGTTGATAGAGGACACTCATGCCCATGAGCTGGAGTGTTGGGCGCGAAGCAGCGGTGCAAAGACGTTCAGCGTACGAAGACACCTCTGTACCTCATCTTACCACTCTCCAGACGCTGAAATGCTGCCGCGACTCCAGTAGTGGTCATAGGGAACTCCTCGATCCACGGCTGGATCCTATGTCGTGCTGCGAATTCGAGCATCTTGATGTGGTTCTCGCGAGATGCTTCGGTCGACGCGATCAAGTGATGTCCAGGCAAAACAAAAGGCATGTACGGGATCGTGAGTGCTTGCTGCTGTATCGTCATGAGGACGATTCGTGCTCGTCTTGAGAGTAGAGGTAGGATGTTCCCAAGACTCGGCACTTCGTTGGATGTAACGAGTAGAACGTCTATGGCTGCTGGTTTCGGCTCCTGGTCAAGGACGTCGCTGTTTTGTTGTCCGCTACGTCCGAGGACTTTGCCGGGCTCACTGAGTAGACGTACCTCATCGGCACCAAGCTTGAGAGCGTCGTCGTACTTATTGGCATGGGCGGTCAAGGCAGTAACTGCACATCCCATTGCTTTGGCAAATAGAATAGCGATATGTCCCAGTCCGCCGATTCCGAGTACGCCTACACGATCGTTGGAGGCCGTCCGAGCAGCATCAAGAGCCTCGTAGGTACTAGCACCAGCACACATCAGTGGACCAGCTGCTGCAGAGGATATCTCATCAGGGATCCGGTATGCGAAAGCACTATTGATGATACGCGAGTCCGAGAAAGCACCTTGATCCTCGTCCGAGAAGGCAAAGCCACGAGCTTCAGAGCAGTACTGACGGTAGCCCGACACGCAAGTAGTGCAGTGGCCACACGACTTCCAACATCATCAGCAATTCTACACATGGCCGTAGGAAGTCAGCGGCGACATACTGAGTGTAGCCATCCCCAGCCAACACGATCACCCGGCTTCATATGCGTTACAGCTACTCCTACATCTCGTACATTACCCACGCCTTCGTGCCCGAGACCACAGCCCAAAGGCTTCGCATGGACATCTGTGTAGCAGAGCCCGGAGTGTGTCGTATCGATCAAAACGTCGTTGGGGCCAATGTCTCGCTCAGTCGATTTCTCCTTGAAGGTCTTGGTTTCGCCACAGTAGTATATTGTCGTCAACGTCGGCATTGAAGTAAGGCAAAGACCAAGGCAGTGCTTATCGGACACCGTCCTGCTTGGTAAAGTTCATAGCACGTTACAATTTCAGTGATTACAGCTTTACGTTGCTCATGTTGAGAAAGCGTAAAGTGATGTGAGGCAGCAAGGCAAATATTTTGCTGCTCGGACCAGAAGCTAGAATCCTAAGCGAACTTCACCACGACTCGTGCGACATCATTTCGTTACATGTATATTGAGGGCTTCTTCAGGTTTCAGAGCGCATCTTTATGGCTCACCTCTGCGGCGAGATCTCTCTCGACTAGCAGTGCCACAGCGCTGACTCCCTGAGGTTCGAAGATCCGATCGATATCCATAAGTTCGAACCAGTCAAGCCTAGCAATGTGCGAGAGGCCAAACCCTCGAGAAGTACATGATTCCTGACAGTCCTCAAATCATTACCATACGCCATGCCTGACGCCAGAGATTCGATGGATCTCCCTCTTCCTGGCTAGCTGATCGGAACAATCTTGAGAAATGATGATACGCTTCGCAGTTCAAGGTTCGTGCCCAGGCGCTGATGTTGATCGGCTATGTTCCTGAAACGACATGTTTGTATAAGTTCTTCTACTGCACTCCTTGTTCGCAGCCTCTCGATTTTCTCATCGCTTCCTACGGTTGATCCGAGTACCATTCGTTCATCTCACCCAACTTCAGCCACGCTCTCTCACAGGCAAGATTCCAGCATGCATACAGCCATTAGAGCCGCGGTTTTCGGCCTGAGCGCTGGCGCTCTCGCTCAACAGATCGGTACTCTCACCAAGGAGACCCACCCTCCTCTCTCCCTTACCCACTGCACTGCTTCTGGCTGCACCAAGGAGCAACACAGTGTGGTTTTGGACGCAAACTGGCGTTGGGTACACAGCACATCCGGTTCCAACAACTGCTACTCTGGACAAACTTGGGATACGACCTTGTGCCCAGACGGCGCAACCTGTGCTAAAAACTGCGCTGTCGATGGAGCAGATTACTCTGGCACGTATGGCGTGACGTCCGATGGCGACACTTTGTCCGTGACCTTGAAGACGGGCAGCAATGTCGGCTCTCGTCTGTACATGTTGGGTGTCAAGGGTCAGAACTATGAGCTGTTTGATTTGCTGAACCAAGAGTTCACCTTTGACGTTGACGTCTCGACTCTCCCTTGCGGCGTCAACGGTGCCCTGTACTTTTCTGAGATGCCTCGAGATGGTGGGCTTAGTGCTACCAACAAAGCTGGCGCACCGTATGGTACTGGATACTGTGACAGTCAGTGTCCCAAGGACATTAAGTTCATTAACGGCAAGGTATGGTTTTGTGAGTTATGATGTAGCCAATGGATTGCTGACATTGTTGTGCAGGCAAACAGTGATGGATGGGTGCCATCTTCTGGTGACAAGAATAGCGGTGCTGGACCCATGGGTGCTTGCTGCAATGAGATGGTAAGTAGAATCTTAGTTTTGATTGGGACGCTCAGGACGTTGAACTCTCGCTGACATCTGCATCTTACCACAGGACATCTGGGAGGCCAACAAGATCTCCACCGCAGTCACGCCTCACCCTTGCACCAAAAACGGCCTTGCTGTATGCACCGACGACACCACTTGTGGCGCTGCTGGCATCTGTGACAGAGCTGGATGTGACGTGAGTAGACATGTCCTTGATCTGTGCCCATTCAGGATTGACCTTCTCTCGAATAGTTCAACGCCTACCGCCTTGGCAACACTTCTTTCTACGGCCCTGGCAAGACTGTCGACACTAGCTCGAAATTTACTGTGGTCACACAGTTCATCACCGACGACGGTACCGCAGCAGGCAACCTCAAGGAGATCCGTCGTCTATACGTCCAGAACGGCAAGGTCATCGGCCAGCCAAAGTCGGATATCACAGGAATTTCAGGCGACAGCATCACGGAAGACTTCTGCAAAGCTCAGAAGTCTGTCTTTGGTGACACGAACACCTTCGACACTCATGGTGGACTGAAGACCATGGGTGCCGCGTTCAAGCGTGGTATGACGCTTGTCTTGTCTATCTGTAAGCTGCCAGATCTGGGTACCTCGCCAAGATCATGAATACTGATAAGCCGACAGGGGACGACTACACTGCTGAGATGGAGTGGCTTGACGGCGTCGCATACCCTACCACCGCGGACACTTCCAAGCCTGGTGTCGCACGTGGCACGTGTGCTACTGGCAATGGCGCTCCGGCCACCGTCGAGTCGAACAGCGGTAGCGCAACTGTGAAGTATGGTAACAGTAAGTCAAGGCATTAGTTTGGGTTCAGTCTTTTGCAGAGAATTTATGCTAACGTCTCCATCAGTTAAGGTGGGTCCATTCGGCACCACCTACAAGTCTTCGTAGATGCGGCGCGTGGTTTTACCATACACTTTCGAAGATGGATAGTCCCATGGGAGGAGAATGATGAAGTTGGATTCTTGCTCAGATTGATGCTGGAGCTACTTGATGTAGATTATACAGATGGACCATTTGAACCATCCCAATCACTCGTCACTCATCACTTATCGTGTTCAGCAATGTCGGACCTGCTTCCGCAAGTGGAAATCCAGGCCCACTCGCACTTGATATCGTCTTTGTTGTGCGTCTCAGCCTTGACGCAGGTTATTGGTTGGAATTGAACCCCCCGGGATTGGGTTAGCCGGCAGTCATGCAAGGTGGAAGCATCGAAGATCTCGCTTTGACAGCACGGTACCCTCGGTATCTGGGATCGTGCTGCCCTTGGACTGGCGAATTTTGACAGGCCACTTTACGAGGCTCAAGCGGTCTTCGTCGATGGCGACGAATATCGCAACCCGGTACAGAGATCTGGCAAAGATTTTGCCAGGTGAAAAAGATCGGTGCTAAGCGAGATAGTTCTACCAGGCGACCGACGGCAAGCGAACTGCCACTCTGCGGCGTAGATCCGTCTTGCATTAGCTCATTTCACACCTCCAAGACCTCTCGAAAGAGGCGGGTGTTTGTCTTACTGGTTGGTTGCTCTAGATGTCGTGCAACACAAAACGACCAATACATGTCAGGCCACCACCCACGATTGTCGTCACAGTCGGCAAGCTGTGCGATTTGTCACACGCTTGATGCCCTGGTGCGGTTGCACTTGTCTTCCCAAGCTGACCTTGTTGGAGTTACCAAGCTTCTGGATACGGTGAGGATTTTGTAACATCAGCTGGACTTCGTTGCATCCTCTTCGGCTGGGTAGCGACAAATGAGTATGCTCTCGCAGCATCCTCGAGGCGTCGCACAGCGTTACCATGACAGCCAGGATGCGTACTGCCATCAGGTACTGCTGTTGTCCAGCGAGGAAACGGAGGACAGTCTTGATGCAAAACTACACCAAGAGGCCAGTGAGCTCGGGATCGATATGGGCTTGCTGGGCTCTACGCTCGACTTGACGTCTGACTCTACGCCGAAACGGATGGACGCCTTCAGAACATCGCAAGAGTCTGTTGGCTCTCGTGCCTCCCAGTCTACGGGCTTCATGTCCACTTTTTCAGAGACTTCACGCGAGCAGCACCCTCCAGCTGAGCGGACGCTGTATAGGACACCGATCTCCTTCCGCGACTACGACGCCTTTGTTGCCCGTGGCCGAGGCCAGGATGGACACTCGTTCTCCTCTTCGCCACCAACCACGCCGTCTCAGTCTGCGTTCTCGCTTCCACTTTCGAGCCCCAGATCCTCTCCAAAGAGACATTTCCGGCGAATTCGAGGACTGAGTTCGTTACGAAATGGATGGAATAGCTCAAGCACTTCGATTGCTGAAGGCTGTCCTCACTGCCCGCAAGACTCGCAGAGTCAACGTAGAGCAGTCCACAAGTTACCCTGCGGACATCGAGTATGTACGCAGTCTCTCCGCGTCACGATCAAGGCAACGACCGATGGCAAGCTGGGTAAAGCACCAAGCTGTTGCAACATGCCAATACCAGGTTCACTTGTCGAGCATGTCACGACGCAGACCGAGCAGACCGCGCTTCTGGAAAGACTGGAGCAGAGGGACGAGGCCATATCGTTACCTCGATCCACGTCAAGCGAAGAGCGTCCAACAGAAGCTGTAGGCCAAGCACGAGCTACCACGACGGAGAGCCGTCCTGTGTCTGCTGATTTGAAAGTCGATGCGGTCATGACCAAAATGCAGGACGATCTACAGGAACTGGCCAACGTTACCCGCGACCACGATGCTACATTCTTAAACCAGGTACACAGCGACCAGTGCGACAGCCACATCCTCTGGATAAGAAATCTTAGAGCCGAGCTTACTGCGGAGCATGAAAGTATACGCAAGCAAATGCATGAACGCCGCGAGTCGGCTTTGCAAGAGCTGCTGGAGACGCAGGCGGCTGCTATGGCGGAAGCAGAGGACAAGCAGGTTAAAGCCGAGGCCAATATGCGTTTGATACATGAACAAGCAAGGAGAGACAATGCTACTGCATTGAAGCATATGGAGGCTTACTGTGCAGGAGTGTTTAGTACTGGCGAGTTGCACGGTCGTCCAGTGACCGATCAAGATCTTGCAGAGCTGGAGAAGACAAGACAGGTAAGGCAAAATATGGATGCGAGGCAGGAGAGTGCCATAAATGTTCTGCGGGGCGAGCAAAGTCGCCGCATGAAGAGTCGAGGTCAGCGGCAGGAAAAGGAGGAGCAGGAGCTGCAGCGAGTGCAGAAGAAAGAGGAGGTGGATCTGGAACAGCAGCTCGGGTCAGAACTCGCACAATTAGAGGAGTTGTTGGGTGATAAGACGAAACGACTACGTGGGCGTTGGCGGTTGCAGACGGCAATCTTTGTGAGGAAGGCAAAGACGAGCCTTGATGTTATGGTTAATGAATGCTCGCCATCAATTGGATGGCCTTCTTGTGGTCCCGTGGCCGAAATTGGACCCGAGGCGGGAATGCATGATACAATGGGACAGAGAGGATTTACGACGGGTATTGCTATGCATAGTACGGCGTGAAAGCTTCCAGTATGAGGTTATGAGGCATGATGACATAGATTTGGGGGGTAGCATATATACCCAGCGTTTCATCTAGTCGGGTCACAGCACGATATCAGGTGCACAAATCATGGTCATACTGCTCCCGTCTTGCATATCCTGCGTTCGCTTATCTGACTGACTTCATCTTTGGAAAGACGTTAGCTATGCTCGGCCTGATGCACATCTTGCGGCAGCTGAACAGTACCCGCTGAGCATTGACATAACGCGTAAGTACCCGTTTGGCGAGCGACGATAGATGGAAGAGATTGTCCGTGTTAGCTTTCGGGATTATCAAGGGGTATATACACACCACACATCACACCTCCGACACGTATACACAAAAGTAGTCGGCTTCGACATGACTGCGCCTTACACAAGACCATCGCATCGCCAACAAACGTTATTGTCTTTTCCGTGGTCCCCACAAGCTATTCCAAGCAACGCCCACCCTCTTCCACCCGGGCACCGTCGCCCGTCCAGCCTTCACGGCGAAACCAGGTGTGCGCAGTTCGCGAGCAATCTGCATATAACTCTCCACCGCTACTCTCATAGGCGCGCGTCCTTCGATAGGAAGTTCTTCAATAGCACTGACACTTCTGTCGTAGAAGAGGAAAGCGCGGTCGAGGAGTCTATGCCGTACCGCCGACAACTTTTGCAAGAAGAACGTTTGGCTGTCCGTAGGTGGCGAGGCGACGGCGGATGTAAGTCCAGCAATGAAAGACTCAGGCGTGAATTTCTCCTTTTTCAGCCAGCCAGGCGGTGCGTAGACCCGTCCATTCTGCGCATCAACTTGCAAGTCCCGCGCGATATTGGTATATTGCAACGCAACCCCCATATCATGCCCGGCAGCCATCAAACGCTTGGCCTTCGACTCCGAAGTTCCGGGGTAGTGGTACATGACCAGCTGGATACACAATAATGCCACTGTGCCAGCGACACGAGCGCCGTAGAGATCAAGATCCTGTTCCGAGGTGATGGGACCGGTAAGTTTGGTCGTGGTGGTGCCGCTGAAATTTGACGTGAAGGCCAGATCCATTTCGAATCCTCTTATCAGTTCGTACAAGGGCTCCTTGTTCATACGATTGGTCGGTAGCATAAGCAATGTCAGTTGCGCGTCCTCCGGGAAATGTCTCATCACGCACGTCGTAGCCGCACCTTGGTTCGGATCTCGTGCATTAATCACCCTTCCATCCGCAGTCTTCATCGGGTCCGCATAACACAAATCCAAAAACTCTTTCAGCTTCGCCACCCAGTCCCGCGCTTCCTTCGCCGTGGTCGCATTATCAATCAAATCATCCGCTATGCGACAGAAAGAGTACAAAACAATAAGATCAATTCGTAGCCGGCCTTGAAAGACGGATGAAGCGAGGTAGAAACTTCGGCTCTTAGCCTTGAGTCGCGCTACGCTCTGCTGCAGTCCAAGGATCCGGTCGTCGTCGTATGTGCTTGCTGGTATTAAGAGTGCTCGCACTAGTAGAGCTGGATTGGGTAGGGAAGGTACTTTTTCGAAGTGCGAGGGGAAAGTGTTCAGGACTGCGATTGCGTTGTCGAATGCTACGAGGCCAAAGGTGATGAGGCAGTTTGTTAGGAGGAAGAAGACTGCTTCCTCGATCTCAAGTCCCTCCCACAGCGTGATCCCCGTTTTCGTTCCAGATTCGATAACCCATGTTCCACGTTTCAGAGCTAGAGTGTCCACAAGCCAGAGGTAGAGCGTGGGTAGTGCGATTGGTAAGATCGTGCTTGTTGGTGGAAGATTGACCAGAAACTGGTAAGCCAGACTCCAGAGCAGAAAGAGAAAGGGTATGGCCCAGACCAGTATCAGACCGAGGTATGTCTCCTTGCCTCCTTCCCGCACGAACGTGATGCCCTTCTTGATCGCCAACCCGAGCGCCAACTGGCCAATGAGTTTGATGTACGTCCATCTCCCTCGCCGTCCTTTCTTCTCTCGCACGAGGTAGGCGCTATGTAGCACCGGCTTGCTCAGCAGCAGATACAACAGGCTTGTGTTGTATGTCTGGATGACGAAGAAAAAGACCTCTTCAATCGGAATCGAGAAGATCTTGGGTCCGAGGACTACGGAAGGCGGGTACGACCAGATGTTCGTGCGGATGAGGTAGCTGTCCCATGGTATGGTTGAGATGACGGCGATGATTATTAAGAAGGCAAGTTTGTAGAGGTCGAGCTTTGTACATAATGGGTAGTATATTATGGAGAGCAGTAGAGCAGGCGGAATGGTGTAGGTGAGGTGCCTTTGTCACATGTCAGCTGTGTCGATCTCCCTCTGCAGAGGTTTGAGATGGAAGGATGCCATGGCTTCGGGGAGCCGGTGCGGATAGTGTAGAACTGTTGCAGTGCATGGCAGTGATATCGGGGTGAGACGAATCATGACATACACGAGCGCATAGTCGTAGCCCATGGCGGCTGAACAGTAGTGGTAGCCCGGAGAGCGCTTTCAAGCAGGCGAGAGAAGCGATTTGTCGCTGGTATGCAAAGACCCCATTACTCCCGCTAATGGCCTCTCATCATTTCGTGCACGTCGTTGCTGAGTGTGTATGCAGAGATTAATGTATACTACGGTACTGTATGTTGAATGATTAAGATGGCTGTGGCGTAGCGTGCGGAGTAGACTCGAGCCTCGTCCAAGTCCAAGCCACGTGAATAAATTACATCCGCCATCGCCAACACCCACGCCCACGCGTTCACAATCAGAAATGCTCGCGACACGGGACTGCTTAGATGACAGTGCCCGAGTCTGCGCCGTCGGCAGCACGGTTGTCCGTGGGAAATGACGTTGAGTGCCAAGGAAGGCGGCATAGATTAGCGAGCCTCATATTCTGGCAGTACAGTCTGTTGCTTTCTCATGTCTTTATCCAAGCAGTATAGCTCAAAGTCAACCGACGTCATTAGATCACGATCACAAGCAAGCGCGACAAGCATCGTGCATGAGGAGCTTTACCAGAGCGGAGCTCTTGCGGCACAGACACAGACTATCAAACAACTCCAGCCCGTCCCGAAGCGAGGCAGGATTTTAGAGTGAAAGAGGGGATGCCGGTGGAAGAGGTCGAGTTTGGCATGTGATGATCTGATAGTGACCGTGGCCTGAACCGCTGTTGACACCCATACACATCGACACCATTACTCGCTTCTGTATGTGCCACTACTGTATGAGCACCATACTGTCTATCGACATGCTTGGTTGAACAACCACTGCTGCTGCCCTTGTTGTCATCCTACACGGACTTTACCCTACAAACACAATGCTGGAAGCTCCATTGCCACTGGCAGGCCAGAAACGAAAGCGAGCCACCTCCCATGCCTTGTTTCCAACCCCGCTACCACGCCACCCATACCTGACTGGCAACTTCGCACCCATACAGCAGACACTCCCACTCACACCCTGCACGTACACTGGCACCATTCCCGAGGAGCTGGCCAACGGCGAATATGTTCGCAATGGCAGCAATCCCGTGTCCAACGACGACCTGGGCAGAGATGCACACTGGTTCGATGGCGACGGCATGCTAGCAGGTGTCAGCTTCCCTGTCAACCAGGACAATGGGAGAATAGAGCCAGAGTTCGTGAACCAATATGTCCTCACTGATCTCTACCTCAACACGCTTTCCTCGCCACATCTGCGGATACCTATACTGCCGAGTATAGCTACTCTCGTCAACCCTCTCTACAATCTTTTGTATGTGGGTTTCAGGGTCATGAGGACAATATTACTGGTGATTCTGTCATTCCTGCCTGGGTCGAAGCAGAAGATCGAGAAGATCAGCGTGGCTAATACTAATATCGTGTTCCATGATGGAAGGGCATTAGCGACATGTGAGAGTGGGCCGCCTATGCGGATACAGTTACCTGGATTGGAGACGGTCGGATGGTTCAATGGAAGCTCTGCGGAGGGAGAGAAGACTGAGGAGCAGAAGGAAATGGAGAAGAAAGCGAAAGAAGTGGAAGAAGTGCTCGGTCAAGATGCTGGACTACTTGGCTGGATGCGGGAATGGACGACTGCACACCCCAAGATCGACCCGGTCACGAAGGAGATGCTCATGTTCCACTCTTCATTCGCTCCGCCATACGTGCAGTACTCTATCGTACCTCAGCAGCAGGACACAAGCATGCAAAAGCTCCTCAACGCACCCGTACCAGGCATTCACGGAGCAAAGATGATGCACGATTTCGGCGTCTCATCCACCCACACGGTTATCATGGATCTTCCACTCTCCCTGGATCCAATGAACCAGCTGAAAGGCGAGCCCCCAGTAGCATACAACTCCTCGCAACCTTCGCGCTTCGGCGTTTTCCCGCGAAGAGATCCAAAGCAGGTGAAGTGGTTCGAGACAGACGCCTGCTGTATCTTCCACACAGCCAACAGCTGGGACTCACACTTTGAAGGCTCGATAGAGGCGACTAGCGTAAACATGCTAGCCTGCCGCCTTACGAGCGCCACTCTCGTCTTCGCTGCCGGCAATATGGCACCGCCTACTCCACGCAAAGCACTACCTCCCACGCCCGTCCTAAAACAGAAGAAGAGGATGCCCTTCTTCTCCAAGTACGGTCCGGATGAAGAAGAAGCAACAGTGTACGAACGCGCCTCCTTGCTTGAAAGTCCGAGCGAGGAAAAAGATACCTTCATCGTGCTCAATGGCCAGGAGATTGAGACCGAAGAAGATCTAAAGGCGCATTTATGGGACGAGGATCAGTGTCGTCTCTACTACTATAATTTCGACCTTGTCACGGGCCAAATCGCCCAGCAATGGGCACTGACTACCATTCCTTTCGAATTCCCGAGTGTAAGGCCCGACAAAGAAATGGCTGATGCGAGATATGTCTACGGCTGCAGTACATCCACCACTTCTTTCGGCTCTGCACTGGGCAAGGCGACGAAGATAGATGTTCTCGTGAAAATCGACGTCAAGACCTTGATCGCACGTGGAATGGAAAGACCACCGAGAAGTGTCACTGGTGCGGTCGATACGAGGAGTATGGAGGATATCCTCGAGACTCAACGGTCCAATGCTAGTGGCGACGAAGACGAGACCATCCAAGCGTTTCAACTTCCGGAAGGCTGGTTCGCACAAGAACCTCGTTTCGTGCCTGCCTCCTCCAATTCAGCAGAAGACGATGGATTTCTCCTCTTCTACGCTTTCAATGAAGCGCAACTTCTTTCTAATGGAGATGTTCCGGATGATAAGAACTCGGATCTCCGTGCTACGAGCGAGTTATGGATCGTTAATGCTAGGGATATGGCTACTGTGCTTGCACGCGTGCAATTGCCGCAGAGAGTACCGTATGGACTTCATGGGTCTTGGTTCCCTGCTGAGCAGATCGAGGGTCAGAGGGACGTTGTGGACGTCAGGAGTACGCTTAAGGCATCGGAGGGGAGAGAGAAGGGTGTTTGGATGGGTTTGAGAGGGATGGTGGAGAAGGCGCTTGGGTGAGTGTTTGGCGGGAGGGGTTTGTGTATATGTACAGATGATGATGGATATTGAGATCTAATGTCTACTCCTCCAAGGAATCTCTTGCCATAACATCATCTCTTCTTCGACTTAGTCGCAGTATGTGCTGCCCTTCTACACTTTGGCGCGGGTCGCTGGATATCGTTGTCTCTTGTCTCTTGTCACTTTTGCCACAATCGATCTGTGCTCCAGTGGCGCTCGTGGAGTCCAAGCTTCCTGCAGCCAAATTCGAACATGTGAAAGTCATAGATTCCCACTAGTACTCTACCTGTACTCACCATGTCTGCTAGCACATCTACACTAATCGCTCAATGGCGGCGGAGAAGTCGAGAAGTGCGCGCAAGACCGCCATAGTCATTGGTATGTGTGGGCCATACAGATATCTCCAGAGCGAAGAAATACCCAGAACCTCACCAGACTGACCATGATTGCGAATGTATAGGCGCAGGTGTCGGCGGCGTCTCGACCGCTGCACGACTAGCTCACGCTGGCTTTGATGTTACTGTCCTCGAGAAGAACGATTTTACTGGAGGGAGATGCAGTCTCATACATACACCAGATGGCTACCGTTTCGACCAAGGACCTTCGCTCCTCTTGCTCCCACGACTCTTCCATCAGACATTTGCAGAACTAGGGACGAGCCTTGAGAAAGAAGGTGTGGAGCTGAGGAAATGCGAGCCCAATTACCGGGTCTGGTTCGGCGATGGCGAGGAGTTTGTGCTGTCCACGGATCTGGCCACGATGAAGAGGGAAGTGGAGAAGTGGGAGGGTCATGATGGGTATGAGCGATATCTGGCCTTTTTGGGCGAGTCACATCGGCATTATGAACTCAGTGTCGAGCACGTCCTACTCAAGAATTTCACCTCTCTGGCTTCCATGCTGAGGGTGAGTTTCCTGCGACATTTGATCGCGTTACACCCTTTCGAAAGTATCTGGACGCGAGCGAGTAAGTACTTCTTCACGGAACGGTTGAGGAGGGTGTTCACGTTCGGGAGCATGTATATGGGTATGTCTCCCTTTGATGCTCCAGGCACATATAGTCTATTGCAGTATACCGAGTTGGCGGAGGGGATATGGTATCCAGTTGGGGGGTTCCATAGGATTGTGGAGGCGCTTGTGGAGGTTGGGAAGAGGAGGGGCGTGAGGTTCAGCATGGGCTGTGAGGTGGAGAGAATATTGTTGGACCAGAGTAGGGGTAGAGCGAGCGGAGTGAGGCTGAGGGGTGGCGAGGTGCTGGAGGCGGATGTTGTGGTCAACAACTCGGACCTGGTCTATGCTTACACCAATCTCCTGGCTCCGGACACAGACCCGGGCGCAGTCACGAAAGCCACGCCTTATGCTGAAAGTCTGTCGCAGCGGGAAGCATCCTGCTCGAGTATCTCCTTCTACTGGGGTCTCTCACAGCAAGTGCCAGCCTTATCAGCCCACAATATCTTCCTCGCAGACCAGTACAAAGAATCATTCGACTCGATCTTCAAGAAACATCTCATACCCGACGAACCAAGTTTCTACGTCAACGTGCCTTCACGAGTAGACAGTAGTGCGGCGCCGCAAGGCAAGGACAGCATAGTCGTGCTCGTACCTGTAGGCCACCTGGTAGATGGACAAGCCAACCAGATCGCCTCGCAACACACGAATGGCAGCATGCAAGCGAACGGCTCCGCAGTCAAGAAAACAACAAACCAAGACATCAAATCCCTCTCACCCCCGTCCCAATCCGGCATCCAACCAACCGAACATCAAGACTGGCCCGCCATGATCGCCCTAGCCCGCAAAACCATCCTCTCCACCATCGAGGCACGCACAGGAGTCGATCTTGGCCCCTTAATTGTCCACGAAGAAACCAATGATCCGCAGACGTGGAAACAGAAATTCAATCTCGATCGTGGCGCTATCCTGGGCTTATCCCACTCCTTCTTCAACGTCTTGTGCTTCCGTCCTTCGACTCGAGCAAGGAAAGGGTCACCACTGCTAGACGGTAAATTCGGAGGCGGCATCCTAGGACGCGTAGCAGAGCTTTTGGGTGATTTGGGACGGGGTGGGAGTGGGAGCATACGGGGTTTGTATATGGTTGGTGCCTCTGCGCATCCTGGGACGGGCGTGCCGATTTGTCTTGCAGGAGGGCGGTTGGTGGCGGAGCAGGTGCTGCAGGATCTGGGGATGAGTGTGCCATGGGAGGAGGATGGGAAGGAGGGAAAGGTGAAGTCGAGTTTGGATGTTATTGATAGGCCGCTTACTGTGAGACTGGAGGAGTTGGCATGGTGGGTCATGGTGGTTTTCGCGGCAATATTTGCTTTATGGATGGCGATGTACGTGTGGCGGTTGACATGTTAGGATCTTGCGTACATACTTCTATTGTGCCTCATTGCCATCACGTTTGTCAAGTTCACCTTTCTAATCTACCTCGTCTCTACTCGCTTAGCGCAAATCTTCATACACACCTCTCTGCCAATAGTCATTATTGAGCCACCTGGACATCATATATCTCGCACTATTCACGGCATCTTGACAGTTACTACGGCCATAATGATCCTCTCCGGCCATGAAATCGTTGCTCGCGAACTAGTTCGCAACCTCGAGGACGCCACAACCCAACAACAACCCTGCGGCATCGATCTCACATTACGCCAGATCTCCTCTTGGACTTCAGCAGCAGAACTAGACCTCGATAATACGCACCGTCGTGCAGCCGCTTGCGAGCCCATCCCCTACGCTGCAGACAACACCATCAAGCTACGGCCAGGTTCATACCTAGTAGATTTTAACGAAGCCATATCTGTTCCACTGGACTGCATGGCTTCCATTTACCCCAGATCCTCGCTCTGGAGATCGGGAGTCAGTGTTTCGGCTGGAGTGGTGGATGCTGGGTATAGCGGTGCTTTGGGAGCTTTGCTCGAAGTCAAGAACCCGCATGGTGTTGTGCTGCACAAGCGTGCAAGATTGGCACAGGTGATTTTTGAGGAACTGGGGAAGGCGGTGAGGGGATATGATGGAGTGTATCAGGGTTCTCGAAGCAGTGCTGGACGTGACGGTGTAGGGTATGAGCGCCCAAGTGTGAATTCGGCATCGGCTGTGGAATGAGATTCAGTGGCCATGGCATGAGTTGGTTCAACTAGCCTGGCTGAAACAAGGGGGTCGACTCTCCAAGTAAGTCCGGCGGAACATACCAGCACCTCGCCGAATGGCTGCATGAATCACGTTGACGTCTTGCTTTCCTGCGCAGAACGCATTTCTCACATGCGTTCCCTCTTTCTGTGGACACAGTGGTCATTAGGCATACTTGGCGGCGATTGTCTTCGGCACGTTATTCTGTCTGCCAATTGGCGAAGCTAGTAAACAGCCGGGTTACGGATGCCAGACAATCAAATGATGATGCATTCACATTGCAGAGAAAACATGATGCCTGTCATTTCAAGCATATTTGCACATCCGCAACAACTCCGCTCGGCAGTTCGACGCAAGGTCTTCAATACATAGTATTCGATGGTCACGTTGTAAGGGAGTGCCATCTCCGGATGCTTTAGGCGAGGTCTGAGGTACGGTGGGTACTTCTAGGGGAGCTGGCAGTCGAGGTGGACCTTCGGGGATTTCTTTACTTGACGGCCGATCGTAGTTATTCAAGAGATCGGCTTGCGGCGGGTGGCTGTCGGGTGGCTTTATTCGGCATACTGCGGCGATCTGCTATGATCTGGTAAGATCGCGCTGGAGCTTACGGTCATCAGCTGGACAGACTGCACATGTCTACGTTTACGTGCGTCTCCGACAGTAAGGGATGACCTTGATCTTACGGAGGGCTATGCAATGAGGCAGACAAAGGCGTGGTTTGGATGGGGTTAGCACAGGCGACCAAAATGACGGTTAGAGCCAACGAGGCAGATTTTCTCAAGTCATATGAAGCCGGGAGGTTGTGATATCGTTCATGTGGTTGGCTGTTGCGGTCGGCACCAAGCATTCATCAACATCATTTCTCAGGTCGAAACTCTTGTCCTTAGTCAAGCTGATACCCATCAGGCCATCATACCACGGCGCATCGGCCGTCCTCACCGCATCATTATTGCAAATCTTACTATGGCGAACGGGAATTTGTAAGACATTTCCCAGATCAAGCTTTCGTCGGTCGGTTTCTTGGCAATTCAAGATGAGGACGCCCTTCCAGATCTTCACAACAAAGTCATGAGGTAATCCGCAAGGTAGGATCAAGCTTTTGCTAAAGCTCGGTGACTGTCCGCTCTTCCCGCAACGCCACTATTTGTGTGATCTGACTTCGGATAGGATTGTCATGATCGCCTTTGCATCCTAGATTTCCATTCGCCTACGATGCCGGGATGTACGATGTTCAGTTGCGTGTCTGGCTGCTCCACTGGAAATGATGAGGGACCTCCAGGGGACACCGACCGACGCCGGATGCGACGGCGCGATCAGCAGCATGCAACGACTGGCTACATCTCTCGAAGGTAAACTGGTATCTTGCGACAACGCAAGCGCATCCGCACACCCGCCGCCATCACTGGTCAGCTCCCTCAACTGCCAGCTCACAGACCTCATCTTACGATCGTTGCGGACTGCCGAACCAACCGGTAGCTCGCGCATCTGCGGCAGCCCCAAATAATGTGATTGCTGGCGCCCATGAGTCAACGATAGAGTGGTTGGTGTGCTTAGCTAGGACTAATCACGCATATCCGAAAGTGGGATGAAACCTTCCGCAGACTCCCTGATGCCGGAGGTGTTTGATCTTACGTCACTATACTACGGCTTGCCGTCATGCGCGCATGTCAGGTCTGTTGTGGAATGCTGAACACTTCATAACCCCTCATCACACCACCTTCCTTCATTCTCCTACCGATCCTATCAGTCCCGTTCCTCATCAGCGTCCACGTTTACGTCCCCGTCCCCAGCAGGATAATCACCAAGATGCCTGGAAACAATGCTCTCAACGTCAACGGTATGATATGTTCAGCTCATCAGTACACATATATCCTAATAGCATCGCAGGCTTTCAGTCGAACGCGCCAAACGCCGCCTCTACAGTGTACGCAGACAATGCCATCACTACCCGCGGTTCGGATTGGTACTTCACCGTTTGCGCCGTCATGATGGTTTCCACTTTCGCCTTCATGGGTTTGGCCCTCACCAAGCCCCGTCAGCATCGCATCTTCCACTACATCACTGCCTCCATCACTATGGTTGCAACGATCGCCTATTTCTCCATGGGCAGCAATCTTGGCTGGACGCCCATCCAGGTCGAGTTTCCTCGCGGCCAGGGCTCCAAGGTTGGCGGTCTAGAGCGTGAGATCTTTTACGTGCGATACATTGACTGGTAAGATTTTCTTGGAACACGACTGAACCCGAAGTTTCAAAACTGACAACGCTCAAGGGTTATCACGACACCTCTCTTGTTAATGGATCTCCTCCTCACTGCCGCCCTCCCGTGGCCCACCGTCATGTTCGTCATCCTCATCGATGAGGTCATGATCATTACTGGACTTGTTGGCGCTCTGGTAGTTTCATCTTACAAGTGGGGCTACTTCGTCTTCGGCTGCGTCGCGTTGTTCTACATCCTTTACGTCCTTGTCTGGGAGGCGCGCAAGCACGCCAACGCTATGGGCAAGGATGTTGGCAAAGCTTTCCTCTACTGCGGATCGCTCACAGCACTTCTTTGGACACTCTACCCCATCGCCTGGGGCTTGTGCGAGGGTGGCAACTTGATCACCTCCGATTCCGAGGCTATCTTTTACGGTATCCTCGATCTCCTCGCCAAGCCGGTGTTTGGTGCTCTCCTCATCTGGGGCCACAAGGGAATTGACCCAGCTCGTCTTGGTCTTCACATCCACGACTACGATGAGAAGGACATGGCCATCAACAACAACAAGCCTGGCCACCACAACGGCAACCCCGCCGTTGCTGATGAGCCTGTAGCTACCGTTTAAGCGTTGGCACGAAGAACAGCTAGTCTGCCTACAGCACACAAGATCCCGTGTCATCGACGCCGGTGGGAAGAAGATGTTGGAGCGGGTTCAGGAGTTCGGTTTGTTTACGATATCCACATCAGCGACTCAACGTAGTGTCGAGCGTAACAAATGCGGCATGTCAGCTCTCTTACGACTATTATAGTAATGTATCTTAATCAGAAGTGGCGGTGTACATTATTCAATTAACACATCTCATCTTTGCATTGTCCACTGTCTGATGAAGGATTAATGCCCTGTATGATCCCGCTGTACAGTACGAAAGGGAAACGGCTCGCTCACACACATTTGGGGTTGCACATCGCCAATTCGTGGCCAAATCTGACATTGCTGCATTGCTGACGGCAATTGAGATATCTTTAAATCGCAAACACTACCCGTGATACCAAGTACCATCTGGCAAATGGCTCGCGTGATAGAAGGAACCTCTGCTTCATCATGGTAGATTACACAATGCTAGACTCCAGTTCATACATATCACAACATATGCCGGACCGATACCCCCATTCACCATGACACAAATAACTCCATGAAGCACCAGCAGTTATTAAACTCGATCATAACTAATTCTTTATCTTCATAACCTCCTGATGCACCCTCAACTTCTCTTCAGCAATCGAATCGATACTCAACCTAGCATCACCCTCCAGGTTCATCAATTGCCTCTTCCTCTGCGCCCGCTTCTTCCTCAGCACAACGAAGACGATACCGCCAATGATGAGACCGAAAGCTGCTACGCAACCAAGAGCGAGACCGACGATATCTCCGACGGTAAAGGGTCGGAAGTACTTGCCGGTGTAGGTAGTGCCTACAGTACGGACGCTATCACCAGTGTTGAAGACGCGGAACCATTCGGTTATATTGGCGTAGCCTGCGCCATGTGCACCTGGCAATGCGCCTGAGAGCCAGAGAGCGACGTTCCTGCAGGCATGCATTAACACAAGTCATGGATGTAGGTCAGGATGTCCGAGCGTTGGTGAGTAGACATACCTGTCGGGTCCAACGACTTGCGGGACGCTCCAATCATAACTTCCCGCTCCGACTTCTTGATGCCAATGTTGAAAGATAGTGTCGACATCAGCCCACCCATTGTCGGTCTGCTGTACGAGGTGCAGCTCTAGGGTGTAGGTTTCGTTGGTCGACCAACTCACTTTCTGAACCGAGCCAGAGCTGATGTTGAAAGGGATGCTGCTGAGGGAGATGTAAGCCATGGCCGTGTTGGCCAGGGCAAAGGAAGAGGCGAGGTTTGGGAAATGCATAGTTGTGAGTAAAAGAATAACGAGAGGTCGAATACTCCGTATGCGCGAAAGCTAACCTTCCTATGTCTGATGCATTGCATCTATATAGCCATATCTCGTTATGGAGATCTCAAGAATTCGGCTGCCTGTTGTCCATCGGCGAGGTGGAGTGCATGTCTTGTTGCTAGCGCATCCTTCATGCGGCAAGTCGCTCGTTTTACGGGGCAATGCATAGCAGCCATTGGCCTACATTTGTCCTTCTATTCGTAAACAGAGTTAGGAGCTTGCAATTGGAAGGTCGCATGTCCGAACGAGTCTAAAGCGACTGAGATTCTGGGCTGTGCATGCCGAATATCCAAAGTCTATGAGCGTGCAAAGTACATGCGATACTTGATTACCACTACTGCGTGGATTCTTGCATCTCACCCAGCTTGAAGTCTTCTACAACACGCTTCCTGTTAGCCACCGCGCTTTTCACGATGCTGGTGGTCGCTCCCATTCCTTCAAAAGCATGAGGTAGACCTGGATACAGGTGAAACTCGACAGCCACACCTGCATCCGCAAGCCGCGCGGCATACTGTAGATCCTCTTTGGCGAACAGATCCAGTTGTCCTACATCTATGTATGTAGGTGGAAGGCCGGCCAGATTGTTTGCTCGAGCAGGAGCAGCATACTCGTGCCCGTCAACGCTCGCCTCCTGCGCGGCGGCGGAGCCCAAGAGTGCTCGCCAACCTGTTTCGTTGTCGGCTGTCTTCCACATTGTGAATGGGTCGATATCCGGGTGTGGTTGAATGTTCCTATCGTCGAGCATAGGATAGATCAGCATCTGGAGGGCGATGGGTGGGTCTAATTGCTTGTCGCGAGCCATGAGGACCATGCCGCCGGCGATACCGCCTCCAGCGCTGTCGCCGATTACCAGGATGCGACTACTGGCGATGCCTAGCTCGGAGGCATGAGAGTGCAACCATGTGAGTCCCGAGTATGTATCATGTACTGGCGTTGGATGCGGATGCTCAGGCGCAAGGCGATAGTTGATGGAGAAGAATGGCAGTCCGTACTCTTCAGCCTTCAGAGCAGCACTAGCTTCAAACATCTCTACAGATCCGAGGATCATCCCTCCACCATGTACATGATATATAGCTGGAGATGGCGAGACAGGCACCTTACTAGGTCGAAACTCGAAGAGTGATATTGTTGAGCCATCGGCAACCGTGACTTTGTGCTCGCGCTTCGTGAGGCCTGGCACCTGCTGTGGTGGCATCATCGCTTTCATCTTCGTCATGATCTCGTCGAATGCTGTTCGTCTGCCATCAACATCGCCAACAGGTAGTTCTGGAAAAGCTGCAGCTAGTTCTCCTACTCCAGCGACAGCCTATGGACAGATGTAAGTCGCACTGCTTCTAGTATTATAGCAAGACCATGGCATTATGGCATCAAGCTGTCAACGTTGTAATCTTACAGCAGCAAATTCGCGGTCGAAACCCAAGGCTCGTGCTTGTGGTTTCGACATCGTGGAGCTTCCTCGACCAGCGTTTGTAGAGGCTGTAGGGTTCGGCTCCCTGAAGATGTGGCCTGAACACTGGACTTAGGTGGGCTTGTTGTGTACCGGGATGTGCAGCGTGAACTTCGAATTCATTCAAAGCTCTTTTAACTGCAAGGTTCTCGTACTCGCTTTGCCGCTGACTTGTCGTATCGAGCACAATGCATGTGCATGTGCATGTGCATGGCGCCACTGTTTTCCTCGGCTATTTTCAAGGTGGAGTCCCCACCAAGACGCCGAGCTTCAAGGTCTTTGCATTTTTACGAGCAGCTGAATATACGCCTGATACGAAAGGACAGGTTGCCACCATGTGCGCCGAACGCGATGAATCCACGATGGCACGAAAGCGAAGCAACCAAAAAAAGCAAAAGAAGCGGATGTTTGTAAGTGTGGGAAATGGCATTGTCGCTACTATACAGACATCGCCACAGTACTTCTGTGTCAATCTCTATCTCGTTGTCCAGCCGACTGCTGTTGGGCGAAGGCACTGGCAGAGACGTAACTGTTTGCATCTATCGTTACTTAATTGCTCGAGTGTCATCGCATGCTTGCGAGAGTTGTAGTGAGGTCCGTTGTTCTCTGTCGACCCTAAACCCACCGAGAACGACGGCCATTGGGATGGATCTCGGTTGAGGCGACGCGATGGAGAGGTCAGGCCGCAAAGACGCGGAAAAGCTCCTATGCTGCCTTCTTTGCTTGCTCCTGGAGCTGCGGTGCAGTACCGGCCTTCTGTTCAAGCTCGGCTGCCCAGAGTGCGGCGCCACATGTGTTTGTGAAGGCCATGAAAATGCCAAGGACCGGGATCATCTCGAGAAGTGTCGCCACCACGCCGAAGCTATGTCCAAGGTCAGTGATCTGGTTCAGACTCTTGTGACCTCTTGTTTCTTACCTGGTATAGCCACCCTGGTGATCCTCAATAAACTTCTCCTTCTGTGCAGCATTCATGCCTTTTAGCTGGAAATAGCGAGCATGCGCTGAAGGACCAGAACGACGGCCCTGTAGCACAACGAACGCAACCGTGCCGACGACTGGGATGAAGTTGAGAGGCAAGTACATAAAGTACTTCACAATTGCACTTGGTGTGAACTTCTGGAAAGGTTTGCTGACCAGTTTTCCCAGTCTGGCAATAGCATCACCAGCGCCACCGGACTTGACTTGACGGTCTTTGGCGACGAGATCCGCGTGGCCTTTCGAGAGCAAAGTCCCGTCAAAAGTGTCGATCAAGCCATCCTCGATAAGGAGTGCTTTGGAGAGAACCATGGTCAGGGTGCTGCTTTCGCTCAGGACAAGGAGTACGGTTGTCAATGCTGCCAGTGGGCCGGAAGTGAAGACCAAGACTGCGACTTGAGGGAGATAGGTGAAGCTACAAACACGTGTCAGTCGACGGGAAGATTATTTGGTTGCTGAGATTCCGGGCCTACAGGAACATGATGGTCGTGATGCCCACACCAAGTGTCAGGGTCGGCGCCAAGCGGGCAAACAGAGGCTTGTAGAGATCCTTGTGGGTGGCAAGGAACAGGATGCCCTGGGTCTCTGGTCAGCGTCTGCTGGTCTTACAGCGTTGAGTCTCATCTTCATACTCTCAATGGGTAGACGTATGCGCCAGACTTGGCTCCTTCCTCGGCGATCTTCGCCACGCGCTCGACCTCATGCTGCGCTGTCTCCTTGACTCGTGTTGCAGTTGACATTGCGCTTGTTCTGGCTGTGTGTATGAGATTTGATAGGGGAGGAGAAGTAGGAAAGGGCACACTTGGAAAAAGGAGAAATCTAGAACTTGCAAGAATGTCACATGCATGTTCATGCACTCCCTTACGTCATGCTTGCACCAGAGCTGCAGTAGAACGGAAGTCTACATTTGTGAAAGCCTGCTGTGTCCCTCAGAAGTTAAGGCCACTTCACTTTAAACGTACCAGAAGTTGCTGGTGATTATGGAGACGAAGAAACCAAGGGAGATAGAAAGACGCCAATGTTGCTCGTGCACGACTCATGCGCACACATCCTCGCTGCTGAATAATATATATCCCAATCAACCTTCGGCTCTCCTCATCCAATCTCCAGCACGGACGACCGTTGCACAGGAGCCGAGAGCCGTTTTCCCCATCGTACGGACCTCCATTTCGTCTTTCCCAGAACGAAGAAATCTGGTAGGTAGAGGTCTGTGATGAAGGCATAATATATGCAGTGGAGCGACAGCAACGTGCGCTTCGGCGCCCCAAGATTACCGAAGCAAGACACAGAGAGGTAGGAGAAGTACTTAACCAATAATTAAGGTACCAAGTCTCTTTCTTGCACTATTTTGCCAACCCACTAGTTCCTCCTCCCTGTGGCGTCCACCAAGAATCACCCGGGTCTCTATTAATACCAGTCGCGTGCTCCCTCCACGACTCACATCCTCAGCATGAAGGACACAACTATACCAGCGCCAATACCGACTCCCGCCGATCCTTGGTACGAGTCCTGGATCACGAACCAGCTCTAAAGCCACACTTAGCAATCTGTCGACATGGTTCAACTTCGTTGTTTCGATGAGCTCGACATCACCGAGGGTACTGTACAACTTCACGACGAGGCCGATGGAGGCCGTCTGATCTTGCACCCGACACCAAACCCAAACGACCCGAACGATCCACTCCGCTGGCCTCGCTGGAAGAAGCACACTTGCTTTACCGCTGTGTGTGCATTCACGTGGGTAGCCAGGTCTATCTCATACTGTCAACACGTCGCTGACCCCTTCATAAGCTTCTTAACCAACTACGCTATCGGAGGTCTGAGTCCAGCCTTCTACGAACTGTCGATCCAGTTCGGAAAGACACAGACAGAAACTACTGCTCTCTTGCTTTGGCCGATTCTGGTTCTTGGTGTATTCAACTTCTTATGGGTGCCACTTGCCAACTATTTTGGCAAGCGACCTGTTTTTGTCTTTGCATCGCTACTGCTATGCGTATGCTATCTCTGGGGTGCGTTGGCTCAGTCCTTTGAGTCGTTGTTATGGTACACATCATGAAGTCAAGCTCTGTGGAATAGTATCGACTCGTTTCCACTGACACTGCCTCAAGGTCGAATATAATTGCTGCCTTCGCAGGATCTTCAACAGAGGCACTTGGTGCAGCCATCGTGAAGTGAGTCTCGCTTTCTCCATGAACTGGAACAAAGCTGATTCTGATTGGCCAGTGACCTTTACTTCCTCCATGAACGTGGTAATTATCTCGGCCTCTACATGAACGCCATCAGTGGCGGTAACACCATTGGACCACTGATCTGTGGCTTTGTCATCACCAGCCTATCGTGGCGCTGGCATAAGTGGATGGCGTTCATCTTCACCGCAGTGAACTGGATCGTTGTACTATTGTTTGTCCCAGAGACTCGATACGACAGATCCTACCTCGAGACTGCTCCACCGGCAAGCTCAAGCAGCGATTCAGTGCACGCCGCATCAACAGACGAGGAAAATGCCATGGGTGCTCCTGCCGAGAAGGTGGTCAGCAGTAAACCAGAGGACATGTCCGCTCACCCTGCCTACCAACCGGACCAGATCCCGAAGAAGACTTGGCGGCAAGAATTAAGCCTGTGGTCTGGCGTGCCGAAAGACACGAACCTCTTGACGATGTTCATTAGGCCCTTCCCGCTGATCGCCTACCCACCCATCATCTTTGCTTTTCTGGCGTATGCTGTGTCACTCGCGTGGGTCGTGGCCATCAACATTCTCAATTCCTTCGTGTTGCAAACCCCTCCTTACTCATGGAAGCCCAGCATCAACGGCCTGATCAATATTCCTGGTCTGATTGGCAACATAATCGGTGCATTTTTGGGCGGCTGGTTGGTCGACAGATACTCCGATTGGCGTAGCAAGAAGCACAATGGTGTCTTCCAGCCCGAGACTCGCTTGCATCTGCTCTGGATTCCTGGTTTCATAGTGCCCGCCGGCTGCCTGGTCTTCGGTTATGGTGTGCAGGACACTTTGAACTGGACATCGCTGTAAGTTGAGCTCGCGAAAGAGTCCTGGGCCGAGTGCTAACTTCTTGAACAGATTCTTCGGATACGGGATGGTTGCCATCGGTCTGACATCGGTACCAGTGGCAACAATGACCTACGTATCGGACTGCTATCTGCCTGTCAACGCCGACGCTCTCTTGCTCGTCAATGGCTTGAAAAATATCGTAGCATTTGGTTTTTTGCAGGGTGTTGTCCCGTGGGTCACAACTGCTGGTTATGTGAGCACATTTGGAACACAAGCTGGTGTATACGTTGTGATACTACTATTGGCTGCGCCGTTGGTGTTGTTTGGTCAGCAAATCAGACACCGTGTGGCAAGATGGAAGCTCATATTATGATACGAGCATGACCTCTCTCACCAATGTAAATATTCCGGAAGGCTCAAGACGATGATATCAACATTTCTCGATTTTCACGCTAGACAGTATCATCTTGTTATGTCCTCCTCCTCTATGATTGCCGGTCTCATCGTGGTGAAGCGTTCGGACCTCACATACAAAGGAGCACGTGGGCCTTCTCGAGAGGGAGCATTGTGGGGCCGTGCATCGTTCATCGACAAAATTCCGGGACACTTCACTTGATCTTATTACAAAGTCTACACCTGCGATTATGCTTGGGGTACGCTCAATAAAGGACGTGTGCTAGTCCAGATCTCAGTTCGAGCTCACACCCTACAACATGGACATCAGCGAGGCTTCTTGTCATCATGCTATAGTGCTCAGTACAACGACTCTCGACAGTGATGCTTGGGAAAAGCTATCAGAACAGCTTACTGCCGTCCTGATCGAAGCACTACTAGCTGTTGGCATTAGCACTTCCTCAGGCCATGACACTCGGCACGAAAGGCGTTTCCTGGATAATGCCAAGTCTGTACTGGATATACAGATCACTGTCCTGTCCAGCTCGGGTCTCGACTTACAGCAATGCCATGTTGTACTGTCAAGGCCAGGTGTCAAGGCACTCGAGCAGAACTGGGATGTCGAGGTTGTCCTGCTACCTAGCGGGCTCTCCCAAGGATTACATACAAGACCTGGCTTAGCAGTCTTTGACATGGACAGCACATTGATTCAGCAAGAAGTCATCGATGAGCTGGCTCGAGCAGTCAACAAGTACGATGCCGTCGCCAAGATCACCGAGGAGGCTATGAGAGGCGAGCTGGACTTTGAGCAGTCGCTCGGGAAGCGGGTGGCGTTGCTCGAGGGCGTGCCGACATCCATATGGGATCAGCTCAAAGCCAGTACGATCACATTTACTCCTGGAGCACATGAGCTTGTGGGATGTTTGAAGGCTCTCGGATGGAAGACGGCGGTGCTCAGTGGTGGATTTGTACCACTTGCTCAGTGGGTGAAAGGACAATTAGGACTGGATTACGCTTACGCCAACGTGCTTCTGACCAACCAAGAAGGAACACATCTCACGGGAAAGCTTGATCCTAAGGCACCCATAGTTCATGCGAAGCGAAAGAAGCAGTTGTTGCAGAAACTTGCAGCCGATAATGATATTCCTTCTCAGAACGTCATTGCGATTGGCGACGGTAGCAATGACTTGCTGATGATGCGAGTGGCGGGTCTTGGTATAGCTTTTAACGCTAAGCTTTCCGTGCAGGAGAGAGCACCAATGCGCATGAATAGGCATAGTCTCCTGGATATCATGTACGTGCTTGGACATACAGAAGACGAGGTCAAGCGACTGCTAGTCATTTAGTATGGTCAGGTCGACGGGTCATCCTCTGGATTTGAGAGATGCTATCATTATCAGACGAAAGTCATCTCCAGGTCAGAGATTGATAGCGCCGCTGGTCGGTTCATCGGCCACGTACAGCGAAAGAGATGCACGTTTAATCAAAAGCAAGGGTTACCGCAACAGCCCATGTGCGGGTGGCTTCACACCACATTGTGGCACGTCCCGAACTAGACAAGATAGATGTAGAGAGCGAAGCAGATGCTACGAATGCCATGTTCTGGTTTTCCGATCCTATTTATTGTCCCCTGTTCTTACTACCTATACCAGCGAATCATGACCAAGCCGTAAGTCAACGACTACTCATCCCACTGTATACAGGTGGTGTTACCAGGAACCTTCATCCTAGCCAATGGTTCCCCGATCAAGCCAGTCGCCACATCGCGAGCTAGAATGACGATGTTCTGATCGTACTGATGTCCGACTGCCACGAGACTTCCGGTCTTATCGATGCTGAATTGTCGTGGATAGAAACCGCCAGATGGCCATAATTGATGCCATACTAGAGTGCCATCGTCCTGGAGCTGGAAGGTGGAGAGGGAGTCGGACTTGATGACACTGCCGTCTGGCTCGGGAAGGTTGAATGAGGTGTTGTTGCGGTTGGAGATTACCAGGAAGCGGTTGTCGGGCTGGAGAATGGTTAACAGCTATTTTGAAAAATTTCTAGTCATGTCTCACTTACAGTGACAGTAACCTCAGCAGGTGCATTACCTTCGGGCAGGTTCAGTAACCCATAAGTTGTGCTGTTGTAGACCTGCGAGAATGACAAGCCTCCACCATTCGGCAGATAAGTCACGGCATAGCTAGTTACAGAGCTGGCAAGCTCGGCCACGAGGTACATGTAGGTAGTGCTGTTCTCCGAAGCCACCGCATAAGGATTCCAGAAAGCAGCATGGCGTGGCCCGGAGCCCGCTGCAGCCTTGAGTGGCGACAGCTCCTTCAACTTCAAGGTTTCGATGTCCCAACTGAAAACACGCACCAGGTCAGCGCCTAGATCAGGGACCAGAATGTACTGCCCAGTAGGATCGAGGATCGCCTCGTGCTCATGCGGCGCATCCTGGCGTGCAGGGTTCGGAGTAGGACCAGAGAGTGTGAAAGGAATATTCTGGTTAAGCTCGAAATGACCTCCGCCCTCAAGTAGCCATGAAGTGACAGCCGAGCCGGTATAATGAGCCAAAGCAATCGCACGTTGGCCTGCTGGCTCGCCGTAGATGACGCCGTTCACTGGGCCGGATATGGCGGTTGCGTTTTTGATGTGAGTCAAGGAGCCGTTAGTATTGATTGTGAATGAGCTGAGTGAGCCATTGACTGTTTCGAGGCCTTCGTTCATGCAAAATAGCAAGCCGCGATTCGAGTCGATGGTGAGCCAGCTAGGGTTTGGTGCGCAGTCGGTGGTCGAGAATATATTCTCGAGGTTGTACGTGCCATTGCTTGCTGTGAGTGAGAAAGTGTTGATGGTACCACCATAGTCGGAAACGAAAAGATTCGTGGCAGACACCGCGGTAACGCCAAGGGTGAGGATGGCGGACCACATGGCAGTTGATATTTGTCGTGGATAGGAGAGTGAGATCACGACTTGGTTTAGAATATATATGTAGGTCTTCCGAGGATGTCATCAGCAGTGAAGCTGGAGAAGCCGCAATCATCATGCGGACCGACGCGGACAAGTACCCAGCCAACAAGTGGAGGTCAGAGTGAGCGGTTCGAAGACCCGAAAGACCTCGCGAGTCAGCAGGTAACCCATGCGTGTCGGTCGACTATGTCACTATGTCAAGAGGACAATTCCAGGGTATTGCTGGAGGCTCAGCTCGTGATGCGTGGTGTGTTTCCAGGTCATACATTGCGTTCGTTCTCGTTACACCACAGATATCATCGAAGCTGAGCCACAAGTGACAGACGATGACTGCGTGCAATAGACATGCATGCAACGGCCCTGACTACCGGCGGGGTATCGTCAGGTACCATTAGAGGTAAGCAAGAGGAGAAGACAGATGAGGAAAGAGGGGAAACCATGTCGTGAAGTGGGTCGCACTATGACGACCGGAAGAATATCGATTCTGTCGACCGTACCCCTAGTGCAACGAATACGCTCGTCAATTCAAGTTCAATAGCACAGGCACCTGGAGAGCGTGGGTAATCATTGAGGTATACTATCCGTTGTATTCATCTATCCTGCTGCACTGCATCGTGAATAGCGTCCTACTTCATAAATTCATTGACCTTCCTGCCATGGCAAGTAAGCCCAACTAAACAGCCAAACCATTCGACCGATCAGAGCTGCACGCTATGCGGCCCAGTCAATGGAATCGTCGTCTCAACCCTCGTACTCGCCTTCCCACTCGTAACAAACTTGCTACTCGTCGTCGCCCCCGCTGACGACGACGACGACGATCCAGAGCCAAGCACAGTAATACTAGTGATACTAACACTAGCATCGTACCCAAAGCTTCCGGACATCGCGAACTTGCCATCGGCGGTATACGTGAACGTAATGAGACTCGTAGCCGGCTGCTCAAGGGAAACACCGTCATCGAGGTACAAGTTTCCTGTCGCTGTGCCGTTCAAGCCAGGCGCGATGACAATGTTGAAATCTTGTTTCCTAAGCTCTGTGGTTGTGTTTGCGGAACTAGCACGCTGAGCGATGATATTGCCGCCTTTGTAGTAGAGGGGGATACTGGTGTAAGCGATGTTGTCCAAAGCCACATTCGAGCCGGTGCCGCGGACGGTAGCGTGGGTGTAGTAGTCGTAGAAGATATCGTTGGGCATGTAGATCGTAGTGCTAGTGCTGTTCTCTTCCGTGACAGGAGCAACCAATATACCAGGACCGAAGAAGTACTGGTGGCCTAGACTGTTCGTGTTCTTGTCCTCAGGGTAGGCGAAGAACATAGGTTGAATGCAGGGAGTACCCGTCTGGTTCTGCTCGTAGAAGGCTGTGTAGAGGTAGTCGAGGAGCTGGTACCTGATAGCGATGGCATTACGTGCAGCTTCGGCAACGAGAGGATAGCGATAGAACTCGTGCGGTGGGCTGCCAGATTCCTGATGGTTGCGGTAGAAGGGGCTGAAAGCACCCAGGGTTGCCCATCGAGCGCAGAGAAGCTCGTTCGTTACGCCAGCGTAGCCACAAACATCAGCGCCGACCATCGGAACCTGGAACAGGGCACCGAACTCAAGGATCTCGGAGATGGAGATCAGATAGTGAGACCAGTCAGCCCCGTTGTCACCAAGCCAGTGGCCGACTTGTCTGCCAGAACCTGCAAATGTCGAGCGAGTGATGATCATAGGTCGGAGAGTAGGACGACGAGAAAGCATAGCAATCCGCGAGCTCTCCGACATCATAGCGCCGTACAAGTTGTGCGCGTCGTACTCGGTCCAACCGCCAGAATGGACGAGATCCGTGTCCAACGTCTTGTTGCTTATGCTGCCTGCTGCGTTGTCGATCGTGTACTCGGGGTTGATTAAGTCTCTACCCGGCAGGCCAGTCTGGTCACCGCTGCTCTGTCTCTTCTGCAGAGGGGCGCCGTGAGCATTGGTGAAAGGCGCCAATACCTCTCTACGTAGCTTGGTCGAGCTCTGGGCCGGAGAGGAAGTCGTGATCGTGTCGTGTGTGCTCTGATTTGTGCTGTTACATGGCCCAGTCATGATCGTGTGATTCTGCGCCTCGTAGACATATGAGCCATCCGGCTCGGCGCGGACGAATTGGTATGTGACATTCGTGTTCGGCGGCATATCAATTGTGGCGCCCCAGATTGGGTAGTTGTTCGCGTTCAACGGAGCAGCATTCGTAACATCATTGTTGCCAATCGTGATTGCCGAGCCCAGGACCAAGATGTTCTCGCCATAGAATGTGCTGGCATTGACATTGAACGTCACCTCCGCCTTGCACACCGGCTGAAAGTCCGCTGGGAAGCCAGGGATCGCTCTTGGAGCACCCAACCTAATCGCCGGTGGGCGAGGAGGATCACCCATGGCAGTAGCCTGAGCCTCGGGATCGGTACATGGGTAGACGCAGAAGTTCGAGGCCTCATTCATATCGATCCATAGAGCATCGATGTCTACACCAGTATCAGCATTGAAGAAAGAGTCGAAGAGCCCATTCCAGTATCCTTGAGTATTGGGAGCGAACCAATCCGGGAAAGCTGTGACACCCGGCCATACGACGCCCTTGTATACACTCCCATTCGCCTCTTTCAGGAAAGAATCGGTGTCGACGCCGTTGTTGAAAGCTGGGTAGTCCTGATACGCTACGGCCGGATCGACCATGACGATGTAGTGCTGCTGATGGGTATGCAAGTAATTCACCAGCTCTCTCACTTTCTCCAATGGGTAGCGATCTGGGTCGAGTGTGAAGACGCGACGGAGATACATGTAATCGATATCCGTCCACATAGTCTCAAGCGGGATGTTTGCAATGCTGTAATTCGAAACCACCTCAGCAACTTCGTAGACGTCTTGCATGCCGTATCTGCACTGGTGGAAACCATAGCCCCAGTATGGCATCATGGCGCTCTTGCCCACGACCTCAGAGTACTGCTGAGCTACTGCCACAGGAGACGGACCAGAGAGGAAGTAAAAGTCCAGCACACCACCGAGAGTGTTGTACTCGAGATACTGCTCGCCATTTGGGTTATCGAGGATGATGTTCATGCCATTGGAGTTGAGCAAGAAAACGCCGTGCGTACCATTGGCATTGCGGTTGTCGAAGTAGACCGGATGATCTCCATACAAATTCGTGCCCTCCGGAGTAAGATAAGCATCACGATTCCAGATCGTACGAGTGTAATTCGTCGTATTCAGCTGGAACGGGTCCGTGTGCTCGCCTAGACCGTACAAGCTCGGGGTGCTGGGCAGGGAAGTGCGAAGACGGAGGTATTGACTCTCGAAGATCAGAGAGGCAGCGCTTGTGTCGAAGAGGGTCTCGTTGTTGCTTCGGCGGACGACGGAGAAGCTGAAGGGGGATTCGATGTAGTTGAAGATGAGGTCGGAACTGTCGGGGCTGCAGCCATTGGAGGCTGAGGGGCGGGTGAAGACGGAGGAGGGTACTTGGTAGACTTGGTTCGCCGCATCCTGCATTTCAGAATTAGCACAAACCTCTCTACCTCTCCGCTCTACTCGTAAAGTCGCTGGCTTACCTGAATCTTGACATGCAACCTCTGCTCACTCTGATACTCCACCGTCAACGTCAAGTCTGTCAAATCCGTCCCATAAGCGTTGCAAGCCGTACCCGCCAAGCTCAAGCTAGCCGTGAGCCCAGTGCCTGAGGTCTTGACATTGCTTGCCTTGTAGCCCGGACAAGAAGAGAGATCCGTGGCACGATCGAAGAGGGCTGGGACTGGCGAGGCGGAGGCGAGGGCGGCCAGAGCTAGACCGGCGTAGAGGAACGTCGCCATGTCTGTGTGCGTTCTGCCAGCTATGGTGGGGATGCGGATACTGGTGTCGCTGTATGGTACTGTTGTCTGCAAAACGAAGTGCGAGGGTCGAATGCGTGAGAACAGCAAGAAGAGCTGCTGTCACAGCGAAACGGCAAGAGGGAGAAGATGATCTCTTATACTACCTCGCACCGCAGCGGCACAGTGCAGTTATCCGCTTGCACAAGAACAGAAAGTTACCCACTTTGTAAGAAATGAGGAGGTAGACAGGAACAGGAAGGAAGAAGATGTTACACCTTGCAGGAAGTGTACGGCAGGCGGCAGGCTAAGACATATCACGAGGTTCGGTGTGAATCGTGCTGCGGGAGCAACGTTTGAATGATCAGCAGGTCTTGAAGATCTCATTCACCTTGGAGACCGTGTGGAGTTGGCGACGCATCCGCGGTGGAGGAAGGACGATGGAGATGCGCTTGTGCCGAGAGAAGTTGGAGATCGGCATAGCATTGGAATTAACACAGTATTGCATGGGCTCAAGCTACTGCGGCCGTGCAGGACGACCTTCAAAGCTGTGGTGAGTGGTGAGTGTAACACCCCGCATTGGAATGGTCCTGTTCCTGGCGGAGTGCAATAATGTTTCATTTGTGGAGAAGAAGAAGTGGGTGAATGATCTGAATCTTGTGTTGTTCGGGCCTTTGGGAGGAGAATCTCGGTTCTCGGAAAGCTTCCTTGCTTGGCTCACAGTCGCACGCTCGTGATTCACATCAGAAACACCCACCTATGAACGATAATCTTACCGTTTGACTTGTAATGTGAACATGACGTTGTTTTGCCAAGGATAAAGGTAGGGGTGTGGCTGCGGGGAAACGGCTGACCCTGCAGCAGGGATGATGTCGAGTTTGTGTAAGTACCGAGGTACTGTCAATGAGCGAGCGACGAGGAGCCTGTCTCTGGTGGTTTAATGATAGGAATGGCCTTCCTCAGGCGTGAACACTGATAGGTGTACAAATCTAAGGTATCTCGCACCAATGCTTGCCGTGCCAGGGATACTATTACAGAGCACTACCCTATCCCCAGATCGCTGAATGCTATTTCCACCCATATCACAAACAAATGCTCGACCCATGGATCCAATGCTCTCATACAAAGCGCCAGCGCTAAACCGTACAAAGGCAAACCAACCCCATCTGACCTACACCGCCGCCAGTCAATGCTTTGCTCATCCCGCCACAAGCACCCAAAGTAGAAAGAAAACCATCAACACACCAAACATCTTCGCCACCAACCACCGATTGCCCTGCACCCGGCCCCAATACTTCATCAGTTCCCTCTGCGCCCCTTCTACATTCTCCACCACGTCATCCGTATTCGCATCGATCCGCTGGATCTGCTCGCTCTGTTCACTAACCATCTGAGCCAGCTGGCCGAAAATCCCGCCAAGCTCGTTGATCGTCCGCTCAATGGCTTCGATGGCTTCACCGCGTTGGGTTATGTAAGTGTTTGTTGAACTGCCTTCTTCCATGAGTTGGAGTTGGGCTTGCGAGGTTGGGTTGTTCTGGTAGAGGGCGCCGGAGTTGGAGGTGCTGGGGTCGAGGGAGAGGAGGTCTTGTTGTGCGGCGCTCGTCTGCGCTCCTGGTTTCGGTGTCCGGCTTCGGGAGGGTGTGGTGCTGTAGAGTGGACTGTCTGAGCCGCCTACGGGCTTGAGATGCTGTCCCTGACCCGCGCCCACAGAACTTACGAAATTATCCTGCCGTTCTCTGCTAGCTTGTATATTCTTCGTCCGGACCTCTAACACGTCCTTGAAACTCGCCGTGACATCTGTCAGTTTGCCTTGTAATAAGATGACAACATTCTTGTTATGCTCGCCTTCCTCCTTCCCTCCTGCCCCTGGCGCATTGCTAGCCGCGGTAATATTCCCACCCTTTTGCAATTGCTGCAGCTTGCCTATCTGACCGTTCAGCCCAGCCAAATCCTGCTTGATCACATACGTCAACTCGGCTATCTCAACTGGCCGATCATCAAATAGCGTTTTCCGCTTCGCCAATTCTCCTAATCTTTCTAGCTTCCCCATGGTAGCAGCGATCCCTCGTCCGATGCCGGCAGCGTTTCGCGCGAATTCGCTGCGCTGTTTGCGCGTTGGTGGTGTCGCGCTGCCATTGGCTTGTTGGTGGGATGTTAGGAGTGGTTGCTGGGTTTGTGCGGATGCGCCGGGTTTCCGTTGGCGGGCGAGGGTTTTTTGGGCTTGGTGGAGGATGCTGTGGAATTCGGGGGTACGGTCTTGAATGGTGGTTGGGTGGGACATTATGGCAGTGGTAGTGGACAACATGCGCTGGGTCGTGAGAGCGCTGGGCGCTAGGTGGCCGGGAAAAGGTGGTTGTTCGTTGCCTACGTGGTGGCCAAGTGGCTTCTTCGGAGTCTGGGACTCGTGCGCAGTATATATGGTATGTTGTCGATCTCTGGGGATTGTCGAGTTTCGTACGCGACAGTGAAGAGAAGTTGGAATTGGTGGTGATCGTGGCGATATTTTGAGCAAGGGTATAGAAAGCGCAGCATGCAGGAGTTGCTAATCTCAACTCAACATTCGCATCACCACGTGAAGGCGGATGTAGCCGTCAAGTACCGAGAGAAGGGTAACAAAGACGATGATGCTCAATCAGACTGTACAATATGTGATGAACTTCCATCGTACATAATCACTTCATCAACACCTCCTCGAGCATTTTGATGCTACTCGAATACTACCTATCCGATAGTGGCCAAATAACTATCCTCATTGGCCCATCTCGAACAAGTTCGGGAAACCGAAAGCAAGCTTCGAGATCATCTCCACAACTCTATCCACCACGCGTACCAAAGCCAATCCTGTTCATACCAAACCACGCCTTGACGGCAATATCCAGTCGTGCAGCAGTTCAGCCATCTTGTTTTCAGTCACGATCCAGCCTATGATTCATACACGATAATCGTAATATCTACACGCTGAAGCTCAAAGGAGGCAGCCCTCTGACGCAGCACCTTACGCCGACGAATGAGGCTGAGCATGATATGAGCGCCTCAGAACTGTAAAGCCTTTGACCTTCACTACCTAGGAGCAATCACGGGCACAGCATGTTGAGATAGGGACACACTCCTGCGCCCTCGCTCTTTTCACACCACAACAAGCATGGCATTCAATCGCCGCCCACCACCAAATCAACAACAACAACCTCCCGTCTCCTTCAAAACCGTTCCAGGCCGCAACAGGACACAAAAATGGCAGCAAGCCAAGACCTACAATTACGATGGAGATGACTGGGGCGGCTACGATCCATACGATGAATATAGCGGCTACGATGACGAACCTCCAGCCTCAGCGAACCCAAACCCTGCGCAAATACCCCCTCAGCAGCAACGACAAGAGCCAAGACCTCAGCGACAGAACAGCTTCGATACGGGCGATGAGCGTAGGGCGTTCAGTGGATCGCAACTACATCCTTCAGGATCAGGGATTGAGGGACCTAGGGGCGTGAGTCCCGGCAGCAGTAGTGGTGGACGACCGAGCGGAGATTACGCTCGTGAATTTGTTGGCATGGGAGGAGCTGGCAGAGGTGGTGTCGATTTCCACGACCCGCGGTCACGAGACCGCAACTTCACCAACCCTGAACAAGTGCCTCCTCCACTCAACACACGCACTAGTCCTGCGCGAGTACCTGCTCAGGCATCAATATCCTCGCCTGGTCAAGCTTTTCCGCCCCGAAAGAGTAGCGTAAGTCAGGGTTCCTCCAGCAGCAGTCCTGTCGTCGCCGCCGCGGATTCTGCGCCTGCTACTGCGAAGGTGTTGGACAAACCATTACCTTTTATCCGACCAGCCGACATCTATAAACGTATGGCGGAAGAGAAGGAAAGGGAGAGACAGAGCATGGACTCTTCTCGTCCTAGCATGGACTCAGTGCAGCGCGAGGCTACTTCACCCTTGGCACGGGCAACTGATAGTCCGGCGCCGAGCTTGCAGCAACAGAGAAACTTGCATCCCGTTGTTGAACGGGATGAGGTCGTTGAGTCGCTTCCGCATGCAGCGAGGCGGGAGCTGCCCCAATCTCAACCAGTGCCTGCGGTTGAGGAGAGCAGAGCCCATGAGCAGTTGCAAGCTCCGGTGCCGAGCAGTGTGCCTGAGCCGTCGCCACTGCGTGATGTTGGTACAGAGCCTCAATATCAGCCTTTGGCTAGCCTGCAGGAGTATGACGTGCCTACATTTGGCGAGCCGACTGCAGATGTTGCGGAAAAGGTCGAGGACCCGAGTCCACGATTGCCGCCTGTGAGTCGCTTTTCTGGATTTGGCAGTGACTTCATCCATGGTTCTAGTGCAGGCGAAGTGACAGCTCCGACACCCGCACGAGCGGCTGAGCCCATCGAGCACCAAAGCGCAACACGAAGTCCAATATCTAGCTCGTCGTCGTCGCCACAAGATGACCACTTTCAGAGCACCATCATGCGCGTGTTGACGTCACCAATCGAGGCTGTATCGTCCCACCCGGACTCGCATGAGCCACAAGCACAGTATTCGCCCACACTGCAACACGAGCGGACTACAGATCTCCAGCACCATCCCAGCACTGCCAGTACAGGTTTGACCTCCGTTGTACACACGGCCTTTGACCACCCTCACTCTCACACAAACTTATCACCTACGGACTTGTCAAGGGACAACTCCCAGTCTATGAGCAGAAGTGACACGACATCCACCAGCACTGGCGGCATCAGTCCCATCATGGCTCATGTCCCAGCACCCTTTTCTGCAGCAGGACAGATAAGAGATAATATACCGCCTTCGATAGCGGAAGAAGCCACGCCAACGCAATCCAGACAAACATCCGGCGTACACGACTACCTTCCCGACCCTGCGCCAATGGCACAACGCCAAAGTATCCCGCGTAAGCCTAGCCCGAATCATAGTCGCAACGCTAGCGCCGAGTCCTATGGCCCTGCTGCTACTGCCGCTGGGATCGTACAGCCGGGTTATAGGCGAAGTCTGGATCCTCCTTCGAGCGGAAGTAGTCCCGCGAGAACACCTGCTATCGAGCACGGCTATGAACACAGACGCGTCAGCACACCGCAAGCTGCGCAAACAATGAACACGGTGCAGCCTGGTGAAGAGCCAGATGTCATAGATCAAGCTGCCGAGGTCCCTGTACCTTTTCTCCACCCAGCCACCGATGCCAAGACGCCTGCAACTGAGATGGGAGATGTTCTTGATGGATCTGCATCACATCTTTCAGCCCACTCCGCCTCCCAACACCTCCAGCGCGGGGACGATGGAAGTGGGGAGCTCGTAGGTCCCGCAGCAACGGCCGCCGCAGTCCAGCAAGCACGAGGCGAAGACTACACTGCACGCGAAGTGGATCTCGCTCGGCTGAGTATTCCTAATGAGACTAATGGGGAGAGCACGCACTCGCCGCCGATTGCCCAAGCGGAGACGGCTAGTCAGCAGCAGTTTTTGAGAACGCATGAACGTATGCCCGTTGGTCCTGGTCCCATTCCGGCTTTACCGAGCTCACCCGCATATTACTCAGGTTCCCCAGCCTTTGCTAGACCGGTGTCACCTAATATCGCAGCCTCAGCTCCCGGGCTGGGCCTGACAAGGTCGGGTACTAGCGGGAGTCCGAATGCCAACTCCAACACTAACCTCAATGCTCTCACGCAAAGTCCCTCTGGTCAAAGCGGACGCGATAGTCCCGTCAACGCCAAAGGCCGCCGCGTGCGTGAGATAGCGGAGAATTACAATTCTCTCGATGATGCTTCGAGGAGGAACTCGGCAAGCAGTCTGATTAGTAGTAAGAGCTCTTGGTCGCAATTTGGTGGGCAAGGACATCAAAGTGAAGAGGACTTGACTAGGGTCGGTGGGGGCCATCATAGTAGGAAGGAGACCGGGAGTAGTGGCAGTTTGCTTGCGAGTGCTTCCGGATCGCCGGTCAAGGATGATATCGAAGGCGAAGATCGGGATGATGTGTTCGCGACGCATGAGCGAGATGGAGATGGGAGAACGCCGAGGCAGAGCACCGCTTTGCAACCGGCCTCTGTCGAGCACGGATTGAGCGGTGCCAGCCCGAGAAGCCAGCTGCAGAGCCAGAATAGTTTCCGTCCACATCTTCCCGGGGAGTGGGTGAGCTTCGCGCCTACACCTGCGGGTGAGGAACCGCCAACTATGAACCCAGCGGCTGCTGTTCATGAGCAAATCTATGACCACGAGCCAATGCGCAGGGATCTTGAGGCACCGCGAGCAGGCGCTGCGGAGCCCTCGTCTCCTTTGACACCACGTGCTTCTCACATTCAGTCGCAAGAAGATGAGGGACCTGTGGACCTCACGCCCACGACGCGACAGAACAGGATCACCAGCCGCGAGTTTTCGCCACCTACAGCTCCTGGTCACGTCGAAGATGCTGGTGCTGGCTCGCAAATGAATGAGCCAATCGATCTTACGCCCACAACGCGCAAAACCACGCTCCGGGGCCAGGAGTTCACTCCTCCAACCACCCTCTCCCAGGTCAAAGACGCTGGTGCTGCTCTCGGCGCAAGTCTAATGGGTATGACCGGTCTGGCAACCACAGCCCGAGACTTCGGCAGCAGTGAGCCTGCGGCTCCTGTCGAACAGCCCGAGATGAGGGCTAAGGCGGGCTATGGTGACGTGTCACATTATCTGAGACCCGAGATGGGCATCAGGAATGATAGTGAGGTTAGTGCTGCCACGGACATCGATGAGAGGAGTGTGGCTAGTGCTGCTAGCAGTGTGCCGCCTACGCCTCCTGCTAAGGACACACCCGCGCAGTTCGGTTCTGGTTTCGGGGCTGGAATGGCTGGAGATCAGAGGGAGATCGGACCAGGCGGAAGACCCATTAGTCATTATTTCTCTGGCGCTGTGCCACCGCTTCGGACAGGACACCCGAGGGAGACTTCGACGGATCAGGCGCGACTGAGCGCTGTGAGACCCGGGATGCTACCGCAGTTGAGCACGGATACTGGGTTCGATGATACGGAGAATGATCGATTGAGGAAGGAGATTGTGCGGAGTCTTGATCCCGCGAGGAAGGAGGAGATGAAGAGGGAGAGCATTATGGAGGCGAAAGAGCAGGAGGAGGAGGATTCGGAGAGGCTACAAGATGCTCTTGACGCCCCGGAAAATGAGAGGAGGATTGGCGCTGGTGAGGTTGCGCTGCCGGCTGCGGAAGCGCAAGCGGGTGGGAAGCCTCTGCCTAGGATGCTGGATCAGAGGTTTAGTTGGGAGAGCAGGCCTAAGGGACTGTTGAGTCCGACTATGGCGAATGCGCCGCAGGCTCATGCGCAGCACGAGCATGAGCAGGAGTTGAGAGCTCCAGAGGTCTTGCCTGAGATGCCTTATGAGCGGCCTAGAAGTCGAGGATTGCATGTCATGAATGCTGGTGATAGCGATGATGAATCGCCAGCCATGGAGAGGAGCTCGCAGGCTGTGGAACGGGGTGCTGCGATGGACAGCGCGCCGGTCAGTGCTTTGACGGGCAGCGTGGCTGGGAGCCTAGGTGCGGGACTTACGCCTCTTGTATCGCCCGTCTCTAGACATCAGCATGAGGATGGTGCACGCTTGCGGTCCTTCGACCCCTCGCCCATACGCGGCGATGAGCTCGAGACTACGACTTCGAGGGACTCCGAAAGCACACGCTTGCCTTCATACTATCAGACCGACCTTCCCGGCTCACTTCCTGAACCTGCGGCCACCGTCGCAGGGCCCAGAGACATGTCTCCTACCCTGCCAGAGAAGGATAACTCAGCGGACCTCCCAGTCCCCACAATCACGACAGCTACAGACTTCGACACCAAGGCCTCCTCCCCACCTACCTCAACAAAGCAATCCACACGCATACCTCCCTTCCGCGAGATCTTGGCGATCAAGTCTAGCCCAGAGCGGATAAGGACGTATGACGACACACGCACTACTTTCTCGCAAATGGATACAGGGCTTGCTGGATGGCTAAGCGATATGCTTGTCCAACATCCCGAACACGCCAACATTGGCAATGCTCCTAGCGCAACCGCGATAAGAGGAGCTAGCGGTGTCGGACCGGGGATGTATAAACACCGCGCGAGCCCCAGCATGGCTAAATTCACAAAACCTTTCGCTGGCACCGCTGGCTCTGGCTCGGGATCTGGGTCCGGGCTCGGTGGCGAGAGCAGGAAGGTATCCACTGGGTTTGGTAGCGGCAGTGGCGGTGGCAGCGGGAGTGGAATGGGCGGAGGTGAAGGTGGGATGGCGGATGTACAACAAAAGGGCAAAGAGTTCATGAAGACGGCAGGTGTGCTGGGTGGGAAGGCCCAGGCGGGTGCCAAGGGGTTGTTTCAGAGGGGAAAGCTGAGGCTGGGGAGTCGGAGGGAGGGAGGGGGCGAGAAGGTATGAGACTTCACTTTTCCCCTTTTGCTTCCTGCTTGCCTGTCAAGGGTACTTCTCCTGCATCCGCACGATCCTCTGGCTGGCTGGCTGGGAACCTTACTCGGAGAGGCGTCTTGCAAGTCCTTCAATGCTGAGACTTTGTGTTCGGCAGGCTGTGTAATTTCTCCTTGCGCGTATTACACGAGTTGCAAAGGTGTTTCCTGTCGACAGCACGCATCACGATACCCTGAGCAACATCAGCATACGGCCATTGATAGCGGCCTTTGGGCTTTCATTCTATCTACATGCTTGTATCATTAATGGCACCATCTTATTTCTCGCGAAATCAAGTTTTCTATTGTCACGGACTCATGCTCATCGTAAGTTTTTCTTATAGGCTCTTCCTTCCTCCACCGCATCTCGTTCGGTCGCTCCTCCTCTTCCTCTTCCTACCAGCAAGTTCTCGCAATACACTCCTGCAGTATCTTCCACAACCTCGAATTCAGCGACGCCTGGCACTGCGTCGCCGACAGGTTCAACTACCTCACTGAATCAGCCAGCTACTACGATCTCATCGAGACCAGCTCCTCCGGCAGCACGAGCTCGTACTCCAATCAGCACCCTTGCGCCCATTACTGTACCTGTCCCAGCATCAGCTCCATCTATGCCTATATCCACACCTGGTCCGCCTGCTACATCTGCTCTCGCGCCCTTGAGCGTCCCTGCGCCACCAGCTCCATCTGCAACCCTGATTCCAAGACCGCAGGCTGCGAACTACGATGAGCCGACGTCGTCCTCGCGACCTTTCTCCCGCACTCTAACACGACTCCGGGACCACAGCAGAGGTAAAAGTGCTTCGGCGTTCGGGAGAAGCAAGAGCAAGTCCCGCCCACCAAGTCTAGTCATACCGACTTCTAACGCGGACTTATTCCCAAATTGGGGTGATGGCGATCAGCGGGAGTCGGAGCGGGCGAGTAAGAATGCGGCAGCTAAGGGCCAAGGTATGGTAGGTCCGCCAGCGCCTCGGAGAATAGAAGCCTGGGAGGACGATGCAAGTGAAGGCGCCATCAGGCAGGCAACCGATGATGGTAGCCAAGATACCCCGGGCAGGCTGGGCGTGTTGCCTAGTCCTGTTGGGGAGACTTTCGGGTCTTTTAGTGAGATTGGTGGTAGGGAGAGGAAGATGTCAGAGGTGTTGAACAGTCCCTTGGAAGCACAGGGAGCTGTAGGCAAGATTGAGGGCAGACCTTTAGGTTCAGCTGCCGAGGACAGCGCTATCACGCACAGCCTCCCACCTGCTGATGTGGCCGAGACGAAGCTGAAAGGGGATGAGCATGATTCCAACATTGATGCGATACCCTCTACTGACCTCGAAGATGAGTCGCCCAATATTGCGACAACATCAGTGACTGCCATTGCGGCTGCGGTAGCCAATCCAGGGCCAGCAATCACACCAGCCGACATCTCGAGGGAGGCCCATGTCCCAACCCCAGTCAACACTGCTTCAATGAACCACGGCACAATACACGCAGAGCCGCTGGCACAGGACCAAGCACAACACAAAGCACTTGTCGCACTACCGAGTGAAGAAGAGCCAATGGCAGCCCCACATGTTTCTGATGTGCCGCATCCACCAAGGCCTCAACAAATTCGGAAAGTCAGTGCTATCGCGAGTCTTCCGAGTCAGCAACGCTCGAGGGCTCTATCCTCGCCCCAGCCACCTGTCCCATTCATCAGCAGATCTCCACCCCCAATATTGCAGTCCGATGAGTACGTCCCGACTCAGCGTGTCATGGCACGTCCAACTACTGTCTCCAACGTGCTGCAACCCGAGGGGATGGCAGATCAGGTGGTCTCGAGGTCGGACACGACAGAACATAGTACTGCAGACCGTCGCAGTGAAATCTCAGCTGAAGGTGGCGCGGACGATGATAGTGTTATACATGCTCGCGTCCTTGAGCCTGGCCACAGCGACTTATCTCGGCAATCATCTGTCTCCAGCCTGGGCGATCATGAAAGCACTGTTGTTCCAATCCATGGACCTGGCAATCACGTAGAGCGGCAAGAAGAGCTTCATGGCGCGAGCGATCCATACAGGGCTGGTATGGTCCTGCCCGAAACTTTACCGTTGCCAGTAACTCGGGAGACTGTTGTGGATGCCGAGCACTATCGTGATTCTCCTGTATCCGCCACAATGGTTCCACTTCCGTCCATTGCGCAGAACATCGCTCCGATCGAACAAGTCAAGACGGAAGCCGACAACGGCAGCTATGGTCGCGCAAACGACTTCGAGGGCGCGAACGAGTTCGCCGTCTCCTCGCCGTTGAGCACTACTGAGACGCATGCACGTCACCCAGGTGAAACGCCTGTTGCTGTCCTTGACGAAGCTCCGGTGGCCGTCGGTCTCACTGGGTCCGGGGTACCATCGTCTGGGACACCGCCTTTCCAACATCATCCTCTCATTCGCAACTCGGGTACTGTCCAGCCCACTGAGTACGAAAGACTACGTAGCTCACAGTATGGCACACCGACACCTTCCGCTCAGCACAGTCGGCAGGTCAGTAACGACGATAGTAAGCGTAACTCCCGGCGGTACTCTGGCTTCTTTCGTGGTCCGGACAGTGCCGCCAACACTCCACCGCCCATGCCTACCGCGGCTCCAGATATGTCCAAGGACCCGAACACGGCTGATACTGAGCAGGCTGACAAGGCGGCGAAACGTAAGTCTGGCATCTGGCAGACGTTCAAACGCTCGCCTAGCGCGTCACACACAGACTTCGCCAGGGACATCCGCCAGCCTCCTGAGCTAGCACCAAGCGCTTCGACCTCAGACGCTGCCATGATTGCAGCCATCTCAGCACGAGAGAGCCCTGTAGACCCTCAGAGGCTGAAGAAAATACACCGAGCTGCATCAGCGACGACACCGCCTGTGGAACTTAAGCCAAGACGCTTCTCCGGGCTGGGTTCATTGTTCGGACGATCACAGACACAAGGACGCAATGTGGAGAAGCCCAGGAAGCTGACTAAGATGCAGCCGCCAAGCCGACGAAGCACAGCACGGCAGGAACTAAGCAATGATGGGACCTCACGCGGTTATGATGACTTCGAGGCCATGCGAAGACAGCAGATACCTGACTTGCAAGCAAGCAGAAGCCCAAATCCTAAGCAATACATGACGAGTGCGGTACCGCAACAACACAGGATGTCCTATGATGCTCAGTCGCCTGTTGGCGACCAAAGATCGATGCTATCGCCATCATCTCAGCCTCCACCGCAAGGCTGGTACGGTTCTTATGGCGATCATACCGTCCAGCAAGGACAGCGTGATCAGGTACAGTCTCCACCACAAGGATGGTATGGGCCCGGTAGTGAGCGCACATCCTTCGATGGCCAGCCAGATGTTCGCACGCCATATCTCACGCAGCATGAGCCAAGACCACAGTATCGCAGATTGCACAGCGAAGGTCAAAGTAGTCGAGGTCTACCCCAAGCAGACATTCCAGAAGCTTTCAGATCGACAGAGGCTTCATATGGAAGGCAGGCTGAGCCCATTGGGCCACCAGCGGATGTTCCGTCGCCAATACAGGGTCCTCCGCCGGGTACTCAACTGCCAACACTACCCACGCAGCAACCGTACTGGGTAGCACCACGGTCGCCAGAGATACGCAGTCCGCCTCTCGCGATACCAAGGCATCGGCAAGTATTGCCAATTTCAGCCATGCCACCGATACTACCACAGAACCCCATAAATGCCGAAGCAAATGACGGTGGATGTTCACAGCAGAGTCAGGCGCCGCCCGGTCCAAGGGTACAGTCTCCACCTGCCGCCGAGTGTCAAGGACTGCCGCAGTATCAACGCCAGTCTTCATCGAACTCGCAGACATCTGCAAGGGAAATCAATAATTCAAGCTTGCAGAGCTCAGAAAATGCGCGCCGGGTCTCATCGCCGCCAATGCCGAGGATGCAGTCGCCTGCCGCGCAAGACCCACGCTTCCAACGCCAACCATTTCAACATCAGCGTGTAATGAGTAGCCCATTGCAGCATCATAGGCCGGAGCAATCATATCCGGACTACCCAGCTGTAAATGCCTACCAAAGTCAGCAGCGGCCTCCGTGGAGCTCGGGACAACCTTTGATGAGCCAGGAGCAGTCATACACCTCATCCCGCTATCCAGTACAAGTTAGACCCCCTCCACCACAACAACGCTGGCAGTCTCCCTCCATGCCGCTGTCACCGCAATCACCTCAAGGGGACCCAACGCCGCAGTCGGGGTGGGCACCTCCGCTGCAAAATGATCACTTCGGTCCGCAGCACTACCCTTCCCCACCGCATAGCGCGCAGTCGCCCCGTCCGCAGGAAGTATATCAACCAAATATGTCCCCGACGAGCCATTACGACAGCCGCTACCCACCGCCCATGAGACCTCACCACGGGCAAAAGTACTACCCAGAGACGTACACAGGACAGCCGACCGCAGACGGAAGGCCGCTAGCATACCAGCACACGCCTTCTGGATACTCTGGTCGCAGAGACGATGCGGCGGTCAGCGAACAGGAGCTCGGCATGAGAAGTTCCAGCTATCCGGGACAAGAGTGGCAGCCTCGTGTATAGTGTAAATAAACGTGCAGCCTGAGGTAGTTTGCTATGTAGAATTGTATACATGAATTTTTGTACAGGCATGATTCATGCAGAATTAATACCACTTTTCGTACTTGACTTGCGCTATCTAGCTCTGATCGCTTGTCAAGTAAAGCGACTAGATTCGCCAGTGCCTTCGACACGAGTCTCTGACTCAAGATGTTCAGACAGACTGATCTGCCACTTGCTTCTCTATCACTAATTGAGCGTACAAACCATCTGACTGCGCCGCAGCGTGCTCATCCTCTCTCCACTTTGCCAGCAGTGACTTCATGGCAAGGCAGTCAAGCATCCCATTATGATCGCTCAAGAGTGAGTAAGCTATGACATTCGTCAGTACAGACACATCTGGCTCACTTTGAATCAAGGACAGATACATACTGTTCCGCGCTCGCTCAAACAGGTCCTCCGCCTCTCGTACAAGCCGGTTGCGCTCAGCGGTTTTGGCTAAGCCAGCAAGACCTACATGCGCTTCTGCAAGCCTGTAGAGAGCACGAGGCAATAAGCGGGAAGGGCGAAATTCGTTGATCTAGGATGCAAGTCAGCCGACTGTCATCGAGCACGAGCCAGAAACGGCACTACCTTTGGCACTGTCGCCTCGAGCAACTCGATGACTGCATCGTACTCCGCCAACTCATTCAATATCACAGCCAGGCTGAGCGTAGCTTCGAGTAAGGTAGGAATAAGTCTCAGTCTCATAGCAGTAGAGGCAGCGCGGGAGGCGATGGAGAAGCCTTGCGAAGCTTGTCCAGCAATGGCGAAGACTCTGCTTTTAAGCACCATGTAGTGCAAGCGTTGAGAAACGTCGACTTCGAGTACATGATTAGCGATTGCACCGCACCATTGCTATTAGAATTGATGTACCGTGAGATGTGGTTTGCTTTGCGCGCTGGAGCTCAGCATCCACCAGCGCCATGGCTCTTTCCAGATCTGACTCCTGGATGGCCAGCTCGATATCGACAAGGTTGAGCTCGAAATCTACTTCAGTGTCGCCAAGAGACCGTAGGGGCTTGAGTTGTGCAAGGTGATAGCGAGCATGGTCCAGCTTGGCCCTGTGGGAAGGCGTCAGGCTATCAGCGATCCTCAATAATGAGATCTCCTTTAGCCGGTCCGACTTACATAGCAAGATTCTTCACGAGATGAACCAGACTCAGAAACCCAACGATTCGCTGCTCGAGCTTTAGGACACCGCTGACAACGTGCAGCAGACTCTCAAGAACCTCCATTGCAGACGTATATTGGCCCGCCTGCGCAGCATTGTATGCCGAACGACATACAGATCGCACTCGATCTGCCAATGGAGCCTGGTCGGCATGAATGCATCTGACCACGTCATGAGCTAGACCCGAGACATGGCTTTGTCCCAAGCGTTCGAGAACAGCACTCTCGAAGAGACTAGCTGCCGGCATTAAAGTCTGTAGATCTTGCTGCATATTCACATATGCTGCTTGCACTATTTGTTCGATGGAAGTTGCTGTGACGCCGCTCTGTTTTCCATTAGCCAGGGCACGAACGAGCAGTATTAATCACAACGTACCACGTGCATGCCGAGTTTTGCCTCTTCGAGAAGTGTACTGCTCAGAAGCGACCAATGCTTAGTGTCCTTCGCCTTCGCTTTCAGGAACCCAATCTCGTCTTGTTCGCACGCAGCGGCGCCCAGGAACCCCGATGCAGATCTGTAGTCAAGGCTGCCATTCTTGGGCTTCGCCTGCCGTAGATAGAGAAGCCAGGATAACGCAAAGTTGAGACAGACCGTGTCGTGGTTCTCCCGTGCTGAGACGTGTCAGTGTCTCAATTTGCCTCTGACCCGTGCTACTCACCTGTAGCGATGCACTCGTCCATAGCATCAACACTCTCTTCCCAACAATCAAAGTCCGCGTGCAGAACACTGAGGTGAAGCAAAGCATACTGGTAGTAGACACGCATGTTATCGTTCGAGCCAGGCTTCGCGACCAACGAGTAGTCAAAGTATCGATGCAGACTTTCGAGCGCCATCGTGTACTGACCAGCCTTCCAATGGTCGAAGAACTCCATGAAGTGCTGTAGGGATTGCACTCCAGCGTCGTGCTGATCGGTAAGCCAAGCTCGTAGCCGTCCTTTCATGGCTTCTGGAGCTCGAGTGCCGAGCTTTTGTAGATAGTAGATCGAACTTGCGATGACACTATTGACGTCCGCAGCGCTGACTACAGACTCGCTCGTCGGCCTGATCAACCTCTGTGTCAGGTCGGAGTCCTTGACGTCGTCTGACACACCGTACTGCGCAGCACTCTCCGGGTTTCGTTGCGACCATTGATCGAACGTCGGTGCTCGCCAGTCCGTATATGCCAGCCATAGAGATCGAGTGTCGTCAAATTCTAGTCTGGTGAACTCGAGCCAGCAGCGACGACAATACTGGCCCAAGGGTGATGCACGAGAGGGTATGATCGAGTCTTTGGCCGCGGTCTCTGGCTTCTCCACGCTGTCCACATGTTGGGCGACCTTTTCGAAGAACAAGTGGAGAGCATGTAAGCTTTGCAGACTCCAGAGTGCTTGTAAGAGGATGTCATAGAGACTTCGACCAGGGACAACTGAGGCGAGAGTGGTCAGAGGAAGGAAGAGATCGATGATATTGGCATCGATCCTGGACAATAGGTCATGTCCACTCGGACCATCTTCTGCATCTTTGATATTGCTGTATTTGGCGATGAAGCTGAGTACTCGCATGCGCGAAGTGAGTGGTAATTGACCCAGGAAGTACTCTTGCACAAGGACCAGTAGACCCATGCGATGCGGCGTGAGGTATCTCGTCATAATCATCAATCGCCCGCATCGCGTTGAGACTGATATCAATGGTGGCTGAGATGAGGGCGACGACGAACATGGAAAGAGCATCGCGCCAAGGACTCGCGTCAACACGTGATCCCAAGCCGCTCAACATCACCTCTTCACATATACCATCACTCCATGCAGATGCCACTGACCCTCACGACTTCCGTCCTCACTTCTCCAGGTAAGGGCACAATCCAGGCTGCAACGCTTCGGACAATATTCGCACCAGAAGCGACATGAGGCAGCGGCGCAGTATCATTGCGGCGACGATCGGAGGATTAGAGCGGCCACGATGAGGCTCACTACTTGGTATGTACTGATCCTATGCATCAAGCCCGTTGGAATGAGACTTACATACTTGCTCAGGAACGTCAACGGCGTCCGCAATCCATTCGGCTACCAACCATGGAATACAGCACGCACATTTCCGGCCATGTTCGACATACTCGGCAGCGACATTGTGGTCATGCAGGAGCTCAAGATCCAACGAAAGGACTTGCGAGATGATATGGTGATACTGGACGGCTGGGACTGCTACTTCAGTCTACCAAAGCATAAGAAAGGATATTCAGGTGTAGGCATATACACGAGAAATGCTACTTGTGCGCCGATCAAGGCGGAAGAGGGTCTGCTTGGGGTGCTGCCATCACCGTCTGGAGTTCCATACTGCGACCTAATGGACGAGGAGCATATTGGTGGCTATCCAAATGCACTACAAGTCGCTGAGCTTGGTGTCGATCCGGTCCTGCTAGATTCTGAAGGCCGGTGCATGGTGTTAGAATTCCCAGCTTTTGTTCTTTTCGGTGTCTACTCCCCAGCAAACAGCAATGGCTTGCGGGACGACTTTAGATACGGCTTCATCTGCGCCCTGGACTGCCGAATTCGTAACCTCATCAAAGCTGGCAAACGAGTCATTCTGGTTGGCGACCTCAACGTCTCTCGCGACGAGAATGATACGGCGTCGGCTCTGGAAGACATGCGTAAGGCTGGGATCGTCCACGAAGACTACATCAGCACACCTAATCGACGCATCTTCAATCAGCTGCTTGAAGGTGGCGAAGTGATAGGCGAGCGGGACGAGGGGCGTGAGGATGCCATACTCTGGGACACAACACGAGCGTTTCACCCAGACCGAAAGGGCATGTACACTCATTGGGAGCAGAAGATTAACGCAAGGCCGGGCAACTTTGGCAGTCGCATAGATTTCGTGCTTGTCAGCAGGGCTATGCAATCATGGATCAAGGACGCGAATATCATGGAAGGGCTCCTGGGCTCTGACCACTGCCCTGTCTTTGCCGACTTCAACGACGATGTGGAGGTAGATGGCGCGCGTGTTAAGCTCGCTGATCTCATGAGTCCTGCTAGAGTATTCGACAACGGCATTAGACAGAAAGAGTGGAACGTCACTGAAGTTCCTGCATTCTCTGCCAAGCGACTACCGGAGTTCGACAAGCGCAGGAGCATCAAGTCAATGTTCGCCGCACCATCAGTGAAGCGAGCAGCGTCGTCGATGGCAAGTGAGGCTACGCCAGATTGTCCAACGCCAAGCGAGGAAGCCTTTGACAAGACCGATGGAACGCCGGAAGCGAAGCCAGACCTGGTGGACGAAAAGCAGACTTCTGATCATATCATTAACGGCACAGGTACTGCTACGCTTCCCAAACGCAAAGCATCTACACCTGCAAAGACCATTCCCGCAAAACGCCAGAAGTCTGATGGTCCTTCACTTGGGACAAAAGGCCAACAAAGTCTCAAAGGCTTCTTCCGGAAGAGCGCGGCCAGCAAGCCGAATACTTTAGGAGCTGGTACGCACCTGGAAGGTGATGCACAAGCCGACATCATCAAGCCTGAGTCGACGCCAATCCTCAACCATCGTCCATCGACACCTCCTCCGGCAGATGGGAGAGAACCGGCCGATTCCAGTAGCCACGAACAAGCGAATACCACCACACCCAGAACAGACTTCGGTTCTCCTTCCTCCGCTGTCACCCTCTCCCCAGCTCAATTTGGCGCCAGAGTAGCAGCAGCAGAGCAGAACCAAAGGTCATGGGGCAATTTGTTCTCTAGACCCATAGCACCGATGTGTGAGGGGCACACCGAGCCCTGCAAGACTATGCTCACGAAGAAGAAAGGCAGTAATCAAGGTCGGAGCTTCTGGATGTGCGCTCGACCCTTAGGACCGAGTGGGAGCAAGGAGAAGGGGACGCAGTGGAGGTGTGCTACTTTTATTTGGTGCTCGGATTGGCAGAGTCGAAAGGCGGAGGAGAAGAGGTTGGAGAATGGATGATGTGGTGAGGGAAGTACGAGCTCGGTCCTACAACCGAAGCCATGACATAGATGCGACATCCTGCATACATGTACGCGACAACATCGACCACCTTTCGCCATGCCTCATCAGTCCTCTCACACAGCTGCCGAGCATACGGCTGCAACACCGAATCTCCTGCTCGAGCAGTCGTATTCGCGAACCATGCAATTGCACTGCCCCCTTTCCAGCCTCATCGCCGCCAATCAGCGCTGCTGCACTGCCCCAATGGCAGCTCCAGTGATTCACGCAACGAAGCTAGCAGCGGACTGCGCATCTGTCACCCAGCCACCATCATTTTCCATGGCAACGTATCAGAGCTTCTTGTTGCGCGACCTGCATGCCAACAGCACTAGCGCCGAAATCTGAAACGCGGCTTTCAGCACGAGCGTGAGTGGAAAAGAGGGAGGGCGAAATGGCTCCAAGATGGGTGTGTTAATGAGATGAGATGTCGAGAGCAGGAAGAGGAGATATGGTAAAAGTATTTTGTTCATGGTATACAGTGCGCGCTACGTACAATTTTCACTCGCCATGCTCATTCCCTCCTCGTGCCAATGCCCACCTTCTATCAGAAGCCGTTATGCCAATGATTGCGTCGTGGTACCATGATCCCTTTTCTCCCTTTCCCAGCTCTCGCGTATTGTACAAAACAAGTAAGTCAATAAAAGCAAGCAAGTGAGCACGTAAACGCAGCAAGAACTCCTGACTCCATCATGTCGTGCGTGTGGTATGTCTCATGCTGGGTGTATTAAGGCAATATGTTGTGCTGTCGTTTGTGTCCGATATGTTATACAGGAGTATTAGTGCTGGTGGAGAATGAGTTACTGGTGTGTCATTATGTCGTTGTACTGTCGCTTGTTGTGTTGGTATCGATTGTTTCCATGCTTGGGTTTGAGCTCAGTGCTCATGCGCAGACGTTCTCTGCAATATCTTTCGTGGTCGTCGATGTTCTTGAAATCATGAGCTTGGTAGAGGTGGCTGTATGTGGGTGTGTGCAAGCACGTACAATCAAAAAAGTGAGGAGGGTGGTCTAGAAGAGCCACTGAAGAGGAGAGTTGAGGTCGCCGAGCGCGTCCTCGTTGAAGTCCAACCCGAGAGTATCGCCGATATGACTGTAGTCGTTTAAGTCAACATCAATCTCGATTGCGACCTGCTGGGTGTGGGAGTCGACTGGGACATCGGTGAGAGGAGCAGGGCCAGCATGGTCTGAAATAGGATCATCGGCAACTTGCGCCATGTCGATGAATGTGCTGAAGTCATCAAGAAGGAAGTCTTGCCGCCCAACCTCGCCAGTAGCGAGCTGATCTTGCTCGATGGCGCTTGAGCCAGAGGTAAACGCATTCGATGTGACGATGCTGTAGGTCTGTGTTGATGGCCGGGTCAGGTAGTTCTGCATTGCCCTACTTGGGGTGATGGGAAATTGCTGCGTGTTGGCTTGGGCCTCTCCATTCACGAGTGGTACAATGGCGACGGCGATAGGCATAGAGGGTCGCGATGTGATGGCTTGCGGCTGCTGGGTGGGAGGTGGAGGTGGGGGTGGCGGTGGGGGTGTGCCTGGGTCAGCAGTCCCTCGAGGAGCAGTGTCAGCGGTAGCTGCTTGTGGTGGGCTGGGCGAGAAGCCGTGTTGCTCGTTGAAAAGCTGCAAGCCGGCCAGCAGGCGGTCTCCAATGTCTAGCCCGCTGTTGAAAGTACACCACCCACGAGGGTCGTTGTTTCCTAGAACCGGCTGCGAAGGTGCTGGATCCTGGGCGAAGTTGGTAATCTGGATGCTCTGTCCTTCTGTGTAGGAGGTCATCGTGTCGTTGAGCAGAGCGACTGGATCGTATTCGTCGGGGAGAGGTTGCTGCATAGAAGAGCCGCCAGCCTCGGCTTGAGCTTTCGCCAGCTTCGCGATCTTGTTTTTCGTCATACGACGCTTCTTCTCAGAAGGCTTGCGCGGCTGATATTGGTAGTCAGGATGTGCGAGCTCGTGCTGATGTTTGGCTTCTTCAGCTTTTGACTTGTACGCCGCGCGGATGACCTCGCTTTCATTCCTCCACTGTTTGCCGAGTATGACCGCTACGAGCATGTCAGTAACATTACTTGATGGTCAAGAGCCTGAATCCACTTACAGATCTGGTTGTTGTGAAGGCCAGGGTTCTCCGCAACTATCCTCGAGTGCCAATCCTTCCGATAAAGGATGAAGGCATTGGAGGGTCTCGGTACTTTGTCGCTGGTATCTTTAGCGACCGTGGTCTTCTTGGTCTTGGCCGCCTTAGTAGGCGTAGGCGTAGGCATAGGAGCCAGTGGTGACACGAAAAGGGAGTTGGTGGTTGCGTCAACCGTGACTGCTATCTCTGCCTGGCAAGTTTCCCTATCAACGTTAGCGATGCTTCTCTGATGTCTGCAGGTTGCGCTCACTCGAGGTGCTTCTGTAGGACGGCCAATCCTTCACTGCCTAAGAAGAGCGTCTTATTGAGGGGCAGCACTGGCCGGACGATGCCATCGCCAAGCTGCTTCTTGACGCTGTCGTATGCGTCTGTGAAACCCTTGAAGAGTTGCGCTACAGGCGTGGTCTGAGCCATTGCTGATGTTAGTGCATGCACAATAGGTTGTGTCTATGTCTGAAAGAATGTGTTGCGATAAGAAGAAGGGTATATATGATGCGATAGTTCAGGAAGGAGTTGAAGAGGTGAGAATTTCGATAGCTTCGTGCAAGTTGTGCGAAAAGGAAAAAGGGGGGGGCTGGGGCTCTGTTGCTGAAGGGCCAAGCGAAGCGTGAAGTGACCTTGATACTGCGGCCCAGAACGTTAATTTCCATTGCTCGCACAACACTTCAATACACCACTCCATGACCACCACATTGCCCTCCGCACGGTACACAAAAGAAGCAGCTTAACTGACCTTGCACGATCTGTCCAAAGGGATCAAAGATTCGTTTGAAGACCATCCAATTCTGATGAGGCTGTCCAGGTCTGTGACAATGTCTGAGAAGCTCAGCAACGAATTTCGCGCCGCTCCTCGAAACGCATCGACTCAGCTTCAGGCGGAGCGCGCCAGAATTGCTAAGTCAGTGCAAGAACTCCTGGACCTCCTCGAGGCGCAAGGCTTTATCGACAAGCAATCGTACGCCGATAAAGGATTTGATCTCGCCACTCACAGCCACGAAGTCTTCTTGCGGAGTACCCGACAAATGAACACAGCAGGCACGATTGCGTTAAACAACTTCCTCAATGTCGAGACAAGAGCGATGGAAAAGGCACAGACTTCCGCGCTCACAGCTCAATCCGAGCTGGACGAGGCGTCTCTAGACGACGAGAGCGTTGCGCAAAGTCCTAACAACGATCAGCGAGATATCGAGGATGAAGATGACATGGTCATGCTACAGGGAGTGAAAGCAGCATTGCACGAGTAAGTAAAACACCTTGAGCACGCCTTAGCTAGGCAACCGGCTTACGTGTGTACCAGTCGGACGGCAAGCTTGGCTTATGCCGTGGGCGGCACTGAGGCATATATTGCGCTGGACGGAATATGGGACTACGTTCCCCGTTACGTCGAGACGCTCTTATTGGAGTTCTTTTCGGTGTGCCGTGATCCAAACGATGCAGAGATTCGAATGCTAGAACAGGCTTGTGGACTTGTAGGTTTCGCTTTTGTGAGAGATTGGTGTAAGTCGATAATAATTTAGGTGTGAGAGCGCGCTGATCAGGTTGTAGTCAAGAGAAGACGTGCCACTACACGTCAGCAGTGGGCGGCAGGGATCTTTCTTCGGGACAAGTTGCAACAGTGAGGCGCATACGGGTGCAGACATTGTCAAAGCAGGCGAGGAATGTCAATTGTCTCGGTACCCTTTGTCTGGAATGCGACATCCGCTTTTCGTTCCGCCGCACTGGGCACACAGAGATGCATAGCATTCAGACATTATGGAGCGAGCAACGTGTAGACACTCTGAAGTAGTAGACCATCTGCTGGATCTCCCTCGTGATCCGTCCTCCAGGAACCTCTCGATCGCGAAGGTGGATTTGCAGTCTTTAGCCACAAGACACGCCGAGCCGCAACAACTTCACATAACTCTCATCGTGCAAGTATTTGATGAAATCTGGTCATCACCACCTTGTGTTGGCCAGAATCCGCACCAGTCAAGGACAAGATCGACTGCGCTGACGTGCATTGTGGAGACTGTCATAGCAGCTCGAACTCATGCAAATCAAAGATCTTGCATCGCACTCCAGATGGTCCGGAATTTAAGACGTACAGCTCAGTGCTGAGTCGGAGAATACCGCTACTATGCAATGGCGGTCACCGTGGCCATGACAAGCGCATGTCAATGGTTGTACCGAGAGCTAATGTTGGCCGTGTAGTCGCACTACTCTCGCTAGGACAGCTGTCATCCCCTCAGACCATGCCTGCTTGGTGGAAGCAAGATCCCTTTTCGGCGAAGTGGGCGACCATTGCCGAAGCCTACGGCGTCTTGCGCGGCGCGCGAGAGAAGGAGGACGCACCTCTGGATCAGTTCATCGCAATCGCTGTACCTCACATCGATATCATTTCCCTTGCTCAATATCCAGGAGTCATGGGTTGGGCAGTGATTCTACCCGGCGACGCCGACGAGGTGAGACACAGACACAGCCAGTCCTCACTCCGTGACGCTTTTGCTGACTGACGTTGCGATACAGGCTAAGATATCAAGCGTTCAGCGTCTCTTCGCCCCAAGCATCAGCCAGCTGCCTGCGGCCTATACCTCCACGTCAGTGAGCGTGGACGACGCACTGCCAGTGCGCAGGCTGTTTGAGTAACAGCAAGGTCAGCGCAGGTACTGCCAATGGCCATGCCGCTCTCAGCATGGCAGTTCAACCTACTGCGCAAATCCCAGCATCTTTCACCCCTGAGACCAGCGAGTCTCCGGTCACACCTTTGGTCGGCCCAGCCGATGAGCTGCTCCTCAGCCCTCTCAGCGTCAGACTGCAGGGTGAGCTTGAGATTGCCCTTGGCATGAAGCAGGCAGACGGCAACAATGCCTTCACTGCTGTGAAGGAGACCGTCACCGAGGCCAGCTCATATCCATACAACAACATGTTCGACCCCACCAGCGAGTTTGAGATGTCGTTCTTCGACACCGCCGCAGACAACGAGGCCATGGCCGACAGCGGTGCATTCGCCACCTTCAGGCCCTCGGCCGACATGACCATGGAGGACATGCTCAACCTCGACTACAACACGTACATCAACGAGACAAGCTTTGTCTAAGCTCCTCACTGCCACGGAGCAGACACCAGCGCACAACAGCAGACTATTGCGGCGTGCCTACGACATCTCTTTCAGCAACACTTCCTGCATCAATCTTCCCTGCGACCCACCACCAGCACATTGCGCATCTTTCGGCTATTGGGCCCGGCGTTGCTTCATTCCAAGAGCGCTCCGTCACGGTCCGTGTCACCGAGCGAACACGACAGCGCTACTTCCATCCTGGGTACCGGCGGCACTGGACATCGGCATTGCGTCTTACTGGCGTTACTGAGCATTGTTGTTACTTGCTTCCACCACATCCTCAATTTTTCCTGCGACACAGCTCCAACACACACTGCATTGTTGACACCAGCGTTACTCGACTTCTTCGCGACGAAATCAAGAAAACACAAAACCCGTTAGCTAAAAAAAATAATATGGTGTCGCCAACCGATTGAGAATATAGGCTAATAGCATAAGCTTGTTCATTGTCAGTATATTTGCTGTACATACTTGTTCAGCTTGCACATACGAGGAGGAGGATATCATGAAAAGGCGGAGGACAGGGAGGATATGGATGCAAGTAAGATAGGATAACGAGCTGGCTTACTGTAGTTCAGAGTCTGCATGAAAACGATATTAAAAACCAGCTCTTTATCTCACTGTCGCTGTCGTTGTGCTTTCCTCGCCGTCGCCATCGGTATCGACTTGTATGATTGTCAAATTGTCTCGCCAGCTCGTTCCATTTGCCACTCCTGCTGCTCAAGGCGACTTATCTCTCTTGCATCAAACTCTTCCGCCCTTGCATATTTGGTACAGCCCATCATCGCCAGCGTGCTCGTGCTTGCTCATCCATTGTGTAGCGCCATATCATCACCGCGATCCTCGACCTCTGCCACGGCATATATAATGTTGCCAAAGACCTTTCCAAGACATCTCCTACTGTAAAACGAGATTGATTCTACCACCTGAAGTCCTGTCTGACTTTCCTCCGCCCAAACTCATTTCAGCTTGGCTCCCATCAGTCAGCAATAATCCCCGAATCCATGCACGTGGCAGGCGCGTACCCGAACTACAGCCAACGACCACATATCCAGCAACACCTTCTCACGATGCTAACACTTACACGTCTGGGACGTGACAATGAGGAAGCATCATGACGCTTACTACGTTCGCCGTCGTCTACGTGCTCGGCGGTCTGACGTTTCTACCACTGCTGCTTGCTGCTATACTTCTGCCCGCATGGCTGGCCCTTCCGCGGAGAGAGGTGACGGACGCTGCGGTGGTCAGGGACAAGCAGGCTGTTGGGAGTGGTAGCAAGAATGGCAGAATTGGACAGGCAGTCGACGTGCCAGGCGAGAGAGAGGGAGAAGCCATATTCGAGGGCAGTGCCGCGGCCGGAGCGTCCTTTGCTGTGCTTCGAAGCTACCACTTTCCCTCCGCCACGGCGGCCCTGAACGTTCGTCAGTCTAGTGCTGGAAGTATAAATGGCACTTCCTCTGGCTCAAGTGATCTGCCGGATAGTAGCAGGGCAGATGTGGCTGGTAGCGAGAGTGTCTACCAGAGCATGTATCGTTCCGTCTTCGACCGAAGCAAAGGCAATGCCCATCCTGCTGCATCAGTACTCGAGGCAAGCGGTGAAGGTGGGACGGGGCTAGACGGCACCACTTCGAAGACTGTACGCAAGCCTGTGATCAGCGCGAGCGTTTTCTACATCGTCCTTCGTCATGGACATCTGATGCTGTACGATTCTTCTTCGCAGGTCGAAGTACGACATGTGATTAGTATGGCACATCACAGCATATCACTCACGGATGGCGAGGAGGAGACAATCAAGGATGCAGATCTCTTCATCAAACGGACGGCCATTGTACTCACGCCACTAGATAGCTCGACGATCGAGGGCTACCAACCAGGCCAGACGGGCCTCTCGAATTCCTCCCGACCAAAGCCGTTCTATCTATTCTCGTCTACATGTATCGAGAAGGAGGACTTCTACTTGGCCCTGCTGAGCACAAGAGCCTCACCACCTATACCACAACCAATCGCCTCTGAAGATCTGATCAAGCTTCAGTCAACCTTGCATTCGACATCCTTGACGCCAGAGACCCGCGCTTTCAACGCGCTGGTGAGCCGCATCTTCCTCTCTATTCACAAGACGCCTTTCCTCGAGGATCTTGTCCGAAGCAAGATCGAGAAGAAGATCTCTCGCGTACAGAAACCAAGCTTTATCGCCGAGTTGACTGTCAAGTCGATCGACCTTGGCGACTGTGCACCCATACTCAGCCAGCCCAGATTGAAGGACATCAACATTTCTGGAGACATGACCTTGGGCTTTGATCTCAAGTACTCTGGTGGAGTGCAGGTTGTGATTGGTGCCACGGCACGGATAGATCTGGGCTCGAGGTTCAAGGCCAGGACAGTCGATCTCGTGCTATCTACTTCGTTGCAACGGTTGACTGGTAAGATGTTGTTCCGGATCAAGCCCTCGCCGAGCAATAGGATCTGGTTCTGCTTCGAAACCATGCCTGACATGGATATCAAGGTCGAGCCAATTGTGAGCACGAGGCAGATCACGTATACTTTTATTCTACGAGCTATCGAAGACAGAATTCGAACAGTCGTTGCTGAGACACTTGTAAAGCCGAATTGGGATGATGTGCCTTTCTTTGACACAAGATCGCAGCGTGTCAGAGGAGGTATCTGGGCTGATGAGGGTCTGCTTGAGGATGCTCCTGGCGACGATTTAGCTGATAGCTCACCTGCGGACGTCTTGAAAAGGTCGAACGAGAAGAGTGCTTCCATGCCGGCACTTGTCGACGTCGTTGAGGCTGCAGCCATATCCTCCGGCATCTCGTCCTCTGGTCGCAGACTGGCTGACCCACCGTACATGACCTCATCAAATGAGGCCAATACTGTCAAGCGTCGCTCTGTGGCATCGCTTCCTCCACAGCAGACTAGCACGACTCCGCGGACAGCTCCATCATCACCGCCAAGAGCTGGGAAGCCGATACGCTCACCGAGCTTCACTTCACCTGCAGCATCTGCTCCGAGCATCGCGCTCGATGACGCTAGTGGTGTGCCTGTACGCTCAGACGATGCCTCATTGCAGCCGAAGAAGTGGCGGTCAAGAGTCCCTGCAGCCGTACCCAGCCGCAAGGAAGCTATGCAAGCTGTGCGAGAAATGCACGACAGATCCATGCCCTTGCTCGGTTCAGATTCATCCACAACACGAGATAATATCGAGAGCACAGATGACGAGAGCGCAAGTCGGCGCGGCCAACGCTTTACCAAATCAGCTCTGGACGATCCCGACTCGATAGCGTCAGACCGAAGAGGCTCAGAAAAGTCAACCTCCAGCTCAACACACTCCAACAATACCCAGCAACAACAAGAAAAGCGCAAGACCATCTTAGCAGCCACAGCCGCAGCGACAACAGCAGCACGAAACTGGAGCTGGAACACCATCGCCAACCGTACAGGTCGAGGTGGTGGTGGAGGACCACGGCAACCTATCTTCCGCTCGCAAGGCACGAATTCGCAGACATCACTTCATTCTGACCAGCCAATAGGGCGAGGACAGCCATTGCCACCACCCGGGACACCGTTGCCGGGGCCACAGAAGGGCATTTTTGCGGGTATAGGCAATGCTGTTGCTGGGAGGGGAGGCGTGAGGAGGAAGCCTGTTCCTACTTTGCCGCAGCGGAGGACGAATGCTTTGGTGCCGAAAGCTGGGTCGAAGGAGGATCTCGCAGGATCGAATGACTCGCAGGATGGGATTCGAGTAAGGCCTATGTCGCAGGGAAGTGGTGATGTTGGCCCGAGGAGTTCGATGGAGACGTTGCCGATGACGGCGCAGCAAGAGGATGAGTTTGGGCCTTGGAGTGAGAATAATGGGGGCGAGCATGACACTATGCAGAGCGAGAGCAGTGTCAACGGTGAAAGTCTTTTGCTCGGGGAAGAAGACGTGCTCGAAGGAGAAGCTGCGATGCCAAGTACGGCACGTGAGGAGAAGGTAAAGACACCGCCATTGCCTGCTCGGAGGAAGCCACCTCCCCTACCTGCCAGACGGCCTACGAATAAAGTGAGCGAGGCGAGCAGCTCGCCTGTTGCTGTCGATCCATCAAGCAGCTTGGAAGGCGCGGTCCGGCATTCGGTTGAGTCAAAAGACCTCGAAAACGAGCCGGTTATGCCGCATCATGCATCCACATCTGCCACGCCGGACGAGTCCGAAGCCAGCTCAATCTTGACGGGCAGAGAAGACGAGCTCAATCATCATGAGGGCAACGAGCACAATGTCCTCGATATACCCGACGATAGTCATGTGCAGAAGGATGAGCAGAAATTCGCTGCGGGCCAGGACTTGGATGAGGAGGATTTCCAGGACGGATTGGATGGTGCTCATGCGACCCGGTCTTCAGGGAATGCAGCCGACAATCTCGTCGACACACACCGTCCGTCGTTGGAACGTGCAAGTGTCCCGGATATGTCACGTAGCCATATACCTGAATCAGAGATCAAGCTGCTGGACTATGAGCAAGCGGGAGAGGTGCATGTGAAGCAGAGCGACCGCGGAGGCGGACTGGAGGACCAGCAGCACGGCGAGGTGAAGGGGAGGGCACTTCATGCTACTGTGGAAGAGGGCGATGATGTCCGTGCTTAGCTGGTAGCCAAGATTTTGGACAGTCTATGTAATGCTTAATGATCACACGACACCGATCCTTCCCCACTCAACGATTCTGTCCGTCTACCTCATCTTTGCCGCTTTCCTCCATTCACTTTGACAAGCGAGAGAATATCCTTACGTAAGCTGCACAATTTGTATACCACGAATTTGGCAAACCCAGAACTTGTATTATTGACACCAATACACCTCTGCTAGCGAAGACCTGCACCGCCCAAATCTTGGAATACTCTTCGAAAAGTATGGCTTCTCTGCTCTCGGGAAAATGCTTCGCGATCTCCCCTTCCTGTCCCGCAGCGGAGACGGTTATCATGGGAATGAGGAGGTCTTTATGAATGGCGTTCAGGGCTTGACACGGAATCTTGATAATGATGGCAACCGCACTGGCAATGAGGTGGGCTACGGCATGAACATTGGGCCAGCCGGGGAGAATATGCCCTATGAGGATCCCTGGGACGATGTCTTTGGCTCTGCGCCTGCATCCCCTATTTTCCACGCTGAGGACCGAGACCATGCAAATGATTTTGGATATGGACATGACCATGATCACTACCATGAGCCCAACGATCCCGCACCACCGCGATCAAACCCAGCACACCCCTCCGACCTCCCCCGCCTCCGCCGCACGCACGTGACAAATGGCTACCGTGAAGGTATCGCTGTGGGCAAGGAGCGAGAGATGCAAGAAGGTTTCGACGAAGGGTACTGGCTCGGTGCGGAAATGGGCCAGAAAGTCGGGTTTATTCTGGGGGTGTTGGAAGGGTGTCTGGCAGCGTTGGAGTCGGGCTCGGGTTCGAGGCCGCGGCGGCGTGATGCTACGTCTACTGCTCCTGGTGTTCACGATGGGGCTCGTGACGCGAGGAGGGAGGATAGAAGCGGAGGAGGCGATGGTGAGGGCGCGGAGCAGCAGCAGAATCGGAGGAGGGAGCTGAGACGCCAAGTCAGGGCTTTACTAAACACAGCCAAGCAGGACCTCGATCTCAAAGCGCTCTGCGCACCGCCGTGGTTTGGTGAACATGAGGTATGGAGTTACGACGTCCCTGCCACTCCCACCTCTACCTCCGCCTCCACCTCCTCATCCCTCGCGACCGCTAGGCACGAAGCGGGCCACGAAGCGCAGAGTGACGTTGTCAACAAGAAGGAAGAAAGACAAGATGTCACGTTCGAGCAAGTAGCTGCCGCGCACCCTGTACTCGTGAAATGGAAGGGTGAAGTTGAGGGATTAGCTGGGAGGCTTGGGCTGGAGATCGGTGGGGCAGCGAAGGCTGGGACGGTGTGATGTGGAAGTGAAGTGTTGTAGAAATGCAACCAAGTCATATCATATGATATCCACATCGACTACCATAACAACCAAAGCACACGCGACATCTTTTCCCTTCACTCATCACTAGCACTCAAACTCCTTGCTCTGATAACGCACTCTCATTCATCGTGCCTCAGAAACCATCCATTCATCTACACCAAACCCTCCGTCAGTCACATCCACCAGCCCCCGGAACACATGATTCCCACCGATCTCAAGCTCATAACGTGCCCAGCTCACTGCCCCAATCCACTACGGGGAATCCTTCCTCCACCACCAGGTAGACATCCATCCGTGCACTACGTTCCAACAGGACCCTCCGAAGGCTACCAGGACCGCAGCATTTTGACGCATTCAGCGGAAGGCATCCAAGCGGCTCACGAAAAGAGCTCTCATCACATCATCAAGCCATCGGCCTCGGAGCACACAGCAAAAGCAAGCAGTTCAGCACAGCCCAGCCCAGCCTGAATTATGCCGAGCACAGCTCTCATGCACCCAGGCTTGACGTCCCTGGATGCGACTCCCGTGCCAGCCGCCCCAAAAACACAGGAATCTATATCTCACTTCCCTAACGATGCAGCTACACCTGAAGGCTATCCCGCTGGACTAATCACCGGCTCTTCGTCTCCAGCTGCGGGGAAAGCAGGGAGAGAAAGGTTTGAAGATCCGGTGACAGAGCCGGGCCATCCTGTGGGAATGGTTGTTGAGCAGGAAGAGGAGATGGAGGAGGATATTGCTATGTCGTTAGGTCGAGGAGATCCATTCGGGGATCCATGGGCGAAAGAGAGGGCTGAGGATGCTCCAATCTCTTCCACTGCAGTGGATCTGCGAGAAGGGGAAGATGTGGTGCGACGGGTGGGAGGTGGTGGGTCGCGGCTGGAAGAAGGGGAGGAGGAGGAGGAGAAGGAGGAAGAAGTGATGGGACGGCAAACGAGCTTTCCTTTTACAAGGGCCTCTTCACCACCATCATCATCACCATCACCATCACCGCTGCAGCCAGGACCTCTCCGGTTGTCGGAACCTCGATATCTCTCTCCCTCTCCCTCTCCCTCTCCCCATCCCAGTCCTACCACAGCAGATCCTCACGATCCCGAACCGGCACCCACACCCCCCTCCTCCCCTCCATCCTCCCCACATTCAAGCACCTCGTCCCTCTCATCCCTCAGCACGACCCCACCTCCCCCCTCCCCAATCCGCCGCACCATCGCCCATCTAGCTCGAAGAATCGAATGTAGATGTGAAGGATGGTGTACCTGCCCTACACACGCTTATGCCTCTCTTGGTTTTCGGGAGGCGGCGAGGCATTTGGGTGGGTGGGCGTTGGCAGGTGCCGGTATGGAGGGGGAGTGGTCGAACTCCAGAAGTACCAGCGGATGAGCTTTTGGTCGGGTGGTGGCAGGGGTTGTGGTGGGGATGGTGGAGGTGTTTTGCTGGGAGGATGGTGGGGAGCTGGGGAGCTGGCGGTCGGGAGTGTGCTCCTCAGTATGACCAGATGGTGGTAAGATCGTCTGCAGGACGCTAGGCCACAGTAAGCCCTGCTCTTCCGTCCCAAGCCAGATCCTGATAAACGATCAACAATGCTTTCATAACGCATTCCCGAGCCTGCCAGCGCAGGACCCCCAACCCTACTACTTTCCTCGTAACGTACTCAGTGTTCCGTCACTGCGCAGCCATACTCTTCCTCAACTGCCTCTCCCGCTGCCCGGCCTGCAACTCCAAGCGTGAAACGGCATAACTCAACCTCTCCCTCTTCTGCCTCAGCTGCTGCAACTTGGCCTCCTCCAACGCACTCAAACCCTGTCCCTCACCATTCCCACCACCAGGACCAGCCTTGCCACCGCCCACCCCAGCTCTCGCGCCAGAACTCGACCTCGGCCTCACCAGCCGTCCCTCAAGCAACTCGCTCTTAGCCACCAACCCCTTCTCCCTCCTCTCTAGCTTTCCCAGATACCCCTCCACCCGTCCCAGCAATCCCTCAATCTCGGGTTTGATCTCATCGACGAGTGTTGCTTGGGCGGTGGTCAGGTCGTGGGAGGACACGAGTTCGAAGTGTCGGGTTGTGGCTAGCACGCGGGTCAGGCGGGGGTAATCTGATACGCCGGTGTCGAGGGTGGAGATGCTGGATTCGAGGAGTTGCATGCTAGAGCGGAGGGAGGAGACGCAGGCGGAGAGGGTGGTGGTGGAGGTGGAGCGGTCCATTCTTGACCCTCGTATCTACCTTTCCGTGGGCGACGACGAGGTGTTTACATGTATGTACATGTCTGGTCGCGTCTACCCCGCGTCGTGGTTACTACACTATAGCGGCATCGTTTCCGTCCTGCCGGAAATATCCGAGCCATGCTCAATGCCAAGACCTGAGAGACCTCCGAAGCTTCAAAGCATACCCATTGCGGCGACGACGGCAGAATCACCTTTCAGCTCCCACAAACCATATACCTCCGATAACACGAACAATAATGGACGCCCCACGCTCCTCCCTCCTGGGCAAGAAGTTCCCGGCGCCAATCAGTACGTAATGGGTCCGAGACAGAGAACGAGGAGGGGGCGGAACGGAGCGAATCCATGCTGACGACGAGGTGCTTATAGTGAAGACGATGTGGCCCTTCTTCTCTGCTGGTACGCACTACCTATACCCACCTACACCCGGAAGTGTAGAGGAATCGTAGCTGGAGACAGCAGAGATGTGTCGCAGAGTATTGGACGGGAGGCTAATGTTTGACGGGAAATACAGGTCTGATCATCGCCTACGGCATCAACTCCTTCGCCGGTGTCCTTGCGAATAGTACGTTCTTCTTCCTTTCCACCGTGGTCTTGAGACGCGAATAAGAGATGGGAATGAAGATGGTACTAATGAGATTTGTAGCCGATGAATACAAGAACGACCCGCGAAACCCCAACCCGCCTAAGCCTAGCAAGGCGCAATAGACGTTTCACCCACACAGATCATGGATGAGTGGTGGGAGAGCGGGAAGATGGTCAGGTGATGGGCTGGTGGAGCATGCGCCATGAAGCATGAGGTGATGTGCAGGCGGAGGTGGAGGATGGAAGCTGTTGTAAATATATGTCACCCAATCGAGTCCTGATACACCTTATGCGTGCATCATGAGCACTCACTGGGTTACGAGGGACGATCTTGCGTGCCATCTCACACCCACAACACTCTGAACCAATGACTGCATGCTGTGGCTTACGCGCCTCAGACGAAATAAAGAAGCACATAGCCATAGGGCCATATCCGACTGACATAAGGCCGTATATGCAGTACACCGCCGTACACGCTAATCCAAATAGCAAACTAGTATCCAAGAAGCCGGAATCCTGATCGCAGAAAACGTACCCACGCAGCCCCTTTGGCCCCGCGAAATGTCCAAACAAAGGAATCAGTAGCAACACCAACGCAACGGAACACAAAGGACTTCGCCTGCTCTGGGTCAGTACCTGGCATGCCGTGTCCCATTACTGCATCTCTTCTCTTCTCTTCTCTTCTCCCATCCGACTTCACGAAGATCCACCTCATCTCATCGTGGGCCGAACCCAACCTCATCCCCCGATTCCCATAGGTGCAGACCGAGAGTCTCGCTACAATGCTTCTCCCGAACTTCCAAGCCCTAGCTCTCTCAGCACTCGTCACAACGACTCTCGCGACCTTTCAGCTCGCCACTCCACCCGCCGCCGCCGCCCCCACCTCAACCGTCTCAACCGTGGATCCAGCAGCAGCAACGACGTCCCTGCCATCCGCAGCAGCTGCCGCAGCGGCGGGAGTGAAACCCATGTCTTATGGCGAATGGGCCGCCTCGCAACTCGCGTCCGCTACCTCTGCTGTGGCTGCGGCCGCGGGATCGGTCTTTGGGGTTGGTAGTATCGATGATTCTGGGGACGATGGGTGGAGTTTCGGGGATGGGGATGGGGATGGGAATGGGGATGCTGCAATTGATGGAGCTGGGGACGATGAGTATGTTGATGGTGGTGGGAATATCAGGACCGTGGTTGTAGGGGATTATGTCAGGGAACATCAGTATCAGTAGCCCGTCCTAACAAATCTGCCCCTACAAATACCATGACTATTATCAAAGGTCATGTTTGAGTTGAGTGGGGTAGGGCCGAGCTCCGTCCTGATCTATCCATGCACACATATACTCCAACATAATCTACACCCTCACATCCCATATTCATACGAGACGCGAGCTCGAAGCTCCCCAGCCCCCAGCCCCCAGCCCCCAGCTCCCAGCCCCCAGCTCCCCGCTCACCACATCTACATGACCGCATCCATACTCAAACACTCACTCACTCACTCATCAACCTGATACTTCCGCCTCCCATTCCCCTTCCCACTCTTATCCCTCTTATCCCTAACCCCCTTAACCCTGTGCGTCCTCTTCTGCCCCCGTCGATCCCCAGGCGCAGACCCCCCACCTTTAACAACAAGCCGCCCGTACTCATCCGCGTCCACCACAAAATCACCCGTCTTCCCCATCCCCATTTCATCATCCTCGGCTCCAGCACTAGATCCCGCCTTCGCCCTCGCAGACTTTTTGGCAATCTTAGCCTCCCCATCCGCACAAACCCCGCTTTTACCCTTCCCCTTCTCAGAAAATTTATTCTTCCGCACAGTCCTAACGACGCGGGTCTTTGCCCCCAACGCCCAGCCATCTCCCCAACTACTCTTGCGGGCGTCACGGAAAGCCTGTTTGCCGAAGGAGCGGGGGACGGTCCAGCGTTCGAGGGTACCGGACGGGGTGCAGAGATCGAGGATGATGTGACCTCTTCTTTTCAACGGTGGGAGGATGGAGAGGGGGAGGGTGAGGGGATGTGGTGTGGTAGTGCTAGGTTGAAGCGAGGCGGATGAGGGTGCGGTATGTTGAGGGGAGGAAGAGGTATCGGGCTCTGAGACCTCAGCGGCATGGCCAACAAAAGCCATCTCAGTCGCCTCAACACCCTGCTTCAACCCTAAACCCTGGCCCCAAGCCTCTGCCACGCTCTCCTCACTCAACCCCTCCTCCTCCTGCTTCTTCTCCTCCCGCAAATCCCTCCCCCTCATCACCGCAACATGAGCAAACCGCACATCCTCGAAATTTTTATCCCTAGCCCCAAGCACCTTCTGCAAGAAACTTGGCCTGACAAACCTCTGCTCGAAATGACAGATATCCAACCGGCCCTTCACCATGCCCTTTTGCACGTACATGGGACAAGAGGAGTGGTTGGTGCAGGGGGCGATGATCATGCCTTTTTCCTTCGTTCGGGTCAAGGGCTCTGGTGCTGGCGTTGCATAGTCGGAATTCGGTGCTGCATCGTCGTAGATATCCAGACTCCTCTCCCTCGCCTCGGGACTCGAGATCCGCGTCTCAAGAAGCAATTCCCTCGCCCCAGCCACGAGCTCAAAGCCCCGACTAACACCCTTCTCCAATACCACCATAACGCCCCCACCCTTCTTAAGCAGACTCCAAAGATTCTGGACGTGGGTCCTCCTGACAAAGTCCTCCCTCAGAGGCCAAAGCGAGTGAGGAGCGATAATGAGATCGAATTTCCCGTCTCGCTGCGCCTTCTCTGTACTCGAGGTAGAAGAGGAATGGATGTAATCCGGTAATCGCGGGATGAACGTCGTATTCTCCAACAATTGACTTGCTCGTTTGCGTAGACCATCCGAAGCGACGAGGACAGTAGCATGGCCCTGAGGAGGCGCGAGACCGGCTCCGCCAATCCTACCATCAGCTTCAGCGAGATCCATCGGTGAATCTGCCGCCCCTCCTGACGAGGCAGATGAGGAAGAAGAAGTGCTGCGATCATGCATCCGATCCCACTCCGCCCGGATCAACTCCCTCACAGCCAACACCCCCGCCCCCGCACCCCCAACATCCAAGACCCTCAACTCCCCCCTCTCAGCCTTCCTCACCAGATCCTCCGCCCACGCACTCCCCAACCTCTTCCTCGTCTCCCTCAACACAGACATGACACTAGCGTAAACGGCCGGCATGAGCACAGCGGTATACACATCCGTCTCGATACTCGACATGCGGTCTTGAAAGACATCCAGGGCGATGGGTTTGGGTTGCATGGTCTTCAGGCTGTTGGGCGTGGAGGTGGAGTAGGGGAGGCCGAGGCCGCCGAAGATGCGGGTCGCGGCTTGGGAGAGGTGGACGGTAGGGAGGCCTGATAATAATAATGTTGCGGGGTCGACGAAGGTGTCTTTTGGTAGGGGGAGGGTTGAAGGGGAGGTGCCGAAGCGGTTGGCGAGGGTGAAGGGGTGGGTGCGTTGGGTCGGGTCTGTGTCTTCCTCCTCTTCTTGTGGCTCCGCGTCCTCATCACGGTACTCGTCTGCTTCGGTCCAATGTCGCGAGTGATTCGCCATCGTACTGCCGCCCTCGCCCTCATCGATCTTCCCAAGCCGTATCTCCTCCCTCTTCTGAATCTTCGCACTCTTCGCACTCTTCTTCTTTCCCTCCCCACCGACAACACCCTCCCCCTCAAACTCAATCTCCTCCAATGCCCCATCCTCCGCCATCCTCAGCACGCCCGTCCCCAAACTCTCCACCCTTTCATCCAATCCAGATCCACTAAGGCCCTCCTCTCCATATCCATTCTCACCCTCACCTCCCCTCCTCTTCGCCTGATCCGCGGACCCGTACAGCCCCACCCACAATCTCATCTCCCTCGCTGCCAATACGCCAGCGGGCAAATCACTCCCGTACTTCTCCCTAGCCTTTAGGACGCGCTCCGCCAAACTCTTCCCCACATCCTCCATCGATGCCTCACCTCCGCCCTCCTCCCCTTCCCCTTCCTCATTCATTCCTCCATCCTCCTCTGAAATCCCATCCCTCATCCTCGGCACCCGCCACTGCGTCCTCCGCCTCGGCATCCGCCACCTCGTCGTCGTCGCAAAACCATTCCTCCCGCTCTGCACCACCGACGGCAACGCATGCCTCACATTCGCTATAGCAGACCCTCGACTCCGCGCAACCTCCTTCGCAACGATAATGCCTCGAAGCCGACAGGAAGCGCAAACACTGCCATGGGCTAAAGCGGGAGAGAACAGCATACCTCCCTCGGTCCCTTTTTCTCTCTCTCTTCACCTTTGACCGCCTACCCGGTCAGGCAACGAGTAAAGTAAATGGAGATGCTATATTCATGTATCTAAGATCATCTTACGAAAGCGGCACACACGACACCGCTGACAATCCACCAACTCATCCCCCGAACTTTTTGGGCTTTCCAAAACTCCGAGCCGGAAAACGCGAAGGGAGATCTGGATCACGTGCGCAGTCTACTACATACCATAGAGTACATACAGCCCTGCTTTGCCCCACGATACTATCCATGTTCATACCTGATCCAAAGCATCTAGTATCGCCAGGACACAAGGCCAGAGGGTCTGAAGCGGACACATCGAGGGCAAAAGGGCAAAGGACGAGATGTAGCAGGAGTGGAAGGTAAAGGACAAAAGGCAAAAGGCAAGGCAACAGGCCAAGAAGCCAACCAGTAGCAAGAGCTCAACGGGTCCAAGCCGAGGAGGAAGGAAAACCACAGTACACCGAGCTACCGAACGCAAAACACACGCACAAAGACGCAGCCTCAGACCGCACCACGCACCACATCCACCTCATCTCCTTCCTGAGCCATTCTCAGCAGGCAGGCAGGCAGAAAAAGGGAAGCAGCAGTCTCCGTGTCCATCTCCTCTAAAGCCCAGTCACCCTCATGGCAAGGGCTCAATCTCTTCAACAACAGACATCATCTCCTTGCTTCCGTGCTTCCCTGCTCCTCCGCCTGCCTGCCAACCAGCCAGCTAAACCCCCATGACTCAACCACTACATCACTCGACACACCTCATCTCAAAATATTACCTCCCCACGCCTACACACCCCCACCCCCTCAACCATTCACACGCGCACAAAGCAGTCCAGTTTCCATTCTGGTCGCAAATCCACCATAACCATGAAACCCTCCCCCCCCAAAAAGTGAACGCCCTAGGAAAGTGCCACGTTCCACGCGCAAGAAAGCAGTATGTTTTTGTTTCCGACGTCTTTCCACACCGGTAATCGTTGAAGAAATGTTGAATGAAGCTCTTCCATCCCTCGCAGACTCATTGCCCGTGATATGATGACTGCACTAGCATTGCATGCTATTGCATTTGCTTGCCCCTCTCGATCCATATCCCTCGATAAGATCCCACAGCCAATAGCAACAGAAGGATTCATGAGATCAAGGTCTTGTGTTCATCTTCTGAGCCGCCCAGCGCGGCCACCTCCGCAGAAGAATCCAGCCTCGCCACTCCTCAAAACCATGAGGTTCAAGAAGGTAAGCCGAAAGCCCTGCCGAGTGACACTGCCAGTAAAAAGAAAGACAAGATCCTCGGGCCATCAAAAAGCACAAGAGATACAACAACCCCATAGTCCCAGCCTTCTGCCGGACCTTGACTGATGGTGATGCAAGGGCAAAAGGATTCAGCTCCGCCTCTCATGATGACTATGCTCCAGAAGTTCCCACGGTCCGTCGTTGAGGTTGAAGAGTCCGACCGACCGAGAGAAGAATGTTGAGGAAGCAAGCCGAGAAGCGAAACGGATCCGTGCCGCAGAAAAGTCAGTCAGCCATGCGTGATACTAGTCGTGTGTATAGCACAAGATGATAACCCGCAGAAACGAAAAGAGGAAAAGCAAGACATGTATCTTCCGAGAAGCCGAAATTGGAGTAAGAGGGGAAGCGTGGTCGTCCAGTGCTCATATGAGTAAGATGTTGCAAAGGTCCGCTCCTCCACTCCAGCTCCAGCCCGCCGAAAAAGATGATGTCGAGATGCTGTGTTGAGTTGATGTCAACAAGCAGAGGGTGTTGTGTTGAGAGATAGTATGAGAGGAAGAGAGCAAGTCCCGCCATTCATACTTCACCGAGAGAGAGAAAGAGAGAGAGAGATGCTCAGTAATTGCCATACCCAGCAGATTGATCCGCAGTGCCGCGTTTGCTGGAACGAAGTTGCCTGTGAGAGCACGACAAAAGTCAGCACAAGTCTCCTATCTCCTCAGATCGCGCCCAAAATATCATTTCCCATTCTTCTTCTAACACATGCAACGCAGAATCAGAGGAGGAAGGCGTCTTACAAGAGGACGGAGAGTATCGATGGAGAAGAAAGGCAGATCGTGCAGACTCGGTTTGTAGTTTTGTTGACACTCACATTCCAGTGCCCTCGGTCTTGGATTGGACGGCGCGGCGCTCCTTCTGGAAGCCGCCGGTCGTCGTCTGACCAGCCGTGGCTTTCTGCGTGGACCGGCCGTTCTTCTCCTCGGCCTCTTCCGCGGCGGCGGGTGCGTTGTTGGTGGTTTGGGCGATGGCCTGGGCGTTCTTCTGGTACTTGTACACGGTCCAGTCGAAGACGTAGTCGTACTGGAAACCTTCGCGGACGAAGAGGTCGCGGAAGATTTTGCGGAGGTAGGAGTAGTCTGGCTTGTCGTCGAAGCGGAGACTGCGGGTGTAGTTGAGGTAGATGGCGAACTCGTTCGGGAAGCCGCGGCAGAGGACCTCGGTGGGGGTGGTCATCTTCTTCTCCATGATGCGGTCGTACTTCTGCTTCTTGGTGGCTGCCTTAAGACCTTGCCATGGCAGAGAGCCGCGGCAGAAGTAGAGCATGACGTAGCCCAGGGACTCCATATCGTCACGACGGGATTGCTCTGGGAAGAGTGTTAGCTGGAGGGCGTGAAATGAGTATTGATATTGTCTTCACTCACCGACACCCAAGTGCGTGTTGATAGAAGCATAACGAGCAGTACCCGTCAAGTTCTTGTTCTCTCTGTACGGGATATGGAAGTGCGTCTTCGGGTCCCTGTACTTCTTGGCCAAACCGAAATCGATGACGTTGACCTGATTCCCACGCTTCCCGATCCCCATCAAGAAGTTGTCCGGCTTGATGTCACGGTGTATGAAACTCTTGGCATGGATGTACTCGATACGGCTGATAAGCTGGTCGGCGAGCAAGAGCACGGTCTTGAGGGAGAACTTGCGGTTGCAGAAGTTGAAGAGATCTTCGAGCGAGGGGCCGAGCAGGTCGAGCACCATGGCGTTGTAGTCGCACTCGGTACCGAACCATCTTACGAAGGGGATGCCCACGCCGCCGGCGAGGGACTTGTAGACGCGGGCCTCGTACTCCAGCTGGGGGTGCTTGGCCTTGACGCTCTCGAGCTTGATGGCGATTTCCTCGCCGGAGATGATGTTAGTGCCTGGGAATGGGGTTAGTTGAGTGCGGTATATGAGGGATTAGCAGTGGTAAGACATACCCAGGTAGATATCGCCAAAGGAACCGCTGCCGATCTTGCGGCCGATACGGTACTTGTTCCCCACGCGGAGGTCCTGGTGGGCGTGTCAGTATGGTCATGTTTGTAAACTGTTGTGGTCGTGTGTGTGTATCATACCATTGTCGTCATGTTTGCGGAAGCCTCAACGAGGAGGATGAGCCGAGCGTGTGTTGTTGAGGAGAAAAGAGAGGCGGGTGTGCAGCCTTACACAGGCCTGCTAGTCGTCGTACGCGTGTTGGTAGTATGCTGCAACAGCAGTGGTGGTGGTGGTGGAGTGGTGGAGTGGATAGTAGTGTGTGTGGCTGTTTGCAGCTTGCAAGGCAGGGCAGGCAGGTGGTCAGCCGGCGGTGTCAGGTCTAGTGTGAGAAGGTCAAGGCAGGTCAGGCTTTGAAAGCGGCTAGATCCACTTCGGGCTTCGGGGCGGCGGTGTGGTGCCAAGATGGCTTGGGCGGCCGTGAAACGCTGGGGAGGAAGAAAGAGCTGGCCGAGAGCGGGGAGAGATGATTAACCTCAGTAGTGCATGAAGAATTGACTAAGGCAGTGCAGTGATTGTTGTTCAATAGTCTAATGAGCAAATAAAGGAAGTGAGATATGACTACCGCGTTAGGCGTGTCTGCAATGCTGCATGTGTGAACCAAGTTCCCGTGATTTGATGGATGTGCAGGTGATGGAAGCGAAAGTGACACCAACCAGCATCTGTCACCTCACGGCTGACTACTACTACTACTACCACTACTAAATAATGCACACTTCTGGCGCGCGGTAAAACGTGGACATACAGATCACTTCCCCAAGTAGCAAGCAGTGAACCACCGCAGAACAGTCTCGACCCCAATTCTGTCTCTGACACCAAAAAGCGAACCACAAGGCGCAACAAACTCTCCATGCACTTGGCAATCATTCCAAAGGGCGTAGGGTACTGTATACTCAATAATAAGGCGTCATGCAGCTAGAACAGAGCCAGAAAGTCGCGCAAAACCAGCACTCACTACCTCATTCGCTCATCCACCTGCAGAGAAGAAAGAAGGCACCACACCCGCCCCAGCAGCGATCTTTCTTTGACGCCCACCTGCACCGCATCAGCCTTTGCCGCCTTTCACATCTGCAAATGGCCTAGATCGGTCGCCTTTTGGGGGTCCGAGGAAAGCGGGATCTTTCCTTTCTGCTTTCCCCGATTTAACATTTAACCTTCCCACTATTTGAGTGGGTTTGGGAACTGACTCGTGCAGGTGGTGGTGAATGTGAATGGTGATAAACTGCTATAACGCTCATCCATGCAACATAATCGAGCTTCTGTCGATGCCATCATGTGTTGCTGACTCTCGAACGTCTTGAAGATGTAGCCCAATATGTGGGGCGGACTACTATCATCATCGAACAAAGGAAGCTCCTTGCATCCTTTCCACGTACCACACGAGCGGTAATCGCGGGAAACAGAGGCAAAAGGCAATAGGCCAATGGTTTACATGTAGTCGTCAAGACCGCGTGGTAGACAGTATATGAGGTCTTCGGTGTAAGTCAGTGAAAATCGTATGAGAACTTCAGGCGTAGCAAAGTATTAGATCAAGTACTTCATCATCTCTACTATGTTACAGTATATACATCCTCTCCATCCCATGTACTCATACACAAATCCCTCATGTATGCATGCGTGTATGTGCCGTATATGCCATCATGTCCATGTATTCATTGCCAGTCCCAGAAAACACCATCGCTAAAGATCAGGAACCGGCAAACCCAACCTCAAACCGATCCCCTTCCCATGTCTCCTTGTATGCATATGCCTCCCATCACCGTACCCGATCAACCCCAACAAACTCCCTCCCATCCCGTCCAAAATGCCTTCCAAGCACATATCTCGGCACACCGCCCCCAGCACCCCCAGCACGACCACCATCTTGAACACCCGCCTGCTGCCTCGCCCTCCCAAACCCCCTAACACTATCCGCAACCGAAACTTTCGACGCCATCCCCTCCTGATGCTGCGAGATCCTCGCCGGGCCCGCCACGGTCCCAGGCGCCGCACTGAGCAACCTCGTCACCAAATCCGTCTTAGAACTCGCAGAATGAAAGGCCACATCATCCAGAATCCTACTCCCCCTCACCAGCGCCAAAACATCCCGAAAACTCATCGCCTTGATCCCCTCCCGCCCCAAAGTCGAACAAGCACGTCGTAAACTCCGACTAGGGAAAACGAGGAAGAACGCCAGAGCGTAGACCACGCAGAAGAAGGTCAGGGCGTAGAAACCCGGCATCTGCGCCGAGATCCGCGTGCGTTGCGCTGGGATGTAGAATTGAGCCCAGAAGACTCCTCCGGCGAGGATCGGCAGCGTAGCGGCGATGAGGCTGACGAATGAGATGATAGCGATACGCCAATGACCGTTCACGGCCGCTGTCGCTGTCACGATACCAGGGAGTTCGGAAGGATAAGCCAGGAGAAGGGATCTCTCCGCTACCTCCCCCTCATCCGTAGCCAAGACGGCGAAACTCTGAAGTCGACGGTAACTGTAATCGATATCGAGCCAGAACAGCAAGCAGAGCATTCCTAGCAAGGCGGGGAGGAAAGAGTAGAGGAAGTTTGTGGCGGAGAAACCCATCGTGTTGACTGGAGCGGGCACGTCGGGGGCGAAACCGGAGCCCACGCGCGTGGAGGGGAGGTAGCTGACGATGAGGAAGGCGAGGAGGAGGACGATAGCGATGATGATCCAAAGTGCTGCGAGCGAAGGGCGGAGGAACCAGGGGAGCGCGGTGCCGTTGCCATGATGAGAGGAGGCTTCGCCGTCTTCACTCCGTCGAGGTAGCATTTTCTCACGGCTATGGCGCTGGTCGTTGGCTCCGGCGCCGCTTTCGAGGTCCTGGGGTTCGGCTGACATGCGTGGGTTAGAGATATGTTGGGGTAAGGGGGATTTCTCAAGGATCCGGCCGTTGTCGATACTGTATCTCCTTGCGGCTTTGTCGGCGAAGCCATAGGTATGCATGACTTCGTTCGGCCTGGCGTTCGTGCGCCAGTAGCCCAATTGCGGCGGCTCGGCATCGTGATGTGCGTCGTTGTGGTGATCCAACGCATTACTCCTCTCAAGCAATACGATCATGTCACCCAAACTCTTCGGGTCCCACCGCAAGCCCGTCGTTCTTCGGCCGAGCTTCAACCATGCTAGCAGCGTCAATGCAGCGATGAAAAGGAGGAGGTAGATCGCGATAGCGACCCAGATCGCGCCTTGCGTAGCGATCCACCGCCACTGTCCCGCAGCCGGAGAGCCTTGGTAGTAGACGTTGAAGCTGCTAGCCAGGAGCGGAATACTCCAGATCTGGAGCCAGGCCACCACGACAAAGAAGCCCACGGCACCCAGTCCAGCACCAAAGTGGCCGAAATACGGTAGCATGAATCCCTTAGGCACAAGCGGCAATTTCGCGCCCGCGCGTCGAGAACGTGGTGATTGCGACGCCATGCCTATGAATGGCGCGATTCGGTAAACCGCCACCTCGACCTGCACAGTCCAGAAGAATAGCAAGATCCCGAGGAGGGTGGGGAGATACTCGAAAACGAAGTATCGCCCATCACCAAAAGATCCGTAATCCGCTAAGCCGGTGTGGATGAGACTGTAGATTGCGGAGAAGAGGAGGCAAATGAGGTAGGCGAGGATCGCGAGGAGGTAGAAGATCAGACGTAGGGGTCGCAGGATCCCGGGGAGGAAGTTCAGGCGTTGGTGCGTTCCTTGGTTGTGGTCGGAGGCGAGGGGGAGGAAGCGGTCGTCGCTTGGTTCGCGGCAGGGTTGGAGCGTGCCGTAGGGTTGGGCGGCGCCGATGGGGATATCGCTGATGCGCGCGGGGTTGCGTGGAGGTGGGTTTTGGGAGGGCTGCATGTCTTTTGCTGCTAGGCCGGCGACGAGTGGAAGTGCTGCTGCGCCGGCGTCGAGGCTGTGGGGTTCGTGGTTGCGGGTTTGGGTGAAAGGCGGTGTTCGTCTGCGCTCTTGCTCCATGAGTGGACCGCGAGGGTCTTTCCTGTCACTACTCGCTACAGCCATTGGCACAGCTGGTGTAGCTTGCGCTTCGGGAAGAAGGTAAGGATAGTTCCCATCCACACCGCTGCCGAGCCCCCTGTAGTTACGGCTGCCTCTCACCTCCTCATCCCGCGTAAGCTGATCAAGCGCAAAGCGAATAAACGGCGTATCATCCACCCCAGGCGTCGGCGGCGACCTTTCACGATCCAAGTCCCTCGCCACGGAACTCCTAGCATGCACCGGATCGATCTCCTCCTCCGACCTAGGCCAATCATCTTCTCGACCCGTCTGCTCCATGACCGTCGATGGTACAGGCTTCCGCCGAATCCCACCATCCCTCAGCACAGGTGCCGCGGCAACAGCAGTAGTCGCCAAACCCACCCCGGTCCCTCGACTCTCCTCCGAACTCTGTCTCCGTCGTCCCTGGCCCCTCATAGGCGTCTTCCTGAGCTCCGGCTCTTCCGCAGCATCACCCACCGCTCCAGCACCCTCTCCACTGGCAACAGGTAAATAATCCCGACTCTGCAACGGCGTCCTGTACCTGCTCGGCGGAGTCCGAAATCGATGGATCGTGTTCGCCGAGCCGCGGCTAGCAGCAACTTCCGCCGAGTACGTAGACTCCCCACTACCTCCGCTAAGCGAGTAGTAGTCCTCGCTAGCCGTTACAGATTGCAGCGAAGGTTTGTGTTCGATGAAAGAAGGGTTGGAGACGTTGGTATGTCTCAATGCCAGTCCGGGTGCAGCCGCTCCGGGTAGGGAAGGTCCAGCTTGTTGTGATTGGTGATACTGCGCAGGACTGAGGCCACCTGCCGAAGAGGACATTTGATCCTCTTTCCTCGTATTATTATCAGTCGCAGTCGCAAATGTACTCAAATCCGTAATCGCAGCTTCCAAGTCAACCCGCTTTCAAGCAACGGCGGAGCAACGTGGAGTATGTATTACTAGTAGCGAAACATGTACACACCACCAATAGTAAGTACAAGACAAGACGAGACAACTGTCAGCGAAAAGATAGGAAAGATGTATACACCAGGAAAAATATTGGAAGGCGTGTACTTATTCGTGGTAACACTCCATCCGCAGGGCTGGGAGCAAGAAGATGGCTGGCGAGGACACCAGCCATTGCTTCCGCGGCCATGATTCGTCGGAGTCATCGTAGAATCTTGATCTTCGTAGCTTGTGAACCCAGTAGCTTGGTGTAAGGTGCTACATATGCATGCATCTCCATTCGTTTCCGTGTGTGCGGGAGGAGCTGTGCCATGTGTTGTGATGGTGAGTTGGCAAGGAAGCTTGAAGCTTTCGGGCGCGAAAAGTGGAGGCGGGTGTGGTGGAGCGTGCGCACGAGCACCACACTATGGTTGTAACGAGTGTCTTGTTACTACTACCTAGTGGTTGCAGCAACAATGCTGACCCGTTGAACACATTGTAGAGCATTTCATCATAAAGCCATCCTCTTCTCTCAAAGCCTGGAGGCTCCTGCGCGACAAAGTCGTTGGCAGTTGGCCGCTCCATCGAAGAACATCAGAGGTAATCTCCTGCTCCAGGCCGTGAGCAAAGCATTCGCATCGCATATCGTGACATCCCTCGAAACACTGCACCCTCCTTCTCCTTCTCCCCTCTCGTAGTTCATATCGCTCCTTGGATTGACTTCAAGGTAGGATTTCTCGCATCGCTTACCAGCCAGCAGGTGCCTCAACACCACCATCGCCATCAGCAGTGAAGCCACCAGCATTATTCTCGCCTGCAGCAGCACCCCAAGCACCACCCGCAGTCACAGCAAAGCCTTCCTCACCATCACCACTCTCGTTGATAGCATCGCCAGTCTCACCAGCACCCTCGCCCTCCGCCTCATCGCCAGAATCATCGTCAAAATTGAGAACACCGTCCTCAGGGGCAAGGTGAGAGAGGAACTCCGGCACTTCTTGCTCACACTCAACCAAGACGTTGACAAGATCTTGGCCGAGCTCCTCGTTACGATCGTTGTAGAAGGACGTCGCAAGACCCTGATGGCCAATGCGGCCAGTGCGACCGATGCGGTGGATGTACTCCTGGATACCTCCATACTGGGCGCTAGGCAAGTCGTAGTTGATTACGTGCTTGATGTTCGCGATGTCGAGACCGCGGGAGGAGACGCCGGTCGCGATCATGATGGGACACAACCCAGTACGGAACGCGCGGCTAAGAGAAGTCAGTAGTGATACAAGCACAGAGGATTGGCATTTGACTCACATAGCATCCTCACGCTCCTTCTGGTGACGATCTCCATGGATCGATGTGACTGGGAGGCCACGGTTGAACAAAAAGTCGTCAATAATGTCGACGGTCGGCTTGGAGTTGCAGAAGATGAGCGTACGACCAGGCTCCATGGCGTAGAGCAAGTCGTAAACGGCTTGCTTCTTCATGTTCTGATCCGTGTAAACGACAATCTGCTTGATGTTCTTGTGGGCCGAACCAGCACGACCGACGCGAATACGGTAGTGATCAACGGCCATGTAGTTGCGGGCCAGATCGCGCGCGCGCTTAGGAAAGGTGGCAGAGAACATCATGTAGATGTGATCCGCATCCTCGTTGGAGTCTGGTAGAGCACTGGTCAGAGCTATATCGAAGGGTATGAGGCTAGATATACTTGCCACCGCCCGCCATGATCTTGCTCAACTCGGACTCCCAATCAGCGTCCAGCATCTCGTCGGCCTCGTCGATGATGGTATACCTGGTAGCAATACGTTAGCAAGGGCAGTCTTTGAGGCGATGGGGTACACTCACTTCACTCGACTCATGGTCAACACATGCGGCTTGTCCATCAAGTCGCACAGGCGGCCAGGGGAGGCGATAAGAATGTCGCAGCCCTTGCCCAACTCCTCAACGCAGATCTTCATAGGAAGACCGCCATAGGCGACACACGGACGGAGCATGGAACGATAGCAAAGACGACGAGCCTCATCGAAGATCTGAATGGCCAGCTCACGCGTAGGAACCACAACGACAACCAACGGCTCAGCCTTGACCTTGTGGAATTGGGGGTTGTAGGAAGGGTCGGCCGTGTTGGGCTTCGGAGCGGCGAGCTTCTTGGCCTTGCCCATGAGGCGTGAAAGGACAGGGATGAGGTAGGCAGCCGTCTTGCCGGAACCAGTCTGTGCGACGCCGACGACATCCATGGCCTGGAGTACTGCAGGGATTGCGTACGCCTGGATTGGGGTGGGCTTGTCGTAGCCACACTTCTCGACGTTGCTTTGGATGATTGGATGAAGACCTGCCTCGTCGAACTGGAAATAATAAGTCAGCGAAGAAGCCGATAAGTGTAAGGAGAAGAAAGCTTACGCTCTTGATGGGCTTGATGAGCACCGGACCCTCGATGTTGACCTTGAGCTCAAGAGGCTCCATGCGCTCACCCCTCTTCATTTGGAACTCGCCGCCGAAGAGGATCATCTCCAGCTGAAGCACCTCAGGGCCGACGTCACCGTACTCATCCTTCCACTCGTACGAAGCAGCAGCGCCATGCCAATCATTGTCCTCAGCACCGCCGTTCTGGTACTTGCTGAAGTCAATGGCAGTGGCCTCGTTCCAGCCAGCATCACGAGCCTTGCTGACATACTTCTCCTTGCTGAGTTCGCCCACGGCAGGGGCGGGAGTAGTGGGTGCCTCGCCTTCAGCAGTACCTTCAGCGTTGTCGGTGGGTGTGTCGTCAGCAACGGCGGCCGAACCCCAAGTGTCGGTGGCTGGCGCGGCGATTTCGTCAGTGCCCCAAGACATGTTTACGGGCGTGTGGAGATGCTTGACGTGGATGGTCGTAAGACTGTAGTGAGTGACAAGCTTCTCGATAGACGAGCGAGCGGATGAGTGGCTCAAGACTGTCAACGAACGCAGCCGGGTGTGGTGGAAGAGGACAGTCGGACGCGAAAAGATGTTGTTGTTTGTTGTTGGAAGCTCAACGGAATAAGGGGCGAATTTTGTTGTCGCCTGGTGGGCCAAGCCGGATGACTCCCGCTATTGACTGTTCTGAAGAAGGCAGGAACGATAGAGTGAAGTTTCAGGGGTCGCTGGATAACGAGATTGAGAATGAACGGACCCAAGTGATGATTCGTGTTCGGTGTGAGAATGATGAGCAAGGACAAGAGGTGAAGATCAGCGACAGGAGAGGAGTTTGTCGATCAACCTGGGGATGAGAAGGAGCAGACGAGCAGAGAGCAGACGAGGAAGGAGCGACCGCAATGGGGCTGGCAAGAGCTCGAGACGACTGGAGGCGACAGTGTAGTTCACAAGAGGATCGCTTCAGGTGAGCGAGCAAAGAGCAACATCAACGACAATGCCGATCACGCTTGAGGAGCAGCGAAGCAGCAACTTATTGTATCCTCAACCTCTAGATGCCCCTAAGGATACGCTAACTTAATGCTACCGCGCTGATGAGTGTCTGAGGTTGGTGAGCTGTACATATATAAGTCAGAAATGCCAGACAAACAGTCGAAATGTCCACATCTCCTGATTCTCAATGTGGTCCACTCGTAGCTCGAAGATGAGATATCGATTGTGCTGCACGTATAGTACGAGATGACTCGCAGCGAAAAGCTTGACAGCATTGTACTACTTGGAGAACCAGAAGCCGTTGCCATCACAATTCCTGCCAAAGCATGTCTGTACATGTCAAGCCCTGTGAGATAACTCCATTGCTAGCAATTGAGGAAAGTCAGGAGCAAGGGCTCCTTAGGATTTGCGAAAAAACCAGCGATAGCAATTTCAAGGCACGCAGAGAAAAGCTGTGGTTTGCGTCGCTCCAAATAAATGTGGCCTACATTAGCACCAGCTGTTGACCGTGGAAGGATTGTGATGCTATCTAAATATCAGGATATTCCTGCTACGATCATGGTTGAGATGGGAAGCAGACGATCAACGTTTGTCTTGAGATGGGAAGCAGACGATCAGCGTTTGTCTCGAGCACGTGTATCATGAACTTGTCTATGCTATCATAGAGACACTGTAGGGAATCCCAATGACATGAGTTAGGACTGAGATGCTATACTCATAAGTCATGATATTCGTTCTACATGGTCTACACATTGCGCACATACTCTCCGCATGGTGTGGAATCCTAATGCCACTCCAGCCCATCCATCAAGCAAGGGGTGCCGTACAACTCTGGAGAGCATGTCTACAGGAGCAGCATCATGTCGAGATCGCCTGGGGCACTGGTCATGAGCTGGACAGCGTCCATGTTTATACCGGAACGGTAGCGACGTGCAGAGGTAGCATACTGTCCTTGCAGCCCTGCAAGTGGGCCACTCTTCTCGAAGGACTAGGGATGATGGTGTGCTCGTTGGAAAGGTCTTCGGAGAGGCATCGTGGTACCTTGGCTGGATAATGTAGCCGAGAGGTGGCAATGAGTCGAGCTGGCCCAAACTTTGCTGACCAGGATATGCCCTCACGCGAAGTGCTCAGCCATCAAACATCCAAACCCCAGCACTCCTCTCCCAAGGCCTCTCCTCCCCCTCCATAATTGCCCTCACACCACTACCATCCTCGCTCTCTCCCTCAGGAATCGTCAAACCTCGCACCTCAAACCATTCCCTCTTATTCCTTTCCTGCAGCACATCTGCCAAAGCCTCCGCATCCTGCGCAGTTGCGCTATTATGCCAGTGGAGCGACTTCGTTACCCTGACTTGTCGTAAGTTTGGTAAGGTGCCTTCTTCGATGGCGATCATGACATCTATGGGTGTGATTTTGTCTTCAACGCCGGGGTTGCCGGAGGATGTTAGTTCGAGGGTACGGAGGCTGTGCTGTTGTTGTGGTGGTAGTGATGTTTGTTCGTGGTCATGGTCGTCCGTGGCGAGGTCGAGAGGGAAAGATTGGTGAGCTTCCGACCAGTGCGCAGTCTGGGACGGGACGATGTAAGGCTCTTTCGCGAGCATACTGAAATGGTCTTCGTCGAAGACAGCGGGCGTGATGTAGTCGACACTGACACTCAGCTTCTTCAGTTGTGGTAGCAGGAATAGAACGTTGTCAAGAGCTCGAGTACTGAGACGTGGCATATGTCGTATCTTGAGGCTCTCAAGCCTTCTCAATGGGCGTATAGCTGTTCTGAGCAAATGCACCAGAGCAAAGCCTTTGACCTGTGGGCAATGCTCGATGGTGATACTTCGTAGCGTCTGTGGAAATGCCACCACCCCGACCAAGAAGTGCCCATCAATCCCTCCGCTCAGCGTCAAGTCCTCCAGGTTCGGTGGCCAAGGAAGATCAGTAGTTGCATGATGGGCTCCGAAGCCAGCAGACCGCGGCAGCCGAAATGACCGCAGCTCGTTCAGATGTGACACCGTCTTGAAAAGCTCGGGCAAAGGCGGACTCTCGCTGACAAGACTTAGATCCAGCACTCGCAGCCGTACACATTTGCTCAAAGCAGGCAAGCAGTTGATCGCAAAGCTTGCCTGCGGGGCCACAAATTCCTCCAACCCGCCTTTCGTCCTACCCAACAACCTGGCCGTTAGACTCCTACTTCCTTGGTGCACCAAATTCGCCATGTTCAGACTCTTGACCAGTTCTGCTCGAACACTTTTCCGAATATGTAGGTTTATGCTAGGGCACATCGCTCGAAGGAATGGCTCGAAGTTGTTGCCGTAGAGTACTGGTCGCTCATATAGAAGTGGTACGGCAGCAGAGTACCACTGGTGAGAGAGGAGACAGCATGATGCCAGAGTGCGCTGAGAGTATGGTCGGAAGTTGGCGATGTATTCCACGATCTGAAGGATGATTTCATCCGGTAGGTAGATAGGCTCGGTGTTCCATGTTCGTGATCCAGCCTCCGCATTTCTCTTCTCACTATTCAAAATGCCATCTTTTTGCTGCGTAGTTGCTGCTGTATCATCTAATCGCATGATCTTGTGTAGATTCTGCGCCATCGATATGTCCCAGTTTCGTTGCTGATCCAAGGCCATGATTGCTGCTTTGCCACTATTGTGGGCTACGGAACCTAGTTATCATATGGGCGATCTTCATACTCTTGCGCAGTATCCCATAGCTCCAGTGCCGAAGATAGTATCAAATTACTCAGTTAATATAAATGACTCCCACATGCAAGCCGCCACAGAAGTGATTTAGAGTGATGCAGATATCTCGGCTTCATTGCCGAGCCCTAAGCTGTAAGCGGCATGTCCCGCCCAAGCTCCGAGCAACATCGACGAGCCATTGCTCTCGATTGTATAGGAGAACTACGATAAGATCCCCCTTTTCGCCAACAGAACAACACATCATGATCGGTCTACGAGCATTCCAGCGTACGGCTGCTTCGCCAGCTATCCGACAGCACGTTCGCGTCCAGCGGAGGTTCGCTTCGGCCCAAGCGGCAGAGGACAACGCCTTCAACCGCGAGCGAGCAGCAGTGAAGCAGCACGCTGCTGAGTCTTCTGGTGAGCACAGAGCCTCCAATTAACGCGCTTTACACTGGAGGGAGACTGACAGTTACATTGTAGACCTCTGGCGCAAACTCTCCATCTAGTCAGTCCAGCTCCTACAACCTCGTCCAATCCCCTCCAATCCCCTCCACGCCAGCGATTCTAACACAGCTATACAGCGTCGTCATTCCCTGCCTCTGTATCGCCGGTGTCAACGCGTGGCGCCTATGGAACGAGCATTGGGAGCACAAGTCGCACGAGCCACCGATGGAGGAGAAGCCAGAGTATGCTTACCAGAACATCCGGACGAAGAACTACTTTTGGGGTGACGGGGACAAGGTATGCATATAATCAATGTTGGTCGAGCTTAGATGTAGGAACCAGCTAACGTGGCGCTACAGACTCTTTTCTGGAATCCCAAGGTCAACTACCACAAGAAGGACGAGTAAAGAATGCTCCGAGATGGTAGACTGGTGCTGCATTAAGCCATACATTTTCACGTATCATTGTAGCAAGACAAACCAATTATGTACAGTAAATGTCAAGGTAACCCACTGACCGCTTTACTCCAATATGCAACACAGATCAAGTTGTTGCATTTGAAGGTAGTTGGCATTCTGGAACGGACGTCAGTGATGTGCTCAATCAGCTCCTTTCGGGCTTCAGACGTTCGAGAGCGAAGGGACAAACACTGGTCCCGGCTGACTGCAGCTTCTACTGCAAACCACAAATATGAGCCCGAAGCATGGCCTCAATTGAACGGCAGTTCCGTCACATCCTTCAGATCATGAGATACGGTGAGTTCATGATGCGCGTACTGACTTCACGCGTGCCTTCCTCTGACCACGTGACTGACGCGATTGCCTATATCGTGCGGTCGAGGCTACTCCACTGATGGTCCAGCGTTTGCACCTACATCTGCTCATCACTCACTCTACTAACTCCGCAGCACAATCACCTCGGCGATCACGAATGCAACGTAATTTGCACCTTCTGATAACAAGCTCACTCCACGCCATACCTGGAACGACGCACCGACAATCAACAGTAACATGTCGCTCGGCAGGAGGTTTCAAGATGTCCTCACACAAACACCACATCCACTACAACACAATCGCAGCCTCGCACGGACGGACAGTCCAATGCACCAATTTCAAACCGAGACCGCTGCGGCTCAGCCATCACCACCAAGACGTACGGCCACGCAAAATGCAGCCCGCCCACCACGACCACCAGCACGTTTACGATCTCCACCCCTTGACTTCTCCCAGCGAAGCTCCGTCAAGGTTTCGATCATCAAGCTGCCCGAGGGCTCGACCACATGGGATTTGTATAATCTGCTCAGCTCGTATGGCAATATCTGCCTGATCGAGCTATTCACCAGATCATCAGGACTAAATGGCTATGTCGTCTTCCGCCCTCCTCCACATCCCACAGACTGGATCACGAAGGGTATCAACGTCAAGCAGGGTCGCAACGGCGAATTCATCAGACTGGACTTTCGGGTAGATTCTAACGGCAGTGGTCCACGATCCGGAATTCAGACCACAGGGCCACAGCCACCCGTGGAGCAGCTTACGCTGCAGTGTCAAGGATTCGACGCTGGTATCATGCAGTCTGAGAGATGTCTCGCAATGCTCTTCTCGTCAGCTTCACCAGCGAGCTCACCAATTCAGCTCATTACAAATGCCGAGCGCAAGAAGCTAGAACTTCACTTCTCCATCGGATCCAGTGTGAGCAATGGGCTCGGTGCTGGTACTTCAGTTGCATCAAAGTATAAGATCGAGATGGAACTATCACAGATCAAGGATATCAGTGTCTTCACCGATCCAGGCAAAGGAGCTACGTTGCTCATTGATCTGGCTATGCCGCCGCTACTTCATCGTCAGACATCGGATATCAGGGCCACTCATGATCCGACAGTCACTCGATGGAACGAGTTCCAGGCCTGGTTTCGACAATGCGGGATCGATCGACATGCACAATCGAGCCAAGCTACGACACAACTGCGTTCCAAGGACCCTTTATTAGACGTCGGCAGATGGCTGACTTACTCCATATCGCTGGCTACGTCAGTCACAGCAACTCAGGCATTTTCTGGTTTCGGAAAGATCGTGCACGACAACAATGTGAAGGTGATCAAGGATTCAAGCGGAGACACTTTCACCACTGTTGCGACACGGGCGAAAGATATGTGGTCGTGGGTGCAAAGCACAAATAGCTCGCTGTCAGCCCTTCATGCCATGCTGCAGCCAACGAACGAGCTCGAGTTCGCCGTACGATATCAGCTTGAAGTGTGCTTGAGCCAAGGCGTGATCAAGGAATGCAATATCACAGAGCAGTTCGTGGCACAGCTCTCGGCAGTCAATCCCATCAAGGCAGAGAAGCTACTTCAGAAGGTAGCCGACAAGGACGTTCGCATCTTCGAGCCTATGCACATATTCCGCATGTTGGGTGAGGTCAGCATGGAGAAGAAGAAGATACCAAGCTACTGTGCCATGATACCTTCGGCAGTGATAACGCCTACGACGATCTACTTCGCCACGCCTGTCATGGAGACATCGAACAGAGTCATTCGGGACAATCGTGAGATTCAGGATCACTTCCTCCGTGTCAAGTTCACAAATGAGCGCTACAGGGGTAAGATCATGAACGCCGATGATCCGACCGAGAACGAAGTCTTTCATCGCATCCAGCGAACTATGACCAACGGCATCAAACTTGGTGATAGGCATTACGAGTTCCTTGCCTTCGGCAATTCTCAGTTTCGCGAGAATGGTGCGTATTTCTTTGCTGCCAGCGGCGATATCACAGCAGACAGCATCCGCGCAAAGATGGGCAACTTCGAGAAGCTGCGGGATAGAGACAGAAACGTGGCCAAATATGCTTCTCGCCTTGGGCAGTGCTTCTCAACGACAAGAGGCATGTCTGTTGGCGTTGCGATTCAGAAGATCGAAGATGTGTACGGCAGAGATGGCACTTGCTTTACAGATGGTGTGGGCAAGCTCTCGGTATTCCTCGCACAGATGATGGCGCAGGAGCTGGGCTTGCCGAACTCTAATACACACCATCCTTCTGTGTTTCAATTTCGCATCGGTGGCTGTAAGGGTGTTCTGGCTGTCGATCCAAGCGTCAAGGGCCGTGACATCGTGATTCGGCCAAGTCAGGAAAAGTTCCCAGCGAAATACTTCGGTCTGGAGATCTGTCGCTGGTCGCAGTTCACGGCTGCGTATCTCAATGTCCAGATCATCCTGGTACTCAACGCTTTGGGTGTTGAGCCTGACATCTTCATTCGCAAGATGCGGGTTGCCATCTCTGACATTGCAGAAGTCCAGAAAAGCGAGACTAAAGCAGTCGAGCAGCTTTGCAGGAATGTCGACTTCAATCGCACGACTCTTATTCTTGCTGAGATGATTTACGATGGGTTCATGGGCACTCAAGAGCCTTTCATGGTGTCCTGCCTCAAGCTGTGGCGATCGTGGATGATCAAGTTCTTGAAGGAGAAGGCCAGAATCTTCGTAGATCAGGGCGCTTTTGTCTTTGGCTGCACCGATGAGACGCGGACACTGAAGGGGCACTTCGATGCCGAGCTGGAGAAGAATGGTCCTGGCAAGCCGATCGATATCGAATCGTTGCCGGATATATTCTTGCAGATCCCAGATCCCGACAAGAGAGGTAGCTACAAGGTCATCGAGGGAGTCTGCTCGTTGGCTCGTAACCCATCGCTGCACCCAGGGGACGTGCGAGTCGTCCGAGCCGTCGACGTTCCAGCTCTCAATCATCTGAAAGACTGTGTCGTCTTGCCGCAAACGGGAGATCGTGGGCTGGCCAACATGTGCTCGGGTGGAGATCTCGACGGCGATGATTACCTAGTAATGTGGGATCCAGATCTCTTGCCACGCGAGTGGAACCACCCAGCGATGGACTATCAGGCTCCCGCGCCTATCGTCTGCGACAAAGCAGTCACTGTAGAGCACATCACATCTTTCTTCGTCACTCACATGCGCCATCACAACCTCGGCCGGATTGCTACAGCACACAAGTACTGGGCTGACAGTCAAGACTGTCCAGAAGGCGTCAAGGATGAGAAGTGCTTGGAGCTTGCACAGCTGCATTCCAAAGCCGTGGACTATGCAAAGACTGGCGTGGCGGCTGAGTTCCCAAAGCGCTTAATGGTGAAGCGATGGCCTCACTGGGCAGAGAAGGTCGGCAAGCCGTCGTATCATTCCAGTAAAGTGCTTGGGCGTCTGTTCGATGAGGTGCAACGTGTACCCTTTGTGCCAGACTGGACTGCGCCTTTCGACTCCCGGGTCCTCAACGCTTATCAGCTAGAGGAGTGCATGCTCGAGGAGGCCCGGGATGCAAAGGCACAGTACGATGAAGCTGTTCGTCGCATCATGACTCAGTATACCATAACGAGTGAGTTTGAGGTCTGGACAACGTTTGTGCTCAATCACACCAATGAAGAGAACGACTACAAGTTCGCCGAGAAGCTTGGCGAGACGGTGACAACACTGAAGCAAGTCCATCAGGAAGTTTGCTACGAGAAAGCAGGCACGACGAAGACAGACCGCGAATGGACGAAACTGGCGCCCTTCATCGCTGCCATGTACACCGTCACAGCTGAGCAGACAGCCACAGCCATTGCCAATGCGACAAAGTCACAGATGCGCGATGGGCAACAAGTGCATACCGTGCAAGCTACCTTCGCCAACATGCCTTTCATGTCCTTCCCATGGATCTTTGCAAAAGAGCTGGGCTACATCGCACAGGGTAAAGCACCGGGCTCTGGCTCTATCGCGCACCCTCTCGTCAGTCTGCCGCCGAGAGCAGCGCAAAAGAAGACTGTGGCGAATGATCCAGCCATCGAAGCAATGCTTGAACCACTGCCGGAAGTCAGGCTCGGAGATAGTGTGGTCCATGAAGGTGACATGCTTGAAGTCCATCAGGGCCGCCAGAACTCTGGCACCGATGTCCCGATTGTGTCGAGAACGGCTGCGGCCACCGTGCCCGACAGCCTGAATCTTGATACCGCAGGAACGATAGATCCTCTGACGTCGACAGCGATTGTACAAGGAGAGGCAGTGCACGTGAATCCGACCAATGATCATGCAGGGACATCTGAGTCAAGAGTCCGAGACTTAAGGCTTCTCGAAGAAAATGTACCTCCGTTAGCAGCTACGGTGGCATCTCAGCGCGTTGGTGAGCAGACGAGTATGGAAGAAGCGCCTGTCTCACACAGTACAAGCGAGAGCAAGGACGGAGAAGACGAAGATGAGTGGGAGAATGGTGAAGTGGTCACCTTGGGCGATGAACAGAGGATATCTGACCTCGATGCCTTGAGCAAGCTTATCGGGATGTAATTTCTGGCAGAGCTGTAGATCGGCATATCCCATGAGGCGCGATCTGACAGCGGCAGTATCTCAACGGCAGCACGGCTATCATACTGACTGCCGCGTAGGCTGCCGAGCTGCTGCGTTTATGTTGGACGCAAAATAGTCCAGTGCTCTGTCGATCCAGACTCCCAACATCATTGATCTACACATGCTCATGTTTCTGCTTGATAGACAATCGGCGGTATGCCGTGCATGGTTATTTATCCCTCGAATACCTTCAGAAACCGTGGCTGTTTCCATGCTATACCAGATCTTGCTGTGATCGTCCTGCTCCTTGAAAATAGATGCTCGTTTGTCGATCGGATCAAGCTTTCCAGATCGCCAAGGTGTAGGAATACGATGTGACATATAGAAGACAGGACACTGCCAACCACTAATCCAGCAGAACCGTAATGGCTTCATTCGGCTGCCACAGAAACGTCGGATAAACCACATTTGCCGTTCGGACGCCCTGTCGAGCTACTCCAGGTTGTCTCCTGCAACCCTGAGGAAGCCGTAGACCTGGCGAGCTTCGGACCAGGGGCACCGCTCGCTTAGGCTGAGCTCGGGAATTTTCTGAAGAGTTAGAATCTGGAAACCCTGGCACTTTAACAAGATCCTGGTTGCCTCGTTTTTCAGCTCGCGCGCTCGATCTGACGTCTTTTGAGTTGCGCTCGCTCCCGCCGCGTAAAGTACGGCTTGGCTTTTGTGCTTTGCAGAAGCGGGCTTGTTAAGATTTCGGTGGCTGTGGCACGACCAACACCAGTAGTTGATGTGAAGCGAGGGGATACCTCCTGTCGTGGGCCTTGTCCTACAGAGTCGAATGGTCGAGGACATTTCGTGCCTCTGAGTCGCATTTTGTGCCAACCACGATTTGGTATTTTTCTGGGAGGATAAAACCAGAATGGTCTGCTATTAGCGTCTACGGAGAAATTGTCTCAGAGTCGATCGTCTGGTCAGGCTGCATGCCCTTTTGTAGATCGTTCCTTGACCAGTACTGGCGTCGCAGCTATTCTGGCGTTTCATGACCCTCGCAGGGGCATGTCAAACGCGAATCCCGATCATCAGAGCAATGTGTGGTTGTCCGGCACACGGCCTACTCGGACCGATCATGGTGGTGATATTAGTGAAGTTTGACCCTCTTTTCACCGACTTTAGCGACACCAGGCCATCGCGAAATAGTTGGATTCGGCGGTCATGCTTTACCGGCTTGTGAGCCGTGCGTCCCGGCAATGAATGGTCACACTATGGGGTGCATGGCTAGGTCTTACTTCCCAGTCAAGGCTTTCATTGCACTCCTCGCCAAGCTGAGCAATCAGGTACGAAATGAAGGCAGGCATACGCTCTTTGGGCGTGTGAAGAACAGGATGGCGGAGAGAATGGTGCATCAAATTTGCCGCTCTCGGCCAAGGCACCCCATCTGGTATACCAGCCAGACGTGCAGCAAGGAAGCCACGACTCGCAGAACCCTTGATACTTCTTGCCTTACGCGTATGATTATAGAGTAGGACGGGCTACGCCGGCATCTTGCTAGGCAAAATAGAGTGCACGCCGGCCAATGGGGGAAGTGCTTGAACCGATGTCAATAATCCAAGTAGCCTCCACCAACCTGCGCATTCTCGGTACGGAGCCGTACGATAAATGGACAGCATGATGGTCGCCGGAGTGGGCTGGCTCTCCGTAGGCACTTTCGGCTACGGAGATACTGTAACTATTCTCCTCGGTGTCTGTCGCGCCTGCTTCTTCGACACATCGCTCGCGTGGCAAAGGTTCCAATGTGATCGCGCCTGCATTCTACCCCGTCAGAGTCGACCAACCAGCCCCTCCACTACATCCGTCCTTCGACCTCACTTCACGCCGGATCCTTGGCTCTTCCTGAGATCTTGACACTTCTCACGACCTCCACGTTCATTCATGACACATCACTCGACTGGACCATTAATCTGGCCATTGGCTCCAACGACCTGACAACGGACTCTAATTCGACTGTAGCTTTCCACCGCGGGTGATGGTGTCAGGTCAACTCACCGTCTAAGGTACTACCACACCTTCACGAGCCTCCGGGCGCAAAGACCGCCTCCACGATGATTGAACCATATACGCCAGAAATCGAGATAGACGGCAGGAAATACTTCCCGGCACCTTACAGCCTACATCCTCTTCCTAATGATCTACGGAACGGTCTCATACCAGTCGGTCTGTTCGCTCTGCTGTCTGTCGTCTCCACTCTGACTCTGATCTGCTTCATTGCCTGGCGGTTTGCAACATGGAGACTGCACTACCGCACCTTCCTCGGCTACAACCAATATGTCGTTCTGGTGCTCAACCTGCTCCTGGCCGACCTACAACAAAGCTCTGGCTTTCTCATAAGTTTCCACTGGTATCGGGTCGATGAGATCATGGCACCATCCTCCGCTTGCTTCGCACAAGGCTGGCTCATTCATTCCGGCGATGTGGGTAGTGGACTTTTTGTGCTGGCAGTTGCAGTCCATACATTCTATACTGCTGTTTATGGCAGGCGTATAAGCAACAAAATGTTTGCTAGCGGCATCGTTGGTTTGTGGACTTTTGCGTACTTCCTCACTGCCGTAGGTGTGGGCATGCACGGAGACAAGTACTTTGTCAAGGCAGGAGCCTGGTGCTGGGTATCATCAGCGTATGAGGCCGACCGCCTGGCTTTTCACTACATCTGGATCTTCGTGAGTTGTAACGGCACAATGCCCGGGCTGTGACAGACCACTGACTTGTGTGCGTAGGTCATTGAGTTCGGAACGATCCTGATATATCTGGTCACGTTTTACCAGCTACGTCGCAAAACTCGTCAACTGTTTGCTGGCCCCCTCGGCGATAACACTACTAGGAATACTGCTACCATCGAAGCCGTGAACAGGATAACGAAGCTCATGACACTATACCCATGCGTGTACGTCTTGCTGACACTACCATTGTCGGCTGGTCGTATGTGGAGCATGGCTCATCACGGTCAAGCATACAGCAATGTATTTGCATGTCTGGCTGGCTCTCTCATCACCAGCTGCGGCTGGGTGGACAGCTTGCTGTACACGCTGACGAGAAAACGATTGTTGAAGGATACTATGCCGGGCCACTCATCGTCAGGTCGAAGGACAGGACCGAGTGGTAGTGACAACTGGGAAGCCACGGAGCTGGGCAGCAAAGGGATCACGCACACGAGGACCGTCACTGTCGAAGGTGGACAGATGATGGACACATACCAACATGCGCACCAAGGCAGCATAAGCATGCCAGGCGCAAGGACCCAGAACTCAAGTTGGGAGGCTCGTCCACCGAGTCCTAACGGGAGTATCGATCCCATCCTGAGTGGAAAAGGATCCGCCGGCCGAACCAAGACAGAAGTCACGGTCGGTCTCGAACAGATCATGGCTGAAGACAGCGAGGAAGACGACATCTCGGCGCTGCCGCCGTACGTTGCCAGAACACCGAGGAAACACCAAGACGGGAAGATGTAAGATATAGATACCCGGATGGAAGTACACAGGGATGGCAAGATAGAAGGCAAGGGGCACACCATCAGCGGTGGTGAGGGCATGGTCACGGAAAGGACCATGGGTGGGCATGGACACAACGGTGCACTGGCGTCTAATGGAACGGAAAATGCATCTTCTGGTGGTGGCGGTGTGCTCCTGCCCAATCTTTCTGCATCATCTTCACGACATGAGGTTCACTGGCTATGGTTCGCGCATACCCATTTCAGTCATGGGTTCACTGAAGGCGGGAGGACATTTGTACATAACGTGCACTTGTACTCGTAGAGCTTGTCTTGCTGCTGAATGCACATGCTTGCAACAGTATGTCAAAGCATCTGTAATCAAATGATCACCTCACTGCAGAATCTAGATCATGCTCGTCCCGCGCTCGAACACCTTGGCGTTGCCATCTCGTTGAATGAGATATAAGGCTTCCAGCTCCTTCACCTCCTCCACGTCATCTTCTTCATCATCCCATGAGTACGCCGCACCACCTCTCGTCACCCTCAACACACCACTCACGTCCTTGGCCGCGCCCGTCTCTAGTTCTCGAACGCCTAGCACATATTGCGCCGCATGCGCCTGTTGGACCAGAAACGCCGCGGTCTCTGCTTCGATGGGTGTGTTCTGCATGCCTTCTTGGCTCGTTGTCGCTGCTGCTACGAGCGGGAGGTCTGCGTTACAGACTAGGACCGTCGAGTGCACTTGATTCCGCAGTCTGAGGAGGAAGTCACTCAGGTCGTAGGTTGTGGTGAGGGCTAAGGCGATGAGGATATCTGGATTTTCTAGGACTAGGACTATTCTTCTGCCAGCTCCGTTGGCTTTGGCGATGGCTTGTGTGATTCGTGACTCCTGCTCACTAAGGGCTTTTTCTGGTGCTAGTTGTGTGAGGTTTGTGAAGCAATCTACGAATGCTAGCTTCCCAGTTGCTATCACTTTGTCCATATCCATGCCGGCCGTTATTCGTCTCAGCTCAGTCTTCCAGTACGCTTGATTGCGCATCCAACTTGTGAGTATCACGGTACTGCCTTCTTCTCTTGCTCCCGGCACGCTTTGTGTGTCTGTGTGGTCGCCATGGCCGCTGCCATTGATCGCGGCGATGATGAATCGTGGTGTGAGCCAATTCACTGTACAGCTTAGTGTGCTGGTCAGGAGTATGAGAGAGGTTTCGGAGGGTAGGCGGAGGTAAGGCTTGAGTGCTGCTGGTGTTCGGTTGCGGGTAGACATCGTTGGGTTCGTGAGCTGCACAAATAATTGTACGTAGGTGGACTTTGCGGGGCTCGATTGGGCAGGAACGTGGGTCCCTGCCACTTTGGCGAACGAATTTGGGTACGACTTACAGGCGCTCGGATTCTGTTACACGACTACAAGCAGAGTGAGATATGTATATCTCGGCTGACGAGAATCAGGACAACCTATACCACTCTACGCTATGCTGTCGTGTACTGATGGAACATATCTCTCGCCATAATTTCGTCACAGTCCTTTGCCATCACTCAACCTTGCGTTTCGATACCGCCATTGATGTGAATGCACTCGCCTGTGGCGAAGGAAGCCAGCGGGGATGCGAGGTACACGTATGCTGTGGCAACCTCCACAGGTTGGCCAGGTCGAGGAAGAGGCTGCATATTGACCCCTAAGCCCTTCATGGCTTCCGGAGGATTGCCTTTCGTAGCTGGCTGAAGCGGCGTCCAGATGATACCAGGAGCGACGGCGTTGACACGGATGCCTTTCGGTCCTTGCTGCTGAGCTAGAGCACGGGTGAACGTCACGATGGCGCCTTTTGTCGAGCTGTAATCCAGTAGGATTGGGTTGCCCATGTATCCCGCTACGGAAGCAGAGTTGACGATGCAGTCACCGCGCTTCATGTGCTTGATTGCGTACTTCGTCACTGCGAACATGGAGATGATGTTGAGCTGGAAGGTCTTCTGCGTGACCTCAAGGTCCGAATCTGCAATATCCTCGCAAGACTCTTGTCTTGCAGCGTTGTTAACCAGCACATTGATCTGCCCAAACTCCTTTACAAACTCGTCGACAGCAGACTTGGCGGCGTTGGCCTCGAGAAGATTGCATGTCATGGCGTGGGCTTCCCGGCCAGCATCCTCGATCATCTTCACGGTCTTCTTGGCATCCTCCTCTTCTTCAGGTAGATATGTGAAGCCGATGTCTGCACCCTCCCGCGCCATAAGAACACCTACGGCACGGCCGATACCAGAGTCGCCGCCCGTGATGAGCACTTTCTTGTCCTTCAATAAGCCGCGACCTTCGTACTCCTTGAGGAAAGGCTTGCCATCCTCCCAGAACTCAAGCTGTGTCCAGTTGGCGATTGGGTCCAGCTTCGCATCGAGACCTGGACCTCCACTCTGATCTTGAGGTTGCTCGACCTTCCACTTGTAGGCAGAAACGGGTTCGTCGGGCATGATTGCTTGTCGTGTGTGGTTTTGGGTTTAGGGTGAGAGAGATGAATTGTGACAGGGTTTGAGGAGGAGGAGATTGCTACACCTTATACTACCTATAAGTGGCCCTTCATGACGATGTTTGGCATATGTCATCGTGTGCAGTGCATCTTGCGATAACATTTTTGGTGGATGAATGAGCTCACATTGCCGTCATTTGCGAAGGATTGTGTTGCCGACTTTGAGCTTTCAAGGGTCCAGTCTGCATGTCGCACCTTCCTCCAAGGTCAAGACCATTCACTTACATACCAAACACACTGACCAATAACAATCGGATCAAATATACTGTCAGTGCGGCAAGCTCGGGTTCTGTGACATTTGTGCGGCGAGTGTGAGCGTACAGTATCCAGATCACTTTCATCAGTATAACAAAGAGTCCTTCGCAATACTGCTCAAACTTTTGGATCGAAGCATCGTAAACATTTTCTGCAGGACATCTCGTTCCTTACTCACAACGTCTGCATAGTCTAGCGACCGTCACAAATCGTTTGGGAAAGATCCGTAAGCTCGGCGGCCATGTCTTCTGAGGCTATCACCACTCTCGACCTCTCGACTTCTGGCATGAAGCATATCGCTTCCGGCAAAGTTCGCGAGATTTATGAGGTCGACCAAAGCACGCTCCTCTTCGTCGCCACCGACCGCATCTCCGCCTACGATGTCATTCTCAACAATGGTATTCCAGGCAAAGGTGCTCTCCTCACACAGCTTTCTGCCCACTGGTTCGACCTCATCCGATCGCGAATACCGAATCTCAAGATCCACCTCATCTCAACCTCCCTCCCGAGTACAGTGCCGGACGATCTGAAGGACAAACTGGCAGACCAGACCATGCAGGTTCGACGCTATCCTATCCTGCCCATCGAGTCTATCGTCCGCGGCTACATCACCGGCTCCGCGTGGTCAGAGTACAAGAAGTCTGGTACAGTCAACGGCATGACCATGCCCAGTGGCCTAAAAGAGAGTCAGAAGCTGGAGACTGCGATCTGGACTCCGTCGACTAAGGCCGAAGCTGGGCAGCACGATGAGAATATCAGCAAGGAGAGGGCTGGTGAGATCATTGGTGCAGACGTGGCGAGGAAGGTCGAGGAGGTGTCACTTCAGCTATACGAGATGGTATGTAGAGTATTAACTGGTGCGGGATCGTCTGTACTGACTTTTTTGACAGGCACGAGACTACGCTGCTGAACGCGGCATCCTTATTGCTGACACAAAGTTCGAGTTCGGCTTCGATCCAGACACAAAGGGACTGGTGCTCGTGGATGAGGTTCTGACCCCTGATAGCTCCCGCTTCTGGCCAGCGGATCAGTACCAGGTCGGCAAGTCACAGTCAAGTTATGACAAGGCAAGTCCGCGATCGTGTGGTAGCGATAGATTCTCGACTGACATAGCGTAGCAATTCTTACGTGACTGGCTCACCTCTACTGGCAACAAGGGGAAGGAAGGTGTATCAATGCCGGAGAACATCGTCCAGGCGACATCGAGCAAATATGCGGAGGCTTACGAGAAGCTCACTGGGAAGAAATGGACTTGAGCTGCGCTTAGCATGAGGAAAGAGTCCTTCTGGAACGTCGAGGTAGCTCAGACCTGATCAGCTATCTGAAAGATCAAATATCTTTCCTGGATTCATAATCCACAGAGGATCAAGGCTGCGTTTCAGCTTCCTCATAACATCAATAGTGTCTTCGCCCAATTCCTTCACGAGCGACTTCTTCTTGCCGAGCCCAACGCCATGCTCACCCGTACACGTGCCTTCCATCTCCAGCGCCCTATCGACCATTCGCTTCACGCATCCTTCGACCTTCGCTCTCTCTTCAGGGTCGGCAGACTTGTACATGATGGAAGCATGAAAGTTGCCGTCACCAACGTGTCCAAGCGCGCTGGCAAACATACCGAGCTCATCTAGTTCCTTCTTCGATATCTCGGCCAGGTCGGCGAGTCGCGAAAGTGGTACAGCAACATCTGTACTCCATACTTCGTCGCCTTCTCGGCGTAATGCCATCATGGACCATAACGCCTCCTTCCGAGCACTCCATAGCTTCTTCTGCTCTGTTGCTCCGTTTGCAAACTCGAATTCGCCACTGTCTTGTTTCTTGGCCAGCTGTTTGACTTGCTGAATATGCTCTTTGACCGCTTGAGGGGTACCGGAGAACTTGAAGAATAGTGTTGGCACTTCTCTCCACTTCTTACCAGTAGCGCCGGCATCGTTGACGACACGCATTTGCACGTCATCCATGATTTCCATTGCAGCTATTGGTATGCCGGAGCGAACGACTGACATGGCTGTAGCCGCCGCTGAGCGGAATGTTGGGAAAGTGACCACTGCTACTGATGTCTCTTGAGGTATTACAGCAAGCTTGAGAGTCACCTCCGTCACAAGACCGAGGGTGCCCTCTGAGCCTACAAAGAGCGAGGTCAAGTTGTATCCCGCCGCACTCTTTCGAGGTCGACGTTTGGTCTTGATTACTGTGCCGTCTGCTAGGACTACCGTCTGCGACACATCAGCCGGTCGTCGCTATCAGATCGAAGATCATTTGGCTCCAACTTACAAGATTGATCACCCAGTCTTTCATAGTACCATATCTCACCGCATTCGTTCCGCTACAGCTGGTTCCCACCATCCCACCAATCATCGCACTCGGGCCAGGATCTACAGGAAAGAACAGTCCAGAGTCCTGGATATGCTCGTTCAGACTCATCCAGCCTACGCTGGGCTGAACTGTTACATCCATATCGTCTTCGCGGAGTTGCAGTATCTTGTCCATGAAACAGAAGTCTACACTCACACCTCCAAACGGTGCAGAAAAGTTTGCTTCCAGCGACGTGCCCCCGGAGTACGGAATGATGGGGATACGATACTTGCTGCATACTCTGGCTACGTGGCTGACTTCTTCTGTTGACTTGGGATATGCTACAGCCACCGGTAGAGTGGCGATGTTTATGCTGGACCACTCGCTGTAGCCGTGACGGTGGAGGTCTTCGTCGTCTGTTGATATTGCTGCTTCGTCGTCGAGAAGCATCCGCAGTTCGCCGATGGCCTTCTCCAATTCCGCTTTCGAGGCATAGCTTGGGTCGGGCAGGCCTTTCTTTTGAGGATTGCTGGTACCAAATGCTCTTGTCAGGGCTCCAGTCGCAGATAGAATAACGACGACTCCTGCGGTCCTCAATAGCAGAGTGCGTGCCGTTGTCCATAAGCCCGAGGCTGGAGCAGTATTTGGTCTGTTTGTTGTTTGCCATCGTCTGGGCTGTCTTGGCAGACGTTGCCTTGAGCTTTGGACCGCCCGAAAGACACCGGCCAGTATATGTCGCCGGTCCATACTATATTCCTCTGATGTGGAAAGATAATTGATCCTCATATGACCATTAAAGCACATAGCAACTCTAATGGTAGCTGTCGATCCTCCGGGACTCGGCATCAGCGCCTGTCTCTGCCGACTTCACATGGTCACAACCTTTCTCACCTCCTGCCTACAAAGCAGGTCATGCATACTGAATGCAATGAATCATTGTAATCGTGTCAATCGTATTTCGATGCCTTGGAGTACGCTGCACGTAGGTGTGGCCTCGTGTGAGTCGCTGTTGCCATAGCTACCATGAACGCGCCGGCGCGTAAAGAGCTTGCATCTCTGAACACGAGTTTCCAGCCTTCGAGTCCAAGAGAGCCAAGCCAGCAATCGAAGTCGAGCACGAGATGACTGACCAGCGGATGCGCTTGGACGATGAGCTTGAGCGCATCATACATAGTCCTTATCCTACTCAGCTGAAGGTATGTATGAGCCACCGCATCTCAAACCGCAAAAGCACAACTAACAGTATCTAGTCTTTACGAGATGTCTTGTACGATGGCTATACAAGACATGCTATTGATAAATCGCTCCAAAACAGGATCTGCCAACTCGATCATCTGGCGGAATGTCTTCTAGAAGGGCTGAAGACTTGGCCGTATGTGCTGGAAATCATCACATCGCTTTGTACAATACTTCCGACCCTTGAAAGCTCAAGACCTTACTGACAAGTACATAGCATCCAACGTTGCTTTTCGAGATGCCCTACTTCGATGCGAGCCCAGACTGCTGCCGGATCTACTCAATCGAGCGACCAGCGAAGGTGGACTAAATGGCAAGTACAGCCAGCCCGCTGTGGCTCTACTATCGCATCCACTACCTGATGATCATCCACTACCGGCATCAGCACAAATACTATTTCTGCGCCTGATTCAGTATGCTACCCAGCATCCCTCTGCATCTGCACTCAGACCAGTTTGTGCGCTACTACGTGGCGTATCGACGCTACTCGTGGGTCTGTTGTCGAGCGCAACGCTATCAGAATTCGAGGAGCAGCTGGGAGACGTACTACGAAGCAACCATGTTCGTTCAGCTCCCGAAGCTGGCGATCAACTTCGAACCCTCCACTGCCTAGCTATCATGCAGAATATCGTCGAAGGATACAGTGAGCGACGTACAGCAAGTGCGAGCTTTTATGAGACTCAGGATCTGCTCGCTAGTACACAAACTAATACGCCTTGCTGGTCACCCGAGAATATGCAAAACTTCTTTTGCAGCACGAATAAGGCGCCAAAGACTGTGCAGCTGGTCGTGCTTCAAGCGATATGGGCTTGTCAAGCACATGATGTCTCTTATGATGACCGTATGACCACACTGTCTCTCAGCAACCATATCATGGCTGCTGTTCCTTCGGATATTAGAGATGCTTGGTGTGCTTCGAATCCCACGGTGGCCCAGAAGCTGCAGCAGAAAGTACTGGCCTGTCAGGATAGTACACTAGAGCTTGTGGCTACCGCCTTTGTCTGTCGACTCTGTAAGCCAGTCATGCTTCAGTCTTCTCTGGTCGAAGACATCAGACAGACTTGTACGAATCTAACATTGCTGAATCAATTGAGTCGTCTGGACCTTGAGGATGGCCTTGCTTGCTTTCTCCCGCTGCTTGATCGTGAGACCATTCAGGAATTATGCCGGCGGATATTGGATGTCCTGGTGGGAGCAGACCAGACTGCTCTACACACCACCTTTCGGACTTGCCAGACTGTCGTGCGTGCGCTGTCTCAATCGTATCGAGAGGGTAGCGTCGTTGAAGATGTATCATCCGATATATTTCTCGATGGCTTGACTGGACCAAAAGTGGAGGAGCTGCTAGCCAATCTCAGCAGTAAGGCCTCAGCGCGACCATCTGAGCATTCCGCGAGAGCTTGCAAAAGATCGCTAGACATCGCCCACAATGAAGCGTCTAGAGACTACGTCAGCTTGCTTCTGAATTTGTCTATCCACGTCTCGAAAGACGAGTACCACATTGGCTCCACCATGGAATCACTAATCCTGATCCATGCGCTCTCAGCAGAAGGAAGCATACCGTGTCATCACGCTCGATATACAGCTTCAGACCCTACATCGCCCGTGGAACTTGCTCAGAACGATGACTTACAACAGGACGGCCACCAAGACTGGCGGCAAGCATTGAAAGACTACAGTACGTCGAACGCCCGGAAGGCCATTCAGGGCTTGACGGAGCTGTTTGGTCGTGCTTGCAGTGATCTAGAGGCACGGTGCGAGCACGTAGAACAACCATTGGCTGAGGAGATGAGTGCTCGCTTAGCGCTGCAAGAGGAATCCGACGCATTGCAACAAGCATACGATGATCTCGAAGCCCAGCATCTCGATCGTAAGCTACATCAAGATGGCCTCGAGGCCGAGAATAATGAGTGCCGAGGAACACTGGAAGCTGCCCAAGACGAAAATGAAGAGCTTCTTGGAAAAGTCTCCAGCTTACAGCGACAACTCAAAGATAATCAGGACGATTTCAAAGAGCAGCTTGCCACGATCATGGCCACGAAGGAATCCGCGGAGCTCGAGCGCGCGGCTGTGAGCGCAAAGATGCAGGAGAATCGTGAGGAGATGCAAGAGCGATCTGCAGAGTTCACTAGGCGTCTGACGGCGCAGAGCCTTGAACTTGAACAGCTGAGAGTCTGCAACGCAGCCGCATCAGCAGCCAGAGACGAAGCTCGAGCTCGGACAGAAGCCATGCAATCGGATCTCCACGAAAAGGATGAGGAACTCCGGACTTCCGAGGTCGCACGTATTGAAGCGGAGGCGCATCGTATACACCTAGAGTCCGACCTACATGCCACAAACCAGGATCTCGAGCAAGCCAAAGGCAGCCACGAGCGCGAGGTGGAAGCTATGCGGGAAGTCGTCCGCCAGAACAGTAAAGCGGCTAATGCATCGCACAATCACGCCTTGGACCGCATGGCTTCGCAACATGGAGGTGAGGTCGCTGGGCTGGAGGAGCGGGTTACTGAGGGTCTACAGCAGATCAAGAAGCTAGAGAAGAACTGCAGGCAAAAGGATGCCCAGATTGCCGAAGCCAATGCTCTGAGAGTCCAACTTCTTGCCACTCTTGGTGGAGGCGGCGGCGGCGGAGCTCGAACTCACCTACTACCACCAGATACGCAGTCCCAGACGCAAAGTCAGACGCAAATGAGCATGCCATATCGGACGCGGAGTCCGACGAAGACGGATATGCGAGTCACGCAACAAGATCATAGCATACTGCCTTTCTCACAGTCCTTTGACGGAGCGATGGATGATGCAAACAGCCAGATCTTCAACGATGGCCATGCAACAATGCACACGTCCTTCGCATCCACAGGCGACTCCTCCACTTCTGCTCATAATGCTGGACCAACGCCGAAGCGCGCGAGGCCGAGACGCAGCATTAAGGCTTCTGTGCCGTCCACAACTGCACGGACGAGTAAAACAGTTGGTATGAGTCGAGTGGCTAGTAGAAAGACTGGCTCAGCGGTACAGGACTCGACTAAACGAAAACCGCTTGGGGGGCTGCATGTGAATGTTTCACCGCGCAAAGAGATGGGCGGAGACTGTCGCACACCGAGCAAGGGTGGCAGGCAGCTGGACATACAGGGGTTCGGAGATTCGATGATGGATGATTGATGTATACACTCCCTTTGGTTATGGCTGGGAGCAATCACCCGGCTCAAATTGAGTAACCCCTGACCGTGTCTGCATGCCATGGCAGCTCAGCCATCTTCATGAGAGACATTCATTCATTCATACAACAAAAACGAGAACATGATCATACATCATCCCCACCCACCCCATACTCACTCAACCCAACCCGAATGTCACCCACAATCTGCTCCGCCTCGGCATGACTCGCACACTCAAAATCATACCTCTTCGTCTCCTTGTCCCGATAAACCAACACTCGCATCATCTTCGGATGCTTCCTGCTGACCTTCACACCCACGATACTCTGCATAGACACATTGGTAACCTTACTGCCGCTCGCTTGACCTCCCTCGTCCGTCGGTGGCCCGGGCAAGATCTGCATGTATTCTGGTGTTATGATGAGGGTGCGAGGGTGGGAGGTCGTGAGGGAGAAGGGAAGTTTGCGCATCACGTTATAGCGGCAACCTATACCTGCGTTGGGACCTGCGAGGTCGAGCATGGAGGTTGCTGTGCTGTTGAATTCGCTCTTTTGGGCTACGAGTGGGTGGAGGACTCCTCCTACGCCGGGAAAACCTTTTCGTCGTTTGGCTTCTTTGGCTGTGGGTGGTGTGTTGGGGACTAATTCGAGAGGTGCATTCGGTGAGCTGGAGCCTGGTGAGCCGGAGAGTCCGAGACCGAAGTCTCCGACTGCGCCGAAGCGGCGGCGGACAAGGTCGAGATGCAGTTTTGACCCTAGAGCTTCTACTGTTCGGTCGCTTGGCGCCACTGTCTGTGTGCCTTTAACTTTGAATACGTAGAGTGCCTTGTCCAGTCGAAGACGTGTACATGCCTTCTCAAATAACTCGGCTATATACGTATCAGCAGTCGTGTCCAGAGGCAACAGGGTAACCTGGAAGGACTGCGGATCCGTGAAGTGAACTTGAACAGTCTTGACGGGGCCCATACGAGGTGTGCTAGTTGCAGTCTGCTGCTGTGGTGCATCCATGAGGTTCGTGGAGTCCTTTCGTATTGCGGCATTGAGAGTGAAGGCAGGACCGGTGATAGGATTGCGGTTCGGCATCATGCTTGGTGGGACAGGTGGCGGCGCCATGATTTGTTGGCTGATAAGTGCTGGTGAAGGCGCAGCGATTGGTGCAGTCTTCGTGGTTGTAATCGGCGCAGCCTCGTCGTCTTCAGAAGTTGCATCGCGACTTTCGGCACGGATCAAGCCAAACTCATCCCACGGTTTGTCTCTCATGCGTCGTTGAGGAGGGCGGTTGTTGTTTGACGTGAAATCTGTGACTGGCCTGTCTCGGCTCAGAGCTGGGAAGTCCAGATCAACTTCACCATCTTCAACCATTCTCAGCTCCCAGCTCTCCACTTTGCTATCTTTGATAGAAAGCGCCGGCTCGTACTCTTCTTCATCATAACGCCAGAGTGCGAGCCCGATCAACTCCTTGACGGTAGGTACAGCCCCTTCTGCGCCTTGAGCGCGCTTGAGCGGCACTTGGATTGGCTCATTAGGATTCTTCGAGAATGGAGCATAGATTTTGATCCAGAGTGGCTGTGCTTCGCCCTTACCAGACAGTTCTGCATACTTTTGATATGGCTTGCCAGGAGTATCTGCGCCGTCGGAGCCTTTCAGAGCCATGGAAAGCAGACTTGCAGGCGGCTTCATTGACATTGGTCTGCCGGCTGGTAGTTTTGGCAGCTTCGGTAGATCGTCCTTACTTGGTCTCGTAGTAGCGGTATGTAACGATGGACTGACAGCTGGAGGTATTATTGGCGGCGCTCGCTTCTCTACCGATATGTCCAGCGCCTCATCAATGGGCAGCTCTGGTGATGGCACAGCCACATCATCGCCTTCGAATTCGTCGCTGAGATCGCTAGCCTCAGCTACTTCCACATCCTCTTCTTCATCTTCGTCTTCAAGCTCGCTCTCATCGTCCGGCTCTTCCTCGGCAATCTTGTCAGCAAGCATAGCAGACTTCTGAGGCCGTCCAGGCAGCTTCCTTCTGAAACGTCCTTCCGGTATCAGGCCTTCATTGTCCGAGCTCATCTCACTGCTGGTAGTGGTGTCACGTCTCGGACGCGTCACAATACGCGAGTTTGCCGCATTGATGGCTTCTGTGGCACCCAAACTGCTTGTACGTGGTCGGTAGCTGGGACTGATAACCTTCACTTCTGGCCCTGCCTGCTCTGCATGAAGTGTCGCGGTACCTTGTCTTGGAGGACTCGTACTCGATCGGCTCCGGTTCGGCATCTTCGCAAATCGGACACTCTGCGCCGCTGTATCCTCATCGTCGCTGTCATCGCTAAGATCCGAGCTGTCATCATCCTCGATCTTCTGTCCCTGCTTGCGCCTGCGCCGCTCCTTCTCAGTCAAGAAGCTAGGGCCCACGGTCTCCTCGCTCCCCAGCTGCCCACTGATCAAGCCTCCCCTCCCCTCCGCACTCGCCTCATCGTTCAAAGGTATGCCGTTGTCCCTCACACGTGATGGACGATTGAAATAGTCTGCTGCTCCAGTCGTGGGTATAGGTGGGCTATAACATCGCTTGATGGCGGCCGTATCTGCGACCCATCCTGCCGCACGAAAAGCTGGCTCGTTAAGCACAGCTGTATTGAGATTGATCAGTCTTTCGCCGACTCCATCGTGGATTTGATTGAGATAACCCAGGCGCAGACGATACAGAGTGAACTCCTCATTCAGTAGAAGCGACATGATTATAAAGAGTTGTGTAGCCGAACCAGCCGGCGGTGAGATAGCTCTCACATCATATTTGCTGAATTCTGGTCACTGTCAAGCAAACAATGTACACTTATGAAACCATATCCAATCGTGCATGAGTCCGCCGCGTGAATGATCCGAAGCCGAGTGGCCCCCACGTCGGTCGAATCCACTCTACTCCACTCTCGTCCTCCCATTCGACTATCGACTCATGTAGGTACAACTGCTACAGAGATCATCTCATGGTATGACCAGGAGTCTAGCGATGGGTAGAAATATCCGCCTCAGCCAAGACTCGCCGCGAACCCGAGACGTCCGTATGATAGGTCCCCGTCGAGCTTTCGGGGGGCCAGGGCTGCAATACCACATGCATAGGGCTACTTTAGCTTGCTCCTTCTGCACCACATACGTACCGCAGCTGAGAAATCAGCTTCCACATAAGGTAGCGTCATCGTCGTGAAAGGGATTGGAAACATTCGAAGCTTCACACTTCTCGCGATCAATTCACCAAGACCAAGCATAAAACTTAACTCAAAAGGAGATCGTAAGGAGAGTAAGCCTGGCTTTCAAAACGAACTCGAGATACCACATCTATAGATAAATATGGCTTCGAAAGACACCACACAGCCGACCCAGGCAATAGTAGCCCACCCACTAGCCACAGAGAACGACACCCCAGGCGCAAACTGGCAATTCGAAAACATCCTCGTCCCAACCAAACCCAAAGACGGCGAACTCCTAATCTCCATGCTCGCCTCCGGCATCTGCCACTCGGACCTCACCCTCACCAGCGGCGGCCACTTCAAACTCCCACGCGTAGCCGGCCACGAGGGGGCAGGATACATCAAAGCACTGGGCCCGAACCTCACGAACAAGAATCTGAAGGAACGAGATCCGGTCTTGCTTAGTTTTAGATACTGTGGGCAATGCGTGAATTGCAAGAAAGGTCTACCGAGTTCGTGTGATGCGTTCGTTATGAATCTTGTTGGTCAGGACGATGCTTTCGTGTCTGAGAATGGGAAGGAGGGGATCAATGGATCTTTTTTTGGGCAGAGCAGTTTCGCGGGGTTGAGTGTTGTGCAGGAGAGTTGTGTGATACCTGCTAAGGATCTGATTGAGAATGAAGAGGAGTTGAAATTGTTCTCGCCGTTGGGCTGTGGGTATCAGACTGGGGCGGGAGCTGTGTTGAATATTGCTAAGCCGGGGAAGGAACAGAGTATTATGGTGGCGGGTCTGGGTGGGGTGGGATTAGCTGCGATTATGGTATGAAGAAGGCTATCCAGTCTATAGACAGCAGGTCGACCCTTCTTCAGACTTCAGTTAATGACAGGATAGGCTGCGAAAATCGCCGGCTGCCACGAAATCATCGGCATCGACCGCATAGCTTCTCGCGTTAAACTATGCGAAGAAGTAGGCGCAACAAAAGGCATCGATACCAGCGCCTCCGCAGACCTTACCAAGACACTAAAGGAACCTGCGAACGGTGGACGTGGACCAGACTTCTTCATCGATAGTGCGTACACCTTCTCTCTCGTAACATAAAAGGGAGCACCGCTAACACGAATGCACTCCAGCCACCGGCGCCCCAGCAGTCCTAGAAGCGGCTTACCATGCCCTCGCACCACGGGGCACGTTGATCTTCATAGGCGCTTCTATGGATCCGAAGGCGGGATGGTCGGTAGATTATCGGGTTGTGATGAAGGATGCTAAGAAGCTGGTGGGTTGTGTGGAGGGAGATAGTAATCCAGTGAAGGTAATATCCAGCTGTGCTCATGGGTAAGGGGGGAAAGAGGGAGTCGCATCGTGCTGACTGTGCCGTTGTTTCTAGTTCATCCCGCAGTTGGTCAAGTACTATCGTGAGGGTCGGTTTCCCATTGATAAGTTGACGAAGTACTACAAGGTCTGTTTTCTTTCGCGGCTCGATATGGGCTTCGACCTACAATGGTTGTCATTGTGCTGACTACCACGTAGGCTGCCGATTTCAAGACAGCGCTGCACGACATGCATGCTGGAGATGCTGTCAAGGTCGTGCTTGAGTGGTAGGGCCGCTTCCATGGATGCGGTTGAAGGGTATCAAGTAGCTACAAATCAAACAGTCAGTCCTATCTACATAAATCGACCTCAGCATCCTCAACGCCAATTTCGGCAAATCCACTCTCAACCTACCCACAACTGCCTGTGATCGTCCCGGTACGCAGCCATTGCATATATATTTTGTCCAGCCTGTACACCATGCCGTCCTATGTAAATGCATCTCTTGCTCTGCCTGTCATCTTCGCCGATCACGTAATATAAGACATCTTGCCATGATTACTGTCGAAGAAGTCGAACCAATCTCGAGCGGGTATATCTCTGTAAAGAAAGAAATCACGTTGGCATTTGATCGTCGTCTCAAAAGCAATCTCATACGCACGCGAAAGTAGAAGAAGTCACAGCATGGTATCTGTGGGCAAGAGTTGGGATTGAGCGGGTGGGATTTATTCGTACGTTAACCTATCATCCTCACCCAAAAGTCAGCAAAACTCTATACCCGGCCACTTTCGCTGGATGCGGAGGAAAGGCAGTACACTACCAAGCATTCCGATCCCAATTCGGATCCTGCACGAAGGAGCCAAGGACTCTACTCCCCGTCTGCAATAACGGATGGCCCACTACGATCTTCAGGAAGCGTTCTAGCCCTTTCCGTCGGTCCTCGATCACGCCGTCGTCGAAGCGGTTTAGGTAGACTTTCCCGGGGAGGGGTGGGATGCTAACGCGGGCGGATTCCCGCTCGAGGAGGTCGCGGAAGACTTCGAAGTCGCTGTATCGCCGGCGTACTTCGGATTGGCGGAGTTTGAAGGCGGGGATGTTGGTGCGGAGGCGGATGAGGTAGGTTGTGTAGCGTGACGAGGGGGAGGCGGTGGGTTGGTGGGTTTGGGGGTTGGATACCTAGATGTGGGGGTTGTACGTGAGTATCTCGTACAGTATCAAGGATGAGATATGTGGCACAGTCCGTACCTCTATCTCCAGAAAGTTCTCTGGTACGCCGTATATCTCTTCAAAGCTCTGGGTGTGTGATTGGTGACCTGTCGATGCGAAACCTGTCGGTATGGCCCATCCCCCATGCTGCTTTCCTTGCGCCGATGATTGTGGGTTGTCTTGTGGCTCCGGCCGAGGATCGACTCGCTGCATCGTGTCGTCAAATCTGGGAGAGCGCCTTCCTATCTCGTCGCAGCTTGCGATGTATGTACACGTCGAGCTTCTGTGATCGGTCAATCGCTTATTTGTTGCGCAGTGCTGATCACAAGACTGTTTGGCGTGGTGCAATCCATGTTACCAGACTGACCCCGCCACAATTAAGCTTTGTCCACGTGCTGGATGTGGGGCTCGATGATCACAGTTACTGCTTTGGGAAGTAACTATTCTGTGGTTACTCGATAACCAGACTCGATACATCTAGCTAGCCATGGCAAAGTATCAGCGCTCAGCAGCATGCTGTCACACACCCGCTATCATCGGCCCTGCCTACACAGCCAAGGGCGAATTTATCAAAACCAATGGCGTTGATTTCTACACAGCCGGTCCCGCCGGAGCCAACAAGGCAATCTTCATAATCTACAACATCTTTGGCTATAGTAGCCAGACTCTAGAAGGTGCAGACAAGCTAGCCGAGCACTATAGAATCTTCATGCCAGATTCTTCGAAGGTAAGCTTGCGCCCCTAGACTGGATGCCCATGGATGGCGGGCCGCCGGACGAGGACAAGATGGAGGAATTTTGTGATGGGCCTGGGGAGACGCAGCGGACGCTGCGAAGGATAGAGAGTTTGATTGTGAAGTTTCAGAAAATGTATCCTAAGATTCGACATTGGGGTCTTGTTGGCTATTGCTGGGGCGGCTACGTGAGTATATTACTTCTGTATCACTACATGGTGCAGCGATAACCAGCTTTTTGTAGATCGTCAACTTCGCCATCGACAAGGATAGTAGGTTTCAGGCCGCTGTACAATGTCATACTGGCTGGCCTCCTGGTGTCGATGTCGCACAAACCGTTTCGGCCCCTCTGCTTGCTCTGAATTCCAGAGATGAGCCGGAGACGGATTATCGGGAGTTCAAGCAGGCCTGCAATTCGAGAACAGGTTTGTCGACTTTCCGAATATGGTTCATGGGTGGCTGTCCGCTCGTGGAGACCTCAGTAAGCAGAGTGTAAGGAAGGAGTTTGATCGGGGTTATGGTATGATGCTAGAGTGGTTTGAGAAGTATTTGTAGTCATTCATCTTCGAATCTGAGAGCGGCTGGGATGGGCCTGCGCTAAAGAATCCCGACGTGAGGCCTACCTCATGCTCGATCCACGATTATTCGGGTATCGACGTTAGCAGAGCATTCGTCACTCCATACTGACAGGCCTTATCATCGCCTTGCACCACACGCTATCGCAGGCTGACTGCAACTTCTAGCACGCTCACATATCGTATACGCGTCTCTGGTATTGGTTCCTGTTTGCTGAGTGCAGGGTCTGTCGTATCGCCCGTTGCTCCATCAGCAGCTGTCGTCATCTGGTTCAATGCCGACGACTTGCTGACTGCGGACCCTCCATCATTGGCGCTCTGGTCCTGCTCAACGCTTCCTTCCTGCTCTACTACCGTGGCACCCATACTCGTATCCACCTCCCCGGTAACATTGCCGCGATCCACAACACCGCCCTCCTGCCGATCATGTCCCTGGTCCTCTACCCCTTCCTCCTCATTAAGCTCAATATCATCAACAGCTCCGACACTCCCAGTCCTAAGTCGAACCAAATACTCCTCCCTCTGCTGAAACCACAACCCCAGCTCCATAGCCTTCTGTATCGCCTTCCCACTAGCTTTGATCACGACCTCTTCACCAGCACCCTCCACATCATCGTCAACAGTCCCACCTTTCCGCCTTTTGCTTTTCAGTCGCTCGACTTCCTTGGCAATGCCTAGGACCTCGTCAGGATCGTCGCGGCCGCGTTTCATCTTGTTGCTAGATAGTCTCGCATTTGTCGTTGCAGCTTGGACGAGTCGCTTGTCTGAGAGCTTGAGTAGTTTCTCCACACGCTTGACTGTTGATAGGAATGGTGTGCGGGCTGAGACGTAGACGACTTTCTGTTGTGATGCGCCTGCGTAAGGCGATGGTATAGCAGGACGAAGGAGAGGTCGCTTGTGGACTTTTGCGTCTGTTTCGGTGGTTAGCATAGTCCTTGGAGAGGAAGAAGATGATACTTGCTTGTTGGTAGTTTTGTTAACTTCTTGTGTTCTGACTTGGACACGCGATATCGTGGCCTCCAGGCCTTAGGTGTGGCTGCTACCTCTGCCATGGTGTCGATATCAAGAACGTGCAGGTGACGAGTAGAGACATGTGTGTTAAGCTCAAGTGGTCACGCGGATTGCGGGTCAAACGTTCCTGCATTGCAGATCTGGAGGCGGGCCGGAAGTGCTTGCATGGCACGAACCCTCCACCACAGACGATCTACTTGAGAGATATATCACTTCAACAATGCTACTTCGTCACATACATCTACCAGGACTGACATCCTACACCCGAGCAGGCAAGCTCCAGGACAAACTCGTCGCCGCTTTTCTGGCTCATAAAGCGAGCCAAGGTACCACTCCTGCGCCACCCCCGACAATCATCACAGCAGAGTTCGAAAAAGTCTATACGTGCGGCAGACGAGAGATCGGGACCGTGTCTGAGGCTCAGAAGAACTACCTAACTGAGACAACACAATGGGGTACAGCAAGCTTCCATGAAGCTCTACGTGGCGGCCAAACTACCTTCCATGGTCCAGGGCAACTAATCGCATATCCCATCCTCGACCTCAAGCACCATGGCCTTACTCCACGTTGCTGGATTCATCTGCTTGAGAGCTGTGTCATTGCCACTTGTGCTCATTATGGCGTCACGGCCATGAGGACGGAGAACCCCGGTGTTTGGGTTAGTGAGCAGGAGAAGATCTGTGCTTTGGGAGTGCATCTCAGACGGAACATTACTAGTCATGGTATTGGACTTAATGTGAGTACTGAGTTGGGCTGGTTCAAGCGGATCGTGGCGTGTGGGCTTGAGGGCAAGTCAACTACGAGTCTACTGGCACAGGGCATTTCGCCGCGCCCTACCGTACAGCAAGTAGGTGACGTGTTCGTGCGGGACCTCGTCAGGGAGTTGCGAGATGTGGATGGTGTTGAGATGGTTGACGAGAGCAATCCGTGAACTCGTGGTTCTGTGACTCGCAAAAGTCAAGAGATGGGCTTGACCATTCACAATCAACGTATTGGTAGCTCACCATCCCGACTACATGGATGCGACCACCGTCACCTCTAGGCTTTACAAGCTTCGAGTTGTCCTCCGGCTGCTCCCATCGCAATTATGGTGCGCTATACTTATAGCAAAGCTCCGGCCTCATACCCTCGACTATGCCAGACTACAACTCTGAACATTCTCATTTGCACCACAAGTCAAGATGGGGTTTACGGATGCGATGCAAGATTTCAAGCGTCGGATGGGCGTCAACTCACCCGCACAGCAAAGCCTCTACCAAAACTCACACAGGAGACCAAGCACCAGAGGCAAGGAAAGGTTGGCCATGAATGAGCTTGATCTCGCCCATAGCGGTATCGACCCGTCAAATCAGAGCCAAGCCGAAGCTCGACTGCGCGCGGCACGCATGCTGGAACTGTGGCAGCCGCCGTCTCCTCGGCCTGTCTCAAGAAGATCTACCAACGGCGCGCCACCAACAAGGAGTGAAGCTGGGCCCTCGATAAGACCTGCGAGGAAGTTCCAGGACGAAAGCAAGGATAATCGAGAACACGATGTGACTACCGAGCAGCGAGAGAGGTTAGGCCGGGAGGATGCACTGATCCGCACATACGCCTTGAGCAACCCGGCAACGCGACGGTTCATGGCCGGACTCTTTGAGAATGTCATCGGTCGCACGCCAGTGGTACAACGGGATATCCAGTTAGCGGCGATTATGTATACTAGGATCATGGAGGAGGAGCAAGTCGATTCGCAGTACTTGTGTCGAAGAGAGAGCATGGTGCGAGATTTGAAGGAGGTTATGTGCAAGCTTGAAGCGGATCCTGAGGATGATGCTTGGAGGCGGAGTGAGATTATACTTCAGGAGTGCTATCGTGAGACTTGGGATCCAGTAGGAGGGAGAGGAGCCGAGGGTTGTTCTGGTGCTGCGAGAAGGCCAGTGCAGAGATCGAGTCGAGAGAGCGATGTGCGAATTGCTGCCTATACCATTGATGCCACAAGGGTACCCGATAAGAAGCGCCCAAATGCGCCGTGCCCACGACTCGAACCATCCGCTCTCCTCATGGCTAAGAACAAAGGAGAGGATGCCGAAGAACACGACTTATACCACCACACCCTCAAAGACATCGCCAAACTCCCCCGCCCATCCCCAACTTCCGGACCTCTGACCCGCGACTTCGCCCTATCCGCTTCTAAAGCAACAGCCACGCCCGAAGCGATCAATGCCTCCAGATCATCGTTCTCCCAAAATGAGGAAAAGACAGAACGTCTCCGCCAATCCTTCGACGCAGCAAAACAAAGCAAAGAAGCCTGGCTAGCTGCTCTTGCCGCCGAGGACGCCGCGATATTCCGTCATTATCCGCCCGAGGACCTGGAGCAAGCGCGTCTTGCCCAGCTTGCGGCAGAGGACTCATCTCGCGACTTCGTGGGAAAGGGTAAGGGTCGAGCTGTCCCTGTCCCTCTCCCTGCTTCTGCACGACCCAGCTCTAGTTCTGCTTCAGGAAGATCCACGGGTCTGTACGGAGTAATCGAGCACCGACATTCCGAGAATCTTGCCGCTGCTGCTAGATCATCACAGAGTAACATGGACAAAGCAGCAGAGCCTACAAAAGCGGTCATTTTGCCTGAATTTACTAGTTTGGCACTGAAGAGACGAGGCCGGATCATGGCGCCGCAAATTCCGGTTCTTACTTCCGGTTCTGGCTTCGGGGGTGCGAGGAATAAGTCTGATGGCGGAGAAGAGGAGGATAAGGGTGTGCGGCGGACGAGCTTACTGGCTGATTCGCCGGTATCTCCCATCGCTGCGAAGAATTGACGACGGCAATCGAGACCCTGGGTCTTCAGCGGACTGCGTGGCTGATGGTGTCGGGTATGAGATGGATGTCCTGACTGAAAGGCCTAGAGTGGGTTGAGCGCTGCGTGGCAGGTAGTGCGGGATCGCCTGATGGAGTCTTTGCTGACTATGACCAGGACAGAATTGATGGAGATACACATAGAGACACGGTCGGCACTACAGGCTCTTGGCCCTGATTGTGCTGTATTCGTCCAAGGTGACTTGTTGCGGATATTACGTGCTATGATAGACGAAGCTAGACTCGGATGCTGAAACTTTGGATAGACATTATCTGACAATTTATGCTAGATAATGTCCAAGCTAGGGTACGAGCGATTTCTGTTCATCACTCACACACCATCAATGTCGCTTTCCCCGGTCACCCAAAAGCTCGTCGTGTCATTACTCGTCACGAAGTAGCATGTTCATCGTCCTCCAAGGCTTGACGTCCGTGCCTCCACCGCATTGAGCATCTTGGCAATTGATCGTAACAGGATTGGTATGGGACAATGTTCTCCTGAATGTGGTCGGTAGCGCGGGATGCCCAGCACTCTGGATCGCGGATATAGCAGGACCTGGCGCAAGTGGGATGAGGCAATCGATCAGGTCTGGCTTCTCGCACATCCGGACCAGGGAAGATACAAAGGGCGTGCTGTCTGGTGGATGCACCTTGAATACGGCTGTAGAATAAGGGTAAGTCGTTACCGTCGTGGTCGTGGTGGTGATTGCTGGCGGCGCGTCCTCGGCATTGTTGATTTCCTTGTCGGAGCATGCAGAGCCGGGCACACCACAGAAGTTGATGAGACCGCCACTGTGTGAAGGGAGGGTGCTGCGCGGGACGAGGACGGGGGCTGACGCTGTCGTGGTCGCGACGGCGGTCGTCACGTAAAGTGTGCTTGTGAGGATTGATTCTGGTTCCTTGGTTGCTGGAGTATCGAAGAATTTGCCAGGACAAGCCATGCCAGCGACAACGCCGCAAGGTCCAACAGTGTGATGCGTGATTTGCTGAGATTGCCATGGGACTTGTGAATGAGGTTTAGGTGGCGGCGAAGGAGGCTCGGTCTGGTAAGGTGAAAGGGCTGCAATCTGAGCATCGCGCTTGTAGACAGTCTTGAGCGTGGTGGGTGCAAGAACAGGGAGGTCGGCGGAGAAAGTCTTGCCGGCTTTCGGACCGTCAGGATTAAAGTTAAGAGTGCTTGCTGTGGCGGATAAGGTTGACTCTTTCAGCCACCAGGCGGAGGTAGTTTGATCTGCGTATAGAATGCCGGACCCCCGAGTAGTACGAGCTGCAAGACGACGGTAGCCCACGCACTCCATAGCAGGGGTGAGGCCGTCAAACTCGCCCAGGTAGTAACACAGTGACACTACGCAGCCATGAAAGCGCTGGACACGTTAGCCGAAGCTTCAGTGATTTGTAGCTTCGGGTGTGTTTCTCACCTCGTAGTTCTCAAGACTGTTACACATACAGGCGGTCTGGTTGTCAGTACTGGCCGAGCAACCGCTCTCACGTTGAGACTCCCACCAGCAATTGTAGGTGCAGTCTAGACAGCATTAGCACGGCATTGGACCATATCGCGAGAGGTACCTACCCGTGACTGTGTCGCGAGCCAGCAGGATCTCCGTTTTGGCGGCATCTGCACCTCGTCAGCAACGATCCTCCGCCGTGTCAGCATTGGAGAAGCGTACTAGCACTTGCAGTGGCGAAGAGCACGATGACTGCGAGGAGCGCCATGAAAACGCGCAAAAGCTTGTTGATCGTCATCTTGTCCGTTGAACCGACAGAATCGGAGGTTGGAATGATATGGACGAGTGTTGATGCTAGAAAGAGTGACGAAGGTGAGCGTTGTGAGAGAGATGAGGACCAATGGTTGAGAAGTGACGGTGAGATAGGGACCTTTACCGCTAAGCTGTGGCAATATCCGAGTGAGGTAAGAACGTCTCATCGCGCCTGCCATAGTGAGATGTGTTCGCCACGTGCGCTTCACCGCCATGTACAAAGCTGGAGACTTGACACGACAGCAGCAGTGATGTGGCGACAGTGCCTCCTTGGCAGGCATAGATGGTACAAGGTCTCGCCGTTCAAAAGAATAGCAGCTCAATCGCCTCGCCACCTTCCACCCCATACCGCTCCTTGAATTCCGCCCTCGCCAGCAGTTGCACCACTGGACCCTGCGTCTCCTTCATATCAAGCACCCCCCTCTTCTTCTGATCAATATGCGAAGCATCAACCACAATCCTCTCCAGCCCATCCACCTTCAATGTTCCATCATCCAGCAGATCGATAATCCTCTGCGGCGTCCCCACCCCAATCCCCATCCTCGACTTCTGCACCATCTCGACCGCCTCCTTCATCTTGATGTGCTTCGCGAACAGCTTCGTCACCATGCAATCCTTCGTCTGAAATCTCCGCAACGCACGAGTCAGATCTGCTGCTCTCAGCCCTGCCCCAGCTACCACCAAAGTATGCGGGCTGCCTTTCTCCTCGGACGCTTCTGACAGCCTGGGACCTTTCTTCTTCTTCCTCCGAGGCGCGGCATAGAGCTCCACGTAGTCGGCCAGATTCTCCGTCGCTCTTGATTTCTTGAAAGTGCTCGTGTCTTTGATCGCTCGTTCTGTGATGTGAATGTCTTCTGCTTCAACTGAGCTCAGATCTGGTTGAAATCTCTTCGTTCTTTGCGCCAAGTGGTCGGCAAGAAGTCTGCTGTCCATGTGCGCGATCGCATGATTGACGCCTAGCTGCAGATCGAGAGCTTCGTCGTCCACATCCTTCGGCTTCTTGGTCTGCTTTCGCTTCTTCGCTGCTCGTTTGCTCTCCGGTTTTGCATCTTCATCTTCTCGTTTTCGCTTGGTGAGGCTTTGTGGTGGAGGAGTACCAGAGTCGGAGAACTGCTCGACGAGTGGTACGCCGCCATGATTATCCTCTGAATCAGACATGGTTGTGTTGCGATATATTTCTTGCGACAAAATACCAGGGATTTTGTACAGAGAAAGTCGAGAGTGAGCGGACTTGTCGGCCGCAAGAGCCGCATCTCGAGATTTCTCCTACGTATGCGCCTCGACAGAAAGAATTTCTTCGATACAGCACATAGTGAGCCAAGATGCTCACCGAACGCTTCATAGCGTCTATTGGCGTCCCAGAGAAAGCTCCAACAACAAACATCATCAAAGACGCTGGCATTTTCATCCACGAATTCCAACCACTTAACCAGCAACGAGCAGTCTTCAAGAAAAGCGCCACAGCACCGAACTATCTCGCTGTGAGCGAAAGTCACATCTTCGCAGCACAAACGGGCCGATCGGTCGTTCATGTCTACAACCGGGAGAAAGGCAATCATGAGGCTACAGTGCCTTTCACCGAACGAATCACCTGCATTACTCTGGTCTGCGATGATACTGTCCTGGCTCTAGGTACAGCGGAGGGCAGAATCTTTCTATGGGAGGTAGCGACTGGACGACAAGTCACGACGTCCCAAGCACATCTACAAGCTGTGACCGTCTTAGTCGCAGAACCAACCTCGAACTTTCTGCTATCCGGTTCGGCTGACTCTACAGTCCATGTATGGTCTGTCGCTGGTCTCTTGTCCTTTGCCAACACTGGAACACAAGACCTGACACCGTTGAGGACTTTCACCTCTCACCGCGCAGAAGTGACTGCGCTAGCAGTTGGCCATAGCTCCAGCTTCAGCAATTTTGCTGTTTCTGCTTCGAAGGATCAGACTTGCTTGATCTGGGACTTCCATACTGGCAATATCTTGCGGACATACTTGCTACCGGCCTTACCGACATGTCTGACGCTCGATGCGGCGGATAGAGCGGTATATCTTGGTTACGAGGACGGCAGTCTACAACAGCTTGACCTCTACTCTTCGTCTGACGACTCGAAAACATATTTACGAGCAGTACAGGCCGATGCTGAGTCGACTGCAGCACTCCAACCACTCGAGAGCTCCCGATGGCGATCACCAGAGACCTCGAAGGGAGCGGTATACAGTCTCAGCCTGTCCTTCGATAGCTGTACCCTCATCTCGGGCCATCAATCTGGAACGATCATGGCTTGGGATGTGGCGACTGGTCGCGCCCAAGCCAACTTCCTACAAACCCCTCTACCCGGCCCTGTCACGAACCTGGCTTTCCTCCCAGTGACTGGTTTCGCCAGTGAAGCCATGCCGGCCATTCGAGTATTCGCGGTCGTGAAGCCGAAATTTGGGGCCTTTGACAGCAGTAACGGGACGGTACCTGGCAATTATGCTCTCAATGTGGAGCTATGTTCCACGAGCAAGATCCCGGAAGCTCGTGATGGGAAACCTCAGTCACGGTTCCAGCAGGCTTTGACAGCATCGACATTCTCACCAGACCTCCTAGACGAAGGCCTTGCCGAACTCGCTTCGTGGAACAATCGGACTTTGCCTACGGCGAACGATCATGTTGAGGGTGAGTCGGACGACTTCATGGCTCTTGATGGTGGTGAGACCGAGACTCAGCAGCCTTCACTGGAGAAGCAGAATGCAGCTCTTAAGGCTCAATTGGACGCTATGCGTAGGCTTCAGACTGCGAGTTTTGATAAGATAGAGAAGCTTGACGGCGAGCGCAAAGCTTTGTTGCGACAGGAACAGGATCGACTGCGGAAGCGTGGTGCTGAGAGAACGAATGGCGCGGGTGGAGCGCTGTCGTCTAGCGAGGATGAGAGTATGGCCGATGACGATTGACGAGTATCTCCATCTTATCATGGGCTAAAGAAGTCAGGCCAGATTTGCGATTGGTTGAAGTAAGGCGCAGAATTGCCAGAAAGGGATTCTACTTACCCAAACTTTGGCCCACGCGATCTGCTACATTCCATGCCCCACGAACGCAGCCACATATTTGTTTGGACACTGGCGGGCAGGAATGAGTACTTGACATCACTTCAGTCATGCTTTACACCATTGAGATCGACAAGGCTGTTCGAATTGAAGGCCGAGTCGCTCGGTTCAGGCATTCGACTTCTACGACAGCCATGGCAGGAATATGGCTATGCAGTGTTTTAGCAGCTATCACGCTGGTCGACGGCCATCGTATCGCCGCACGGCACCCACACAAGGCCGTTGGGCTGAAGCGACGACTGGAAATACCACCTATCAAGGGACCGCCGCCAGACATTAGTATGGCAACAACGACCACTGGGAGCGTTCTAACGATTATCACACCATCGCCAGGAGCATCGCCTGTACCTGTGACAGAGCAAAGCCAGCTCGTCAAGTCGTACGTCCCACAGTACACACTTTGCGAGCTGCCACCAGTAGCTTTCTCCCCAGTAACACTGGCACCATCTGCTCACCCATCGACGGCTCGATACCACAATTACTCCATCTCGATTCCACCAGGAAATGGCACCTGCTCGACTGTCTATAGCGCAACCCAGACGATGGTCTGCGCGACCACCCTCAGTGACCTCGTGACCACATACCCGGTCACGAATTGCGCACAGAAAATCACCTTCTCCAGCCAGTACGGCTACACTCTGGTGACACCAATCCCGACGGGCAACATTAGCAACGCCACCTATCCCTTCGCGAACAGCACTTCTAACGCCACAGCCACCATAACCCCCGCACCCACCCTCGAAACGAAAACAACCTACTACCTCGCCCCCTGGCAATCCCTAACAGCCGCCACAGCCCCCAAAAACATCATACAAGAAATATGCTCCACCGTCCCCGCCCCACCCGAAATCGGCATCATAAACGAATGCGTGACAAAATACTACATCTGGCACACCTCCCTCGTCACCCACATGACGACCCTCACCACCTCCCTCAACATCAGCACCGTTATCCCGGGCCCCAGCGGCGTCGTCATCTGGGACCAGGTCGTGGCAAATGTGACGGAGGCGTTGACGACGTTTGAGATGACGACGACGTTGGAGCAGGCGTTCCAGACGCATTTTACTACTACGCATGAGATTAGTGCCAGTTTTAGTACCGGGCCAACGGTTAGTCAGACTTTAACTGTGGTGCTTGCTACGCCTACGGCTACGGGTACTGCTTCGTGAGTATTTGTGCCGGGGTTTGACTCGTGTGCCAGTACAGGAGTGGCTGATTATACGCGTAGAGATGATGAGACCACTACGACTACGATTCATGTTACGAGTACGACGTATATCAGGACGAGAACTGTCACGCTTCCCTCGGCGACTGCTTCGGTCTGAGTGAGTATTGCTTGGTTAGCGAGTGGACTGCCTAACATGGATGGGCAAACAGCAATGTGGTGAGCAAGCAAATGTGAGCTGAAAGATGGTGACTGGGTTGACTTCTGATGGTATATTATGGTGATGATCAGTACAGGTAGTGTCTTATAGCTTGCGTACTTCTTCTTACACTATTTATTGACTGCTGTTGGGACAGATGTTTAGGCTTCACTGTGCCCACGGTCACCATGCATAAAATTAATCGACTTTGGACGTGGCTTTCTTCCAAACTTCCTTTCCGACCACACCCTTGAGGTTCTGAACAGTTACTTATCATCGTTACTTCTGCCTCATACTTTGCACCCACCGACAGGCTCCAAGCTTCTGATCAATACCTGTCATGTCTTCTGCCACCCCTCCGTCACCACCGAGCTACTGCGAAACCTCAGGGCCCGCTCAATATGCCCGACATATTGAGCAGTCGCCACCCAGCTCGCGCTCCAAGCCCACTTGTACCGATGACAAGGGCCAGCCATCGATCCACGGGCCAGTAATCCGAGACTTTGCCTACGATCACCATGGTCAGAGCACAAGGAGTCAACGCCGTCCGTCCAAACTAACCACGATCAAGCTTGGACCCGGTATCTACACGAGGACATGCCTGGACTATGCGGAGCTGAAGATACAAGATCTCGGGCCCAGTCCTGGGTTGTACCGGCATCTGCCTGGGTTCCCGATACATGTCTCCGGCACAGTCAGGACATCGGAGAGCCGGGGAAGTGAGCGTGGTAATGGTTCCCAATCTGGACGATGATGGAGTGATGCTTTGCTGACTTTGTATACGTAGCACAGTTGGCGCGCACCCATCAATCTCATCACTCTCAACAGGATGGTCACACCTGTCATGACCGCCAAGAACGAAGACAGAGGCGGCAGACCCTGCGCGAATACCGCACCGCCATCCATCTCGCCATCGCCGCCGAGATCATGCTAGTCATCGTAGCAGGCGGGCTGGTAGTAATCCACGCTTCTGCGATTGCAGATGCCGCGACTTCGCGTGCTCATCATGCCCTTTTGGTATTGCGACAATGCGTGCCAAATACGAGCAGCATAGCCTGGACCGACTGGTCAGCCGGAACTCTTGTGCTGGCTGGATTCGCGGCAGGTGTAGCGGGCTTCAGCATGGTGGGTGTGGCTGTTTTGATACTGTTCTCGTGGGTCGGCGGGAGTGGTGTTGAGGCGGCAGTTCTATCCACAGTGACGAGTGAGTTGACGACGAGTGTCACCTCGACGTCCACCATGCTGCCGGCCTCGGCCACTATGGCCACGATTCCCGGGGTATACAACATTACGCTCCTGCCAAACGTGACTTTGAGTGGTCCATACCAAGCAGATATCTCAGCGGGATCCTGCTACTACCCCAACTGCGTCTACGACACCGTCAACTCAGCCGGCTCCATAGTCTTGCCCGAGAGCTTGCTTAGATTGTTTGTGTACACAAGCACCTTCTTGGTCGTGATCTGGGCCGTCTGCAAAGCCGCCTTTGCCGTCCAAGCCATGATGAACGAGCAAGTTCAGCGGGTCGAGCAGGTCGCGCAAATAAAGCAAGCCAAGCAGATCGAGAAATTCGAGCAAGCATCCCTCCCACCGCCAGAACTCGACATGGAGGCCGATGAGGTCTTCGAGTACGAGACTGGCATGAACAAGGAGACCATCTTCCCGCTCCGAACCTCAGAGTCGAACGATGCCGCGAGGCTGAGCAAGAGGCAGAAGCGCACTCCCTCCGCAATCGGCACGAGCCGTTCGAGAAGTGACGGCAGGGTGTGCACGCTCAAGAAGCGCAAGGTCGTGGTTCCGCGTCGCACGCTGGACGTTGATGAAAGGGTTTATTTCATGCACTACCCTCCTCGTGCAGTCGAGCAGGACTTTCGCTCGTCGCTGTGAGGCGTTGCAGCGATGTAGCCTCTCAAGATAACGTCTGCTGTCGAAAGGTTATCTGAATGTAAGGAACGCGTCGAGGCAGTGCCGCCTACCTTTACGACCTTCATGTAGCATGACACAACGCCCACCAAACACAGTCCATAGTTCTCATCGAGTCATAATACTCCATAGTCAATCCCCTACCATCCCGTATTCCTCCTCACCCCCCCAACTCTCCCCCGTGTAACAGGCTTCTTAACAACCATCCACATCATCACCGCCGTAGCCGCACTTAAACTAAACCACGTGAAAATATACTGCACATGATTATTCCTCAGATTCACCTCCGCCGGCCGGCCAATCGGCACCCCCTTGTCCTTCCGATCCAGACTCATGAGTAGATCCGCAGCCATCGTCTCCTCGATCCAAACCGGCTGACTCCCAACATGTTCAGCCATCTGATAGACATCCGGGAAGTGCCACAGATTCCTCCCCGGATCATTCTCCGGCGTGAAGGAGTTCTTCTTCCACGGCTCCCGCAACAACCCCTGTACCACCACCTCCCCCGTCGGCAGACCCTCTCTTCGCTTCCCCTGCGCAGCCTTCTCCTTACTAATCCAGCCCCGATTCACCAACACCGTCGAATTCCCCTGGAAACCCCTAAACTCCCCCCGTCTATCCAACGGCGTAACAACCAAGAACCCATCCTCCCCGTCGAACAACCGCGGCCCAATCAGCATCTCCCCCTCGTGCCTAAACACCCCGCGGGCATATACCCGTCTGTAATCGAATTCGTGGATCATATCGGGATCTATCTGCGGTGGGAGCGGGAGGGGGTCCCGGACTAAGCGGTCTTCGAAGCGGGCGACTAGGTCGGTTTTCCAGGTTAGGCGTTGGACTTGCCAGCATCCCAAGGCGAAGGAGATGAGGGGAATTGAGGCGAGGAGTGCCAGGCCGTAGCGGTTGTGTTTTCGGCCGGAGCGGACTAGAGTCGGGGGGTTGTCGACGATGGATTTGAAGGTTGGGTCGTCGGCGGGTTGGTGGTTGGATTGGTGGCGGCGGAGGAGAGGTTGTAGTGGTTTCCGAGGGCCAGGGTGGAGACATTGTTGGCAGATGAAGGGGGGGCGGGAGGTTGTGAGGGTCCGGGTAGGAGGTTTTCGGACTGAAGCCCGCCATAAGGGCCTTGATTTGTCCATAATCCTTTTGCCTGGAGGATGCACTTCAGTCTGGTTTAGAGTCGATGATATATATGCGGAGCTCCGGGAATTCACATGCTTACACATTGGTCCGTGCATAGATGACGGAATGGGGATACATACATCTACCTAGACTAACCCGCACCATCTTCCATAATAAGAAGGAACGCACAGCAATGGCAGGTAACAGTATCTTCCACCCCGGAGACCTCCAATCTGGCATCTCCACCGCCATCCAACAACACAAACTCGTCGCCTGCTTCATCCGGGGCGACGACAACCCCACATCTTCATTATGGGAACAGGAATGGCTGGCCGAATACGCGGAGATTATTGCCGAGAAAGCTGTGTTGCTAAGGATAGAACATGGGAGTCAGGAAGCTGGGTTCTTGGGGGCATTTTGTACGATTGAGAGGGCGCCGGCGTTGGTGGTAATACATAATGGGCGGGTGCTGGAGAAACTGGGGGCGGAGGTGGGGAAGGAGGAGTGGGAGGAGAGGGTGTTGGGAGCGTTGGGGCTTGGGGGTGGGATCGAGGAGGAGGAGGAGGAGGTGGAGGAGAAGAGGGTGGGGGAGAAGGAGGTCAAGCTGGGAGATGATACGGCTACGGGTGATGTTGCACAGGCTGTCTCTCAGGCTTCGGCCGCCGTCACATCTGCTCTCTTCCCCCAGTCGTCGTCATCATCGTCGTCAACATCACAACCACAATCGCAATTACAACAAGAATCGTCTCAAACACCCACCACTCTCTTCCCCGACCGCTCCGCCCGCCTGGAAGCCGAGAAGGCGCAAAGAGATGCCGACGAGAAAGCAGCACGCACAGCACGACAAGAGGCCCGACGAAAAGAAGCCGAAGAAGCGTACCAACACCACCGAGGCGACAAAGGCAAAGGCCGAGCTACAGATGCTCCCGCGACGGGGGATCCTGATAAAGCCCGCGCAAGAGACGCCTGGCTGTACCAACAGAAACTGCGGAAGGACGAGGCGAAGAAGGAGAAAGAGAGAATACTAGAGCGTATCGAAGCGGATAAAGCAGAACGGCGCCTTCGTGCTCAGCGGGCGAAAGAACCCACCTCCTCAGCAGAAGCACAGGAGTCTCCACTCCCTCAATCCCGCCTCGCAGCCCAAACCCGCTCAGCAGGCGCAAGCGGAACCTGCGCCCTCCTCATCCGCCTCTTCGACGGCTCCTCCGTGCGCGGCAAATTCTCCACCTCCAACACCCTCGGTCGAGACGTCCGAAACTGGATCAAGGAACAAGCTCCTCAGGGCAGTGGAGGGGCGGATATCCCGTTTACCTTCCGGCAGATCCTGGCTCCGAGGCCGAGTCGGAGTATTGAGATGAGTGAGGAGTTTCACACCCTGGCTGATTTGGAACTGGTGCCTAATGCTACGCTTGTCCTTGTTCCTGTTGCGGGGAGCGTGTCTGCTTATGCCGGTGCTGTGGGAGTGGGGGGAGATGGATCTTGGCTAGGCTGGGGCTATGGCCTTGCTTCTTCCGCTGCGCAACGGGCTTCGTATTTCCTTCCGTCTTTTTCACGCTTATATCTCGGTGGGACGGGGGATCCGGAGGAGAGGGGGAACTCGGAGGGGGCGGCGCAGGCCGGGGCGGATAGTAGTAGTGCTGGCGCAGAAGGGATCGGTCTTGGTGCTGGTGCTATTGGGGGGAGGGTGAGGGTGAAGACCTTGGCGGATCAACGGGCGGAAGCGGCGAAGAGGCAGAAGAGGACGGAGTTTTATAATGGGAATTCCTCCGCTTTCGAGGGCAGGAAGGGGGATGACGGGGAGGATGATGAAGTCGCAAAGTGAAACTCGGGCGGCGGCGACAAGACTCCAAGGCTCGATTCGATGTTGGCGTGGCAAAATCCGTGCGCATTCTTCCGAGGACGGCGAGCTGGGCTAGCCTTTCAATGTAGGGATATATGTACGACTACGACTACCATATCATCACGACCAAATGATGATGTATGTTCCTAAGCATGGTCCACAAGCACCACCTCCCTCATCTCCCCCTCAAACCCTCCTCCCCCGATCGTCTGCAACGGCGCCGTCATAGCCATATTCGCCCAAATGAAAAACTCCCCATTCACCCCCAACTTAGTCGTGAACTCCATTTCCTTCCCTCCATCAACAGAGAAGAATGTCTGGTTCCCTCTCCCGATCAAAGTCGCCTGACTCCAACTGTTGAGGGGGAGGGTATAGTTTAGCGCAAAGGCATTTCCGGCGGAAATCATCATTACTTGCGTGCTTGTGCCGTTGCCTAGTCGGAGCTGACTGTCCGGGCCGGTAAAGAGGGGGACGTTGTAAACGGATGGATTGAGGGAGAAGGAGAGGGTGTAGTTTTTTCCTTTGGAGGTTAGGGGGGTGGTGAGGGTGCATGTGCCGTCGAAGAGGAGGCTGGACTTTGCTGTGGTTGTGCAGTTGGTGTGGCCATTATAGTTGTTTCCTGAGAGATCTTGCACGATGCCGTTGTCGCAGTCTTTGGTGAGGTCGTATTTCAGGATCGTGGACGATTTGGACGGGATAGTGCGGTCCAGATTCTGGCCCGGCGCAGCCGCTTGCAATTTCTCGAAAATGGCATCATATTGCTCCTCCTTCAATTTACCACCCCATTGCTTATCCGCTAATGCTGGAAGCCCATTTCGCCACGCATCGTATGCTTCCAGGTACGTGGAAGTATTATACCCGTAATCGTTCCACTGAGCTGCGATATGGCCAGGCACGTACGGACTATCGCGAGGTGGGTTGTTCGTAGCATTATTAGGATCGAAGATATTAGGTGCGAAGGCTCCACCGAGAGGGTTGCCGTGGAAGATGAGGGTTTTGTTGAGTTGTTGGGCGTAGCTTCCTGAGTATTTTTGGACGAGGTAAAAGTGGTCGTCGGAGTTGATCACGCTGTATTGGTTGTTGATGTAGTCGAAGACTGGGTTATCTGCTCGATGTTAGAGATTTCTTATGGCCATATGCTTCGATCAGGATGAACGTACCTTCAAAGAACTCCCAGTGCTGGATCGTGACATCTTTGCTGATATTGTTGGTGTAGTTCGCTTGCGGCGGGAAAGTGCCCCAGATACGTACCGATTTCCCGGAAACGCTGCGGATGAAGTCGTTCATTGCGTTCACGAAAGTGTTGTACACAACAGCCAGCGCATTTTTGCTTAGCTGCGAGTCCACGTATTCATCAGCGCCGATGTGGACGACCTTCGACTGGAACCAAGGCAGGAACGTCTTCCAGATCGTCTCCATTTGAGGTATCGTGTCCGGGTTCGAAATGTTGAGCAGATCAATTTGTCCTTCTAGTGCCAACTCAGGCTTCCATTGTGATATGACCAGAGCATGGCCTGGTGCTTCTATTTCTGGAATGACAGTCACGCCTCGAGCAGCGCAGGCGGATTGTATGTGGTCAAAGTCCTGTAGAGTGTAAGATTCATTGGCATACTTGTTCAGCCCAGCAACAGCAGGGTCATCGGATAGTAGTCGGAATCGAGCGTACAGCTCGAGCTGCCGCTCCAGAGAGTAGATGTCGACGTTGTTGTACAAATTATCACTGAGATGCAAGTGAAATGTATTTTGTTTCCAAAATGACGTCCAGTTGCACATCTCGACCAAGAAGGATGGTGGGTAGTAATGCCGGCCAGCATCGAGCTGATCAAAGCATTAGCTAGAGAGTCATATCCAAATGAAGGACAAGATGCGTACGAAGACACCTCTCGTGTTCCATCCTGGACTGTCGACACCCGAACCAGTCGATATACTCCCATTCTGTAGCACAGCCTGCTGTAAGAGCGTCCTTGTACCCCACCAGACACCAAGAGGACTAGCTCCAGTCACAGTGATATTGTTTTCAGTGATATCGAGTCTGTAAGCTTCAGATGTCCATCGACCGGCGGCGTCAACGAAGTCCGAGCAGTTGTCGAGGGTAAGTATGATGGACAGCGCTTTCGTCTCGTGCCAGTGCCCTAGACCACACGACCGTCCTGTAATGTGGGTGAGATCTTCTTGGAACGTTCGCGCAAAGTCGTTGAGAGTTGGTGGAATTAGTGTCCAGCCGTTTGTGTCCGTAGCATTGCCATAGCGAGGGTCTACAACGATCGATTGAGTCTGATGAAAGTCGTAGTGTCCTGCTGCTGAAGTGACAAATGGTACAGTCGGTATACCGACCAGATCAGCTACCGTCAAAGAGCAGCAAAGACTGATGGTCAACCAAGCTGTGATTCCTGCCATGGCTGCAGAATATGGACAGGAGATTCTCTGTTATTAAACACAAGAAGAAACAGTACTTAGCCCGGTCTCTTATCAATATGGGAAGTAGCATAATAGGATTCAGATAGTCTGCTGCAACATACTGATTGTATGCGCCATGATCGACTTTGGTCAATGGTACTGTAGCGAGGTGGTGTTGCGGGTGGGGCTTGATGGCTGAGGGGTACCTGCATGGTCGTGGGCTCGGACAAGCAATAGCCGGCACTGATACGAGTGCTCGAAGTCTATCGATGAACTGACGTTACAGAACACGGGTCGTGTACTCATGTCTCTCGAATTGTGACGATGTAATGGTACGTTCGTGCCGATGCAGACATGATTATACAGTACAGTGGTCTGGCGACTGCTTCGAGGTTCGACGAGAAGGTGCTGCCGTGGGTCGGCGAGCCAGTGATTTTCCGAAGAGGAAAGGAACTCCCAGCCATAGCACTCGTGATCGATTCGCATGGTCGTAGATTAGCTCGAGGCTGAAGGAGGAAGCCAGAACTCGGGACGTGAAGATGACAGCCATCGGCTCCACTCTTTGGCCCGAATCTTCGATTTTCGTGCCAGCGCTCGGGACAACGTCGACATCATCATCACTTCGGCTCGACCATATCAATAACTATATGGGAGCACTTGAAGTCCACATGGGAGCATTATTATGGCTTTGACGGAACACAGCTCGGAGCTGCACACCTTGCTCGACAAGCTTGATGACCTATGGGAGCAGCACCTCAACCTCGTAGATGTATACCAGGAGGCTCAGACTGCTTTGGCCAAACACTTGAGCAAGGTCGACATATCCAACACACTTTGATCGCGCGTTCCAAGCCTGACATATTTGTAGGGCCACTTCTCCCTCGCCCAGGCGAACTTTAGATCTCCTGGTCGAGGTCGCTACGGAAAGGACTATTATGACGAACGTATGAAGCCATCCAGAGTAGCTCGTATCAAAGAGAGTAAGGACGGCCGCCTGGAACTCTCCGTTCACGAGACGAAGATAAGGACGAAGACAGTGCCTTCCGCCACGATAGCTCTGGAGAAGCTGTCCCTAGGTGCATCTGCGCAGTTACCCACGCCTTCCAACAGTCCGGAGCCAGAGGCAGAGAAACCAGAAGCGGAATCTGGTGACCACGACGAACCAGATGAGACGACCAAGGATGATACTGTCCCAGAAGCACAGTCGACTCCGCGAGATCCACTACACTGGTTCGGCATACTTGTCCCACAGGAGCTACGAGCGGCACAGTCGTCCTTCTCTACTGCTACGGACGGACCAGTGATCGATGCTGTGAATGCATCTCGTCGACTGCGTGAGTCAGAGGTTGAGATTGGAAGGACAAGGAAGTCGATTAAGAAGGCTGAAAAGGCTACGACTGGGTTGCGCGAACAGTCTGCTCAAGTGGTATAAAAAGCAGAAGCAACACGTGGAGAGGGGAATCGTGATGAAGCATCAGATATCTGATCCTGAGCTCGACTGCCGTGCGCTCAAGCAAAAGCATCAGCAACCACCTTCTCAACCTCCCTCCGACTCATCTCCCTAACACCAAGAAGCTCATTATCATTCTTGCCACTAAAATCGCCCCCGTAGCCCTCAGTATAGATACTAGGATACAACAAGTCAACCATGATCTTCCCCAGCTCCTCACCCGAAGGACTATTGCCCAGCGCCGCCATCGCCTTCTGATACCAGTCCTCCGAAGTCACTCTCTCGACCTTCCAGTCTTCTGTCCCACTGCCTTTCTTCGCCATTTGAAGGAGCTCATTTTGCGTGATAACTGTGTCTTGGACGTAGACGGCGCGATTCTTGGTCTTATCGAGATGCTGGAAGACGCCTACCACGGCTTTTGCTACGGTGGCTAGGGTTGTGGTGCTGAACGGCTGTTCGCCTTGGTCGAAGATCGTGATTGAGTGCTCTTTCATCTTGAGCAGGAAGTCGTATTGCAGGCCCCAGTCGAGGAAGACGCCGTTGCGGACCATTGTGTAAGTGAAATTTGGGTTTGCTTTCGCGGTTTCAATCATCTTGGCCTCAGTCGCTGCTTTGTAGCCGTATACTGGCAGTGCGCGAGTCTTGGAATTGGCCATATTCGACCCAAACTCCGCTGGTAGGAAACGCTGGACTCCGGCATTGGCGGCGGCTTCAATTAGTGGGTTTTGTTCTCCCGTGGCTGTAGAGGTGATTGTTGAGACGACGCCGAGGTGGTTTTGCAAGGCGGCAGAGAGGGAGGAGACAGAAGTGTAGTCGACTGTTGCGTACTTGACGTCCGCGTCGGATGGAAGGTCCAGTGATTTGGGCTGCGAGGAGCGAGTGAGGACTGTGACGGGGTAGGATGCTGCGACCAGAGCGCGGATGACATGGACGCCTAGGCTGCCTGCGCCGGCTACCGCTATGCGTTGGGTTGAGGAGGGCATGATTGTGGAGTGATGTAGACGAGTACAACGTTGATGGAAAGTTGGCTTGTTTGATTGGGAATGTGTCTAAACCGTACATATATGTGCTCTCAAGCGGTCAGTGGAGTCTGGAGGTTATTGCACACTACACCATGGCAATGGAGTCGGTAAGCATTGCAATACCAGCGGTGGATGTAGCTCGATCCATAACTATGTCCGTCGTGAGGTGTCCACATCACCTCAGATGAACTCCCAACCGACCATTGTGGTTGGTCGCCGGAGCTACAAAAAAATTGTTACAGCCAGTCCCGCTTTGTAATCCTGGCTTTCGGCCCCGACTGGAGGTAACACAGCCGGCTGTACCTGCAGCAAGATCCAACTTGACCTAGATGAGCGACTCACCAGAACAATCCTTCCCAAAATGGAAAGGCCCAATTATGTGAGGCGCATTTATGGTGTTTGATATGGTGTAAAGATGCTGCATTGACCAGCCATACTCGACTGCTTGGCCTTCTTTGGAATATCGGCTGTTAAGCGAAGTCTCGGCAGCCGCTACGGCAACGTCAGACATGCCAGACGCACTTACCGCTTGATCAAAGGTCTGGAGAGCGGACTTGCCCTCCTGAATCTGGTGCGGCATGAACGCTGGTTAGCATACTATCGTGAAAGTAAATACCATGAGACTGCTTGATACGGTCCACCGCAAGCAAGCCAAAAGCGCCTTATTCGTAGTGTTGGGCCACAGAGCATTCATAGAGCATCCATGCATGCGGCACTACTGCTGACGAGCGAGCTACCACGGATGGCGAGAGAGACACAATCACGTACTAGTGGACGAAGTATGGAAAGCTCTTCGATCCTGGAAGTATCTCATGCGAATATGCGGTATTCATGCAGTGTATGTGCATGTCAAGAACTTCTTGACTCTTCTTAACGTTAATTGAAGTTGTACAAATCGCGATAATGATTGAACGTATGATAGCGCTACAAAGGACGATGCTTGCGAAGTCGTATGACTCTCTGGAAAGGGTGTCAGCCGTCATTGCATAGCACAAGTAGTGCAATGACAAGTCTAGCAGCCAGTGATGTGGACTATGCAGGTCCATCGCAGTGATGAAACCTAACGCGTGATGTATAGTATTACAATGCTCTATCTAATGCTACAGCAAGCATACCGCCACGCATTCGGCACAAGCCGGCGAGAGCGTGTATATGCGACTGAACCGCGCGTATCGGCTCATCACCCCTCTCACAGCTTCACACCTTCAGTGAGCCTTCGCACTCGACTTCAACCCAGCAGCTTTCTCCCCCGCCGGTTGAATCCTCGCCATCATCTCCTCCTTCGTAATCAGATGATCAATCCGCTCCAACAACCCCAACAAACTCTTCATATCCCCGGACCACTGATTCAACACCTCATCCGCATCCCTCATCTTCTCAAAACTCACAATCTGCGCCGGGCGATCGATACGAGCGTAGATGGTTTTACTTACCACGAGATCGGAGATGTATTTCTCGGTTTCCTTGGCGGGGAGGTCGAGGAGGGAGGTCAGGCGTGGGAAGGTGATGCGGGTGTAGTATTTTGCTATCACGCGGACGTTGTGCTCGATGACGCGTTTGCGAAAGTCTTGCCAGCGTTGGTGGGATTTGGGGTCGTCTTTGTTTTCGGAGGTGGTGAAGATGTCGGTGGAGGTGAGTTGGGGGCCGAAGTTCTTCTGGATGCTTGGCCAGCGCATAAGTTCTGGGACGGTGAAGAGTTTCAGAAGTGAATGTTCGGTGGGGCAGGAGGTAGGAATGCGCGTGTCTTGTGCTATGCGGTGGAGGAGGTCGTTTTGTTCGTTGTCGTAGGGTGCGAGGAGGATGAAGTAGATTACACGCTGTAGTGACGCCTTGAGGTGCTCTGGGTTCTCTTCCACGGCTTCGGTGTCCAGGACTTGACGGTAGTGCTTGCAGGCTTCAAGATACTTGTCGTCGTGCTTGGCCAGTGTGATCTGCTGCTCGTAGAACCGCAGCTTGAGGTCGGTCACATCATCCTCCTCGGGGTCGGCATTCGCATCCTCGCCCACCGCTGTATCTGCCTGCTTCCGTGCCTGCTCCTCCTTTTCCTTCTTTCGCTTCTCGATCTCCTCTGGTGTTCGCTTCGGTTTGCGATTGAAGTATCTTGTGCTGATTTTGCGGCTCAAGATGCCTGCTTGTGTCCAGTCGCTGTCGTCTATGCACAGAGATACCTGCTCGAGGATGAATTCGGTCTTCTCTCGCCTCGACATGGACCCGAAGGTCTCGACTTGCAGTTCGCAGAGGATGTCTTTGGCAGATGTGATGTCTTTCTGCTCGCGCTTGATGTTGGAGAGGATGCGGGTGACGCGCGCTCGCTCGACCTCGACGAAGATCTGCCAGAGCATTAGTCAATAAACATATATAACGGCATAGTGAGAATATCATCCTTACCTTCCCCTCCGTCACCGTCCGTAGCGTCTCGATGACTGTCAGCTTAGTATCCTGACTCGGCGCATCGTCCAAGAACCCCATCACCACCTGCACCATCTTGGTGATGGCCTGCTTGAGCTGCCCATGCTTCTTGCTCAACAGCAACACCTGCTCATTGAGCAGGCTCCAGTCGCCACTCTCCTTACATATCGTCACAATCTTCACGATCAGCCGCGATGTACTGGGCAGGTCGGAGCTCTGTCGTGTCTGCTTCTCTAATGCGAGTAGGCGGTCGATGGCCGCTTGTGTTTGGCCATTTGAGGCGAGGGATTCGGCTTCGGGGATGGCGCTGTCTACTTCCTTGGTGTAGTCCTTATCTGCCTTGAGCATTGTGCCGTCGGCCATGATGGAGGGGATGTTGAGTTGTAGTTGTGGCGGTGGTGAGTGTAATGTGTGAGGGACAAACAATGTTGCTTGCAAAGGCAGCTCTGTGATGCGTGGTGTCGGCGTTCGGAGCTTTGCTCACGTGCTTCGAAAATCTTGATGCCTGGTTCGTGCCTGAGACGCGACACACCCTCCTTAGTCGCGAGGCACAGGAACGGCATCTTGATCTCGACATGTTCAGAGCATGACGCTGGGCAAAGATAGCGAGACATATCAGTAATGCTGACATGCTCTCTATCCCTCGCCGAGCTACCTTGTCTAGCTTGGCCACCGTGATAAGCTCCACACGCCGGTCGCCACCGCTTCACCATACTCTTGGGACGAGTACTAATCCAGCCTTTGCGTTGCAACGATGGTCAAATCTATCAACATGTGCATCTCCGTTTCCCATAACTCCACGGGCTGGGCTAGTAGTCTCCGCATGCTATCCAGTACCAAGCAGCCAAAGCACTCAGGCGAAGCGTTTTCAGAGCGGCAACGCCTCGACTCGGACTGTGCCCCGGGCTACAAAACCGGCCGCGAGACCATGGACAGCAATCGATGACGAAAGTCTGGTGCAGTTGCGTTCCGCCGAGCTGACGAACGGCGAGATTGGTCGACGACTCGGTCGCACGCGTAGGGCGATAGACCACAGAATACATGCCCTCGACCTCCCTCGTCGAATACTGACCAAATGGTCTCCGGAGACGCTGGAGACGCTGGAGGATCTCTGCCGCCAGGGCATGACTAGTGAGGCGATCGCAACAACGATGGGGGCGTCTGTGAAACGTATCGAGATTGCCCGCTCTCGCTACCTGCGAGCCGCAATAACCGAAGGATCGAGTTGGGGGCCTGCAGATCTCGACAGGATTCAGCAGATGAGGGAGGAAGGTCGCACGTTGGAGCAGGTGGCGGAGGCGATGAGCATCTCGCGCTCCGTCTTGGTGCGTCTGATCAAGCAGTACCTACCACGATCTTCTCGGTACGATTCCACGAGGAGTGACACAGGAGTCGCAGAAGTCAGCCGTCTTAGAGCTGTCAAGCTCACAGCTATTCAGACGACGGACAAACTTTCAGGTCGATCTGTGGAAGGCGTTCGCAAGCAACATATACCGAGAGCACCTCTCTGGTCAGACAAGGAAAAGGCGACGCTGCGTGAATTGCGACGCCAGGGACTCTCTATAGCTGACGCCACCACGAAGATGCCGGGGAGGACGTTCAAAGCAGTGGAAGCTAAATGGTATCGGACCCCCGGTGGACAAATACCGATCCTAGGAGCCAAAGTTGCATCGGCCACACGACTCGGCCAAACTCTCGGACAGCCCGTCAGCACGGCTCTGCACGCCCGCCATCTTTCTACCTTACGACATGGTGGACAGAGAACTTCGCCACAACCGCCTTGTCGGACTTTTCACCGCTCGGTCAGGGTGACTAACAGGACTGAGAGTACAGAGTCGAAGAAACAAACACCATCGCGAGCCGGGAAACTTGAAAGAATTGAATAGACACCAGAGGAGCGAGCAAATCTCCTACAGCTTCACAAGTCTGGTGTGTCGGGAAACGAGATTGCTGAGAAGCTTGGGCGCTCAAGGGAAGCGGTTCAACATCAAATGAAAGTCCACGGGTTACAGTCGCCGCCACAGCCATGGTCCGAACAGGATTTCAAGAAAATTGAAAGGCTTTGTGCGTGTGGGATGAGAAATGGAGAAATCGCCGCAATTATGGGTACTACCAGTCGTCGCGTTAGACAATGCCGGAGTTACCGTGTGAGCGATCCTTTGAGGAAGGGACCAAGCTGGACGCAGGCAGATGTCGACAATATTCAACGGCTGAGGCAGGAAGGTCGCACTTGTAAAGAGATCTCATCAATGCTCAACATCAGTCCTTATGGTGTCACAAGACTGATCCGCTATTATCTTCCGCGCAGCGAGCGCTGCTCTGTTCAATGGACCCCAGCGGAGACCGCACAAATGCACAGTCTTCATGTCGCAGGCCTCAAGGCCCCCGCTATCGCTAAGAAGACTCCCAGACAGATCCCCAGCAGCAGTCGAAAAAATGGTCTTCAGGCGGAAGGGGCAGACACGTCATTATTGGACTGTAGAGAAGCTCAACACTCTCCACGACATGCGCAGTCGAAGTCTAAGTTATAGCGAGATCCAAGCGAAGATGCCCCGGCGAACGATTAGCTCTTTGGCGTCCAGGTGGTTGAAGATCGCAAGCAGAAAGGGACTGATGATTGAGGATCGTAACAATGAATTCCGCCAACCTAAGTACGGCACGAAAGATGTAAGTTGATAAGACACAGGTGTGTTTCCTCGGGTGGTGGCAGAGCTCGCACGACCTTTGCAGCGAAACGAATGGCATCAGTAAGCGCTGAGCTGCGACCGAGTTATCAAGGCGTGAGGTATTCGCCGACAATGATCAGAACTTGCGCTGCGTCTTCGCCTCGGGCTCATGGAATGAGCGAGCTTAGCAAAGCTCTGCTATACGCCACAACAGCGTGCTTACACTTACTAAGCAACGCTAACCCCAACTTGATGCGTATTCGTTTGAAGACTTGTACGCCACGCCGAACATGCATCGACTGCAGAGCTGAGTGGGACTCTGAAACCATGCATCGCTCGAGTGATACTTAAACTCGCGACGCCTCATCTCAGTACCGGGGAGCTTCATTCCTACTACCAACAGTACCAGCCATCAAGATGGACACCAACGCCAAACAAGCCGTGATTGAGACAGTCTACAAACTAGCCTACGCCCTGGATGCCCTAGACGAAGCAACACTCTCCCAAACCTTTACCAACTCCTTCCACCTCGACATCTCAGCCCTCCTCGGTGTTCCAGCTAAGGACATCACCGGCACCGAGTACTACCAGCTCGCCCGCAAGAACCTAGGCGGCTTCGATGCAACACAGCATCTTCTCAGCAATCCTCTCGTCACTTTCTCCAGTCCACAGGAGGCACATGTCAAGGTTTATATCTCGGCCTTCCATGGGATCGTGACTGAGGGGAAGACGGAGGGTGCGACGGCGAGGGTGTTTTGGTTGATTGATCTTGTGAGCAAGGATGGGGAGGAGTGGAGGATCAAGGGTATTAAGGTTCAGCTTGTGGCTCCTATGGATCATTTAGAGGTCTTCAAGATTGGGCATGAGCGTGGGGTGGCTGGACAGTTGCGGAAGGGTATTTGATGACGAGGACGGCCAGTGAGGAGGATATCCGGTCAGGCCCATGATCCTGCCGCGGGAACGATCGTGTGTGGCGGTCTATACTGGCGACCTGAGGCCGTGTCGTAAGCATATCTGGACGCTCGTTATGGCTAGGCCGCTCGTCTTTGATACTTCAGCATTATGATGTAGATATTATTCAATGAAGCTCAGCCTCAACATTTACCAATGCTTGTCGTGCGGCTGAGGTTCGATCTTCCAAGAATGGAGACTGGTGAAGTGTTACACGGACGTTCAGTAGACCTCACTTGAAGGCCAGAGCACCCTCCCACCCCAAAGCGGAAGGAGGCTAGAAGCATGTGAAAAGAGTGCTCCATTAAAATTCGGGGCTAGATCGTGTCTTCCCGAACTGCATCATCCAGCACATATCACTTTACTTCCTCCAGAACTTTCGTATATACAGCCCGTTCGACCTTCGTAACCATCTAATTGATAACCGCTTTTGTTCTACAGAGGTACATTGTCAGTCAGCTCTTACATAGCACACGAAACACAGCCATTGGCTCGAAGCTAACGATTTCGGGTTAGTGACTTCGACATACGGCTTACAGTGCAGTGGAGAAGCTACGACATCGACCAACTTTCGGGCCCGAAGGAAAGAACATAAAAAGCATCGAGTCTTGGAGGGTTTAATCTCAATCAAAACACGAACCATCAAACAGCAATAATGCCAGGCAAAACTCTCCTTGTCCTTGGCTCCGGTCCAGGCATCGGCGTAGGCGTCGCCTCCACCTTCGCCGTCCGAGGTTTCACGCACATCGCCCTCGTCTCTCGCGATGCTTCTCGCCTCAAGGAAGACCAGGGAAAGGTTTTAGACGCTATTCAGGAACGAGGGTATTCGTGTCAAGTCAAGACTTGGGCTTGTGATCTTACGGATGCTGGGCAATTGAAGAAAGTTCTTGGGGAGGTGGAGGGGTTTGGGGATTTGGAGTGTTTGTTGTTCAATGCGGCAAGGGTGGCGGGGAAGCCACCTTTGGAGGAGAGTGTCGAGGCTATTAGAGGGGATTTTGAGGTTTGTTGTTTTGCCACTCTGCACGTCCTTTGCATGGGGGTTGTGATGCTGACGGTATGTCCAGCTGACGAGTATTGCTCTTTACAACACAGCGCAGTGGGCTATCCCGCTGCTCAAAGGGAAGTCGGGCTCTGATCGCTCGCCTTCGTTCTTCGTCACCAGCACGACGTCGTTGTGGAAGGAGCCTGTACCTGCTCTCATGTCCTTGTCTATGGTCAAGTCTGCTCAACGTGCGATGGTGTTGTCTTTGCACGCACACTATGGCAAGGATGTGCACATCGCTCTTCTCAGTGTAGGAGGTGTGGTGAGCCCGGACAAGATCAATTTGACGCCGCAACATATTTCGGATCGGTGCTGGCACTTGTAAGTGGATGAAACCGTTTGCCAGACCTCGATGGATATTATACTAATACGATAAATGCAGATACAAACAGCCTAAGGACAAGTGGGAGCGGGATGAGATGATTGATGTTGCTGAGGGCGAGCAGGTGGGCTGATATGGGAGTTGAGGTGCCTGCACATCTACCGATACTGTTGCACCGAGGCTTACGTCTTCACCTGTGAAGACTTATGAGAAGTTCAGGAGCCTAGATGGTTGATTGCATACGAAACTCAGTCTCAAGACTCTTGCCAGCGATGTCCAAAGGCTTCTCGATGTCCATAGCAATTGCTGTTGAAAGTATTAGCAGATATTCAAAACCCATGATCTGACCACTTGTTCACTTACCAACGGCTTTCGCGATACCGTCGTCGGGCGTCACATTCTTCCACTGATGCATCACCGCCCTCTGCACCACCGAATCCCCAGCCTTCAACGTCCTGACCTCTCCACTATCAAGACGTAACTCCATAACCCCCTCAAGGATGATCATATAGTCCAGTGTCAGTGTCCGATGCATTGGTGAGGATGAACTGGCCGCGAACGAGACCATTGCGATGGCCGTTCCGTTGGATGGACACAGGCCAGTGGCGATTCCATTTCTGCGGTCCTGGGCATACTTGTCGATATCGTCTTCGCTACCAACGGACGGGATGGAGGCATGAGTGCTGTACAGGAGGTTCAGCTCGCCGTTGGGGATGGGGAGGGCGTTGTGTGTTGTTGGCACTTTGTCCGAGAAGACGGAGTTGCCTTTGCTGTCGTGTGTTGTGATGTAGTTTGCCATCGCGGTGGTCGGTTTACTAGTTTCCGCTTTGAGAACACTTGATCGGGGCCAGGGGTGAAAGGTGATAGGTCTGAGGTGACGAGGGAGATGTGTTTGAGGTAGTGTACTTGACTCTACTTATACTTCACCTTTGGCTGTAGGCTTCCATCGTCGTCCCCCGATGGTCGGACTGACAATTGTCCCCTCAAAAGCTTCGTGATCCTTCCGGCATGTTACTCTGATGTTTGGTTGCTTTGAGTATCGACTTTGAGAGTCGGCAAATCCTCAGCGAACTGCATGGTAGGGCAGGGGAGAAGGTGAAGGCACGACGGAGGAATGGTTTGCAGAACATGTCGGCGTCGTCGGCTCCGATCTCACCGTCCCGAGATGCAGCCGAAGCAGGGCAATTAAAGCTTTCGCAAGTGGAGACAGCAGCATCATCAGCCCACATGGAAGCCACTTGGTCTCGTGGTTCACCAGCCGCTGTGTTGAGCAGTAATTCCTCTTGAGCACTATCCTAGTACGCTGGTTTCAAAGGTAGGTGGTTCTTTTACTGATTATTTGCTGCACTGGGTACTTCGTCAAGATGAGCGGACCAGCTCCACGAGTCTCGACTTTTACTCGCACGCTCCCCTACCACTCCTCTACATACTTCCGAGCCATCACAGAAGCCTCTGCCTATCACACTTTCCTTTCTCAGGTCATCACCAGCACCGTCGTCTCGAAGGACGCCCAGGGTCTACCTAAAGTAGTCAAGCTGAAAGTCGGCTATCCTCCTATTGGAGTCGAAGAAGAATGGCGCTGCACAATGAAATTCGACCGTAGCGCCGGAACAGCAGAGCTGAGATGCAACACCGAAGGCGGCGCGATCGAGACGGTGGTGGTGAAATGGAAAATCACCCCGGCACCTTCGGCGACGAAAGCAGCTAAGACGACGACGGCAGAGCTTACACTCGAGCTGAAGTTTAGTGGCATGCTCTATGATCAGATGTTTGCGCTTTTGCCTAGTAGTGTTCCAGAGAAGCTCATGGAGTCTTTTGAGGAGAGGACGGAGGTGCTGGATGGGATTGAGAGGAAGGAGAGGGTTGCGCAGATGAAGGAGAAGGCTAAGGCTGCTGCGGCCAAGAAGGAGGGAGCGAAGGGTGTTGGCTCTGGGACGAAGGAGACCACGAAGAAAGCTGAGCCTGTGAAGAGCGCGGTTCCAGCCAAAGTACCGGCCAAGGTTGTTGACCCGGCAAAGAAGGTTGCGCCGAAGAAGACAGAGGTCAGACCTGGCAAAGCTGCTGGTACATGAACAGATGCCAGGTGATTAAAAGAGAGCATAAGCCTACTCCGCAGACACTACTTCGGCACTTTCGACAGCAGTTCGACATGGTAATAACTGCTCGGATCCCGCATCAGCTACAGGAAAGACTAGATGCCCAAGGATGTATGTTCTAACCTAGAAAGATACGAGCTAGAACGCAATGGATGTCCGAACTATGATAATCTCTAGCTCCGGCCAAATATCGTTACATGGTCAGGTCTGGCCACTTAGGGAACGAGAGAACGTCGACGAGTCGTTACAAGTGGTCGAATCCCCTTAAGCTCGATTCTGGGAATTGCGGGCAAGTTGGAGAAGCTTGGGATGCGAGTGCAGGATGTGTATAGAAGACTTGTGCAAAATGTGCCTTCATACAGCTACAGAGGTGTCGATCGAGTGCTCAATCGCGAGACTGGAAAGTCCTGTCTAGACCGTTCATTTGGAGCCAGCTATTCTGATGTTAGGATCTCCCATAGCTCGTGTAATATACACTGTGTGATCTCCTGTCCACGCCTAGAAGCAAACGCAGATCGAACTGCTCGCTTATGAAATCGTGACTTCCCTACATGCGTTAGCGCGCCATGCGCGTCATTGCTTGTTTCTGTTTAGGTTAATCGTGCCACGAATTAGACAGGTGATGATCTCGCTTCCCAGATGTGAGCAGGGCAGCTGCCCGTGAGCTAGCTGAGTTACCACTACTTCTTGCCAGCCCATCATGTCTCACACTTTGCGCCTTCTCGCAATCCTGGAGCTTTGCCAGGTCATGCCGACAGTCGGCAATCTACGCTCGACACCTCGTCCACATCCTGGAAAGCCACCACCAGCACGGCCTAGCTGAGACGGGACCAGCGCTGTCCTGATAACACTCGCTAACATACTGGTTGCGGAAGGCCTGCCTGCAAAACACACCCGCCAGCATGTCTACCATCGATCCTGGCATGCAGGATACAGTCACAGAAGCCGAACACGATGCCAAAGCCAAACACGGCTCGGGTGACATGACAGACGATGCGGATGCCAACCAAGCGGAAGCGTTTGAAGAAGAAGCCGAGGAAGCGGAAGAGCAAGAGGAGTATAGAGAGCCCTCGCGCTGGTGGTTCGCTTCCACAGCCTGTCCCCTTCTCGCCGGCACGTTCGGCCCCATAGCCAGCGGCTTCAATATCTGCGCCCTGGCAATCAACTGGCGCGTCTACATCCCACCCCAAGGAACCGAGGAGCACGGTGTTAGGATTGCCGATCCGCCTTGGTTGATTGCGGTGAATGCTGTCAGTTTGCTTGCGGCACTGGTAGCTAATGCGAGTCTGTTGCTTAACATGGCGAGAAGACTGAGGTTCAACATTGCCCAGCCTATTACGATCTCGGGATTTGGGTCGGCGGGTGTGTTGTTGATTGCGGATATGGCTGCGATGGTCGCGAGTCCCAATTATCACTTGACTGGCGAGGCGCAACCGTCAGCCAATCATGCTCTGACGCAGGCTTTCTATTATGCCATCTTCGCATCATCTCTATACATAATCATAAGTATACTGATGTGTCTGACGGTCTACGGTGCTACGAAGGACTACTACGAGAACAGCTTCCGTCTCACTGATTCGCAACGGACGCTCATGCTGCAAACGATGATGTTTATCGGCTACCTACTCCTCGGTGCGCTAGTCTTCAGCGAGATCGAAGGCTGGAACTATCTTGTCGGCGTCTACTGGGCAGATGTCACGCTCTTGACTGTGGGCATAGGCGACTACTCACCCTCCACCAACGTTGGTAGAGGGCTCATGTTTCCTTTCGCCATCGGAGGTATCCTCATGGTCGGTCTGGTCGTTGGCAGTATCCGGTCCTTGGTGCTCGAACGCGGCAAGGAGAAGCTAGGAGCCAGAATCACCGAGAAGCGTCGATCCGCTGCTATCCATAATGTGGATGAGCGGAGGCAGACGATCAAGGTTTCATGGTTTGCCGCCGCAGACTTCAGCACAGACCCCGGTCTCTCACCTGCTCAGAGGAGAGAGGAGGAGTTCAATGTCATGCGCAAGGTGCAAGCTGTGGCTGAGGGAGAAAGGAGATGGTTCGCGCTGCTGATGTCAGCGTCATTCGTGCTATTTCTGTGGTTTGTGGGCGCAGCAATATTCATGGTGGCCGAGAAGAATCAGCAATGGACTTATTTCAACGCACTTTACTTCAGCTACATCTGTCTCCTGACAATTGGCTATGGAGACTTACGTCCGGACAGTAATGCTGGCCGGGCTTTCTTCGTCTTCTGGTCTCTGCTGGCTGTACCCTCTTTGACGATCCTCATTTCTAATATGGGTGACACGATCGTCAAAGCCTTTTCAGATCTGACGATATGGATTGGCACCATCACTGTCTTGCCAGGTGAGCAAGGCTTTCGAGCAGGTGCAAAGGCAATGGGACAGCATACTTCGAAGTGGTTCAGAGATAGCTTCCAGCGCTTCACGCCGCCAGGACTCTTGGGCGATGTGCCGCAAGGCCATACGATTCATCATGAGAAGAGGATGAGTAGCTCACAACACGAGCAACGCATGCTTGACCGAATGGCGGAACGATTGACGACCCATGCTGAGAATGAAGAACTCCGCGAAGTCGAGGAGATGAATCAGCAGGAAGATGTTCTCGAAAGAGATATCAATTTCTACCACTATGTGCTAGCTCGGGAGTGTCGAAACCTGCAGAAGGACCTTGGAACATCTCCTGCCAAGAACTACGCATGGGACGAATGGGAGTACTTTCTAAAATTGATGGGTAACCAGGACGATCCAGAAGATTTCCTGGGACAGAAGCTGCCGAATATTTTGGTGCCTGAACCGCTGCGCGTGGCTCCTAGTCAGGGTTCCGATGCCACGGTGACTGGTGATGTGGCAGCTGAGGCGAAGGATGAGGCCGGAGCTGCTCAGAATGCAAACCACGACGTTGAGGACGCACAGACGGATGGCGTGGTAGGCCGAAGAACAGAGCTAAGAAACTGGAAAGCAAAGCGCAAAGCAAACAAACTCAGACCTCATCCCTCGCGCCAGCCTTCCTCGGGACGACATAAAAGACCTACTACAATGGACATTCTAGACTGGTCCTGGCTCTCCTCCAAATCACCCCTCATGGGCACGAAGACAGAAACGGAATGGATACTTGAACGATTGTCCGCAGCTTTGGAGCGGGAGCTGAATAGACAGCGAAAAGGCTATAAGCGTGAACCACCTATCAGACTCAGCGAGATCAGGAAGAGGCGTGTGCAACAGGCGAAAGAGGATAAGGAAGGGGTGGAGCCTGGTGGTGATGTTGAGGGAAAGGGCGTGAGGAGTCGGCATCAGGCCGGGAAGGGGATGCATCAGGCTGAGGATACTGCTATTGGGAAGGCTGAGAGGGGGGAGGCTTGAACTTGTTTATTGATACCCTACTGCTTGATCGACCTTCTGACAAGGCAGCATTGCGTGGCGTGATGATTGGCTGTTGGTCTGAAGCAGCATCTTATGATGAAATCGTGTTGGCTGTACTTATACCCTCTTCAGCTGATAGAATGAGCAGTACAGAAACAGATCATGCTCAGCTTCTCCGCAGGAATTTAAACATTCACACAGCGAACGCTGTATGGTTCTGCTTGGACCGATCGTGTGGTTTGGGTACGGCATATCTATGATTTCCTTGTACGCTATCCATACCATAGAGAGCGAGAGGTGAGGATCAAAGCACTGCTGAGAACATACCCAAGTTTAGGAACACAGATGTGATAATGCAAGCTCTCGTTGATCTGACATCACTTTCAATTCCACGGCCAATGCCATTTGGTTTCTTTTGGAATGCGAGCGCCACATTACCGTATTGACTTGGCTTGATGGATATTGATGGCGGAAGTATGGTGTGTCTTATGCATAGTCATCCCAGGTACTTATAGCATTCGGCCCCGAAAACAGCTTACACTCCTGCAGCTGTCTATGCGGGGCTAACTCCTTCACATCTCATCATCGACCTCAGCCATTACGGGCTATTGGTCCGATTTATCATCGAAGGTCAAACGAGGATTATTCAAGGGTACCCTATGCACATTTGCTATTGCTGACAGCTGTCCTCACGCGCTGGCTGTGATAAGTAGTAAGACCTGCCCTGCCAGCCATAGATCTGTAGATGCATGCTGCAGGCGATTCGTCAGCGTTGCGGAAGTGTCCCTTTCCATAGTCATCAGTACTTCCTCGATCATCATCGCTCTCTGGCTACTTATAAGCTTCAGCGATCTGTGTTTATTCCTTGGCTTTCTTCACGACATAGACACGCCTTCACCACCATGACCTCCAACGCTGCGAGTGAGATATCCAATCCGGACAACAAAAAGACTCCTCACGACTATGCTGACAAAGATGGCCACTTTCGAAGGCCAGACTCCAAGTTCCGTAGCTGGATCAGCTCAGAGCCAGGCGTCGAGTTCCCAGCGGAGAAGGATCGATATGTGCTCTACATCAATTACGGCTGTCCATGGGCTCACCGCGCTAATATCGTCTACCACTTGAAAGGTTTACAGGACATCGTTCAGCTGGTAGTCATGGATCACCACATGGGCCCTGAAGGATGGGTCTTCACTCCCGGCAAGCAAGGCCAGCACGATAAGGATCCGCTGTATGGTTTTACCAAGATCAAGGATCTCTACATGAAGGCTAATCCCGAGTACACTGGTCGATATACGGTTCCTACTCTGTGGGATAAGCAAATCGAGACCGTAGTCAACAATGAGAGCTCGGAGGTGATTCGTATGTTCTACTCTGCTTTCGAGGAGCTCTTGCCGGAGAAGCTGCGGGAGACGAACAGGCCTGGCGGCGGTCTGCTGCCATCAAATTTCAAGGAGGAGATTGAGCAGCAGAATGAATGGGTCTATAATCAGATCAACAATGGCGTATATAAGACAGGTGAGATTGAAGTGATCTCTACTGTCAACATTATCTGACCAGCAGCAGGCTTTGCCTCCACACAAGAAGCATACGAGCAGAACGTCAAGACAGTCTTTCACGCACTGGATCGCATGGAGGACGTACTCACTAAGAGCGAAGGGCCTTTTGTCTTCGGCAAGCATCTGACGGAAGCAGATATTCGGCTGTAACCTCTTCGTGAATCCAAAGAAACCACTGGGCCCCCGGCTAACCTTTTCTTCCTAGCTACACAACAATCGTACGCTTCGATGTGGGCTACCATACAATGTTCAGGTGCAACCTCAAGATGATTCGACATGATTACCCGAACCTTCAGAAATGGCTGTTGCACTTGTACTACGATCTCAGTCCAGAGGAGACGAGGAATGCCTTCGCTCCCACAACACATTTCGATGCGGTGAGTGGAGCAGTGCAAGAATGTTGGTCACTCGTGGAGTCTATGCTGACATTCTTGACACAGATCATGGAAGGCTATGCCGCCGCGAGCAAGTCCAAGATCGTGCCACTGGGACCACTGCCATTGATGATGCCGAAACCATAAGCATAACGGATTGTGACTGATGATGTGAAATGTGCAATTCGGTAGGCGTAGTGGAGTCCTCGTGATATGGTATGGTGCGAGAAGTACTATCCAACGCTGTTCTGAGCCATCCTGTCTTACTCACGATTACACCCGGTTTGGTTTGTTCGTACAATTAGCAGTTTCCTCCCCGCCATCCACTCTCTGATAATGTCTACGTTCGTCCCTGAGCCTCGCAATACCCCTTCAAATCAGCGAGCCACAAATCAAACTTCTCCATCAATGTCTTCTGAAACATCCACTTCACCGTCCTCGCCAGAATCCCACCCTGGCACTCCCAAGTCCTGACCTCGCACTCGTTCTCCCCCACCACAATGATCTCGTGGAACCTCTCGCCCCTCAGACCACGGGAGACAAATCCGCCCTCGGTCTTCCAGCAAACGCGGTAGAGCTTCGATAGATCAGAGTAGAACGAGCTATCGCTTTCCCTTGTACTTGCTGGAACGTAGTCGGATGGATGGGACGGCGTGGAGATATCGGTGACTTTCAGCCCCGTAGCTGTCTTATTGTTCGATTTTGATGCGTCCATTACGACTTGGAATGTCATTATTGAGCCCAGCTTCATCTTGCGGAAGTCCGCCGCGCCGCCTTCGCGGCCGCCACCGGGTGGTTGGACTTCGATCTTGGCTTCGGGACAGAAGGTGTTCCATTTGTTGTAGTTTGAGACGTCGAGGACGGCGTCCAGAACTCGTTGACCGGGAGCATTGATCTTCTTGGAGGCATACATTTGGAGGATTGTGTCGGAGCGAGGGATTTGGACGGTGCTCAGGCCCTTGGCCGGCGGCCACGAGTATGAAGTGGCCATGGCTGTATTGTTGTCTATGCGAGCTATGTTGTGCCTGTGAGTGTATATTTTTGTACTTTCCTGTGAGTGTTTAGTCGTCCAGGTGTCTGTAATGCTCAATGGTGATTTCTGGAGTCGTCGATATATGGAATGAAGAAAATGGAGCTGCTTAATTGAGTAGTCTGATGTTACTCGATTAGGAGGAAGGCCTTACACCACATTTGCGTGACATTTTAGAAGGCGATCATTGGCAAGGACCGAAACGTGTAGTGGTCATGATATTGATCTATAGCAGGACTTTGTGCTCAACTTGCACAAGTGCTGCCTAGTGCTTACTTGTCAAGGCAACAGTCGTCTATGACATGAACGGTTGGGTGAATGAAATGAGAGCATAATGAAACCCGCCAAATTCATGTATCATAGCTCCAGACAACTCTATGTAGCTGTCGAATGCAGCTCGAAACACTTCTATAATAGCGTACAACTTTCCGCACCCAACACGCACCCCCTCGCGAGCTCATCGAATCTCCTACGCAGATCCGTTCGCCTCCGCCCTCCCAGCGTCAAGAACACCGCGCACACCACCCTTACCGCCGACCTCTCTACACACAATCGTCACGCCCAAGTCTTGAGCAACATTAACCTGGACCTCCACTTTGCCACCTTTCTTCACGCCCCTCAATCCAGCTTCCGCTAAGATCTTACCCGCCTTCCAGACCTTCTCCCGGACCTCCTCTGGCTCGTCGTCCGAGTCATCCTCATCATCCTCATCATCATGCTTGTTGCCGTTGGTGGCGGGCTTCTCTTCTTTACTGACCTTAATGTCCCTCACACCTTCAGCAAGACGGAGAATTACGTCACCGCCTGCCTTGACGGAGATCTGGGCTGTTCTTCGTACAGGGACTGGGGTCTCGGCGTTGACCAATACAGCAAAGCCATTGCTGCCTTCTCCCGTCACGAGACCGATGGCGTGGTGGAGGTGAGGTGTCACTGTCACCACGGCCTCGGTACTCGATCGGATCTCCGGGACTTCGAAACCATTAATTAGACTTGCTTGAATAGCTGCACCGCGGACTGTGAGTTCGGACGGATTGATGGCGGTAGAGGATGTGCTTGGTGCGATTACGACAGTGCTCTCAGGGAAGTGGCTTTGAAGATTGCTCGCAATCTTTGGTGTGTGGCTTGTTCCGCCAGAAAGCAGAACTTCGTCGATATCGAGGATGTCGAGATCGGCCTTTTGCACAGCTGCTTCAATCAAGCGGGTGAAACTCATCAGGACCTTATTCGCTAAGAGCTCGAATCGTGTCCGGTTGACTGATAGGCTGAAGTCGTGACCATCTGCTAGGCTCTCGATGCTGAAGGATGCGCTCCCGCCTAAGCTCAATGCCTTCTTGACGGCCTCGGCCTCGAGAGTAAGCTTCGCTAAGCTGCGCTCGTTCTCTCTCGGGTCTGAAGCTTTCTTGTTCTTCTTCATGAACTCCTTGGCTGCGTACTCGATGAGAACTTTGTCCAAACTGCTGCCTCCCAGCTCATAATCGTGTGCTGTAGCCAAGGTGGTGTAGATACCGCCTCTGCTTGCTACCACGGCGACGTCTGATCGTGTCCCTCCCAGATCCGCAACCAGAACCACCTTGTCGCTTGGCGAAGAACTCGTCTCCGTCAGCGACTGCTTTGCGTCATAGCCTAGTAGGGCGGAGACCGGCTCTGGAATGAATTGCAGAATCTCAATACCAGCGTTTGACGCCGCCTCGGTGAGAGCAGCCTTGTTCACATCATTGTAATCAGAAGGTATCGTGACAACGGCCGCCGTCACATCTTTACCCAAGTAATCAGAAGCAGACTGCCGTAATCGTCGGATATGGCGTGTGGTGACCTCAGACACACTCAACGTGCTCTTCTCCGCCTCCTTCTCGCTCTCCTCCTCCGCAGCCTTCTCCTGCACCACAAAGGCTACCGTCTTCCCGCCATCGTGCTCGACCGGGTGCGCACTGGCATGACAAGGCGTCGGATCAATATCCTTGAAACCTTTGCCCAGAAGATCACGGAAGTAGGCGATTGTGTTGCGTGGGTTTCGTATGATCTGAGTTTTTGCTTGTGTGCCTTGAAATTCCTCTCCAGAAACGTAGGAGAGGATGGAAGGGATCTGTCGATCCCCTTCTTCATTGGCGATTACTTCGGCCTTGCCATCGGACGTGTAGGCGATCGAACTGTAGCTGTTGCCGAAGGAGATTCCTATTGCTGTGCGGGCTGGCAGTTGCACCTCGTCGATTGCCTCTTCCGCACTCATCTTGGCGGTATCGGCGATGTATCCAGTTGAGGAGGTCTACAATTGAAAGGGTGTGGACCTCTGGATTTATGAAGAGAGAAAATTGCAGACAACTTCTTCGAATATGGCAACCAAAAAATTAACCCAGCTTGGATTTCAACTTTACAACCTCAAGGTTTAGTCTATCGCGGCAGCGCCCGCGCCGATGCGTCAATCTCGAATTGCATGATCCAAAATTCGTTACCTCCTAGACTGTGGCCTTGTGAGAACAATGCTGTCATGTGGAAGAAAGATAAGAAAGGGCCACAAATGCGGACTACTTTGTCTGCAAGTCCCGAGCTCCGACTCCCCTTTATTTCAGCATATGATAGATAGAAGCTGGGCTCTGCTTGTCCCGACGATAGCCATTCTAAACGAACCAAATCTACTACGAGTCACTGGTGCCAACTGGAGATGTTCGTCCCAGACAGCACATCCCCTCAGCTAACTATGCTCAACAGCCACCGCGCTCTTTCGAGGATCCATCATTCTTTCTACCCGGAAGCTTTCCAACCGTAGAAGGCATCTCGGAACAGTATTTCTCGCCGTCTGGACCAAGCATCCTCCGGGTACATCCCCAAATCCGCCGCGAAGCAAATTAACTCTACCTTCGAACGAACAGCTTCGTCTTCGAACTCGATTACGAGGACATTGTGGCTGGTCTTCCCGCGATTGAGGCGTGGTTTCGTAGTCTTTGGCCCCGAAAATATGCGTCAGGTAGGTAGTATTGTGCTCTACCATCGCTACCACTTCACCGTCGAGATGGGCCATGCCGAAGTTGATGGGAAATCTACACTCGTGCTCCAGCATCTTTAAATGGATACCACGGTGCGAGACTGGGAGGAGACTCAGGTAGTCGACCCCATCACTCTCGACTGCCAGGACATTGCGACAATCCCGTACGATGACCGACAGGTCGTCGCCTCCATCGAAGAGGCTCTTCATGATGCCCTGGATCGTTCCGAGAACGGCTTGCGAGTCCCCGCAGGGTACAACCTGCTTGGAGGCATCGCGCAATTTCAGCTTAACCTCGCGGCATCCAAGAACTGGAACTTTCAATCCGAGTGGCACAGTGCGCTTCATTTTGTCAAAGGTGAGGCTTACATCAACTACCAGACAATGGAGCACTGGAGAGCACTTGCCTTATCCGCATAATCCTAACGGCGGTGACCCCTTCTGAGGGCATGGTCGCTTGTACCGGATTGTCAGACTGTTCGAACATGAATGCATTGCTACATGTGCTCTGAGGTAAGCATTTGGGAGGTAAGTCTTGTACTTTTGTCATCTTTCGTTGATCATTTTTGGCTAGTCATGCACCATCAACGTTGTAATATTCGAGTCGCATGGTCTACGTGCGTAAGACCATGGATCTGGATATCGTAAGGATTTCTGCCGCTGGCTTCATGCTGAAGCGAATTCTAGATCCTATGGGATCGAAGTTGCTGTACGCGGTCCCTGCCTTGCGTTGCTCAACCATTCCACAGTCTTGACAGCTTCCACGTGCATCTTAGACACGCTGATGTGCCACTCAAGCCGCCGACATTCCACCCAGTAAGGCCATCCGTGCAGCTGGTACCACGAACCTATATAGTAGTCCTCAACCCTCCTCAGAGATTATCCTTTGCAGCATCCATGCGAAATGGAGAGTTTAGTATATACCCCGAACACCATGTCTACTTCTATGCTTATCTCTCTTTCCTTCGCCCTCCTTGCCGGTGCGCAAACCTCCGTCTCGACTACCGCAACCGCATCGGCTTCGCCAACGCCAAGCAGCCCATCATGTCCTGGCTCAGATGGCTCAGTCTACAGTCCCTCATCGAACTCATCCTTCCTGATAGAGTGCGGAGTCGATCACGTCGGAGGGGATATGGGATCCCAAAGCGCACATAACCTGACAGCGTGCATTCAAGCCTGCGATTCCACTCCTGGCTGTGTCGATGTCTCGCTGTCGGGGACTGCTTGCTACTTGAAGAAGACTTTGGGCGCCGCAAAGTCGCAAGCCGGTATCTATGGAGCTAGGAGGATCGCAGACCCTTCTGCTACTGGCGTTGCGGCTTCCTCAACAAGCTCTGTCAGCACGGCTAGTCCCTCGCCTACAGGGCCTACTTGTCCGGCCAGCAATGATACCCTTGTTACTGCTAGTTCTGGTGCGCAATTCGTGATCGAATGTGGGATCGTATGGCTAAAACCGTCTGTGTCCGCGACGATTTACCCGCTGATGTTAAGCATAGGACCACGCCGCAGGCAACATGGGCCAAGCGACCATCTCCCCCAGCTCGATCTCGCAATGTCTCCAGATCTGCGACTCGACATCAGGCTGCGTGGACGTTTCCAGCCACTCCCACTCCTACTGCGACCCCTAGCAGTGGTCTCAGTCTCGCATGTCCATCAGCGAACGGGACCACGTACACGGCTAGCAGTGGTGAAGCATTCGTGGTCGAGTGCGGTATAGATCATCCAGGAGGCAACCTTGTGGCAGTTACAATGACTGGCAGCCCGGATTCATGACTTGAAGAGTGCATCGAGACATGTACGAACACGACTGCTTGTATTGACGTCTCGTTGAGCGGACGTAAGTCTCCCCTTATGCGTTGGTGGGAGTATAACGCACTGCTGACCATACCCAGGCGCCTGCTACCTCAAGAAGTCGCTCAGCTCGGCTGTCTCGGTAGCGAATATTAACGGTGCAAGGCTTGTGCAAAATCTCACTAGCACCACTTCCTCAAGTACCACGACCATCTCTCCGTCTGCTACTGCGTCGCCAGTCGCCGCAGCGGCCGCTGTCGTAGATACCTTCGATTACTCTGCCTGCTTCACTGACTCGGTAGCGAATCGAACACTACATGGTGCATTTCTGTACGGATCCTCGAGCCGCCGGCACATGACGTTGGAGATATGTGCAAACTTCTGCAGCAAGTATGCATACTTTGGTGTCGAGTAAGTGGACCACTACGATCCGATCAAACCCTCGCAATCTGCTGACGGCTGCATGGATATGCCGAGGAGTGCTACTGCGGCAACGCTATCCTACCACCTGGCACCGAGCGAGATCCAACCGCTTGCAGCATGGCTTGTGGGGGCAATTCGACCGAGAATTGCGGTGGGCCCAGTGCGTTGTCGTTGTATGAGAACAATAATTACACTGCCCCAGTAATGTCGAGTACAGCTCCCGTGGTCACGACCGCAAGTGCTGGGCTCACGATCTCGATGAACTCGAGCTCCGTGGCCTTGGTGACTGGCACCAGTCCGTCGGGAGGACTATCGACAGGAACGGCGAATTCAACGACTGTTGCTCCGGGATCCTTTCGGAGGAAGAAGCACGGTACGAGGCCTTTGGGCAGTAGGTAGCTTGGTCATGCTAGACTATGCTGCAGTAACTTCAAGTCACAATGTGACCGGTTCGCTCTGCTCAGTCGCCGAAACATTGAGCACACTCTAGATGCACAGATATGCCTTACGGACTTCGTCCTCTGATCATGCTCCTTGCTATTAGCTGTCAGCCAATCCTGCACCGCTCGGGATTGTGTGCACGATGGAGAACATTTCAGTCTATGAGTTCCAGCAGCAGTGCGACCCGCGAGTCTCGCCGGTCAATACCAGCTATCCCAGGACGGAATGGACGCAGGACTCGTGAAACACGGCTACTATACTCGCCGACCCATACGCCCGCCCTCACTTGGTCGAGAGTCCTCGGGGGGTAGAGCTCGCAGTAGTCGCAGTGGCGAATGCAGTCTCCACATGAGGTATCGCGACAGTGCGTACTTTACTGTATACTAGTGGTAGTAAGCTCAAGCTTTCCTCAGAGTAACGTGGAGGCTCAGCGCCACGGACTTGAGACTTTGACTCGCTGGGCATGGGGTCATCAGCCTGTCATCAGCTGTGTTCGCCAATGTCAAGGCTGTGAGTAGGACAAGACTTCGTGCCAATAATGGCCGCTGTCTTGTTCCAATTGCCCGGCATTTATAACGGATTATGCATGCCGCGGTTGGGTGTCGTATGCATGCTTCTAGGGTCGAGTTCACGACGTTTCCTCTTGCCTGCCTGCACACTGACGCATTATCGGCATGGTCTGCAGATCCGCTATACCCGTGGTGATTTGCGTATTTCCATCGTCTGCGTGGTCGAAACGTGGAAAGTATTCCAGCTTCGACCTGCCTGTAAATCTAAAATTTCTCCAGGCCATGGCTGGAATGCTCTGCGATTGGCTGGGTGACGATCGGAACGCGTGCCGAAGCGTGAGTCTGCGCTTGCAACTGCTCAACATAAGCAGACCTCAGTCCAGCCCTCCGCACTGGGGTAACCTTCGACTCCGTACCATTGCGACGATCAGCATTTGCGACCTAGGGACAGCTCGTGTTCACGGATCGATAGCGGGCATCATGGTAATGTCGGAGAGGATAGGGCTGGTGCTGGATCGTCAGCCACGCGAGACTGCACGCCGGGTGATATATAGAGGAAGTCTGCTCCTCCAGGTTCCTTCTCATAGGATCATCCTTTCGATCCAACAGCCTGTCGGGGCGAACTTTCTTTACTCAAGGCTTCTCGTCGACTGACCTCACCATGTTTGGGCTCACGAACCTACAGGGTCGCGCCCTCTATCGCACCATGAGTGGAGCTTGCGGCGCTGCCTTCATGTTGTACGGTTGGGATGCTGGTGTGTTAGGAGGCATTCAGTCGACGCCACAGTTTAAAAACGCCATTGGCAATCCTAGTGGAGCATACATCATCCCCATTATTGCTTCGATCTACAATTTGGCCGCTGGTATCATGGCTCTATGTGTCTCTTTCTTCGGCATGAAGATCGGGAGACGAGGTACGCTCCTTCTCGGCGACTTCCTGATCTGCGTCGGCGCACTTCTCCAAGCCTCCACATACTCGGTCGGACAAATCATCGTCGGCCGTATCGTTACTGGCTGCGGCATTGGATGCATCGCCAGCGCTGTCCCAACTTATATGGCTGAGATGTCGCTCGAGGCCAAGGAACGTGGTCCTGAGGTGTCTTACCAGTTGGCTCTTCTCATCACTGGTGTCGCACTGGCGTATTGGGTGGATCTTGGCTTCGTGCAAGGTCTCGACAAAGCACCTTACCTTTGGCGTATCCCTCTGGCAATGCAGAGCTGCTTCGCCATCTTCTCTGCCTTTCTGGTCTTCTTTCTGCCCGACACACCACGGTGGTATTACGCAAAGGGTCGTGATGCAGAGGGCGATCAAACTCTGGCACGTCTACACGCCAAGCCCGTTGAGCACGAAGCTGTTCAGCTTATGAAGGGAGAGATCATGGCTTCCTTGAAGGAGGGTGACGACGATGGCCAATTTAACTTCTGGCTCCTCTTCTGGGACAACACCGAGCTCCAGTTCGGACGTCGCCTCAGGACCTCCTTCTTGATCAACTGGGCCCAGCAGTTCCTCGGAATTAATATGCTGGTGTACTTCTCCACCCAGATCTTTTCCAACCTTGGCTACTCGGCTATGCTGTCTGGTATCCTCGCCGGCGTCCTCAACACAGCTTTCGCCTTGGCATCCTACCCACCAATCTTCTTCATTGAGCGTGTCGGTCGCCGAGCGATGATGATTTGGTCTGCCCTCGGCTGTGGCGTCTGCATGCTCGTGTACGTGGTCGTCACTACGCTTCCGGCCGGCAAGCAAAGTACTGCAACCAACTGGGTGGCGGTGACCTTCATCATTCTTTACGAGATTGTGTTCGCGTTCGGTTGGCTGGGGACCTGCTGGGTCTACGGTCCAGAGATTGCCCCTCTTCGATATCGTCATGTCGCCGGTAGCTTGGGCGCCGCTGGGGAGTGGTTCAGCACCTGGGTCATGGTGTTCGGAGGAGGTACTGGCATCAACGCCGTTGGTCCTAAGATCTTTGTGTGGCCTCTACTCTGCTGCTTCTTGTCTGCGGCGTATGTCTACTTCTGCTGCCCGGAGACGACTGGCAAGACGCTGGAAGAGATCGACGTTCTGTTCGCAAGGTCTGGTAAGACACGGGATCGAATCTACAATGAGCAGGCTGTCCGCCGCCAATCTTATGGCTCGTTGAACTTGGACGAGAAGCGTGGAAATTCGATCTCGCAGACGGAGAATGCTGGCGTTGAGGTTTGAAGCATCATTATGTAGAAGACTCGAGAGACGTGTGTATTCGAGTAAGGCACACCGAACAAATCGGACACATCATGCATTGAGCAACGCCCATGGGTTTCCACCATTCGACGACGATTTATACCGCCTGCACGCATGATCGTAGCATTGTACTTAGTCTTTGCATCCGCCAAAGCACGATACATGTCTTTATCAAATTTTCAAGACCTCATCTGTCAGCCTCAGTCTCAATCATTGCGTGACCGCGATCTTGATACCGGTCTGTCAGTACTATGTCTCAGTAACTGTGATGCTTCGGGCTATCCACGTGTCGAGCTCTCCACAGCTCTTGTTCAGCTACTTGTTCATGACTCTGTACCGCTGGCAAGCATGAACATGGATTGATTATGGTATGAAGATCGCAGACCTACTCGGTCCTACGACATAGACAGCCACGCAAATAGTCAAATCGTCCACATAGACAATGTAAAACACCGTCAGCTAAAGTTTGATATTCTTCATCGAACACGTGTAGGCCACGAGACTAAGCAATCGCCTTGTGCCACTCCTGCACAGCCAATTCTCTAACATCCTCGATAATGCCGGCAGGGTCCTCAGCAGCAGCATAATGGCCACCATCGTCTCGTTCTGCCGACCAATGTCAGCAAGTGGGCCGTAAGCTGTGAAATTTCGGACATTACCTTTGTAGTAAACAAGATTGCCTGTCCTTTCGACAGCTCGCTTCGAGCTGGGCTCTGTGTCCCACCAGAATGACGTAAAACCGAACGGTACTGTGATACGATTGGACGGCTCCATCGCAAAGTCAGCAAAGTGCTCGTGCCTGACGTTTTCGTAGTAGCAGAGCATGGAAGGCATGATTGTGTCTGTGAAGTAGTAAATGCTGGCTGTCGCAAGAATATGCTGCGTCCAGTGGCGTTTCTTCTGGTTCTCAGGGCCAGCTGCCTCGTTGTACTTCTCGCCAATCCACATCAAGATACCCATAGGATTGTCGTTGAAGCCAAAGCCGATGGTATGTGGTCTGGTGCGCATCTCGATTGCGTAGCCCATGTGGTCTTCGAGCCAATCGTCCACACGGCCTTTGACTTCTAGCTCGCGATCAGTGTACTCTTGCCTCCCTCTTCTGCTGAGAGGTGGCAAAGGGCTCGGAGCAAAGTTGAAGTGGATGAGCTTGCAAGAGTCTGTGTATCGTGTTCCCATCCTGCTCAAACATCAACAATAAAGCTAGCAGCGAATTCATTCGTCGGCCTGACTTACTCGCGGCCAATCCAATGACTCCAGTCGCCTCCTTGGAAGTAGTACCTAATGACGCAGTTCAGTATTCTTTGCATCGACATAGAATCGAGTAACAATACTTACTGCTTATATCCAAGCTTATGCATCAGCGTATTGAAGACGGCCGCAGTGTCCTGCAGAGTCCACTTGGCTCTAGGAGGCCAGTCGGAGAACCCGTACCCAGGCAGAGACGGTACGACAACATGAAAAGCAGGCTGTTTCGGATCTTCTGGATTGGCAAGCTGATTCCACACCTGATTGAACTCGTAGAAAGAGCCTGGCCACCCATGGCACATGATCAGTGGAATTGCATCCTCCCGCTTCGATCGAGCATGCACGAAGTGGATCTTGAGGTCTTTCTGGTGCTCGTAGATGAAATGGGGCGCCGAGTTGATCCGATCCTGGTGCCCATACCAGTCGAAGTCATTGATCCATGCATCGTACAAATTCTTGCCCCATTCGTAGGTTGGTCCATACTTGTTGCCAGCTTCTGGGACGATGGGCTTCGGAGGTAGTCGAGTGTCCTTGAGCTTGCGTTTCAGTCGGTCGACCTCATCCTTGGTAATGTCGACCTTGAAGGGTTTAATTTCAGCGTCGGCCATGCTATCTGTACCAGGGCGCCACACCCAATCGGAAAAGGCAGCAAATGTTTTACCAGGACCCGCTACGTTCTAGGTCTCGTTGATTCTGATGCTCCTGATCTGGGAAACGTCGATCGTCCTACAATGTATTTCTCGTTGGCGAACGCATCGAAGGTGTACTTTGATTTGACTCAGGCCAGGGCGTATAGAACGACTTATTGAGCAACTCGTCCACGAGCAGTGTTGCATATACGATAGACTGCGGGCATGCTGCGGAATGATGGCATGCTACAATAGTTTGGCCAGGATAGTGCCTTTGGTACGCCCACGGCGAGCTATTGCACCCCGCAAACTTCCTTTGACCCAATGCTCTTTCTGCCAACATAGAAGGTGTTCGCGGTGCCTCCACCTATCATGGCTGATATTCTTACCGCCATATGCAATTTCATGTACGTCCGTCACGGGATGACAACGAACTTGTCGTCCGAGAGTCCTGGATGGATCTGAATGCTCACTGTGTGACCAGCAACACAATTGTTCGCTCACGACGACCATCTCACCTATGAAGCCATGCCCTAAACCCTCCCACCGTGATCTAAAGCGCGGCATCATTGGCTTGCTTCGTGGGTAGGTCCTGGAAGAGCGGAATATCGTCCTGCATGCGACAGCAGAAGCCATGAACTTAACTGCACACGGTTAAGTGCAGACGACCATGCTCAGCATTCGCTCCTTGCGGAGGTGTACTTCATTCATCGACCGTCCCGTGCAGTCGCGTAGGTCTGAAAGAGTTCTAGCATATAGAACCATGCAGATCAGGCTAGCTCCGTACTGGCAGACCTGTGATCCAGGAGATCGCAATAATCGCATCGCTTCGAAGAGGACCATCCGTGTTAAAGCGAACAAGCCAAGCATTCAAGTGCATAACGCCATGTCTCGTCTCTTTCCGAAGATGGCAGTGGTGGCGCTCTTTGGCAGTATGTATTTTGACAGTACTACTGCGCGATCTACAGAGTAGCAATGTCTGGCAGGGAACATCGAGGGCTATCCAGCATCGTCTGCATGTTCAAGAAGTTGCTCTCGTCTTCATCTCCAAGATCGCTCTGCTCGCAATCTCGACTGAAGTGTACAGTCTTATTACTGCGTAGGCGATTCCGTGTATGATGGGCTCCGTCCGGTCTTCTCACCATACCTAATGCACTGTATTGTAAGTAGTGCGCAAAGCCAAAAGAAAAGTTGTAGTATCGAATTGCGAACATATTGCCAGTACGACCTGTTACAAGTGCGTCTTGAAGGGTACACACACACGTTACCTTCAACTCTTGTGGTCTACAAGGCACGTCGTGGGGTATGTCATTGTGGGCTGTCATTTCCGCTGGATGGTGAAGCACCGATTTTGCTGCCAGGAAAGAGCAGTTGCAGGAAAATCGTGGCTACCTTAGTCATCGAATCACCGAGACGCATTTTTGTTCGAGACTGCTCACTGCATCATGCATCCTGCGCTGGCAAGGTCCCGAATGCATCGTTGGTTCATCAGGAGTCAGGAACACTCTCCAGCCAGTCGCCATTCAGCTGTGGAGACGGCGGAGTTTTGTACGGGACCTGAGCTCGGCTAAAAAGTCAGGATGCTTTGGCGACCCGGACTGACAGAGTTTTGCAGCGCACGCGAGCCAGTCAATGAGTCTACATGCCAACGGACACGCTCGCTGAACTCCGAACAGCACCTGAATGATGTATCAACATCACCATCATTTGCACGACTTGCCAACGATACAACAAGCATCAGGATTCAGGACGGAGGGAATGGAAATCATCAAATATCCCGGCCTGCGACCAGCGTAGTCCGTTACTGGCTATGAGCAGCGCTCATTTCCCGGGCCGAGACTGCAGCAGTTGAGAGCAAGGGTTCATCTGAGCCTGTCTCCTTTCTGCAAAGAACCTCACGACCAAGCAAGCCACGCGTTCCTGGAGCCCCAAATCTGACCATTCACGACATGGCGGCTATAGGGGAGTTCAGGAACGTCTCTCAGCTGACGCAAGATGATTGGCGCGCATGGTGTCGTCCCACATCAGACGAGACCACATTGGGCGAGACGCCGGTGGGTTCTCTGCCCAGTCCTCGATCAGACACAACTTCTGCAGAGCGAGCAAATCTCACCTGCCTGGGTGTGAGTGGACCACCCTGCGGTTGACGACCAACGTCGCTGCCGTAAAGGTAGATATGCCTCCCTCTCCGTCAGCCTCTGCCTTCTCTTGAGCTCTCTGATTTCCCACACACGTTTACAGACTCGCGGTTGTCGTGCTTGGTTCACCAACTTGTCACTCTTTTACAGCTCATCAACACTCGCCAGGCTCACTCTTTCGCCTCGAGACTATCGTTTTTGCGCCTCACACTCGTTCCAACCAAACGCACACTATCAATAACCAACCAACCCGTGTCGATCACGATCACCATAACAATCAACAAGATGCACGCATTCACCGTCGCCGCATTGGCTTTCGCCTCTTTGGCCGTCGCTGCTCCTCACACCCACGGCCACTCGCATAACCACGCTCGTGCCGTCGCTCCTGCTTCCGAGCCAGAGAAGCGCGACGACTCGACCTTCGAGCTGATGGTCCACAACAACTGCGCCGAGGACAAAACCTTCGGTCTCTACCAGATCAATTCTGCCTTCCAGATGTCGCAGATGTCCGAGACCGAGACTGTCCCAGCCGGAACGAACTCCACGATCTCTGCGCCTTTCACTGCTCTCGGCATGCGTCTCTCTGCCACCGCTGACAAGGGCACTGCCGCCCAGTGGGAGGCCCAGACTCTTTTCGAGTTCGGCTACAGTGCATGGAACGGCTTGACCGGTACTGCTTACGACTTGTCCGTCATGCAGGGCAGCACCGAGGGCATCGCCGCCTACCCCGACCACAGCCAGTGCGAGTCCAAGGTCTGCTCTTCTCTCGGCTGCTCTCTGGCTGAGGCCTGGACCGACGCTACCCAGGTCGCCGATGGCAGCCCAGCTGATACCGTCTGCTACCAGGGTGTCACCAACTTCAGGGTCGTGTGGTGCCCATCGACCTAAATGGAGCAGGAGAGGAGAAATCACTGAGGCATATCAGGATGGATCAAATTTTGTTTACGCTCTTAGCATTCTATGTGTAGGGTTCGAAGGAACTGTTATGCCGAAACTTTTATGATCTGATGAAATGTTCGCACTTTCTTATACGCCATCGCTGTCTATTAGTCATCCTCACCCATGCGCGCTAGCTGAAGAAACGATTTAGTGTTTCTATTGTCTATTGCATGCTGCTTTTCAAAGCTGAGATGTTCCCCTTTACCACATCCAACGCCTCGCTAGTAACGTACACAAAGCAAACGTGTTCAAGACGGCGCCTAAACGGCGCTATCTGATGATGTCTCCTCCCCCTTGTTTACCTCCACCTTTGCCTGTGGTGCAGCCTTCTTTTTCTCTTTGATATTGGTCCATCCCAATCCGAACGAGAAAGGTAGACATAGTGCTGCCAGCGCCGCACACAGATAGAAGACACGATTGACGCTCTTCGCATAAGCGATCAAGATGCCTGGCAGCTGAGAGAGAGGAACCACATCCCTGAAGCCTGTTGCGCCCGCCGTGACAATGGCCTGTACATCTGCTCCCGGGGAATACTTTGGTATCAAGGTGGAAAGGCTGTTCGTGAAGATCGTGGCCGATGCTGACAGGAAGAGAGCACCGAATAACATGCCGGTGAACATGCAGAGAGCGATTGCCAATGGTGCCATGGTCGGTGGAAGACGGTTCTGTACCGCCACAATCGGCATCTGCATTCCCATGCCTCGTCCGACGCCAAATAGGATCTGAAAGCCGATCCAGTCGCCAGTCGAGGAGTTGACACCTAGCATGCCACAGAGCCCAAGTCCGATTGACATCAGTATTGCTGCCAAGATGGCAAACGGTGTATAGTAGCCGATCATGCCAACCAACTTCCCAGCGATGACTGCCGCAAGGAGAGCGGCTATGATGTTCGGTAGCAGGTACACACCTGACATGGTCGGTGAAGCTCCATATACCGACTGGAAGTAGATCGGCAGGTAGTAGGCGGCGATGTACAGTCCAGCCATGAGACAGCCGACTACTACGCAACCGCTCCAGACAGTGGTCTTTGTGATCATCGATATTGGGATCAGCGCGTCGTCCTTCTTATACCAGTTCCAGGCAGCCCAGACTATGATGAGGCCACCGAAGCCGCAAAAGAGGCCAATCACTGTAGCACTGTTCCAAGCGTAGTCGTTACCACCCCACAGCATGGCGAGCAACAGCATAATGACAGCGGGTGCGAAGAGTACGAAGCCGATCAGGTCGAGTTTGTGGTGGATATCGCGGAGGACTTCCATGGCGGGTGGCTTCTGGTATGCATCTGGTATCTTGTCGAAGACGAGTAAGACGGCTGCAACAGCTCCAATGGGTAAGTTGATGTAGAAGCACTGCGAATAGTGTCAGCCAGAATCCATTCACCCAATATGAGTACAGCCAACTGCACTTACCCATCTCCAGGTTGTGTATTGTGTCAGAGCTCCTCCAATCAAGGGTCCAAATACAATGCCCAACTGCGCCAGAGCTTGAAGGATCCCGATGAGTGCTGGTCGTTTGTGCAGAGGCACAGATGCAGAGATGATGGTGAAGGCACCATTCTGTAGACCTGCCGTTCCCATGCCTGCTACCGCTCGGCCGACAATAAGCATCTTCGAGCTGTTGGCAACACCGCATAGTAGTGATCCAAACTCGAACAGAGCGAAGAAGGAAATGAAGGTCCACTTGTTGCTAAAGTTGACATATAGCTTACCCGCCAAAGGTTGGAGGACAGCAGAGGCGAGTTGATAGGACGCAGTGTACCAGCCAATGTCCTTGAGCGAGTTGAAATGATTCGTGATTTTGGGAATGGCTGTCGAGATGATGGTGGTGTCGAGCAATACCAGGAAGAAGACCAGGATCAGTGGTCCCATAACAGCCCATAGCTTCATACCAGTAAGCCATTCGTACTCTGGTTCGTCTTTGGGAGATGCTTCGACGTCCTTGGCGGGCAGTTCTTCTGTGGTGACTGGCTCTGTAATCGGGCTGGCAAGGTCGCTGGAGGTGGAGGTCTTCCTTCCCATGGCCTCCTTGTCCGCTGCCATTGTCGACATTATCAACTCAACTTCTGGTGATGGACGTGTCAGACAGGTGCCACAGCTCTCCTAAACAAAAACTGTGCTGCTGGAAACCAGTCATAACGGCAGGTAGCATCTTCATATACTGATACGGACATTATCCTTTGAGTCAACACGGTGTTAAGCGGTCGTAAACACTCGGACGATTGTTTACGGGGCACAATAGGACGGAATTCGACCTGGAGCTCATTTCCGGGCCGAAGAGAAGCGAATTCCGGGTCAGAAGAGGTAGAAGGAGCGGGCCTGGACTTTTCCGTTCTCCGTTCTTGCTTCTTTCGGATTTCGCCAACTTTCAGCAACAGGCTCTCCTCATTGACATCGTTCTCTCGATGAAAGGAATTCGGCTACAACAATGTACAGTTCGCGTGACACTCCAGCGGCCACTCCAGCCTCAGCACGGTATGGCTTGGCCTGCGAACAATGTGTCAAAGCCAAGGCCAAATGTCTCCGAGAAAATGAGGATTCTGCTCAATGCGAGCGGTAGGCATTCGGTCCTTTGAACTCCGTCGCACATACAAGGAGAGTAACCTCATACCCGGACACTAATACTTGTCTACAGATGCAAGCGTGTAGGCAAAGACTGTACACCGTCAGTCAAACGACGACGCCTCAATGACGGGGCGAAGCGTGTCCGTATATCGAAGAGTCCTGTTGATGACCTGAGGACGTCTCGTGTCGAAGAGAAGTTGAATCAGCTAGTAAGCTTGTTGACACCATCGACTGCGGACTCGCAAACATCGACACCAGCAAATCAGAGCAATGCAGGTAGCGTCCCTAAGCCAGTCGATGGCGCAGGCTACAGGATACCATGCGATGCCTTGACTTTGCAGGAAGAGATGACATGCCTGGAGACGTTCAGGACTTGTCACCTTACCTTCTTCCCGTTCGTATCCATTCCTCCTACTACGACAGTCGCGAATTTGCGCCAACAATATCCGCACCTATGGAGCGCTATCGCTGGTATAACATGCAAATCTACTACTCTCCAGCAAGCCCAGAGCGATTATCTGAGGCGAACCATCTCAGAACAGATTTTGTTCCAGACGAGACCCTCAATCGACATCCTCTTGGCTATACTCGCCTTCGTAGGTTGGTATGGAATTCGTCTCTTTCCGTTTCCACGATAGCAAGAAAGTTGCTGATATTACACTTAGGCTCCAATTCCAGGTGAACCCAAACTTCCACACCCAGAAAGAGAACTTCAAGGGGTCAATTGTCGTCTTCGTGCAGCTAGCCATCGGCGGAATCTACGAACTCAAGTTGCACAAGGCGATCACCACGGACCCGTTGCACATCAGATGCGTTCCTGCTCCCAGTGATGACAACAGGAAAGCTTCGCGTACACTAGTAGAGCGTCGAGCCGTATTGGCTTGCGTGCTACTCACGTCCTCGTAGGGTCCATGCCGTTGCTAACGTGAAGATCTCGAGCTGACCAATTGCAGCATCAGCAGTACTCTCAAGACCGTAGAGCCCTTGCGCTGGACGTCGCACATGGACGACTGTCTTCTGGAGCTCGAGAAGCAGAAAACGGATCCACTGGACGACTTACTGGTACACCTAGTCAAGATCCAGCGAGTGGTAGATCGTGCAAACGAAGCAGAAAATCCTGGCGTGCAATCCGCGGCCAGTACACCCTACGACATTCGCCCGACACTATATCCGCAGGCGTTACTGATGCACTTGGACTCCATCGCCGAACAAATACCAGCCAGTGTCAAAGAGATGCGTAAGTGCTTACTCGTGCCGCATGAAGTCCGGCCAATCAGACTGATGAGAAACGGCAGCGATTCTCATCTTCCAGCTCAGCAGTGCTCGCCTCGTTCTCGCCGAACTGGCCCTGGCCGGCGACCCAACAGTCACAACCACCACCTCAGGTCCTAACCTCCAGCGCTTGAGATACCTCGAATTAGCCCTCCAATCCATCAAAACCTGGATAAATTTTTACCACACACTTCCCTCCGCATTTATGCGACATATATCGATGACGACAATGCTGCAATTTCGTTTCTGCGCCGGCATGCTGTTCGTGCTCACAACTCTGAATGAGCCAGCCTGGCTTTCACGGGAAGAAGTGAGAGCAGAAGTCGATATCCTTGCCGTCATGGATCACGCAGCACGGATGTACGGCGAGGTCGCGGCGGCTGTCGGGTTAGATAACGGGCCAACCGATGTCCAAGGGCTTGATCTATTCACCTTGGCTTCGGGACGGAGTGCAAAACTGAGGGCGGCCTGGGCAGCGCAGCTAGAACTGCCTGCTGAGCGAATTCAGGCAGTCCAGATGTGTTCTGATGAGTTGGATGCAGTTCCAGCATTACCTGCGCCGGAGAGTGGTGAGTTTAGCGAAGTGTATGCGGGCATGGAGGAGCTGAACTGGAAAGAGGTGGACTGGTTCATCGATTCACTTTTCGTGCTGTGATGACCTTGCGATTTCCAACCATGGATGTTCGTAGTGGACATTGCATGATCGAGCACTCGATGTGGTTCCTCACACCTCACAACTCGATCCAAATCAGCCAGTATGTCGCTCGATATAACAGGCCGATGCTAGTAATGTCGATGTGAGACACTGTTCTCAAGTGTTTCAAGCCTCACCTAATATGCAGGGATCAATGGCGGCAGGATATAAAGCATCACCGAGCCGTAAGAGATTGAAGCTGCCTCTACAGCTCACGAGACCCCACATGTGGTAGTCGGACAATCATCAGGAGGTTGAGCATGCGCTGTACGTATTCAAAACTACCGTCAGTAACGTTCATGATTGTCCATTATGCTTGAAGGAAATCATGATATTCATGACGAGAACATATAATACTTGAGACATGTTTATCGTGTCTCAAGTATTATGAGACAAACCATCAAAAGCAAGTACCACTTCTAAATGTCATGATTGTGATGCTGGAGAATTGTTCGGCTTCATTCCATTTCTTTTTTGATAGAAGTCTGTCATTGATCATAGCCCGTTCTAGTCCTCTCTCTTCCTTAGAGTATGTTCATAGTCTGGCTCTACTTCCCGACAGACCCATCGCTGAACTTAGCACCCGAAGTATCGTGAAGGGCGTTGGGGACAACCTTCTCCACCTTCTCGGGGAGACCCTGCTGAAGTGTTTCTGGCACGATAGACTTTCCAGTGGCGTGGGAGACCTTTCCAGTCTGCTCATTCGAGCCGGTGTCGTGGAGAGCGTCAGGGACCTTATGCTCGACGGAGCCGGGAACCTAGTTATCTGTGTCAGTACAATGGTTTGGGAGCTTCAAAGAGGATGGCAGATGGACATACGGCTTCCTGGGCCTTCTGAGGCAAGGCAGAGTCCTTGGCGTGTGACACACCCTGGCCGTGCTCGTTGGCTGCAGACATCTTGGTGGTTGATGTGATGGTTCTGGTGTTGGTAGTGCGAAGTGCTTGGCTGAAAGTTCTTGAAGTTGTGATTCGTAGTGAGGACATGTGGTGGTATGGAATGAAAATTGTTTGGGACAACGAGAATATGTATACTTATACCCTCTCCTTCTACTACGGCCACGACCCTTGCGTAAAGCATCCATCGCGCCATGCGTACTGCGCCCATCGTCGTGCTTTCGAGAGAAACTGACATCATGACTCTAGGCATCTGGCATCATGTGCTGTAAAGACGGAGCCCGAAAAACGCCGTCCGGGTAACAAGTGGCATCAATTGCGAGAGTGATCGGAGCTCCGAGCTGTTTGGAAGTGGAAGTGATGGCGAAGAGATGCTGTCATGGTTGCGTAGGTGAGGCTTAGGATGAAGTACGAATTTGGCGCTTGGCCTGTTGTGGAAGGAACGGGACGGCTCAAGCTGTTTCCGTGCTCCTCTACTTGAGAGGGTACGATTGTTACGAAACTATTATTGTGGCAAATGGTCCTGGGAGTGATGAGCAAGATCAATGGACGATAGCAATCTGTTGTACAGCCCCAGCTCGTGAACAATGCTCTTCAAATGCCTTCATGCAAGCCTGAGGTTATCGTAATATGGTCTATGGTCTATCATAGCAGAAGCTACATCTATATACAAGTGTCACATGTTCGAACGTGAACATCAATCAGAAAGGCACATCCATATCCTCAACACTCTCCTCCTTCTTCTCACCTTTAGCAAGCCCGTCAGTCTCCCCAAGTACTTCCCTCACAAACGCAACCAAAGCCGCAACATACTGTCTCCCACTACTCGGTAAGAAATGTCCGCCAGGATGATACACCACCCTCTGCACACCTCCCTGCTTCCCGCGTCCTTCCACACAGGAGTCGACAAGCCGTAGCGATCGTTCCTCCGATACCACTGTGTCTACCGTACCCAGCACATGAAGCATAGGCGTCTCAATCTTAGGCTCGTAGAAAGCTTGGTAGAGGTCGTTCGTGCTCGCTCCAAAGCCAGAGTAGGATATAGCGAACTTCATGGGAGGATGTATTGTCTCCTCGATGAAACCGGAATCTTGTACGAACGAGTCTGGGTAGCGCATTCCACCCTTCGCCTGCGCAGCCTCGAACGCTGGTCGCCTCTGCACCTCTAGCAATGAAGCCACCATTCCCGCAGCCGCACCGCCCTGCGAGAAACCCAGAACGCCCTGGAACGGGCCTTGTTTTTTCAGAATTTCGGCGATGCGTTCGAACCCCCTTTCCATACCTTCGTAAGTGTAGGGTTCGCCATCGCCTTTCCGTCGCCACCAGCCGTAAGCCTCAATCCCGTCATTGTCGGCTCTCGAACCATCGTTCCTGCCTGGTCCATCGAAACTGGAGGCGTCTTGGCCAGGGATATCGGTGGTATCTAGACGGATGGGAGCGGTTGGGTAGACTAGTTCGAGGCCTCCTGGGTATTGTTTTAGATGGCCTGGTTTTGGTGCGGGAGGGAAATGTTTTTCTAATGACTTCTTAAGAGCTTTGGTCTTGATTTCGAAGAGATGGCCGGATTGGGTGAACCCGTGGAGCATTAGGATGCGGAGTTTGCGGTCTTGTGGTATATCGCCGTTGGTAGCCATCGTAGAGTAGAGGCGTGCAGGTTTCGTGGCCAGAGAAGAAAGTGGAGTGTAAGCAGAGTGACATCCACGGATGTGCTGGTCTAATAGACGTCTACTATATAGTGAGCGGCATGACATGTGTTTATATGTTCATATACAAGCAGATGCGATTTGCTGAAGAATCATCGACGCCCTTCTAACCTGCATCCGCCAACGCAACACGTGATGCCTGAGGCCATACAAACTCCTGCCACCTCCGCAAGCTGTCCTCCACACTTTATGCGACTAGGGTTCACATACAGCAGCTTCGATATTCTAGATCACTGCAACCATCACACACCCAACAGCCTCTGCGCCGCTACCTAAATACAACAAACCACCATGGACCAAGCCAAGGAACTGCTCGAGATGCCCCGTGCCTTTCTCAAGGACGGCCGACAATTTATTACCCGATGCTCGAAGCGTAGGTCCTTCACCACTGCCACTTACCCTTGCACTGTGAACGGGTGTACGGATCGCATGAGGTAGTATACTAATATGTGTATTTACCAGCCGACCGAAGAGAGTTTCTTCGCATCAGCCAAGCCGTCGGCATGGGTTTCCTGATTATGGGCGTGATCGGATACGTGGTCAAGCTTAGTGAGTTCCTCTTCTAGGAGGCGCATCGGAGTAAAGAGGAAGGGCAGGTTACTAACATCTGCGATCACAGTCCATATCCCTGTCAACAACATTCTGGTCGGTGGCGCATGAGCAGAGAGGATCACGTGCTGGAGGTCAAGTCGAGACCAGATTGAAGGCAGGAATGGGAAGAGTGAAGATGTGCTGCATCTGTCCTTCGTGGTCCAGAGAATACCAAAGCTGCGAAGTGACGAGAGTATATGCTGTCTCTGAAGCCGAGGAAAAGTGTGCATAGCGAGGCGTTGCGGGAGTCAATACACGAACCACTTCACGTCGGAAGAGAAATCTGCTGTATGCTACGAATGAAAGAGGCACTTGTGCTTGGCTGAAGTACCTTTGTGTATTTACAATCTTACATGACTTTCGTAGCCCGAAGGCTGTCCTGCTATCCTGCGCCTGCGCCTGTGCCAGATAGCATGCATATCGTAACTCCTCAACCTTGGTCTTGGCTCAATCTGTCCTCTCACAATGCGCCACCAACAGGAAAGACGTCAAAAGGCCCACCACTCCCACCCGCATACCCATGCACGCTCTCCTCCCCACCCTCATCGTCATCCCCATCTCCATCTTCATCGGTCAGTCAATCATCATCCCCCTCCGCCGAAAACAAACTCCCCAACCCCATCCGATCCCTCAACCTCGTTCGCCTCGCACCCTGTTGCTCCGCCCCACGCTGCTGCTGGGTCCCATAGAATCGCTCATCATGCCTCAACTGTGCCGTAACCCTCGCTCCCATCGGCGTCGCACCCAGGTTCTCCCTCTCGCCCATCTGAGCCGCTGACGCACCAGTGAAACCATCCGTATCGCCACCAATTTCATCTGTATCTACGCCATCGTTCCAACTATGCACGGTTGCGGTTCCGAGGCCATGGTCCCAGCCATTCCAGGAGGTGGCGGCGATAAGAGGTGCGGAAGGATGCCAGGAGCAATCTCTTACGATAGTCTTCCACTGCCCTCCGCGACCGTAGTAGTCGTATCGATCCACGAACCTCTCATCGCTGACCGGACGACTATTCAATGTCGCACTCCGGACATTTATTGGCTCGCTAGCTTTCGTCCCGTCGAGGTTCCAAACGTAGATTTTGCCGTCGTGCGAGCCGGAGTAGATGTACCGGCCGCCTGTGCTTTCGGGTGGAGAGAAGTGGCATCGAATCAATGTCTTGAGGACCTTGTGGCCGGTAAAGGTTACGAGACTGCAGTCGTGGGGGTGGGGGCGGTGGTCGGTTTCGTCGTAAGGACTGAAGCGGTAGTCGAAGTTTGTTGTGTAGTCCTGAAGAATGTCAGTGAAGGAGGGTTATGCTTGGTAAGGGTGAAGACGTACTTGTGGGTTGATACGCTCTCCTTCGTCTGTGTTGATCATCTTCCTCAGATCCCAGAGCTTGCACGTCTGGTCCTTGCCATTGCTGATCACGTATCGTCCATCTCCTTTACTATCGATGTACGTCAAACCCTCCGTATGACCCAAGAACATGCCGGCAGGTCTCATAGAAGCCAGTGATCTTCTGTCCCATACTTTCAATGTCGTGTCGTCCGATCCAGAATACAAGATGTGCGGGCTCATCTTATCACCGAAACACACCGCATTGACATCATCCTGATGGCCGGGAATCCGCAAAATACTGCGTTGCGCTTCCAGATCATAGACGTAGACACTTTGGTCTGATGTCCCTGCCACGATCTCACCACCATCACCACTGAATCGCAAAGACCAGATACCGAAGTGTCCGCGACTTCTGCCCCAACCACCGCCACCGCCGTGACCACCACTGCCCATATCGCTGAAGTCTAGCAATTGAGGCTCCGATTCATCGCCCTGATCGGTGTTGGCCAGACAGATCTGAGATCGGATACTGCTATATGCAAGCAGTTTGTTGTCGGGCGAAAGAGAAGCATCAGTGATGGTCCACTGTCCTCCGTAATAGTGTTTCGTGCTGTAGTATTTCCAGTCGTAAGGGTTGCGAGTGTCATACAGTCTGACCTTGAAGTCTTGACCACAAGCAAAGAAGAAGGAGCCGTCTTCGCTGAACTGACCAGAGTAACATCTTGCGTTCAGATTGATGATGAGATCTGCCTTGGATCGAGGAATTAAGTCTTGTGCAGCGAGTGAGCTCAGCACACGTGCTCGACCTCGATTGTTGACTCCCAGCTCGCGGTCAAGCATACGGTGGGCTAGCTTTCGCCGTTTCTGCTGAGTGGATGACTCGTATGGAACACCACATGTCGAATGATCACAGCGATCGTTGTTGCCGAAAGCACCACTGTCCATCAACTTCTGGCCTTCCGGATTCGGAATAGGTGGGTATCGGTCACCAACAAGAGGTCGGCGAGGCCGTCGTCTCCGCGCTCCATAACCAGCGGCATAGCCCATATCGTCATCATCGTCGTCCTCAACTTCATCATCCTCGCCAAGAGACACATGTTGCGTATTACCTCTCCGAGCCTGAGAACGGGTAGTTGGACCTCCAGCATTTTGAAAGACTCCTCGTAGGCCAGCTTGCGAAAGTAATTGGAGAATCTGTTGCTGGGTTACTGTACCGCAGCGAAACGATCAGCCTGTGCTCAAGGAAATGCAAAGCTTACCCTTGATCCTGTGGCGGAGCTCAGACGTCTGAGACGTCCCGGACGAGGTGCTTGGCGGTCTGAAGTGGTCGTGGACTCTGTCTCGGGTAACGTACTTCGTATTGTCTGGGTAGCTCTTTCCGGCTCTGCTGCTGCAGCGGCAACTTGCGGTGTCTGCGTGCCTTCCTCTTCCTCCTCTACCTCTTCCTCAACATCTTGATCTTCCGACATCTCATCGCTTGTCTCAAATGTCACCGTATCACCATCCTCGTCTCGAAGCACTCCCTCCTCGGCATCGAAATATAGTGTCGTCTCAACCTCGCCCTCCGCTTCATCTTCGTCAATCTCTTCTGAAAGACCGGATGGCGTTGTTGAGGCGAGCTTCAATACGTCAGCCACAGCTAATTATTGGACGTACTGCTTGTGCTTGGTTTGATATCGCCGTCGGCTTACCTCGAAATCCATGTCGTCATCGCCAGTGCTGCCCTCAGTTTCGGTGTGCCACGAGCCTCCCGGTGAGGAATGCTCTTGAGACGAAGCCATGATCAACAGTTATACAGTAGGTAAGGGCAAGACTGGTCGATGTACACAAGGCTAATTAAGATAGTGAAGCACGCAGTAGTCCTCGACATGCCGCGGTCATCATCGTGGTAGCTCGAGCACGGGTCACATGTCGGAGATAACGAAGGAGATACGATCGAGGTAAAACAGTGGCATTGTTCTCAGGGCCCACGAGGAACAGACTGACGTGCGAGGACTCGCACACTCGATCAATCCGGATCTTGGATGTTACGCACGGCATGCATCGGCCCTCCAGAGCCAAGCCTTTACTCTGAGTCGCCGTGGGCGTTGCAAGCATGATGGCACCCAGCCCAGCCGGACCCCTTCAGCAATCACGAGATATCAAACCAAGCTGTTGTTCCAAGGTAGAGCCACTAAGGGGGACTCAAGATTCATCGTGGTTATCTCATCGCTGAACTCTCAATCTGACGAGCCTCTCAAGTATTACATCAGACAATTCGTGCCAAGCATTACTACAGCCATACTTCAACTCAATCGTCGCCCTTCCGGATTGTGTACGCCACGGGTCACACCCATAACCTTGCAAGGCATCTAACTCACGACAGGGGCGAGCACTCACCTCTCTTCGGCTCCTCCCGCTGCACACAACGGCTGGCAATATGAGTGGAAGGCAGTTTGGAGTGTCTATCGAGGGCGGCGCGACGCTCGAGCATGAGGCCTGGCTGACAGTTAATCGGGGTCCGACAACATTCGTCATCTCCATATCTTTCGACGATGTCCAGAATACTCTCTGGGGTGCAGAGTACTTACTACAGCCCAAGACGCACGAGTTCAATGCCAGCAACATGATTCTCACCCTTTGCATGCCGATCATCGAGAAGTTGGCGTCGACATCCAGTATACAAGGACTACGCCTTGAGGCTTTATGTGACTCGTCTACTCACAGGATGAGGATCACGAGTGCTGGCGGCGCGCAAGGCGAGGATATTCATGTAGTTGTTGACGAGGATACAAGTCATAGACCGTCTCACGGGCTTCTGCCGATACCCATTTCTGAGCTTGCGGAGTTTTGCACAGGAGTCGCCCGGATCTCAGCTACAGATGTAATTTTATCTACTGCGGACGAACAGCTCGACGACCACAACGCAGAGTTTCCTCATGGCAAAGCTTTCATGTTAGATGGCACGGCAGTATACCTCAAGGCCAGTCTCGGCCATGGTACGCAATTCGAGCGAGAACTTGAGATTCTGGGTCGCATTGAGCAACTTGGTCTTCGCAAGAGAGACTCGAACAGATTCTCCCATCTCATCGCCGTCGTCACAACTGGCGAACAGAATGAGAAAGTCGTCGGGATGCTACTGGAGCTCATACCAACCGTGCCATATGGCGGAGATCTGCTCCATGAAGCTATGCAGGCACGGACGGATATGCATCAGAAGTGGAAGTCGCAAGTACTGCGGATGGTTGAAGAGCTTCATGCTCATGATATCGTTTGGGGAGACGTGAATGCGGGCAATGTTGTCATCGACAACGATCTCAATGCGTGGGCCGTCGACTTTGGTGGCATGAATAATGCCGAGTTCGTTGATGATGAGCTTGCGGAGACGATTGAGGGCGACTGGCAGGGCGTGCATAGGTTGTTTGATGGATGGTTACCCAGTCGTGGACCGAATAGTCAACCGTGATGCCCTGATTATTGCAGCACCAGAGGGGGATACTTGTCTGATACCTTGTGAACGCATCCGGCTACCGGCACAGCTCTCCAGCAGATCTGTATCAGGGTCATACAGCTCAAGTAGAGGTACTTGAGTTATGTACCTACTACTGTTCTGATCGACCCGAGCTCGGCATGGATATCGTGCGGGGCGTGTGTTTCTGAGTTCATGTTGCCCTCACCTAATATCAGCGAAGTATCATCGTTTCTGTCGCCAATACAGTCATACCAGACAGTCGTGGCAACAACAGTACTACGGCACTCGTACGCTTTTGTCGATCACCGTCAATAGCAAACAACCATGGCACCCTCAGCAATCGAAACAGTAACACAACCCACCGACCAACTGACAGGCGACGAACGAGCGCAACAACTTCGCAAAACAACAGGAGACAGGCCTCTCGACCGCTTCGTCTACGGCGCCCATCCTATCTCCGGCAACCAAATCGACGCAGTCAAGCAAGTCCGGATCCCTACCTTCACAAATCCCTTGGACGAACGAGAATTCCGGAAACTTCACGCGGCGGCGTGTATCCGCTGGCTTGGCCAAAATGGGTATAATAATGAAGGCGCGGGTGGGCATATCACCGTGAGGGATCCGATCAAACCTGATCATTTCTGGATTAATCCGTGAGTACATCGTAATGCCATCCACATTTAGGTTTGCTGGTGTTGGTACTGATAGTGAAGTTCAGCTTCTGTAAATCCTTCCGCTATATCCGACCAGATGACCTCTGTCTCGTAGATGAAGAAGGGATAGTTCAACCCGAAGGGAATATGCATGCGATTAACCCAGCTGGCTTTGCTATCCATAGTGCCGTTCATGCGGCACGACCAGATGTCATTGCTGCCGTTCACTGCCATAGTCTACCCACCAAGGCTTTCTCTGCTCTGGGATGTAAGCTTGAACCTATCAATCAAGACGCCTGCCGGTTTTATGAGGATCACGCCGTCTACGAGGACTTTGGCGGGATTGTGCTTGCACACGAAGAAGGGAGGAGGATCGCAACGGCGTTGGGGAATAAGAAGGCGGCGATTTTGCAGAACCATGGGATCTTGACTGTAGCGAAAAGTGTCGATGCCGCTACTTACCTCTTCGGAGCCATGGACCGATGTATCGAGGCTCAGCTACTAGCTGATGCTGCAGCGGGTGGGAGAGGGACGAAAACGATCAAGATCCCGCATGAGGAGGCGGTGTATACGCGGAGAGTGTATACTGACGAGATGGAGTATAATATGTTTCAGTCTTGGTATGTTGTTCTTGGGTGAGACATGCTAGGCTGTTTGGCTGACCAGGGAAACAGTTTCGAGGATGTTGTTAGGGAGTCGAAGGGCGAGTTGTCGATGTTGTCTGGTGGCGAGAGGAATGGGTATGATTCGTTTCCGAGGACGTGGTGATCTGGTACAGGGCGGAAGGCTTATATCGTTGGTCGAACGACGTATACATGTATGGCAACTGCTTCGGTCCGCTCGCTTGCTTTGCTCGCAGTAATCGTCCCCATTTGTCATGCACTTTACGGCTCCAGCGTGCTTCGTTGGTCAGCATCTTCATCGTCGTTACTGTACTTGGCATCATTGTCCCCGAATGGCGCACCCGAGGAGGTCACGCTGTATCGCCCGGAAACAGCTTTACCTGACTTGAACAGTCGGCCTGCAGAGCTCTGGTCCCGAAGTGCTGGAATCGAGATGTGATTGGCTGTAGTCCATCTTTCCTTCAGACACCACGAGACCCGCCTGTCTCAGTCAATTGTCGCATTTTTGTTCCCACGACATCCTTCTTCATAGCTTCATCTCACAGTATCATGGCACGTCGTTGACTTCATTTGCGACTCCCGTGCCTCCCGCTGGTCGACAGCATCACTGTTTGGGCTTCGGCGAAGTCGGTGGTGAGATGGACATGGACCGGGGTCTTTGCCACGCTGTGCGTTGGCAGAAGCCAACCACGATCAACAGGGCGGGAGATTGAGCGAGTCTCAGCATGCCCGTGATTTCGAGTCTACCCCCTGTCCTCGATGCGTCACCATCGATCAATCGATTAGCCAGCTGGGTCGAGTTATGCACGACATCTCGCGTGCGTGAGTAGCACGACTTCGCCTTCGATCACCGACGCACGAACGAACGAACGAACGAACGAGGCCGGTTGCACGACAACGGCAGCTCGAGGGCGGATGGCTGCAACGAACGAGCATCTGTTCGCAGCTCATCTCACCGCATGTTCATTTACCTCCAATGCTTGGCAGGAACGATCGAGCATTGCTGTTCATGAGGAAAGGGCGTTCGGCAGAAGAGGGTTGCGCCTTCCTGCAGAGCGCCATTGACCGACAAAACCTGCACTTTCCATTTTGCTCACCGCAACGAACAACACAACACACCATATCTTCGACCGCCAAATCGCATCCCTTGTATTCGACGACTGTTTGCATGGGATCAGGCGTTACACATACTGTAGGTAAGTTCCTATTCGCGCGGCAGAGGAGCCGGTTTGACTTTGGGGCGTGAGATGGTGGTCTGTGAGGCGCTACACCAGCCACTTTGGACGCTTGAGCGAGTTGGCATAGATGCGGACTACCAACCTCGCGACTTCCACTTCCACCACCACGTCAACCCTGCCACTCCCTTAATTCCTGTCTGTCTCTCACTGTCTCTACTTTTCGCGTGCGCACGCGTCCCTTCGCTTTTGGGAGAACGATGTCACACACGCTGCCATCGGAATTTGGCTGCTGGCTCACACTCGCTTCCTCTAGCTCGAGCACCACTACCACCGCCGCGCAACCCCATCCCCATCCCCATCCTCCACCCACGTCGCTGGTAACACCTCGCTGGTCTGGTCACGCGTCTATCCACCACTACTACCTCACTGCACTGCGATAGCCATTGATCATCACGTGGCTTCCGCGTGGGCATAGTCCTGTCCATTGTCTATACCATCGCTGCGCAACAATCGCACCATAGACCACGCAACCTCGACGACCATTTCCCAGCAGCCAAATTGTCTGCCTCGGCCGGCCGCCGCTTTAACGACCGACACGATACCCACGACAGGTATACGACATCCCTTACCCGCCAACAGCGTCAGGAGCCGGCTTCGGCCTTCTACCAACGAGCAGGGTTAGCCCACGACTATTCACGGCCATCATCATCGTCCGGCAGTGCGCATACACTACGCCGCACTCCACAGCTCGACGACCTACGTCCTTCTCGAGTCCGGTCTCGCTCTGTTGAGTCACCAGTACGAGAGCTAGACGAGTCACCCGATTGCTCTCGCCAAAAGTCACCATCGTTTACTGGTACCTCGCAAAGAAGGGCGACAAGTGCCTTCTGGGCATCGCAGCCTCCACATCCAGCACTTCGCATTTCCCGGCGCACCCACGCCGCAGTACAGTACGTCATCGAGGAATTTCTGCGCCAGCCCAACAACTTCACTCCTGTGCTAGAGGAGGAGAACGCTCAGATGTCCGACCTGGGTGGTGGACGAGCAAGCAATGGCGGGCCACAAGCTATTCGCACACCTCGCGATGTCATGAGAGACCGCAACGCTCGCGAGGCTAAGCGCCAAGAAGAGCAGAAGGCGGAGGAAGCAAGACGGGCAGAGGAAAGGAGGAGAAGTGCTGAGCGTCGTGCTGCGACTGTCCCTGGTGCTGCGCCGAGGTTCAGTCAGGCGTCATCACAATACACTCCAGATATGTCGACGCAACAAGGTGGCTTTGATGGCCCGTCTGATAAGAGAGGAGGTGGTAACAGAGTATCTGGTGCGGACGTACTGGGCGAGCCAGTGAGCAGGACGCAGGAATACGCGCAACCTCGAACTAGAAGCTCGAGTGGTATCGCGCAGCCGACTGCTCCATCAAGTGGAGCTCGACGCACGACACAAGCCCAGAACACCCCTCGACAACCCAGTGGATCTGCAACACAACCTGGAGCATCATCACAAGCCGGAGCATCGTCAGCGGCAAGTGGCCAGCGCGAGCCTGCATCATCATTCCCACATGCCTTTGAACGATGGGAGACCTTGTCCTCACATTGGGAGGGCCTAACATCATACTGGATGCACAAGCTCGAGTCAAACACCGAGGAGATCAGGAACACCATTCCCAACGCGTCGACTCTCAATCGACAGATCACAGATCTGTCTGCTGCTGGTGCGAACTTGTTCCACGCTGTTGTGGAGCTGCAACGTCTGCGGGCGAGTAGTGAACGCAAATTCCAGCGCTGGTTCTTCGAGACTCGGTCTGATACTGAGCGCCAGCAAGAGACGCATGCGCAGATGGATCGCCAGCTCAAGCTCGAGAGGAGCGCGCGAGAAGAGGCATCGGCTCAAAGAGCAAAAGCTGAGCAGGCTGCTGATTCAGCGAAGCTCGAGGTTGTAGAGGCGAGACGCGAGCTGATGATCTCCAAGGAGGAAGCTCGTCGTGCGTGGGAGGAACTGGGCAGAAGGAATCAAGATGCACTGGATCTTGCAGACCACCTCAAGAACGGTAGAGTTGCAGTTGTGGGTGGTGTGCAAGTTGTGCCGTACTTTGGCGGACCCAGTAGGACTGGTTCGGCAAGTCAACGCCCGACCACACGAGATGGCCCTCAACAGTATGGCAGCATAGCCGGCGCGTCAAGTGGAGGTCCTGCGGGCTTTGCGAGTCCAGGCGAGGAGGCAGAATACTACCGAGATCGTCCTTCACCAACCGACACAGATCCGTTCACGGAGCAGCACCAGTCTCGACCTCGAGTGAGTGAGTCCGAGAAGTTATCTCACGGAGGTGCTTCGTACTTGCCACAGTCGACTGGCGCGGAGACGAGTTTGAGCCGTCGTGAGGTGTTGGACGACCAGCGTACGCCACAGCCACCGGCGTCTGCTTCTTCGCCCGACGCTCAGCGATTCTACCAGCATGGCCCAACCGAGACATTCCTGCACTCGCCACCAGGATCATCGAGTGGTGGACCAGTAGCCACCATACGTCCCCCGACACAGCGTCGAGAGGATGTGAGGTCCGAGGGCAGTTACGTCGAGACTATTAGTGAGGGCGACACAGAATATGCCATCGACGCCGCAGGCAACATCCAACACGACGAGCAAGGTCGACCTGTCGTGTTCCGTCGCCGTCTGCAAAGCCAAGGCGAAGAAAGCGAGGATGCGTACGACGAAGATGCTATCCGCCATGAGCGCGAGCACGCAGCCAGGTATGGACAGACATACGTCCCGACCGGTCAAGACATGCCTGAGGCGCCTTCCGTCCCCACCACGAGCGCACAAGCTGTAGCGACTTATACGCCAACAACCGGCGCACCGTCCTCTGGACCGGACTATGAGGGGTCCGGGTACGGTGGCTGGGATGCCGTGCAGACGACTCGCCATCATCACCCGACTAGATTGAGTGATGTGTTGGAAGAGGACGAGGACAGGAGCTCGCGGCATACGGGGCACTAGTACCGTCGGGATACCTTTATGGGCTCGTTGACAAGACGGTTTATCAGGCGGCAGAAATGATTAATAGTGCAGAAGTCGAGAGGATGGAGGATAAGGTGTGTGGTTTGAAAGGCAGCTTGTGATGTTGCATTTCAGCAAACGGCGTTTGGGGAGGCGGCATTAACGGTTGCGATTGAGATTGGAAAAGAGGGTACGTGTAATGTGTTGATTCTTGGATGGGAGACGGCTGGAGCGCGAGGTACGTTGTTGTGCATAGCGTTTGTGGTCTGCTTGGGGCATCGCATATGTTGAGCGAGGAGTTGGGTGGTTTCTGCCGGGGATTGTGTCGTTGATACCCCTGGCTGTCTTTTCTTGCATCTTGCATCTTGCATGGGAAGTGTAGGAGTATGCAGTGTGGTTTTGGTGATGGAGTTTGTTTGTAGGATAGGGTTGTAGTTTGTGGTTGTGGTCGCTTTGGCGATAGCTGGGTGTAGGACGTGTACAGCATCAGCATCAGCATCAGCGAGATCGTTCATACAATACTCCTTGCTGCCACCAATTGTGATAGGCTTTCATGTTGTCGAGGTGTTTTCGGGAGTTTCTCTCCGCCTCCGCATTCGTGGTGAAGCTCCAGCCATGCACGACGTCAGCACATGTGATGATGAACTCTTGATGGTCCCTATCATTCATCGCTTTCTCCACAACCCTGCGCCGACATCTGCATCGCTTTACCTTATCTCTCTGTACCGAGAGGGGTCCGACATGTTCACCCCCACACTCGCCCGCCTAGCGGGCGGCCGCCCAGGTTTCCTCCGCCGCAGCATCGAAGAGCTCCGTCGTCAAGCCGGCATCGCCGTCCGCATGGAGGGTCTCCACGAACCACAGAAGCCGTTTCCCCTGATCAAATTCGACGAGTCGCAGACGCCCGAACGATGTAAAATCATGTCTGACCAGACGAATTTCGGGGGGTATAGTAGAGCTACTTTGACCCATGTCCCTGGCGCGCCGCATGTGGATAATGAGGGGGGGTTGGGGAGGATTGGGGGTGGGGAGAGGGGTGGTGAGGAGCCGAGTCATGCGGTTTTTACGGGGATGATTAGTACGGATTTACCTGTCAATCGGCCGGATATTCAGAGGAGTGGTTTCGCGGCGTGGAGGACAAGGGATCGGGGGTGGTGGATGTTTGGCAAGTTGCTGTGGGATATTGATCCTTATGCTTATCTGGCCCTGCGGATCAAGAGTGATGGGAGGAGGTACTTTATCAATATCCAGACGGAGAGTATTGTCCCCACGGATATCCATCAGCATTTACTCCCTTCTTATACGCCGGGACAGTGGGAGACGGTCACCATCCCCTTTTCCGCCTTCGTGCGCACGAATTATGGGGTTGTGGTCGAGCCGCAGAAGGAGATGTTGAGGCAGAAGGTCAGGAGCGTGGGGATTGGATTGACGGATCGGGTGCCCGGGCCTTTTGAATTGTGTATTGCCGATGTGTATGCTACGAATCGAGCGCCGGAGCATGATCGGTTGAAGAGGGAGGATACAGGGTTCGATTTGGAGGTCGAGGAGGAGGAGAGTCATGGGATGATGGATGAGATTGCGCCGAAGAGGAGAAAGGGGGAGCCGGAGAGGATCTTGATATGAGGGATGGATTTTTGCAAGCTATTTGGACCACGAGCGGAGCTCATGCGCGTTGCAACGAGGTGCCTTGGTTCGCAGGTGCTGCGTGGCGCTTTCCACTATCTGGCCGTGCCTTCCTCACAGCACGCAGGCGCTCTTGACTCCGGCGACTGGACAGGCAACCATGTCCTCTTCCACTCGCGTCATGCGCACATAACTCACCTTTACGACCATGCAGAACACATCGACCACCAACCACAGACTGACTCTGCCCGCCATGCTTCCCCGAATACGAAGCGAACATAGACCTCCGCTATCCTTCGCATTCCGATGGCTCTACAATGCAGCATTATCACGTCAAGCAGGATCCAACCCTCGCCACGCGCTCCAGGGACTTGAGCAGGGAGTGTCACAAAAAGCTATTCTACGCTGCCAGCATCGTCGGTTGTCTGGATCTCGTGACCGCCATCACACCTCTCGAGCGCGCTGTCAACCCCTTCGACCCAAAACGTTCACCACCATACCTTCACATCCTCATCTGGGAGGAGCACGTCGACCGTGGCGCTCGGATTCACGTACCCAATCGCGAGCTCCTGGAGTCATGCTTTCCTCTCAGCCAATACCCCGTCTTCGCGCCTCAGCATGTCGTGCGCTACAACTTCTGGCGTCCTGGTGATGCACGGAATACACTGTCTCGGAGTACGAGAGCGTCCCCGGAGTATTTGCAAGGCTGTGCTGTGGTCGATTGCGAACGAGACATGACGCTGGAGCTTACCTATCGGCTTCGTATGGTTAGTAAGACTGGGAGAGGGACTTGGTATCAGTACTTGCATATGCATGAGAGCTGGGAGCCTGCTATTGAGAAGTTTTTGAGGGAGGGAGGGAGGAGGTGCTAAAGTTGTGTGTCGAGGGAAACATGCGACGAGCTTCTATGCAGTGGTTATGGCGAGATTAAGCTACATTCAGATTCGCATGCTTCCAGTAAGAGCGTTATAGGATGTTTAGCCTGTACGCTATCTCTGTTACCCAGGCCTTCGGCATCCTTCCGACGAAGCATTCGACGATATTGTCTATACCGTCCACTCATTTCTACGTTACGACGTGTAACCTAGCACGATGGAGGCTACACAAACAATGACTTAGACACGCATATATGCAAGAAGGAATATCGAGGTATTGGGCGCAGCCGCCCAAGCGCAAAGCCACATTTCCGTGCCAAATGTCAACGAATCAAGAACGTTGCATTTGGCCCTCAATGGTCCACCTCATATACCAACTCCGAATAGCCGCATGAGCTTGGCGTTTAGCTGCAGGTCCCAAGGCGGAGGCTACAGATCGTACTTTGTGCGAGTGTAGCGGTGTTGGCATTCAGCCGCAGTAATGCCTTGTCCACCAGCTATGTCAACAGGGCGTCTGCGGGAGTAGGGAATGCTCTCTCCCTATCTACATTCATACTTTCGCCATGCGCGCTAGGACACTGGAGACCGCTCTGGCAATATGGCTCTTTATGCTCGGAGGGGAATGCGCGTGCTCGCCACCCACGCCGATGGTCTTGCCCGTAACGAATGTCAGTCTGGGTAATGGTCTGGTGCGGCGAGGAGTAGCTCTTGGTATAGGCAGTCCGCCGCAATACTTGAGCTTCAGTATACAAGGGTAGGCACGGAACCATCTGACATCCGTCCTATCCTGTCGTTAACACTTCACAGCTGGTGGAACGACACATGGGCCTACAATACTACGCAACTCAACACCTACAATGGGACAGACTTCACCAACAACACAGGCTGCGACTATACCGCCCACCTGGAAGCCTGTACTACTCTCCGTGGCGGTCTATACACCCAGCCTCAATCATCATCCACGCACAAAGTCTTCGACGATGTTGACGCTGCCGGCGCCGACGATAGCGATACGTTGCGAAGACTGGCATCGTCAATGTGGTACTCGGCCTGGCTCCAAGATACTCTGGTCATAAACCAGACGATAAGCCTTCCGAGCTATCCCATCGGTATGCCCGGTCTCGAGTGGTCACGAGCTTCCGCGCAGAATCTCCTAGGTCTAGGTCGCAACTCGACATTTCTTACTAGGCTCAAGAATTACGGTCATATCGGCTCACGGTCCTATGGGTTTTGGTGGGGCCAGACGGGTTGGTCGTCCAATTTGCAGATGGATGGACAGTTAGTGCTTGGTGGTTATGATGCAGCCAAAACGACTGGACCAAACTACACCTTCCCGCTTGGTGCCTGGACGGCCAATTGTCCCAGTGGCATATATCTCAATGTCTCGGATTTGTCTGTGGTCCTGAACAATGGCACGAAGAATAGTCTTACGAAGACCGCGACCTTGCAGGGCTGCTATCGGCCGGACTTGCCGACTATGATCAGTATCAACAATGATCCTTATTATGATCGCTGGCAGCAGTATACGGGCCTTACGAGGTCTGGCAGCTCGGGTGGGGTGGACTACAATTCCATCTTGTATGATTCTGGTGATACGTATGTGAACTGTGATCTCTCTCCTGCAGGAAGTTACTGATACCGCGCCCAGCTTCACAGGATCTTTGAACGTATCTCTGGTCGGCGGTCCGACGATAGAGATCCCAAACGATCTGCTCGTCGGGCCACAGGTCGTCATCGACCAAGATACCGGCGCCATCACGACAAATTCATCTTATAGCGAGGTCTTGATCAACCCCAAACTAAATTCTCCGCAGCCCTTCTACTTCGGAATGCAGTTTTTCTCGCTCATGTACGTCGTCGTGGACTACGATGCTGGGACCTTCACGATATGGCAGGCAAACCCCACAACAGCTTCGGATCTGGTTGCGAGTAGAAGTGCTTGTAAGGACTCGGATGGTTCTTCAAGTGGTTCATCCGGAGGAGGTGGTAGAAAATCAAGCTTGCATAAAGAGGGTCTGTCGGCAGGTTCCATTGCTGGCATCATTGTCGGCATCGTCGCTGTGTTTGCAGTGGTTGCCGCTCTGGTCTGGTTGTACTTGCGTAGGAGGAACAACAGTCGGTATAACACCGCTCCCAGCCAAGCTAGCGGAGAGGACTATGCATTGGTAGACCGCAAAGTGGCACTATCGGAACCGCATGAGATGGGCGTGGGAATGGTACGATGTGAAGCCGATGGTGGAGTTGCGGCACATGAGATGGGCAGTGAGCCGAGAGCGCATGAGATGGGGTCTGATGCGAAGACGCAGGGGCTTGGCTCGAGGCAGGAAGCTGCTGAGCTGGAGTAGTAGATTTTGATTTGCAGCGTTTCCATACCAGAATGATGATATCCCTTTCTTGTCTCAAGGAGCACGACCTTGAAGCCACGCGAACGGAGCATCTCGTTCCAGCACAACTCAGCCGGCGTCTAACGAGCGACTCCTTTGGTCGCCGTACGCTAACCACCATCCATTCATGGATAGGACCGTCAATGTACGGCCGTCACCGTCAATGCACGGCCGTCCTTTTTACGTATGGCACCGTCAAAATACGGCCGTCCGTCCCTACCATCAATGTACGGCCGTCACCGTCAATGTACGGACCGTCAACATACGGCCGTCCGTACGGCTGTCCCCGTCAATGTACGGTCGTCCCCATCAATGTACGGTCGTCCCCGTCAATGTACGGCCGTCCCCGTCAATGTACGGCCGTCCCCGTCAATGTACGGCCGTCCCCGTCAATGTACGGCCGTCTGTACGATTGTCCCCGTCAATGTACACCCTGGCAGAATGTAAGGAGTAAGAGTCCTAGCGTAGGCTGCAAACCGAATTGATCTGGGGCGACATAGGCGCATTCGTGAGGAGGAGTCGGTGGTTGCAGCTACGAACAGTACCTTGGATCTGAGGTTATCCTAGCTTTCCTGCTCCAGATGCACCCGATCGCCTCGGCGTTCTGGCGTTTGGTCAGATGGATGTCGTGAGAAGGTGGGCGAAGGGTCAAGATCTATGGTAGAGATTGAGCGAAGGATGCGCAGGTGGTATCATCTTGTGAGTTGCCATGAAGCCTAGCAGATCCCAGTGCACAAATGTGAATTTGGCATCTTTCAACCGCCAACCAACTCGTCCTTCCCGAGTAATGCAGCCATGGGATCATTATTACTCGTTCGTTCCCGTTGATACCGTTCCATCTCCTTTTCATCCACACCCGAGCTCAATTCCATTAGTCGTCTTCGACTCTCATCCATACTCTGTTTCTCCGGTCGATCAGGCGCGTTTGGAATGTGGCTTACGTGCTTCTCCGTACTCCGCTCAGCCTCCCCGCCATCGTTCCTTTGCTCCTCGTCAGGTACCTCCTCAGCATTCCCGACATCCTCCGCACTAGGTAATGCCAGACCTTTACTGAACGCCTCTGCCTGCTCAGCAGCTTGCCTTCCTTCATCACCAGTACAGAAGGAATTCTTGACTGTGCTGTGACAACACGCATACCCCCACTTGAAATCTCTCCACCATGATCCAAATACGCTGGTATGGTTGTTGACGAGGACATCCTCGGCATACATACTCTTCTCACTCTTCTCCGGCTCCCCCTTGATTCGTCCACGCTCATCGTACTCGACATACTTCTCACTCCCCACCACCTCTGCTCCGACGGGCTTCTTCTGCACAACTTCCTGCCCACCATATTTATCCATCAGCATCTTCTTCCTCTCGTCCTGTTTCTGCAAATCCTCCTCTGCTTTCCGTTTTCGAGTAAGTTGGGCTTCCGTAGGGTTGGCTTGGAGATGTATTCGATCGGCATCACCTCTCTCCTGCGTCTCCCAGGCATATCGTTGCGCATTCTCGAATTCCGTGGCGTCGCCTGAAGCCTTCTGGAAACCATCTTCAGCAATGAGTTCGTTTGTGCTGGTTGCTGTGTCTTGCATTGATCGTGTCTTCGGATCGTACTTGGCGCTGTCGAGGTCCAGATTAAGCAGATACTTTGCAGTGTCTTCCCTTAATCGCAGGTTTCTTGTTGATGTGGCCTGCTTGCGTCCCATATCCGTCTCAGCCTCGTACTTTGCTCCTTCCTCATCGCCCTCGTCATCCTCGCCATCCTCAGCCTTGTGGATGAGTTTCCTCATCTCCTCCACCGCCTCATAATCCTTCACAACCTCCTGATACTCTTTCGCTTCATACCCATTCCACCGATCTCGCTTCGCATCCCACCCCAACCTCACCTCCTCCACCTTCTCGTCCGCCGCTATATCTCTGCCTGTCCACTTCGCCCCCTTCTTCCGTTTCCGCTGTAGACAATCCTTCTCCTTGTGATTCATGCTGCCGCAATTCTCGCAAGCGCCTTTGCGGTATTTGGTGGCTTTCACACCCGTCGTGGAGCCACGGTCGTACCATTTTGATGTGGCGAGGGGATCGCTGTTCTTCTCTGATTGTAAACGCTGATGCTCGAGGTAGTCGCTGTCGGTTTGGAGGTCGTCGGCGATGTAGAAGGGTTTCTTGGCGATGAAGGAAGGGATGTATTCGTTGCGCTCGTTGCTTTTGCCAGCTTCGGCGGGCTTGATCTTGTTGGCACCGGTGGCGTTCTTGCTGCCGCCTGGGCGAGACATGGTGGTGAGGGTGAAGTGTGTGTGAGGACGGAGAGGTTGTCGAGCTTTAATGTCCATATGCTTCGCAAGTCGCCAAGTTCAAGCGGGGCAGGTCAAGCGAGGCTCATGACTCGCTACACAAGATCAGATTAGATTCGGAGCGGCTGATCACTCGCTCCGAGACCACTTACGGCCACATTCCAAGTCGCGCTTTCTTCTTGATGATGTTTCAACAAATCATCGCCATACCGATCTGCCTGTTCATGTGGCTGCTACCGACCATTGCCGCCGATATCGTGACTGTACAGTCACAGACTAGTGTCCGACGCTATCAGCGGACCGGGAAAGGCAGGATCCACCAGGCATAGCCCTGACGCACGCCACCATGTCCGACTACTACCGTACATCACGAGGTCCTCCCTCCGACAACCGCAGGAGTGACGACTCATACAGACGTTATGGTATCTCAGTGACGCCTGACCCGCGCTCCTGCTCCTGGTATTTTCTGTAGGCGGATCGCTAACTTTCGCTTCTCAAGACCGCCCAGTCAGCGACAGGAATCGCGGACGTGATCACGATCGTAGAGATCAGTATGAGAGCCACGATCACTACAGGCCTAGTTCGCCATATGCTGGACAGTATGATCAAGCTAGACGTCCACGTGACTGGGCTTCGCAGGTAGGTAATCTTCATATGTACGCCTTCGATACCTCAGATGCCCTAAGCACCCTACAGGATGACTATCACCCATCGGCCAAGCGCCAGCATCTCGACCATGACCCCTACCAGGACCAGGATATGTACTCCGAGCAGGAGCCGGTAGCCATCCCATATCGTGGAGAGCATGACGTTTCTGCCGATGGCAAGCCGGTGCGTATGCTCCTAGTCCGCAACCTGAAGGAGTCGATTACCGAATCGCTATTTGCGAAAGGTCTCGACAAGCTCAGTGTTGACGCTAGTACCACAAACAAGGACGATCCACCCATCGGTGCATCCGCAGGCTCATTACGCCGTGTGCTCATTGTCCGTGATCGCCAGAGCGAGAAGAGTATGCAGTACGGATTCGCAGAGTACCATCACGTCTCCGATGCCACTGCTGCTCTTGCGAAAGCCGAAGAGCTTGGTGAGAAGTGTACTATCGGGTCGAAAGTCATCGAGGTCTGCTTTCCACACCTCGCAATCTTCCCTCAGGCAGATACTTATCTCGAAGGTCGCGACGAGTCGGAAATGTATACCATCGAGCTTCCCAATACAGGCACCCGACATAAGTACTATGTTGAGCGGTATTACGTGACTGAGCTGATGGTCAACGCCGTCGCGCCGTATCGAGAGCCCAGTCCACCTCAGGCGCCCACACCCGAAGCCAGTAGCGAAGCTGTCTCAGCCACGCGCGAAAGTAGTCCTGCCAAGAATGTTGGGGCTGGCGATGTGACAGTACAAGGTACCACGCTCGATGGAAGAGAGAAAAGCAAGAAGCGCAAAGCACCAGGTGCAGTTGCTCCTGCGTTTCTACAGCACTGGCAGAACAAAGCTGCCGAGCTCAGAGAAGAAGGTCAGAAATTGCAGGTTGCGAAGGAGAAGGAGCAGGGCGAGAAAGGCAGCAAGATTCCTGCGTCTGGGGTCAATGCTATCTCTGCACCAAGGATCGACCAACAGCAGACCTTCTCGATAGATACTACGAAGCTGAAATGCTGCTATCTCTGCGCTGGCCAGTTCCAAACACTCGAAGGTCTACAGCGTCACCTCAAGGAGAGTCCAAAGCATGCGGACAATCTGAAAAGCGATCAAGCTACGACTCGTGGCTACGAGCGTCTGAACAAAGCCAATGTTAGCCCAGCTTCGACCATCAAACTTCTTCTACCCCCACCTGAGTCAGCACCCGCCGTCATGACCACCACCGAGCAGACCGTCTCGGCATACCGCGATCGCGCCGCCGAACGTCGTGAAGCAGAAGGTGGAAGCGGAGGCAAAGGCAGTATGCCCAAGTTCTCCCTCAAAACCAAATCCAACCCAACCCGCACCTCCTCCCCCTCAACCTCAGACACCGAGTCAACCACCAAGCCCACCTACGGCAAAGGCCTAGGTATGCTGCAAAAAGCCGGCTGGGCTCCTGGATCCGGACTCGGATCTGGTGGCGAGGGGATCGCGGCGCCGATTGAACAGAGCTTGTATGCGGCTGGTATTGGGCTTGGACATGAGGGGAGTAAGAAGGGGGATGCGGTGCTGGAGGCGCAGAGGTTGACGAAGGGGGATGGGAGGGAAGGGTTTCTGGAGATGACGAGGGAGGTTGCTAGGCAGAGGTTTGAGAGGATGGGGTGAGCGTGGGGGTGGGCCTTGTGTGAGTGGTCGGAATCACTGCTGCTTGATCTCCTCCGAAAATCAAAGGGTATCGAGCGGGCTACGAACTCTTACTTGAGTACCCTGACGTGTCTACAAATTGGGGGTGTGTAGTACACGTATTTTGTCCTCTCGAGTGTCAAGTCTGGTTCCTAGTTGTCAGACACAGAGATCGCTACGCCCATAGATCCTACCTCGTATTGCTGGCTTGTTGTGCGTGGAGTGTTATGTCATGCTCAAAGGGGCGGAAAATATCTGAATTCATGTGATTATGGCAGGGTTTTGGGAAAGAATTCGATCTCATTGCCAATACGCTATGCTAGGATGCTAGAATGCCAGAGAGGCTTGCCTCCTCGCTTCCTCCCTCGCGGGAGAATGCTTTCGATAATGATAGCTGGAATTATGCTCCCGTACGCTGCGAAATTAGTCTCGACGATACATCCGTCATTCCGCCCATCTACCCCTATTATCCCAGTCCATCTCTCACCCCAGCTTAGCAAACATCAACGTACTCTGCTTCATCCTCCCCCCACTACTCCTCTCCGACTTACCACTGCCAGTAGCGCCGAGCAAACTATCCTTAACAGCTTGCCCAACACTCTTGACCGCGTCTTTGATCGGCTGTTTCTTTCTATTCGCCGCCTCTGACGCTGAGCTCGATGCCAGTGTCTCGCTTTCCCGGGTTTGCGAACGGTGAACGGCTTTTTCCGTCTCCGTGATGGTGATTTTGGTCTTGCGGGTTATGGTCGAGGTACTGTTTACGGAGTCCGAGCGCGGGAGGTCTTCGGTGAATTTCGAGGCGGTAGAGGGGTTGTGTGGTTGATCCTTGCGCGGCGAGATGGTGATCTGAGCTCCTTCGTTCGCTTGCTCGTCTACCGTTACCGCCTCCTGGTCTTCGGGTGGCAAAACTGCCTCATGCACTGTCTTCCTCCTCGAGGAGTCCTTCTTCCTCAGTAGCGGCGCTCGTTCAACGCCAGGCAGAGATCCCCTCCTAGCAGCCAACCTCCTCGCCCGACTCGACCCCTTCTCCGTCTCCTCCCTCTCCTTCTTCTCGGCCTTCAATCGCTCCTTCGTCTCCGGATCATCGATCGCAACCCACCCACGCCAATTCGAGCCACGCGAAGTCTTGACTTTCTTCTTCCGCTCCTCGTCTCCTGCATGTCTCTGTGCCTCGATCTCCGCTTTCCTCTTCCGTTCGTTCTCCGCTTTGAGTTGCTTCTTCTGCTCTGTGGCGTTTAGTCGTTTACTCAGGGATCCACGGCAGGACGGGGCGCCACAGTAGCATTTCTGTTGCGTTTCCCCGAAATTGTCGAAGTTGTAGTCGTAGGTCAATTCCTGACCAGTCGTTATTCCTTCGGGTCCCGCGAAGACACCCATACGTGGCGTGCCGTTCACTTTGACCATGCGGACTTCGCAGTTCGGCTCGCAGGAGTGGTTAATGAAGCGTGCCATGGAGCCTTTCGTGCCGTCGATGATGAGGCCGCGTTCCAGTTCCATGAGGTAGTAGCATTGTTTGTCCTTGTAGTCCTCACGCATGCGACGTTGACATTCGCCTTCGGAGACGATCTCGCCGGTGTATTCCATTATGATCTGGCCAGCGGCCCAGGTCCGACACGATCTCACCCCAAACCCACGATTAGCCGTCTTGAGCACTTCAACGCCAACGTCGAATGGTCCTCCTTTCTTCGTTCGCGTGGAGAGTTCCGCAAAAGCACGATTGCCACAGGTTTCGGAAGAGAGATTGCAGTTATCGTCGTTGCACTCGTACTGCATGACGCGATTCAGACAGACATCGTCGCAGCCCAATTCGCCCGGTCCAGGTGGCGAACAAACACACATCGAAGCTGGAAGGCGCTCAGACCTCTCCCATAAATCTTTCGCTTCGCCGATAAGACGGTTCTTATTGACCTGGTGCCAGTCCTTCGGTTTCTCGTCGCCTTTCTTCCACGATGGCGCAAAGACGTCGTAGGGGATGGTGAAGTCCCTCGTCTTATCAAGGTAGGCGAACATGGGTAGTGTCATGAATGGTGGCGTGGAGTTGGATGGGACATCGTCGCCCGCCTCATTTGATGCAGACGACACAGGTCTTTTCTTCTGCAGCTTCTGACGACCGCCAATTTGAGCTCCGTCGAAATCGGCACTCTGACCCACGTAGAGACCCTCCTTCTGCCACCGCTTCATCTTCTTGCTAGGAGCTGAAGCTTTGGCAGCTGGTGGAGGTGCAGCAGGAGGCTGTGCCATCTCTCTCAGTACAGCCTTGGTAGCCAGCCGTGCTTTTTTTGCAGGAGGAGGTAGGTCGACTTCAGCATCCAGGTCCAGTTCGTCCAGCAGTCCTCGAGGTCCAGTATCCAGCTCCTTCTTCCACCTCGGCATGTTGTCCTCATCGTCTTCCTCATCCTCCTCAACCTCGTGGGCTTGGACCTTTGTTTTCTTGCTCAGTTTCCGCTTCCCAGCTTCCATGATATCACGACCACGCTTCCCCAGCACCGAGCCCACCTTCCCAGCAGCCTTCTTCACCCTATCCCTGACACTCGGCTTCCTCTCCAACACCCAACCAGTGTTCTCCCGAGTCGCACCAGCCGGGATCTCCCAGTCCATATCCAATGCCTTCCCCACTTTCCTCCCAAACGGCGTGCCAGTCTGCTCATCATCCTCGGCATTGACCAGCGTCCGTCCAGTCAGACCAGAGACATTCCGACTACTAGCAGCAGTAGTAGCCGGTAATTGAGCATCAGACAACTGCTTAAGATTATACGTCGAAACACCACCGCCCCTGACGCGTCTCGAGCGTCTCCCACTAATGCCATCGTCGTCGCCTCCTGATTTCTGCGCGGAGCCGACACTAGCGCTCTCGCCTAGACTAGTCGGTGGTGTGGACCTCGACACGCGATCTGGGGAGGCGATCGAGCTCTCCTCTAGTAGGGCTCCGGCGGCGGCTTGGACGTCGATGTTGGAGAGTGAGGAGGATTCGGAGGAGTTGGTACGCGTCATTGCTGTTGCTTGTTCCGCCATGAGTTTGGTGTCAAGAGTATTGGATGATGTGCAAAGTGGTAAGGCACGCCAAAAGTACGCGCTCCGGGGACGCGAAGTGGGGAGCGCGTATGTCCTTCTTGATATTGAGTACGGGAAAGACCGTATTCGCCCAGAATGATGTTGTTATGTATTGATCAATCGTGTAAGACAACTCCCCCGGCCAGCGAAAAGGTGAGACCTCGCGAAAGTGTAAAGAGTAGGGTGTGAGGTTTGTTTGGGGAAGGAAGGTGATCTCGTTAACGAAAGTCGACAACATCCACATCCACATCCACACCCAATCAGCAGCCACCACGCGTTTAGCTTAGCATTCCTGTGACATGGCCGGGCAACGAGCAAACACACAGTCGTACTGCAGTGATCAAGCTCGAGTCTGACTAAGAGAAATACACCAATGTACTGTACATTATGATCCACAACAATACACATCGTCGTAGCCTAGATCCCTGAGCTCGAGACACACTTCCCGTTCCTGCTTTCATCCAAACCGATGCCAATGTAACTATACAGCAAGCGCTAATAAGACAATACATAAACAAGAATCGAAGGGTATCATCACCACGGCGTACTGTTCACACCCACTCCTCCACCACCTGCTGCCGGCACATCACCACTACCACCGGCACCCCTCGCTTGCGGCTTCGGAGGCGACTTGGGCAAATTCTGCATCTCATGCTTCTCCCCTCCTTCCACAGCTGCCTTCCCATTCATCCCCTTGCCCACCGAATACCTCTTCTTCAAATCCCTCATCCTCGCCTTCTTGGGCTCCGTATACCCAAACCTAATATCACCTTGCTGATACCGCCGCTTGAACTGCATATACGTCGGTGGTCTCGGCCGCAATAGCACAGCCGCCCAGTTTCGCAACCAGGAGCTCTGCGTGAATGGTCGGTGTCGGTCTTTGGGGAGGAATTTGTGCGAGTTGAGGTATTCTCGCGTTGTTTCGCCGCGCGCCATGAGGAAGCAGTGATAGGCGAAGAGACTGCCTGGGTAGGGGAGGGCGAGGATGCTGTAGAGGAGCATGGCGAAGGCTACTCGTTCCTGTGATCGACCGGATAGGCTTTGGCCGAAGCTGAGATTGTTATGTTTGGCGTAGGAGGATATGTGTGTGATGCTGAAGGCTAATAGCATGAGGGTCAGGATGGAGGCGAAGGAGACGTAGGAGAAGAAGTAGCGGTAATTTCGTCGACCGACGCAATTGTTCAGCCAGACGCAGTGGTGATCCTGAGTTTCGACGCAGGCATCGCAGATTCGGCAGTGGTGGGCGCGGGGTGGGCGCCAGACGGCACAGCTCTTGCAATACTTGGTGGGTACTTCCATGGCTGTGGTAGAACCCTGCTGCGCTTCGTCGGGAGAGGCTTGCGCGCCAGGTGTTCGTTTCGATGGGAAGGTTTTGACCATGACCCATTCTGTTGTTGGTGGGCCCACCGTCAAAGGGTCTCTATCCTCTTCGGGGTTGGGTGGGTGTGGATGGAGGTTCCGTGGTAATATGCCGGGATCTGAGAATGCGGCGTGGAGGAAGGATGAGATTGTGATGTAGAAGAAGTATGCGAAGAATATCGGGATGGCGGGTGAGACATTATGCCAGAGCCAGGGTGCGGAGCAGCCAAAGAACAATGCTGCTGGTAGTGCGGTGAGGACGAATGTGGCGACATTCAACGGCTTAGCTCGAGTGTTTAGACATCGTCCGGCTAAGAAGAAGAGCATGTTTCCAGCAAAGTACTCGTAGTTTCTGCCCTGTCCTTGAGGTGCAGATGGATGCACACTGTTTGGCAACCTTTTCTCATCTGTCTCGTTTGGAGAAGAAGGATCAGAGTGCAGCACCTCGTGGGCCGGAGATGGGCGTCTCTCGTGGTTGGTCGCACTTTCGCGCGCAGATCCCAAGCCTAGAGAAGCTCGTAAGGACCTTGGCGACTTTTGAGGTGCCTGCTGTAGAGAGTTGTTGCTACTCCGTTGCGCATTGGTCTTGACCATCAGATCATTCGGATTCTGCCGAGCTCGTAGTGGTACTGTGCTGTTGTTGCTGACAACGCTCATTGCTGGTTGGGTTTCAGGCTGTGTGCCGTCGTTGGTGAACATAGTGCCTCTACTTGTAGGCAAGGGTGGCGCATCCCCATCCGTGGTAGCTGGAAGGCCGTCCCGCATTGTGTTTACAGAGGCATTACTATACCGGTGCCTATGCATGCTGTCTTCACTCCTGCGATTCCGAACCTGCTGAGCTAACGCACTGGGAAGCCGCGGTCCGCCTCGCTGCGCCTGAAGTTGCTGACTGCTCATGGGCTTGTTGAAGCCTTGGGCTGCTAGGGACGGCACATGTGTCTTACTCATCGGCGAGCCTGGCCTACTGTCGGGCGGCGCAGCATCACCACTGTTTCGCAGGCTTCCTCCACTCCGCGCTGCAAATGCTGCCAAACCTCTTCTACTACTCGGGGGCTGCATGCGCGCCGATCCTTTCTGCGACCCATCCATATTGGTGCTCATGCTCGCTGGTCGCGAGGGTGGCAATCCAGGCTCACCCACCGGCCCTGTCGTCGAAGCGATATTACTCTGCCGCTCTCGTGCAGATGCATAGTCGTCGACTCCAAATTCGGATGTCGTGCTCGTCGCCGAGGAGGTGGGTCGGCCGTCTGCACCGAGGGCGGTGGGATATGGATCGGTGTCGAGGAAGGTCGGATTCGGGAAGGACGTCATGTCGCTGAGTGGCCGTACAGATGTCACGTTCTCGTCGGTCGCGCCTGCCATGGCTGTGGGCGCGGGCTTACTCCTTTCATCGACCGTTGACATGGCGCAAACGCGGAGCAGTCGTTCATCGTCGGCTCGCGCTATTGCTGACTGTGTATGTGGCGAGGCATTACGTGGAAGTGTTGTCGGTGTGTCGATGAGTGACAGCGCTCGAGGACCTGATACTGACGAGTCTATACTCGTGACCTTTATTGTAGTGTCAAGTCATCCTGTATGTAGTCTGTCGCAAGCAGGGAGATGTCAGCGAAAGTCGATCCTCTGCCCAAAGCAGCCTAGCATCTCCGGAAGTGTGCCGACGTCAAACGAGCAGCAACGGCAACAGCATTGGGAGCTCTACCAAAAGCTCGATAGCGACCACATACCATCCACTCCACTTACACATACCTAGCATGTCCCTCATCGCCAGGAGAGCACTGCTCCGTGCTCCGCGAGCACCCATTACCGTCGCCCGACGTAGCTACGCCGAGAACAAGCCGGGCCAGTCTGCAGACTTGACTGGTGACAACGCGGCAGAGAAGAAGGTGGACTTGAGGGAGGGCGCGAAGAGGGATCCCGAGCTCTACGTATGTTCCATACACATATTGTAACCACGTGACTGCCTACTCATCATCTGCCTCGCAGATCCTCCTCGCCATCATGTCCGGCGCGTTCGGCCTCGCTGGCTGGCACTTCTCCCGCAATCCCACCTCCTCCTCCTCCGAAAACAAGATCGCCCAGGCCGACAACAGCGAGCCCTGGCACACCGGCACAAACGCCAAGTATCAGTATCACCCACACGGCGACGTGCGAAAGCCAAGGAAGGATGCGCCTAGTGCTTTGAACGAGGTCATCATTCCTAATGTGAACCTGCCGAAGGTATGATATGACAAACACGCCGCTCTGAGACATATATCCGCATACCGTGTGCTTGTGCTTCGAAGCTATACTGACAGTCACCAGGAGCTACACGAGAAGTACAACAAATGGGGCAAGGAGGGTTACTAGACGCGAACGATGCGATCTATCTGCTGGAACACCATCCAGCGTGTACTTGTGAATACTAGCCCAGCCAAATAGAGCAGCCTGATTGCGCCAATCTCCATCTTTCTGGGCACTTCCTTTCTCGGAAAATGGCCATCCGTGCTGGGATCCAGTGAGCGAAATGCGGATGTCGACTGACCAGGACAAGAGATAGCTGCGCATGATTGTCCCATTCCCCACTTTCATCTACTGACATGGACTTTGTCTGTATACATCCAGAAAGAGTGATTGCAAAGTGTAACTCCGCATTTGGTCTGAATTCAGCCAATCAAGTCACACGAAGCGGCACAGGACCCGCAAAACTGATCTACGCTGCAGATCCACTACTTGTAGGTCTTTGGTACTTTTGGTCTACCGAGGTATGGATGGGATTGCATAAACACCTCTCCTCCTCCATCCTTGACACTTACATACACTTTCACCTAACATTCTACGCCAACCGATCATGACCTTCGCGGCTCTCACCACCCTCCTAGCTCTGGGCGGTATCACCACCGTCCACGCCGGCTGGCCATCTGCGTCGCAAGCAGCACTCAAGCCAACCTGCGGCTATCCTGGCGGTGGACCTACTGCTACCATCGACGCTGGAGTTGTAATCGGCACCACGACATCGCTACCCGCCGCCACAGCCACTGTCAACAAGTTCCTCGGTGTACCTTTTGCTAAGTCACCGCCGACACGCTTCGCTCCTCCTCAGAGCCCGAGGACTCTCAAATCGCCTATCAAGGCTACGGCATGGAGTCCGGCATGTATTCAACAGTTTGTCTATCCGCTGGCGTCGCAGCAGTTCACTGAGGCTGTCTTCAATAATCCCGCGCCGAAGGAGAGTGAGGATTGTACGTTTGATGGTCTCCAGTATGTTCGTGTGTCGTACTGATGCGAATGCCAGGCCTGTACCTTAATGTCTACGCCCCATCATCCCCAGCTCCAGCAGATGGCCGCGCTGTTATGTTCTGGGTATGGCAGTCCTTCATCGTGTCTAGCAAGTTGAGACTGCTGACATGAGCTCCAGATCTATGGTGGCGCTCTCGAGTTCGGCAACGCAGGTCAGCCAGCCTACGATGGCACCTGGTTTGCCAGTTACGAGGACGTTATCGTCGTCACGGCCAACTATCGCACGAACGGTTGGTGGATATCTGTCCCCGTGAGATCGTGATAGGCGGAACGCTGATGCTGTGTGGTCCAGTCTTCGGCTTTCCTTCGTCTCCCGAGCTTGCTACCACTGGTCATAATCTAGGTACGCTGCTGGCAGGGTCGAACGCAATGACATCTCTAACCACGGAGCCAGGCTTTCTTGACCAGCGTTTCGCACTTGATTGGGTTCAGCACAACATAGCTGCATTTGGCGGGTCACCGAATAAGGTCACCATCGTAAGAACGTTCCCGTTTTCTCAATATCCCAGACCATGACTAACCTCACCACAGTTCGGCGAGTCAGCCGGCGCATTCTCTATCGACGCCCTCCTCACTTCCTTCCCGAAAGGCTCGGTACCGCCCTTCCGTGGCGCCATCCTCGAGTCTGGACAGTACAGCTACCGCTCCGCACCATTCACCAGCTCTGTTCCAGCCTGGGATGCACTCAGTGCTGCTCTGGGGTGTCCTGGCAAGTACAACAGCAATTTGACTTGTGTCAAGGCGGCTTCTGCTACGGACATCCAGACCATCATTGACACGCAGAGCCTTCTGTTCCCACCTACACCGGACAATGTTACGCTGGTTGCCGATCCGGCGAAGCAGAGGTTGAGCGGCAACATTGCTCGTATTCCTGTCATGGGCGGTACGAATACACAGGAAGGACGGTACGATGAACCACTAGATGCTCGCCCTCGATCTACGGTACTGACATCTCGCAGAGCCTTCACAGTCGGCCAAACAAACACCACGGCCTTCCTCCAAACCCTGTTCGGCCCGAACCAGGCCCTGATTTCCGCAGTCGAAGCTATCTACCCCATTGGCTCAGCTGGTATATCGAGCGTCTACGATCAGACCAGTGCGATCTTCACAGACTATATCTTCCAGTGCCCGCAAGCGAAGTGGGCGAATGACACAGCCGCTCTTGGCATCTCGACCTGGCGATATCTTTTCAATGCTAGTTTTGCTAATACGCAGGCGTATCCTGGTTTGGGCGTCTATCACTCTAGTGAGATCCCGATCGTGTTTAGCACCTACAATGCGGCGAACACGACGACCCAGGAATATGTGTTGAGTAATGCTATGCGTGGCGCCTGGGCTAGGTTTGCGAAGAATCCTGCTGGTGGCCCGGGTTGGAATGCTGTCGGTACCGGGGCTGCTGGTCAGGTTCTGACAGGAGCTAGTGGTGCTGTAGCTGGTGGTGTGCTTGTTGGTGCGGACGGGAAGACGCTCAATGGCACTTTCGACCTTGGGCTTTGGGGAAATCGAGGCGATGCTTTGGGTGCTGGTGTCACTGTCATTGATCAGAAGGAGGCTGACTATAGGTGTAAGGTCTTTGAGGCGGTCTTGGACGCTATCGCGGGGACGACTGGGCAGTAATCGGGCTGGCGAGCTCATAAAGCTGGCATGTGATGCTCACCTACTGCATTTCGACAAGCCGCTTTTGAGCTTCATGATGGATCACTGCAAAGGTTTTGACACGTCAATCACCACCATGATTCATCTCAAGCTGATTAGAGGCTGTAGCAGCTAAGTATAAGATCATCTTCATTCTTCAACATGTTCATCCTCCATGATCAACAGCTTGAACATCATTCATCATAGCAACACCTGCTCGATGCAAGCTAACCCCAACATAGTCCTACCGTGCACCACACTCGGCCTCTCCATTGCTAGAGATCCAATCCTCCTTGCCTCCTCCCTCATTCTCGTCATTTTCATGCTCTTCCTGGTCGAGCTCGCCACAAAGCCAACTCAGGTCGAAGAGTCCTAGACAAAAGCTCACTTCACTATACCACCATCAAGCATTGGCTATCACATTTTTCACATCCTCTATCCAGAAAGCCAGTGTCCCGCCATGGCACCCAAAACACCCCTCCTGACAGCAGGCACGACGGACGCAAAACCGTACAAAACTCCCCTCCGCCGCGGCGGCCCAATAACAACCCAAGAGAAGATCCAAGCCGCGGCAATGAAACGAGACAGAGCTCCCAAAAACATCCCTCGCGAGGCACCCAATCCACCAGCCAAGCCGAAACCACGTTCGCTACCACCGCCAGGCGAAGGCGAAGCAGACATCTTGGCCAGAGCCCGCAATGCTGGTGTTCTCAAGAAGAAGATGGCGCCGAAGCCGCATAAGGCTTTGACTACGCAGAGGAAGATCCAGATGGCGTCGCTTGCGGCGAAGGCGAAGGGTCCGCAGACGAAGAGTGCTGGGAAGGTCGAGGAGGGGAAGACGAAGAAAGGCGGCAAGGTCGTGGAAAGGATGAATGGCAAGGTTGTGGAGACGAAGGTCCCGAAGGTGAAGGCGCCGGGCATGATGGCGGTGCTCAGGAGTCAGGATAGCAGCACGCTCCGATTCGAGAAAGAAGGTGCGCATCGGGCGGTGATGTCGAGGCGGACGGTCCGTTCTGCGAGGTTGTTGGAACAGATTCGGGAGAAAGCTTTGCGGGATCCGGAGGTGAAGAGGGTGTGGGAGAGTGAGGCGATGCAAGATCTTCTTGAGCAGGTCAAGGGCGCCAAGGATAAAGTGCACCCGGCTTTGAAAGCGATCAGCAAGGATGATGGGATGAAGTGTGTAGTGGAAAGGCTGGTGGCTGCGCGAGTTCTGCCGGCTCCTGGAAAGCTGGAGCTGCTACCCGTCGATCTAGATCCGAGAGTAACATTCCGCTTCCTCGACCTCCCGGAGAAGGTCCGCAAGCTGATCTATGAGATGGTCGTGGTGGATTCCGCTCACTTCGTCGACCCTGAATTGCCTACTGGACAGGAGCAACCGGATCTAGCCATAGTCAATCGGCAACTCCGAGCGGATGTCTTACCGATCTTCTACGCAAGGAACATCTTCACTATTGACCTCACTACCCGCCCGGTCCAGAAGAATGGTTCGACTAGTCTTGTTCTTCTCCTGCGCTGGGCTAGACAGTTGGAGGTGGGGGGGTGGTTCAAGCATATTCGTCACTGGGTTTTGGCATGCACACCTTCCGTTCAGCCCGGCGAGCAGGATAAGGATGTCATGCTTTCGGTCTTGTTTGAGGGGAAGGAAGGCACTGCTTTGGGCGCGGTGGTCGAGTTGCATCGGGAGGCGAGCTGTGTGTTGGCGGGAAGGAATGGGATGTTGGAGTGCGCTGTCCACGAGACTCCGGGCTGGGTTAACAGCGCGGTCATTGAGCTCTGTGATGGTGCGAGGGGTGGAGAGGTCAGGGGAGATATGGTGGTCAAGCTGGCCAGAACAGTCAAAGATCGTATGGGTGAGCTGGTGGGGCTGCGATGCATGAAGGAGAATGGTAGTGTTAGAATGTGAGCGATGGATATGATCGGCGGTGGGAGGGTCGTGTGATATGCGTCGAGGCAGAAACTGCTTTGCGGCAGTCCGGGAGTTTGATATGATCTTTTGTTTTATGTAGCAGAAGCTACAACGAGGCGTCCTCCATATCAACTCATCTGATATGTGGTGTAGAAGTCTTCCAGGAAGGAGTCTAGTTGTTTGATCGTCACAAGGCCTGCTGTACCGCATCTTCGCCAACCTCGTCTCTTCACCGCTGACTAGTGGAGTTGTGGCCAAAGGATAGGACGAATGGAATGTGCGCCAAACAAGTCACACCAACAGCCTTCACACGCTGAAACGAGTCGCTGCTTGCGCACTCGGATTTGAAGTCGGCTATTCCGTACCGTTGATACAAGAGCTGCCCAGTGCATTTTCCTAGGACTGAGCGACTCGAGACTAACCAGCCAGACCTTCCGGTAGCATAGTCGGCTGTATTCGCCTGTGCTCGGGCTGGCCACTGTAAAGTCGGCTGCGTATGTCCAACTTTCCACATGAAGCGTGATTTCGAGGACAATACATGTTTCTCGATGCTGCGAGGTGGAATATATTCCTTCGCGACGCTTCGAACGTGCCGAGCTTTTTGGGCGGTGATGTGCGAGCCAGCCAAACGGTCGATGAGATACCTTCGCCATTGCATCCGCGAAGCTCAAACATCTCTCAAAACCTTCTTGACCATCTTCCTCTGCATCTCAACTCCCCACCCCTCCTCATCAGCCCTCACAAGTAACCCTCCAATCACGATTGTCTCCCTCGCGGTACTACTATCTATCCACACCTTCCCGTTCCTGCCAACCGCCACCTCGAATCGCACTTTCTCGCCTGCTTCTTCCAGCACTACTACGCCACCTTTAGCCTGGCCATCTTTGGAGGTCCCCATCATTAAGCGACGCGCGAAGGACGGAGTGACGGAGAACGTCATTCCAGCTTTCAGCGGACCCATGCCCTCGGATTTTCCAGTGGCAGAGTTGAAGCATTCGATTTCTGTGTCCTCCCATTTACTTGTCTTGCTCACGCGCGCGTAGACGAGATCTCCAGATTTCAGTTGTGGTCGGGTCTTCTTGTTGGCTCCTTCGAAGGCGAGTTGGCCGAGTATGGCGTACGGTGTATGTGGCGTTAAGATACAACTGTAGCTCTCGGTGGAGCTGTGGTGGATCTGTGCGATGACATGATCGCCGACAGTAGGTTGATATCGGCCGTGAGAAGTCTCTAACCAGATTGCGCCTTTCTTGTTGTCCGTCTGGAGGGAGCCAGTTGTGGTGGCGGAGATTGTCGAGGGAGGAACGTGATGCAATCCCGGTCCTAGCGTGAGGGTGCCCTTTTTGGTTGCTGGGAGGGCAGATTGTGGGACTACCTCGCCGGGCAAGAGGACCCCTGGCGTGGTCATGGTATATGGTGTTGACGAGCAATATATGGAGAGGTGTTCCACTTGGAGGGATGTGTGTATAGTTTGTTATCGATTGCACTAGCTCCATAATTTTATGCGTCACATGCAGGAACAGTAATATTATGGTTGTCTCGTAGTGGATATACGCTCCCACCTTTCTACACTCCTTACACAACACATACGCAATGGAGGCCGAACACTTGACGACAGCCAAGCTCAACTTCCCCAAGAAGCGTTGTGGTTAGTGAGTCTTCTACTCTTGCGACTTCCAACCATCCTCGTACTAATCTTCTACAGGCGTCCTCGGTGCTACAGGGTCAGTGGGCCAACGCTTCATACTCCTCCTCGCACTGCACCCGCACTTCGAGCTCACCGTCGTCGGCGCCTCGTCGCGATCAGCGGGCAAGAAGTATAAAGATGCTGTCAAGTGGAGACAGGCGCTGCCGATGAGCAAAGAGCTCGGCGAGCTGGTGGTGAAAGAATGCAAGCCAGAGGAATTCAAGGGACAGTGTGACTTGGTGTTTAGTGGATTGGATAGTGATGTTGCTGGAGATGCTGGTGAGATATGATCATCAACTAGGATTGCTAGATCATGGCCGCTGAGTTGACGTTCTGTACAGAGAGAGCTTTCGCTTCAGCTGGTCTTCCGACTTTCTCCAACGCCAAAAACTACCGCCAAGATCCTCTTGTACCACTGGTTGTACCTACAGTCAATCTAGACCATCTGGATCTCATACCTCATCAGCAGAAAACGTGGAATTATTCCGGTGGCTTCCAGGTCTGTAATTCCAACTGTGCTGTCATTGGCCTCGTCATTCCGTTCGCCGCTCTACAGCAGAAATTCGGACCTATCAAGGAGTGTAGTGTGGTCACCCTGCAAGCGGTCAGTGGAGCCGGCTACCCAGGTGTCAGCAGTATGGACATGATCGACAACGTCGTCCCCTACATCTCGGGCGAGGAAGATAAACTGGAGAAGGAAGCCCGAAAGATCTTGGGTGGCATCAGCTCTGATGCCAAAGTCTTCGAGGAGCAGAAGGACCTCAAAATCTCTGGGACATGTACTCGCGTGCCTGTGCTGGATGGCCACACCGCCTGCGTCTCCCTCACTTTCGATCGTCGTCCGGCTCCTTCGGCTGAGGAGGTCAAGGCTGCGTTACGGGAGTATGTGTCGGAAGCACAGAGGATTGGGTGTCCATCCGCACCGGACCATGCTATCGTGGTCATGGAGGAGCCGGATCGGCCGCAGCCTAGACTTGACAGGGAGACTGCAAGAGGGTATGCTGTGTCGGTTGGTCGTGTGAGGGAGGATGAAGGAGGAATCTTCGATATCAAGTTTGTGGCGCTGAGTCACAACACCATCATCGGCGCCGCGGGCAGTAGTCTGCTGAATGCTGAGGCGGCTGTGTTGAAAGGGCTGCTCTGAGCGTCGATCCGCATGTGGATGTCTATCTACAACGCTCTATGTATGGGTATCTAGCTCTATCAATCGTCACACCCATTCGTAACATCTTCCATCGCCTCAGTCTCCCTTCTTGGCATCCTCCACTGCCCATGTCACAGCCTCCTCTACATTACTTACAGTCACGGTCGGCTTCGCGGTCGGCTCCGCACCATCCTGATACACCCCAGTCTTGACAAGAATACTCTTCCACTGACTCCCATGCGGACTCTGGTAATTGTTCGCCCCACGTATGTCGGACTCGGGATTGTCCCCTACCATGTACACCTTTCTCAGCGGATCATTCAGGCCTTGTTGCCCGAATAACTTCTTCCTGTGTCGTCGCAGTCGCGTCTCCGCAAACTCGTAAGTAGGCTGGTGCGGTTTGCCGATGATCGTCTGCTCCAGCTTCGCGCCACCAGTCACTGTGTTCCAGAGCCCTTCGAATGCACTGCGGAATCCTCCCTGACCTAGTCTGGGGAGTGGGTAGGAGGAGGCCCACCAGAGGTCCGGGTTGCTGTGATATAGGGCTGGCTGGGAGTCTTGGAGGTAGCCGTTGTTTGGTAATGATTTGTTGCCATTCTTCTTGGATAGTGTGCCTAGCCGTCCTTGAGAGGAGAGCAGTAGATCGAGGATGACATGAGCATCTAGACCCCAGTCTCGCGGGTCGTTGTACACGAATATCGCGTCGAATTTGAGACTCTCGGAAGGTGAGTCGGGATTGATATGTTTCGGTAGTGGTTTGGCGAATGCTTTGTAGTAATCCATGAACACTTTGCTGAAGGGCCAGATGTCCGGGTATGCGGTCACGATGTCCCCAGGTGTCACAACATTCTTGAATCCATAGTGATCGATTGCTACTCGTTGACATTTATCGTAGTCACCGCCCACGACCAACACTGTCTTATTCTTGTACTGCTCCATTTCCGCAAAGGGGGTGTGCGACTGCACAAACATGCCTACGTCTAGCTCAACATTCAGCTTCTCGGATATGTCGGCTACCCGTTCTGCTTCGCTCTTGCCGCCGCCATTGGTCAGCAGTATGAAAGGTATTCGTTGTCGCTGCAGATATCGTAATGCTTCCGAGGCTCCGGGAAGGGGGGTGGAGGAGCGGAGGAGTACGCCATCGATGTCGAAGGCGAAGGCGTAAGAGGGGATGCCGCTGTCGTAGACTTTGGTCTGGAAGGAGCGATGGGATGTTCTGGGTATAATGTGGCGAGAGACAGAGGAGGTAGCAGCTCTGGTGACGTTTCGGAGCGTGGCTGCCATAGCAGGAAAGAGAAGTGTGGTGAATGGTTAGGATTGTGGTAGAGCTGCTGCATGGTGGGGCAAATTTGGGTTGGCTAGATGGGGATTGGTGGAGATCTGACAGCCGGGCCCGATTTCCAAACTCCCGCATCTACATCTCTATTCCACTTTCCAATTCCTCGTCCAGCTAGCGATATTGAAGACTATATGATCGATGGCACAGGCAGAGCATCAGCGGATCCATCGACGCAGGTTGAGAGACTAGACACGCAACGGTCGACACGACCATGCGATACCCGCCAGATTCGCTCCGGAGGCTCTCTGTCCGCCTGCCGGAGTTGTCTGGAACGATCGTTTCGGCATAGAGTCTGCAGATTGATTATTGTCGATGACCTTGTGACGAGCAATGGAAGCATGAGCAGAAAGTAGGTCAAGTACAATACAGTCTGCTTTTCTCACGCATTTGTCGCTACTTAGACGAGATCATCTGTTGAGACATTTTACACAATCTCCATCGTTTCTATCACCTCGCAATGCGTAGCCCAATCACATTGACGCTCCTCGCAGGTGTCGCTGTGTCCACCGCCGCCACCACACCTGCCGCATACAGATACCTTGGACGAGTCAATCCAAAGACCAACGAGCTGACCTGGCCGAGCTCGGGATTGGCTTTCGAATTCACGGGCATTTCTGCCAGCGTACCCATCACAGTCACGGGCGACAATGCGATCGATATCGCTGTTGATGGCAAAACACCTGTTGTCATCAACGAGGTGACGGGAAACAGCATCTCAACGCCTGCTGGTCTAGCCAATGGCAAACACACCGTTGAGATCCGTAAGAAATCAGAAGCGTCATTCGGCAGCATCTTCTTCAAGACTCCGATCGTCTCGTCACGCAAGACTACAGCTCCTGTGGGCCCTAAAAAGCGCATTGAATTCATCGGCGACTCCATCACTGTTGGGTATGGTCTAGACGGCACTTACCCTTGCGTCAATACCGCAGCCCTTGAGGACGCTCCCAGGACCTATGGCGCTCTGACGGCCAAGAACCTCTCCGCGGACTACAGCATCGTTGCCTGGTCTGGCAAGGGCGTGATCAGGAACTATGTCCAGGCTACCGTGGACACATCACCCACCATGCCTGAACTCTGGACTCGCTACGGTGCCAACGACGCCGACAACTCCTACGATTTCTCCTACCAACCCCAAATAGTCGTCATCAACCTCGGCACGAACGACTGGTCTTACCTCTTGTTCAACTCTACTGGAGGGTCTTATGCTGGCCGTCCCACCGTCAATGTAACGCAATTCACCAATGCTCTCTACTCCTTCGCGAAAACGGTGCAGAGCAAATACAATAACCCGCAGATGTTTCTCACATCCTCGCCGCTTCTGGGTGATTCTTACCCGACTGCGGCAGACGCACAACATACTACCCAGGCAAATGCAGTCAAGGCAGTAGTCGCGAAGCTAGGAAGCAAGGCCCATTTTGTAGACTTTCCTTCGCAAGATACTAATGCTGTTGGAGCTGGGTGCGACTATCATCCTTCGGCGCGGAGCATCAGATTATGGCTGCCATCTTGACGACTGCGATCAAGCAGGTGACTGGTTGAGTATCATTAGCTGTGTATCGGCAATGTATATCAGTACGTCTAATAATATTTACATCGAGTAGTTCTCCTTTTGTTCCAAAATGGTAGTGTGGAAGCATCAGCCAAGAGTTCCGATCGCCGGCACTTGCGGGCTGCTGGACTTTAGCCGGTACACAATATCTCTCCTCTCCAACACAACGATGCCGCAGCTCCGACTACGATCAGCATCAGGACGATGTCATGTTTGCCGTAGTAAGACGTTGGCCATGCTACCCCCTTTGTGTAGGATGCGCCGATGCCGCACACTTGAGCCGCTCTATTACCAAGACATATCACAATCGCGTATGTATTGCCGACTATCCGCCACGGACAGCTTAACGTCAACATTGGCGCACTGATCCAATCTAGGACGAGACAGCTAGACAAGACAGCAAAGATGGTGACTACCGAAGTTGTGGTATGGTGTTGCACAGAGCCTACGATTGTACCATGTACTGAAATCACAACAGCTTTTTCCTCTTAAGACAGGATATAACCCCGATAATCACAAGACCGCCGCTCCCATCGTAAACTACACGAATGAGACAATGTCGGCTGTCCCAGGTGTCCAGGGCTTGTACTCTGGTTTGCAACTAGAGGACCCGAGTTTGTGGCAACTCATGTGCAGTATGCACACCAACGGTCTTCTGGTTCGAAGTCATGAGCTAACGGTCGTATAGTCTGGGACAAAGCTCAAAGTCACTACGACTTCCAGGCTTCGGATGTCTATGATCCATTCCTGAAGAAGTTATTTAGCATCGTGGACGACACCCGTAGAGTCTCCGGAGTACATATCGACTTCCACGGTGATATTCTCAAGACCTTCGAGGCTCCCGTCACCGAGATCGCCACCTTGTACTTTGATGGTGGGCCACCGCAGAACTATTTCGAAGGTGCTGAGGAGTGCTGCCAGGCGTGGAGCAAGGCTGAGAATGGGCCTTCCGACTGGGCTCTGGGTACGACTTACGAGGATGTTGAGAATGACGGCGTTCAGGGCAAAGCTGTGGTCTTGTGTCTTGGATGGAAATCGAAGGAGCAACATGAGGAGTTCAATAAAGGTGAGATTGTCAAGGAGTACGGGGCCGGGTTGTTGAGTTCTTCAAAGAATAGGACCGTGTGGTGAGTCTGATGTGCAATGCTACGAGCTTTTGTTGCGGCTGACGTCTTTCGTAGGCATGTCCAGTTCAAGAAGTATCAGAAGTAGATGCATCCGGCTTTCGAGGTGGGCAATACTCATGCAGTCGTGGCTGGCCTGGGCGATACTCAATCGAACAATTTAACGATGTTAGAATATTTGTTGATTTCTCACGAGCGAGAATATCAATGGTGTGACTAGTGCGAGCTATGGAATTGCTAGGTGTAGTGTAGATGACTACATATCCATTGCGCTGGCGCAAGATCTCGAAGGTGACTATTGAATCCAATTTTGGCCAGTCGTCACTTCCTGGTCGGCGCAGGAAGCGAAGGAGTCAGACGTGCTGCACCTTTGCCAACTGCAGCTGGAGTAGGGACAGCAATCGTCTCTTCCACTGCCGTTACAATGCTTCCAGTATCCCGTGCGCCGGCATCTGCGGTTGCGGTGAAGCTGCTGGTTGCATCGCCGGCCCCTGGCATGGCAAAACTGGGATCAAGGAGTACAGCTTCCACATCGTGCTGCGCAATCTCCTCACGGCAGTCTGGAGTCGTGCACCTACGGAGATTGAAGTGCTCTGCCAAATCGTCCTCGGTCGCACGACGAGTGCTGTTGCCGTCATCAAGTAGGATACTCTCAGGGCGAAACGGCTTCGCGCTGGCAGGGATTCCTTGGCTGGAGGCAGCATGCCCGTACTGCGAGATGATGTCTGCATCGCGCTTTTGGTACCCAGCTCGGTACTTGCCTTGGGTCGCAGCTACTGGAGGATCGTCCTCGTAGAGGTGCGTCGAGCCGGCGTATTGTGGGTTATCTGATTGTGTGCACTTCCGTTAGCCACCGTTGACCAGCGAGTATCATCAAAGTGAATGAAGGTACTTACGGATATACCATGGGTCGCCTATGCAGTACGGAACATTGGTTAGCAAAATGATCTCATCGCGTGCGATAGTCAGTGGTCAATCATACCTGTCAGCAGTGCAAATCCCGGGTCATTCACAACTGTCGAAGGCCAGCATGGGTTTTGAACTATTCCATAGTCTGGATATGCCGCCGTTCCAAGGAAGCCAAGTTCCAGGGTGCTCAAGGTGATCGTGAGGTCCATGGTCTCGATGACGGTCCTCCGGTTTGCATTGACTACCTCACGATCAGACCTCAGATTCCTCGTCGATCTGGGCGAGAGACCGTTCTTGTTGTCATAGCCACAAATGAAAGCCTGATTACCAAACAGACTGTTACCAGCGCCACCGTTCTGTAGTCCAGGTAGCAGTCGAATGAGCACGTCGTCCTCGTCGCGATCCCACCAGAAGGCCGCTGGAGGATATTCGTCTTTCTGACAATTTTGAGCTGGCTGTTGAATGTAACCTTGCCACCTATTGATTCATGCGGGTCAGTATTCACACTCCATTTCTGCTGGTACCCTCACTTACCATCCAGGATTGTGCTCGTCGGTCCATTTCTGAGTCACGTGTGGTGGGTTGCCGTTATATCTCGTCGCGCACGTAAGAGGATTGACACCAGGCGTAAACGCTGCATGTGTTGCAATGACGCTCGCATAGTGAAGACAAGCCTGTCCATACACAGCGACGTCACAAACCTTGGCTCCGCGAGGATTGTGGGGATCTAGGGTCACTGTGAGACGTGCGTCGCTTAGGAGATTTTGGGGATTGCTTACGCTCTGTTCTGACAGGTTGGTTCGTTTCTGTTACTGTTTCGGCACGCAGACACCTGCCGCCAGCGTTCATTCTTTTGCTATTGCATGCGGAGCTTGTCTTTTCGGGCTTGTGGCTCGATTTGGGAGGTCTTGTCTCTGGAGCTTTCTATAAAGATCATGTCAGTGCCGCACCTGGCATGGCGAGGAAGTGCTGTTTACTGGTGGTGGCTCATCTGCGGCCAAGTCAGTGACGCTCTACAGCTAAAGTGACATAATCTATACCTAGGGAGAGACTATGCTTCTTGCCGAAGACTTTGAACTCAGCTTTTCCGGTCTTTTCAATCTCATCCGTACATAATTTGATGAGTGCAGGCGTGGCTGCCAACTCGGCGATATCAGCGATTTCGCCTACGAGTGCTCAAGGTCAGCAAAGAAAGCCAATGAGATTATGTCAGAAACCATACCAAAGATCGGGATCAGATCCTCAAGCAGCTCAATAGGTGCGAGGAGTGCTGGGACAGCAATGCGGCAGAACGCCTTCGCGGCAATGTCAAGGGCGGCCTGCTCCGCTGCAGCTTCTGCAGCACTCTTCGCAGCGTCCGCCGCATCTTTGCCAAGACTTTGCAATGATGGCGGAGCCTTGAAGTTTGAGCAACAGAAAGACTGGAGGCCTCCGTTGCATGTCTGGTCCTTCTTTCCGACGTGACTGTTGGTCTGTATTGCTAATGTCAGTATGCGCCGCACTAGGCTATCCTGGAGTGATGCTGCTTAAATCGGTAGTGAGTTCGGTCTCGCCTGCACATGGTCAGCTAGTTCGTGTACGGTCCGCTCAAGGTTTGGGGTCACAAACCATCTGAGCACCCTTGTATACACGACATGCCAGAACCTCGAAATCCTCGCCACGCGCATTTGCCGGTTGTAGTACCATCATCACAGCACAGATTTCGGTACTGCTTAGCGGGACATCGGTCACTGTAAAGCCGTTAGCATCATCTAATACCTCCCGATAGTATCCTCACCGAGTCGAGACCTGGCCTGGCTGTCCGTTCATCTGTGCGACCTGATTGGTGCCGCTCTTGCACTTCTGGTTGCAATCAGTGACATAGCAGCTTGCCTTCGCGGCGGCATCGCCGGAGAGAGACTGAGCATTCGATTGATCCCCAGCAGAGACGCCATTATTCAAGTTGCCAGCGCCGCTCTGATCCTTTTGGTCTAGTGCCCAGACCATGAGACCACCTAGACAGCGCTTCTCGGCGAAGTCCTGTAACAAATATCAGGAACCGTATCGTAATGACCAGATAACCACTTACGCGCTTCTGATTGAATGTGTCGTCATCATCGTAGGAAACCCACTGATTACTACCCCAAGTTATCCACTTCACGCCAGCAGTCTTATCCCAAACAGGCTGTACATTGTTCTTCGTGATGATATCCTGGATCTCCTGGTCGTCTAGAATGCCGGAAGTGGCGGAGCAAGGCCCTGGGTCGGCTCCGCCGCTAAACTCGCACACACCTGTTCGGGGACGTCAAATCCCATTCAAGGTGAAACACTTGGACAGAGAGGACGTACCATTGGGTGTCTTGCAAGAAGGATTAGTGAGAGTGAACGAACGACCGTACTGTAGGGTCTGTCAATGCAGGCCACGAGGCATTGATGACTGTATACTTACCCATCCTTGGCCGAGGACAACTTTGTCCGCCGACACTCCTGCACGCCAAAGCAGATCAAGGCCTAAGTCGATTTCGGTGAGGGTGGTATGCGGTGCAATGTATGGGCCAACGAACTTGGACGCCTTGTCCCATGTTCCGTGCACTGATGGTCGAATGTCAGCTATCGTGTACCACCGTCTTGATCTAGCTCCGTGCTAGGCTGCCACTTACAGTCATATGCCATGAAGTTGAACCAATCGACTGAGTCCTGCAGACCTTTGACGTCGATATGCTGCAGATACCAGAAACTGGCGGGCAGGGTCAAGCTGATACCCTTGTTGCCGAGAGCGCTCCGTAGCTCCTTGACAAAGGTCACATAGTTCACCTTGTCGCCTTCCTGGCCACCTCTATCATCGGCTTGAGGGTATTCCCAGTCCAAGTCGACGCCATCGAAGTTGTACGTATTCATGAATTGCATGAGGCCACTGATGAAAGCCTGACGGTTGCCTGCAGTGCTTACCTATATTCGAAACCATCAGTCTACAGCGCTGCAACATCTTATACACGAATCTCACCATGTTGGAGAATGCCTCCTGTGTTGGTCCTGGGTCAGTGAAGGACCAGCCACCGACAGAGATCCACACCTCCAAGCCCGACCATTTGTTTTTCAAGCCTGTCGTACGTCCGTACAATGAAGCTGAGTTGCTGTCCATGGGAGTTATTTGAGAAGATTTCGGGTCAAAGGACGCAAAGGCGAAGTTGAGATGGGAAAAGCCCGCCAAGTTTAGATCTTTAGGGCTGACCTGTGATCTTGATGTGAGCTTTGACACAGAGTGAATTAAGGTCTGGACATACCGCTTGACATTGACGGGTATTGGCCCAGGACTCGTAGTAGCCGATGTTGCGCTTCCCAACCTGTGACCCTCCACATGGTGGTGTAGGGGGTGGACCACAACCTCCAAATCCCGCCTGACAGCCATCACCGCAGAAGTCGTCCGTTGAGCCGCAGAAGCTTTGATGCGTCAGAATATGACATAAAGCATTCTTTCCCGCAGGCGACTTACCCAAACTTCGAACAGCAGACATTTAGAGGACAAGTCTGAGACCCTGGTGTACCATACTGGCCACATGCAGCTTTCGCATCACAGTTGGATGCGCAGCCAGTACCACATTCAGTGGGCGAGTAACCGCAGAGACCGTTGCTTCCACCTTGGCATTGTCAGACAGATCAGCTGCGTGGGATGTCTGACTTACAGCACGCTCCATTCGGGCATGGTGTCGAAGGGTCGCAAGTGCCGATGGGCAGATCCCTCTGTGAAGTGTCTGGACTCTGTTTTTGAAATTTGGGGATTGGTTAAGGGTCGCAACCTCTCGCGGTAACGCCACAACAGCGCTAGCAAGAGCCAACAGCAGTGGAAGATGCATCTTGAGCCAGCAGAGCAGCGCCGGCAGGTTGGATGTGTGAGAGTAGGGCGATGCAACTCGCAGCGAGGATTTCGAGGCACATTACTAGAAATGTGTCAAAAGCTAGTGACCTGACGGTGGGCGCCTGTGCAGTTCCCAACCGCATTCAGACCTTCCAACAGTATTGATCGCCAGTCCTTGTAATATGTCATGCGGGCCTTTGCGTTTATCCATATGGAATAGGGGCTGAAGGATCACCAGCTGAGGCCATACTAGATACATCCTTGACGATGAGCGCCTGTACCTGATAAGGCTATGCAGGGGCGAGGTTGCGGTTGGAATCCTTCGCAGCAAAGCTTTCTATGTTCAAGCTCGGCAGGCTCGGCGTCTTGGTCTCATCAAGCTTTACTCGGCGGTGGGAGGGACGCGCCGGCCGGCGCCCTCCTTCGAGCCAATCATGAAGCAATACTAATGCACCTCGTACTCCTTGGGGCTGAGAGCGATACAACGATCTACGTGGAGCACATGCGAGATAATTTCCATGAACGGGGTTGGTAGGTGTCCTACTCAGGCAGCAGACCCTGCCGAGCCGTCTATGATTGCACAGCCTAATCCTCAAGACGGCAAGGGGTACAAATCTGGCACGGTGATCGGCGGCGGGCATACTCATGAGGGAAGCGTGTGCGCCGCTCGACGAGAACTACAGCAGGTGCAGGGTCTGGCAGCGACTGCGAGAATCTTCCCTCAACGACTCACATCTTCCTCCCCTCCGACTTATGAGCTCAAGCACAGCGTCACGATAATGACAAGACCGATTTGGCTGTGGCAGACGGCACTGCCCGCGTTGAGCATGGCCCAGACATTCAATATGTGGCCGTTGGTGGACACTGCATTCATGGCGAATGCTCTGAACGTCTCGCAAACATGCGTGACTGCCCTGTGGGTAAGCTGCAACCTCACCATGACATGACTGACCATCTGGAAGGAACGCCACAGTGGGCTGCGACCCGACGACCTTCCGCATGGCAGGTCAGATCGATCTTTACTTCTGGGAGAACGACAACATCACTACGCTGTGCACATCGGACTGTACGTTCGGACAGACGCGGCTAAGCAGCGCAAGTATTCTGTTGACACCTCCTCAGGTATGACTTCAGCTACCACGTGGATTAACGATGTCTATGACAACTGTGATCCCACGGACGCCATCTACGTTGACACGAAACTTGTCCCCATCGATACCGTCGCTGTCCGCTACACAGACGGTCTTGGCCTAGCATGTCTGACAGACCAGTAGGGTCAACAAACTCTGTACGAATCAAGACGTTCAGATGCTGATGGTTCACACAGACAAATTAACATCACATCGACCATTCCTCCAGACTTGCCATCCAACGATACTGACACTTCCTCGTCGGTTCCCGAGTCAACGTCAACCGCGGCGTCCGCCACCACAACCACAACACCTGGTGATCCCAGTTCGGGTACAAATGTCGGTAACAAGTTGTACCGTTGGTATGGCCAAGATTCAACCCAAGCTGATATGTCCTGCGGTTTGCACAGGGCACGTACGAGTACAATTACTCGCCTTCACCAAACTTCTGTTTCAACCAATCACAAAGCTGGGTCAGATTCGTGCACATTCCTTTGAGTATATCATCTAGCTGATTATGGTTTCCAGGTGGGTGTGGACATTCCAGACTGCAATCTTGACCCTGATAACTCCCTCTGTGCTGATGCCACGGAGGGCATGAGAATTGTGAGTATCTTGCAGATGATCTGAGACTCCCCGACTAATATGCACACAGGCCAACTACTACAACGATACCTTCGTGAGTACATCGCCGGCCTAGATTTCTGGGAATCATACTCACATATCTACAGCTTTGCGATCCGTGTTACCTATCCGTATTTTGGTGGAGAATCAACTCGCCCTTTCTGCCGGACAGCGACTACTCTGACTATCTCGTCGACCAATTCCAAGACATTCAGGACGTCTGCAACGTCACAGTGTCAGACACAATCCTCCGCGTCAGCCCGCCAGGTTATGCTATTGGAGTGACGCCGAACTACACTTTGCTTGGCAGCACACCCCCAAGCGGCTCGCCCGCCTCTTCCGCGTGCTTGGGACAGACGCTGTCGACCGGCAGTGGCGCTTGTGATACTCTGTCGACTACGTACGGGGTGACAACCGGAGACCTTCAGCAAATTACTAATTCCACCACGTGTACCTTCTCCGGAAGCATCTGTGTGCCGAACAAATGTGCTTTGTCTCAAACCGGGACCAACGCATCTTGGTAAGTGTACGAGCGACCTTTGCAAGGTTGCAAGGCTAATGGAACTCAAGTGATTCCTTGGCGGCAAGCTTGACAACAAGCACGCTTAATATCACGGACGCTTTACTTCTGTCATGGAATCCGAATATCCAGGGTCTTTGCGACTCGTTGACTCAAGGACAATACGTCTGCATAGGGCAAGCATGCATTCCCATCTTCACCGCTCGCAGTAACTGACGAGAAGCCATCAGACCGCCTGGAGGCACCTACAATCTGCCAGCACCGATCGGCGGCGACACCACTGCAGCCGGCCAGCAACGTGGTGGTCAAGGTAGTGGAGCAAATCCTGACGGGCCTCTCGGTGCCACAGGTCCTACTGTGAACAGCACATCGCAAGCTCCAACACAAGAGGGCATCAACCCGAATTGCACCCTGTTCGCTTATGCTGCCGCAAGTACGTTTTGCCCGCCGGACAATCCGACACAGATACTGACGACAATCTGCCGCAGATGACACTTGCTATGACTTCACAGTCGACTTCAGCATAACGTTGAAGGACTTCACATCGTGGAACCCGATTCTAGGGTATCCCGACGGGGCAAATTGCACCACCAAGTTCTGGAGCGGCTATGACTACTGTAAGTCATCCTTCCTCAAAACTGGCTCGAGAAATGGCTAGTCCGAGTTCGAAGATTGGTGGCTGACAGTGCATACAGGCGTCCAAGTGAATGGATCCAGTTCCACCACCACTACGTCTACTTCCAGCCAGACTTCAAGCACGAAAGCAACAACGTCGCTGCCATACCCAACCCAGAGCGGCATCACGCCGTCGTGCAACAAGTACGCCGAAGCCGTGTCAGGAGACTACTGCTACGTGTTTGCTCAGGAGCACAACATCACCACCGATGAGCTATACGCATGGAACCAGATCCTTGGGCCAAATGGTGCCAATTGCTCCACTCAATTCCAGGCTGGCGTAGATTATTGTGTAAGCATGTGTTAAGGCACCATGACACTGATGGTGAAATCGATGCAGGTTATTGACTGTATGAAACAGGTTGGTGTATCGTCGACATCGACGAGCCCGACGACAATGTCAAAGACTCCGACAAGCACAACACCGACCTCCACACCGGTGCCCACGCAGAGCGGCCTGGCGGCCGACTGTGTGAAGATCGTGGAAGCGAAGAGTGGGGACTACTGCTATGAGTTTGCGCAGAATAATGGTACATATCCCTTTGTTCGGCCCCTTGTTTGGTTGCAGCTAACAGATCTGGCAGCCATCACTACAACTCAGCTCTACACCTGGAACCCTATATTGGGGTCTAATGGTGCCGAGTGTAGCACAGAGTTCCAGGCTGGAGTCGGATACTGTGTGGCAGTGAGCAGCTAATTACTCGCCAATCTTCAATCCTCGTCCTCTATATACTCGATCCTGTAACTATCCACCTTTGCGGACCGGTATATGATCTATAAGTTCTATAGGTTCTGCTGATCAACCAGCTTCTTCCTTTCCTCAATCGTCTGGAGTTGCTCTGGAGTCAGTCTCTTCATGTAATCCTCTTTCTTCTTCTTGCTCTTCGCGTCCGATTCTGCTTTTCGCACCCCGTCCCACTCGTCTTGGAGAGATATAAGCTCTGCCCGACACTTCTCCGCGTCAAAATGATCGTGCGGCCACCCACTCTGCTTGTACACTTCGTAGACTTTCTGCATCATGCATTAGCGGATGTGCTTCACTTCTCCGGAAGCGATGAGTTAGTATTTACCTTCGTCTTCTCTGGCAATGGCTTGACTTCTGGCCTCTCCAGTCGTGGAGCGGACTGATACTCGGCGTGCTCAGCATCATGGCGAAGCCATTCCATCTCGTCGTTGGGGACTTCATCCTCTGCCTCATCTGGACCCCGCTCCTCGTCCCTACTTAGCCGCAATTCTTCCAGGTCCATCTCGTCTTGCTCTTCATCGTTCTCGTCCTCAACGTAGTCGTCGTCGGCTTCATGCTCCGCATCAAACTCGTCCTCAATCGCAAGAAGTGCTGCTTCCTCCGCAGGCCATTCGGCGCGGAAGTGGAAGCTAGGGTTTCTACGGCGGCAAGGCACAGGCATGTACACCAGGCGCTTCAGACGATTAGACTCCCGCTCGAAGAATGCTCTCAGTGGCAGAGTCGGGTGAGCCTTCCATTTCTGCTCGGGTGCAAGGGCTTCGTATTCGTCCAACGTCAAGTCCGACGGGGCGAAATCGCCACCGTGATTAGGGTAACTGACGATATGTCCGAGCTCCGTGTCTAGTAGGAGATATTCCTTTGCTTCGTTATAGCCCTGCCCAATGTAGATGACGTGTGGTGGCAGATACGGCGGTTTCGGTTGGTCTGCAGCCGAGATGCGAGACAAATAAAAGTCATTGACTGGCTGATCAAAGGCCACTGCCGTCGATCTCCAGGTCTGGCGTAAAGGCGTCAGCGAGCTCACGCGATAGATCCGCGTTCGTTTATGCGCGAGAGGGATGACTTTGATCACATGGTAGACAACTTCCCGCCAGGTTACAGTGATGATAGGGTGAGGCTCACAATCCAAGCATGTTCGGCATCATACAACCCAGGTGCCAAGAATGGAAGATGGCGACTGAACTCAGCGGCCTCGTCGGACCAGCCTTGCTCCCTCAAGTCTTCAGCATGAGACCCAGGCCAGCCGTCGGGAGGAGGCACCCGCAGGCATTCGGGCTTCATGTGAGGCATTCGACATAGTAAAGTGTAGTACCCCATCATATCGTTCTTGGCTTCCTGCAGGACACCTTGAGCATTCTCCATTGTGTTTGACATCTTGAGCAGATGGTTTTGATATGACCGGGTGACAGGTGGTGGGAGAAGTCGTCGTGTTTACGAATGTAACGTGACTTCAAGATCAGGCAAGCTTCGGCCTAGCTCCGCTAGCGCGTTTCTGAGATCTTGGCACGGGGAATGAGCAATTACCAGGTCTAGTACGCCGTGAGTTGCTTGATGTCGTGTTCTTGACAAGGCACGAACGATGTCGAGTGTTAGGCGTAACCCTTTAGAACCCAAAAGATCTAGGTCAGTCTACCAACAACACGCTAGGAAACTTCGCCAAGTGAAAGGATCCAGAGTAGGCAACACAGCCACTGTGCATCATAGATCATAGATGGAGTCTAGGCGCCAATCGCAGCAAAAATGCTCGTGCAAACGGCACTCACTACAACAACGTCGACAATATGCGTCGGTTCTACTTACTTTCCAGTCTCGTCTCGACTTTGAAGGTCGTCTCTGGTCAGGCCGACGGACTCCTATCAAGCACCATGGAGTCCGCGTTAAATATGGACACCATCCCCAAGGACGCACTTCTATACAACTCACCCGAGTATAGGGGAATTGGCTCAGTTGCAGTCCCAGTCTTTCTTCTTACGAACCTCACAGCTGCTGAGCAGGAGGCCTACCAAGCTGCTCTTGTATCCGACACGGAATTGGAGTTTGTGCATCCTCTGCTTCGAGCATGGACGGAAGACTACGAAGGGACGCCGGACGATCTGTTCCGACTGTGGCGGAAGGCGGACGACTTCGCTTTCTTCATTGACCGCGAGGGTGCGGCAGATGCTACAATCTTGGTCGCTGCGCCCGATGACTATACTATGCTTTTCAGTCCTGAGGCTAGCTGATGGGCACGAGATAATCTTACAGCCTACTTGCAAATACACAAGCCGGCAGTTGATCACCAGGCCGCTGTAGATTCGGGAGATAGAGCCTACGAAGGATACCTAGAGATACTAGCAGATTATATCCTAGGTAAGCGAGGACTAACTTACGTAGCCTTATAGTACTATAGTAGTACTCTTAATAGGATTAAGTATCGATTTATAGAGCTTAATAGTATTCTAGTTATTAGTAATTAGCTCGTAGTTAAATACTAGTAGTAGCTTCTTCTTCTTCCTCGCGTACTTAGCTCTAACCTTAATTATAACTTTATCGATTACTTTATAAAGGTAGATAGCTCGCTTAGTAGCGTCGTAGAACGAGTTTTATCTCGTAGCTACGTCCTTTACTAGCTTATAGACCTCCTTCTTACCTTCTAGACGTATTAGCGTAATTACTCTCTTCTACGCGCGCTCGAGTTACTTAATAAGATATAGTAAACGGAGTATCTACTATACTACGTTATAGAGCTTACTAAATAGATCTCTTCTTCTACTAGTACTTAAGATATAATAACTTAATCGATATATCTATAAGCTCTTCCTTAAACGCGTCATTATTCTCGCTTAGGGTTAGGGTTAGGGTTAGGG